TTAGTTTAACGGTACGAGGTATAAAATAAAAAGAAAGGTAGTAGGGATCTTATTATTTAATATAAGGGTAAAAGTAAGATAGCTATTATTTATATCCTAATGCTTTTCCTTTAGTATAGGTATATTAATATTTATTATATTATCCCGATCGATAGGGTCCGGGTATTATACGAGCTTCTTTAATCGGTTAACGCCTAACTAAAGTACGATACGTATTCCCTGGATTAATAATTTAACTATTATAAATAAATTAACGATAATTCCTCTTATTAAGGTTTAGAATTCCTAACGTATAACCTTCGTTAAGGTAATACGTATAAGGAATAGATCCCGAGTAAAGGATCGCGTTAAATACGATACCGGTTATAGCTATAGGCCGGTCTCGATTTAACGGAAGCTATTTAATAGTATTAGCGGTATTACCGCTAGGCGCCGTTTTACGCTTATGTTAGTACTTCTCGTTATACTAACTATTAATTAGTAATATAAGGCCGGCCTATATATAGGTATACTTATTAACTCGACTTTAGTTCCGTTTCCCTAATCCTTTATATCTACGTAGTCCTATTAATATTAATTCCTAATTCTCTTTAAAACTATCGGTTACTAATAACTATTAGTTTATTAATTCTTATTTATACTATTAATATAAATATTTATATTATATCGTATACTATATCGTCGAGTCGCTACGCCTAGGTATCTTAAAATGCCTTTAATATAATAAGTTATTAGTATTTATATATTTAATTTATATCGATTAATAGGTTTAGAGGGAAAAAGAAGCTATCGTAAGGTCGGTTAAGGTATAATTATTATTAGCCTTTATCCGCCTTTAGTATTAATAAGGAAATAGCGAGTCGTATAAGTTATCGTAATTTATACTAAGGCGCTCGTACGTTTAATTCATATAGTAAATAGATAACTATAAAAAAGCTGCCCTAATCGTTATAAGCTTTATTTATTCGCACGAGATATACTATGCTATTAGCGGTTCGGGAAAGCGGTTAATATCGAGGGCTAAGTACTATCTCTAGTAGCGGTAGTATTACGACGAAAGTTCTCCGGGTTTTACGGGTTCCTCCGTATAATAAATAAATAACTATACGAGGAATATCTTAATCGGTATAAACGCGGTTTAGTCGTCGTATTATATCGTAGTATCGATAGCTTATTAGCGTTATAAGTATTAAGGGCTAGGTATTATCCTAATAATAATAATATCGTTATAAAAGTTCCCGGGCTTATACGTACCTCCCTATAATAGATAAATAACTATAAAGCGGGATACTTTATTTAACGTAAAACGCGGGCTGCTTCGCGGGTTAAATAACGGCGCCGACGGCGATCGGTATCCTTTAAATCCTAATAACGTAATAAAAACTCCGTAAACTAAAGGTTAAAGGGTCGAAAAAGTTATAAGGTAATCGCTACTAAGGAGGAGTAAAGCGTACGCGATACTAGAGACCCGGATATATTCATTCGAAAGTATACTCTATCGAAGACTATAATACGTACGATAGTCTAAGATAAATAAAACTAATATCGCTATATTAATCGAAAGGTAAGGAATCTAATGTAGTTATCGTATCTTAGCTATACCCCTTAGTCGTAGAGATATAGTAGTCGCTAGCCCGAAGGTATAAGAGGTAAGAAGAGAAAAGAGGCAAAACGTAAAAGTCACTTATTCGGCTATAGTAATACGACGAAGTAACTTAAGCGCCTATAACTAAAATAGATATACTAATCGGAGAACGATAAATCTAATAGCAAAAACGAATCTTTAATTAAGGTAAAAATAGCAAAGATAGTAATCTAGCTAAGTAATAAATTAAATAATAAGCATGATATATCCCGTACTTACGGGTGCTATGGTTACTCTATATAGGCATAAGGCCTATCGTAGCGTATTACGTAATGCATTAAGAGGGCATGTCTTACCGCACCACTACAGTATACGAGAAGATCGAGCCTCCCGTCTTCGTAACTAACCCGTCTTAACTAACTAGTTAGAAATAAGGTCTTTCCTAGGAACCGTAAGTCCTTACCGTAAATAGATAAAGAACTACTTAGAGATCTATCGCCCTTTAATACGGCTACTTAATAAGGATACTAAATAGAAATAAAGCATAGCTAAATCCTTATCCTTTAAACTAACTAGATTACTAGTATTAGCCGTAGTTAATACTTATAGCTACGCTTTTAATCTACCCGTATCCCTATATACTAACGCTTTATAATTCGTAGCGGGTTACGTTATTTTCTAGCGATAAAACGGAGCTAACGTCCCTATCTTATACGATAACTTTATATTTTCGAAACCTTAACGTAACTACGGTACCTATAAGAAAGAGCTCTACGTAATGGTTAAATTCTACTGTCGATATAGCTATATATTTCGGGTAAGAAAGCGATCTATCCTTTTTACTAATCATAAACCCTTAACTTAGTTCTTATCTTCTTTAGCCGTTAAAGGCATTTACGTTCGTTAGGCCTTTAAGCTTAGATTACTCTATATATAAATCGAATATATCCTAGGAGTAAGGAATAAAGCTACTAATGCCCTCTCTCGTATTATATTCCCGGGTAATAACTACGAGGACGCCGAACTAGAATACCTAAAGACCCTCGGCTCCTAAGATTAAGACAATGGTTTATAGATTTAGAAGGATAGCGAGGGCGGATATAAGTAATTATTAGCTTAATTACCTAATCCAGATCTACTATTAGGATCCCGAAGGCGGGATCTTTTACCCCCCTTTATTAAGGTAGCCGTAAATATAGCTTTAGTTTCGTTATCGTCGTTACCTACGGTTATAAAAGGACCTAAGTACGTCCTTAAACTATATTTAGGACCCGAGTACGTCCTTAAACTACGAATAATAGGACCTAGGTATATCCATAAACTATAACTAGCTAATAATTACTTACCCTCGCCTTCTAGAGCCTAAACTCCTAAGGACTCCTCGGACGTTAGCTTTTAGCCGTTACTAGCCTTATTAAAGCTCGCTACCAAAGCCTTAGGGCTCTTCGTAAGAGGATCGTTCTCCGAATAAAATAAATAGCTAAATTCTAAATAATACGGAGACGTAATTAACCTCTTAGTTACTAAGAGAACTAAATTAGATACCTATAATCGGCTTAAAGTACGGTCCCTACTTAATAAAGCTAAGAAATATAGGATCTAAGGAACGTAATTATAGCATTACTATCGTAGGATATAAAATAAGTATTTACTATTAAACGAAGTCCTAGACGCCTTCGTTAAAGCTTATAACGAAGCCGGGCATTTCTCGAAGTTAATTATACTAAAACGATTCTCCCGTTTAGTTTTCTAGCTAAAGATAGCTAGTAACGTATCCGCTTATATAAACGGATGCCTTCCTTACGCGTATTATAAACTAACTAAACTATTAGGTCCTCCTCTCCTTATAACGGTTTACGCCCCGTTATAGATCCTATCGTCTAACTTTATTAGCCCCTTTCTATTATTATTAAGGCATAAGTATATCCTAGTAATTATTTACTAATTTAATAGATACGGCTAGGCATTACCTACCCCTAGTACCTTAGTAAATAACGCACTTATAGGCTTTAATATATGGCTTACTAACCTAGGAACGAGGCCCCTAGCCTTTTACTTAGACCCTGGATCCGTATTTACCTCGTAAAGGATAATCTAGTACTTAACGACTAAAGGAATACTAGTTATTAACGCCCCTTCGGGTTCCTACCGATCCGTAGGGTTAATTAAAGTATTTAATAAGATCCTATAGTAGGTCTTAAAGAAGACGGTAAACCTACTACCTTACTAAGAACAAGAGCTATTAAACTAAGCTAGCTCTATATCCGAAATAATAACTAGAATTAACGCGCGTTACGTTAAATCTCTAGGATATTTACCGTTCGAAATACTATATAAGAATCTACTTATTAGTACCTTCGAAGCTAAATATCCGCTATCCTATCTAACTAAATTAAGATCTATTCTGGCTAACGGCTCTTTTAAGCTCCCTAACGAATAAACATACGCCGATCTAATCGTAAACCATATAACTAGGATATAATACTATAAAGAGAACGTCTAGAAGCTATTAAAATAAACCAGGAAGAAGAGAGAGGAAGCCCTTAAGAAAGCTAGTAGATCCATCGGAAAAAGGGACCTCGTTATGCTTTATTAGGACGGAAAACCACCTAAGCTACGCGAGAAATAAACTAGCCCTTTTATCGTAGGGTTACCCGTTAAACGTTTAGCATATTAGTTACTATTATTAGATAGTAAGCCATTAGGACCCTATTATTATTATACGAATTAATTAAAACTATTTAAACCACGGGAGGATTATTTAAGGTTACTAAAGGACCTTTAGTTGCCGTACTAGAGGAGATTAAGAAGGGCGAGAAGATAAGCTATTACTAAAACCTGTTTTACTATTCGTTGCTATAATCTTTTAAAAGGCCTTTAAGGTTATAACCGAGGGCAGTTACCTTTGCCTCCCCCTACTAGCTAAATACGAGCCCTCCTAAATTATATAATACGTATTATATAAGTAACCCTCGAGAGTTAAAGGGTATTATTTAGCAAGGGTACCTTAGATAGGAGGTTTTTAGAATCAAGTACGTTTTATACTCCATCCAGCTGGGGCAGCCTCTCCAACTCTTCCTGTTGGTAGAATTGGGGGTTATCATCCAGACTTTCGGCGTACCTATATTAGTGATCCTTGACTTGCGTCCTCTTAAACCCTATCGTCGTTGGAAACCCCTTGTTTCTGGAGTTGCGCCCAGAGTTGGGCGGAAGTGAATCTCGAGATGGGGGTCGACGCGACCTTGTTTAAACCATTGGACTGCCTTGGATTGGTTAGACTCTCGCCAACCAGGCGATCTCGAAATCAGGTACGTTCCGGGGTTAACCGATGCTCTCTACTAGTAGGTACGTATTAGTACACACCTGCTCACTACTGGAGACATTAGGTATAACATCAAGCACATTGAATACCTTAGCTGTTCTGGCTAGATCATACGAGCCTCTTGAGCTTTCACTCAACTGACACTAAGTCCCTCTGGGCCTTGCATAGATATTACGATTCTATCACTACCATACCTACATCCAAATGGCCTCTCCTCCGTCACAGGTCGCGTTATCGCCAGCCGCCTCGCCCTCAACCAACCACAGAAAAAATCTATAAAATCTTTAACAACACTCAAGTCAGGTTCATCGACATTTTGCCTAATCCTGAAGACCAGCCAGTGCGCTGCAAACTTCACACCATGAATTTGCCACTAGATGCATCAGATGCTACGGATATCCGCTACGCCGCATTATCATATGTCTGGGGGGACGCCGCGATCACTGCACTGAGCTCTCAAGCCACTGTCGGAATGGGATTTGATCAGTCGGCGCCAATAGCCGTGGCGTGGCTACGTAACTACCCCCCCCCCCCCTCCTACTCCTCTCCTTGCTTTATACACACCCATGTGGGATGGAGGTGTCCCGGTGTGCTAGTCCGTAACATTAGGCTGTATTACCGATGGGATTGCCCACGATCCAACACAAAGTCTGGATGAATTCATCCCACTTCTTCCTCTCGCCCTCCTCAAGGTCGATAATAGGCGTCATTCGTACGAAAACCTGACCCTGATGCACATAGCCTTGGGTAATGCGAAGGCGAGGTCCAGAAGCGGAAACGATAGTGACCTTATATCTATTAGCCAGGAGATCTTGTAGGATTTCTTCAGACTCACAGGGACTATATGATGGTCTTGATATCCCTTATCAAGAAGACGACTACCCGTAACCCACACTATTGTCTCCAGCTCGCTCATATAAGGGACCATATCTCTAAGGGGAGAACCATTTGTCAAGAAACAGCTGATGTGAGGCTTTTTGAAATCGCATTGGTCGACAAATTTTTCCACTTTCCAGAAGCTGTTCGTGAGTAGTGGGAATAGGATATCATCCTCCTCAGGTCTAGAATCATTAGCTTTAAATATAGTTATGACAAAAGGTTAATACCTACGTTACTATCTTCCAGTCCGTCCCGCTGATGATCCCCGGGGCTTCATCGTCTTTATTAAGGCGTAAATAACTCTGGAGCACATTCCATATATCCCTAGCTTGCCCACGGTTGTCCAGGTCGCCATCTACGGGTAGTATCGACGGGCATGCCGGGCTTTCCCATGGTTGGATCCGATTCACTAGTTCATGCATTTTGGTATGCGGGAAAGGTTCGATGAATTCGTCGCCATCATCCCCTGGCTTGCCAGTGTAGAAGTCGAGACGGCTGGTCGCAACGTTAAGGGTCTTCTTCAATTGGTCACTCGCGTCGTCGAGGTAAGGGGTCCGGCTTTGGCGAATCAGTTTGAAGCCCTTCTGGATGAACTTGATGGTGGCGACAACATGCTCGGGATGCCTATGTGTCGCCATTGCGCGGTGAAACGAACGGTGGTTTTGAAAGGGGGGTTCTGATTTTCTAGTTGGTAAGGCACAGGAGGATATGGAAAGTTGTTGTTTTGAGGATTCTGAGATAATGCGGGAGGAGCGGTAGTAGCTTAAGTGAACCGGGCCCACGTACAATATGCACATGACGGGGGGCGGCTGTGGGAGAAGGCCCGTACTATTAGGTACTTAATGTACCTATACAGTGTACTCGGAATGGCCCACTTATGTTTGGGGTATGTGATCTAAAGTGGGTACCTACCTAGATAGAGCTGCACAACCTTAGGTACCCACCTACAGGCAGGGATCGTGGTATACTAGGTAGGGTGCTTTTGCCTAAGTATGCCATCTCAGGCCAGGCCTCCCATCGGTTCTATGCGTCTGGCGGGCTAGACCTCTGACGCGGCGTTTACCGGGAGGAATCGGATGAGCGAGTCACCGAAAGGACGGAGAAGCGGCCTCTCGTCCTAACGATGTTGGTAGCATCGAGTCCGTTCTCATGCAAGTTGCCTAAGCCAAGTAATAATAGACTGGGGTCTCTAGGCAGTCCTATGGCCCCCCAGCATAACAGGTCACAGCCGAAAGAGTTCATGTGCAGAGAAAAGCTGTATTCCTGGTGGTGCCCTCGGGGAGCCAGCCACAGGTCTGAAGGGTGTTGGTTATTTTTGCGTGCCAGGGGCATGCCTTGGCGCCTAACGTGGTCCTCGCGATGACCTCTCAGCCTACTTAGCGCCTGCATGGTAACAAAAAGGCACCAACAGAGCCCATTGAAGATATGATTATTACCTTATAGTAAGTTCTAATATTGGAACGTTAGTGTTCGAATCGTGATTGTCCGGTATTTTCCCTCCGAGGAAGAGACTATTGCCACTCTCAAGAAAAAGAAAACCTAGCATATCAAGTACTTACTTTCCCATTGTCTTCTCAACGACTCTGTGATTCTTCCTGCTCCGGCGCAGATATATTAAAACATCCTTGAACGTTAGGACGATGGATTCCAAAGACTTGGTCGCAAGTAGATCGGAGTGGAAGGCAAAGGCGAAAGAGCTAGGTCTCGAGAACATGTCTATTTGCGACCTGAAGTCTGCTGCGTCCGCGTCGGAGATGGATTATGCCCAGTACCTTCTTACTCGCTCTCACACTTCAAAAAAAAATGCTAAGACACTCTTCGATAACCCGACCCGCTTCATTGGGAAGGATTACATGGAAATGGCCCGAGAGAAATTAGACGAGTGGCCGGCCTTCCAGCAGTATCTTACACTTTTTGATTATGAGCCATCGCAGCTGCTCGGGAACCCGTTCCCTGACGTCGGTGTTTTTTCGCTAATCCGCAAATGGCAAATTGATACTCTCGCCGTCGACGCTACGGGCCCGGCCGAGCTCCGGCGTTCCAACCGGGCCTCAGAAGCCTCAGCAGCGTCAGCTGATACTCCGAATCCGTCCAAGGCCAGCAAAGAGGATATACGTGAAAGGCCCAGCACGCCCGATGATCTGCTAACAGGGGATTTCCAAGATTTGCAGCTGTCTCCTTATTCACCCGAGCAAAAAAGGACGAGCGAGGACCTGAAGCCGATTGAGAGCGAACAGATTGTGGTATTAGCCACGGTCTCCTTACTCGACATCCTAGTGATGAGCCACCAACCCGAGGTAGAGATGTCTGTTGCTCAAGCGGCATTTTACCTTCAAAAGTGGGGACCGAAGGGGACTCGGGAGAATGTTTTTGAGGCAAGGATCGATGGTTGTCTTCGGACGCGGGCCGGGAAGAAAATTCACGTAAGCCTGGAGGCGAAGAAGGACGCACGAGATATTGGCAGAAACGAGGTCCATTTTGGAATTCAGGAAGCGGGCGAAATTGCCTGCTGGGTCAGCAACTACCCACCAGAGAATTTGGGACCAGACGGCGAAGAGAGGTATGTTGTTTACCATCATCCCGATACCCGTATTGAGTCCGTATCCTAAAGTTAGTCCTACTAGTCGCCTTCTTATTTCACCGAACAGGCACGAAATCTACCTTACCTTTGCGAAGTTTGGCCGCGCATACGTGGATTATATTCAGGGCAGGCGACTTATGAGTAGAACTCTGGAAGACCCCAAAAGTTTCCTGAACATGATGGTGTTTGGGCCCTTCGCCGTGGCTAGGAAGGAACATATGCAAGCTTACTGTAGGCTCGTTCTGGCTTTCGTCTTCCAATGTTCTTCTAAAAAATAGGTTGTCACGTAGCAGTTGAACCAGCCATATATGCCCACATACCGCACAGTGTAATGTACGCGTCTGCGTTTTACGCGACATAGGTTAAACAAAGTAGCACGCCACCTATACAAGGGGTGGACGAAACTGAAATTGCACCCCGTAATCAGTGTCAGCTAGCAGACCGACATGCTGGCGCGTTGGCTGTTGAATCGCCTGTCAACCCGGTTAAACTATGCGTAGACGTCCAACCCCCCAACATATCGTCGTTCAACGTTAGATACATGGGTTAAGTGCATGGAGTCTACCTAGTAGGTTGTGACTCCGATGGGGTTCCCCACGACCCAACATAGAGTTTGTGCGAAATCATCCCAATTCTCGTGCTCACCCGCAGCAAAGTTGATGACAGGAGTCATTCGTACAACGAGTTCCTCATGGTCAACATGACCTTGGGTGATACGAAGGCGGTAACCCGCAGCGGAAACAATAATGACCTAAGTCTTGTTAGCTGGGAGGAATGAATCCGTCGAGGGAGTCTAAACTTGCAGGAACAATACGATGGTGCTGGTATGCCTTATCCAGCATGCGGCTACCGACAGTCCATAAAATAGTATATAGCTCGGCCTCAGAGGGAACCATCTCTTCGAGAGGGGAACTGTTCGATAAAAAACACAATATATGTGGCTTTTGAAGGTCACGTTTATCCATGAAACTTTCGACTTTCCAGGGAGCGGGTTCGGTCAATACCAGTAGACTCTCATCTCCAGAGTGTCTATCTAGACGTTAGCGTAAGGGTGGCCGAGATACTTGCATTCTTTTACTATCACTGACTTCCATCCTTTTCCTTCGACGATTCCGGGAGCGAGCTCATCTTGATTGAGGGTTAAGTAACTGAGGATCACATTCCATACTGCCCTGGCCTGCCCGCAGCTATCTAGATGCTCGTCTATGGGCGTTATTGACGGGCACCCACCAGGGTTTTTCCAGGGTTGGGTCCGTTCCAGGCCTTGAAGCATTTGGATGTGTTGGAAGGGTTCGAAAAACGTTCCGCCATTGTCTTTCGGCTGGCCGCTGTAGAAATCGAGGCTGCTGGCCGTAAATTTGGTGTTGGGGAAGGTTTCAAGGCTTTCGTTGATGAACTTGAGCGTGGTATTCGTGCGCTTAGTATCTTCGACAGACGCCATTGCGATTTGAGAACTCGGCAAGGTTTCCTATCTCACTATTATGTCTTTTTGAGCGCAACAAGCATCTATAATAATACCTATAGGTAGAACCAACGTTTTTTAAGCGGCTCGATCGACAGGCGGTCTGGAAATCCAAGAATCAAAAATAATCTAACGTGTGGATCTAGGGCCAAGCTATATTATGTACCTAAGTACTTGCCTACCTACCATACCGGGAAAGGGGTCTATCGACAGAATGTCTGTAATGGTATCCAGATGTTAACACGGTAACCAAATAAGGTCATCATCACGAAGGGGCGGTATAGTTACCGCCAGGGTTGCCGTCCTGATCTTATCATCCGTCCTCGCGCGGGATAACATGGCTTTCAGTCAAGCATGGGAGCCTATTAGGTCCATCTGCGGCAATAAATGCGCCACCTTTGGAGAACTCGAAGCCTTCAGCTTCTGATGGACGAGATGTCTACCGATGAGGGGCTATTTACCCACGAAGAGAGGACGATGGCAAGGCACGACTGAACTGGCTTTCTGATCACCCGCTGGGTCTTGCCTTGGCATTCTGTTTGGTCAAGAGGAGAGAGCTGGAACTTGAAAAATAAGATATTTCGAGCTTTCTTTTTTTCCCCATTCCTTCTTCACTGTACTGTTTTCCCGGTACTGATTGTGACAAGGGGATCTGCTTGGAATAGGTTTAATTTAACTAATAATTCTATAGGGGGTCTCTTAGGTCCTTGTTTTCTTCCAAGTTCTACGTTCCTTTTTCGTTTTAATATAACCCGGAAGTACCTTTATACCTTCGTATCTTTATACCTTAATACCGAAGCTATCCGAAGCTTATTTAGGACTTCCCTTAATAAGTCGCCGAAGTAACGGCTTTAATGCCCGATATTATCCTCCTAACCTTTATAGTTTAATTTATTAGCGTAGGGTTCTATCCGTATAATACTATCTCCCTTTTTCGGAGGAGCTCGTCCCTAAGCGTAATGCCTAGGCCCGATGGTTAATAGGTTTATTAGGGTTTTATAAGTAGAATAACTTAATAACTCCCTTCGTTCCTTCGGTAGTAAAGTACTCCTACGGTTCCTAAGTTTAGTAGCGCTTAACCGGCTAGCCTTATTATTTTATTAAATACCTAATAACTTCTCCGGTTCTTACGGAATCTAGTACCTTATTTACTTCGTAATCTTCTGCCTCGATCGGGGCTACCTCCCGTAAGACTTAGTTAGGGTTAGGTAATTCTTAATTATTAGCGCGGTAAGGTTCGATAAGAAATACGTAGAAGGTACTATAAATACGCTAGCCTTTCGGAAGTATTAAAGTTACGGCGGTAGGGGAAACGACCTTCTAGATCTTAAAGGGACCGAGTATCTTCTTATTTATCTTCTTTATAAGGCGTTTGATTTTAATGTTACGGGTATTTAGTATAACGAGCTATCCGACTTCTAAAGGGAGTTTCTTTTTTCGGTATTTATCTACCTATCCTTTTATCCTTTACCGTGCTTTTTTTAAATACTACTTAGCTTTATTATATACCCGAATTATTTAGTAAGTATAGAGGTTACTTTCTAGATTCTTAGGGGTACTTAGAGGGGGGTTATATACTACTAAGTACTACCTATAGTTAACGTAAAAGGATAATATACCGGTAATTATCGAAGCGGTATTATTATAAGTAAATTCGGTAGTAGGTAGTAAGCTTTCTTAGTCGCTTATCTCGTAATTTACGAAGGCGCGTAGGTATGCTTTTAGGATTTAATTAAATCTCTTTATTTATTTATCCGTTTAGGAATAAAAGGCGGTACTTATTCTAGGCTTAACGCTAAGGAACTTTAGGACGCCCTTCTATATATAGGAGGTAAATCGCGAGTCTCGGTCGGAGATAATATCTAAGAGGATCCTATATAGCCGCTAATAATTACGTATAAAAATAGGTATTAGGTCTTCGGCTTTTTTACCGTCTTTCTTTAGCGGAATAAAGTACGCTATCTTAATAAAGGGGTCTATAATAACCTAGATAAAATCGTAGCCGTTAGATATTAATAAGTCCGTAATAAAGTCTATCGCGATCGTCTGCTATAGTCGATAGTATAGTTTTATAGGCTATAGTAATTTAAACGGGGTATATCGGGGTGCCTTATTTTACTAGTACTCGCGGTATCCTCTAACGAATTCCTTAACTATTACTTCTAAGTTAGGCTACCAAAAGTTACGAATAATAAGTTCTATGGTTTTATTTATACTTATATACCCCGCTACTTTAATATCGTATTCCGATCTAACTACCTCCTATTATAGGTCCTTAGGTATTTAGAAACGGTTTCGCCGATAGAAAAGGCCTTCCTAGAACTTTATTTCCTTACCGAGTAATTTAATTAGCTAGGCCTAGTATTCCGGGTCCTATATAACTACCGTTTTAACCTATTTAACGAACTCTAAGGTCTAAGCGGGTATTAGGATATTACTTAATCTTACGCTAGAGAGTATTACCGTAGGTAAGCCTAAATTTTTTAAAAAATGTTTTTTCTATAGGACCGTCGCTATCGGCTAGTCCTTAGCTCCTCCTTTTTTAAGGCGATATTATAGTAATCTAAATAAAATATCGGCCTTTTTATTTTACTTTCCTAGGCGATAGTATATTATAAAGTAATACGAGGAAAGCTATTAGGCCTAGCGGGCTTAGCGTCGATTTAGTACTTTTACCGTAGTAAAGTACGTTAGGTTCTAATAATCGGAATATACTTTTATTTAATGCTAAGTACCTTCGAAATAATATCGCTATTTCTCGAATGCGTCGACGATTACTAATAGTTCCTTATTATATATCTTATAATTTATTTCCGCTAGGATAAGCCGTCGTAAGAAAAAGGCTACTAGTTTTAGTTTCCCTTTATTATCCTTCTATAAGAAGACCGCGAAAATAACGAAATCTAAGGCGTCGGCTTCGATAATTAGAACTCGGTTAGGGTCGAAATATATAAGTACCGGGGCCTTCGTAAAGGTTTCTTTTAATTCCTAGAAGGCCTTTTTTATTTCGCTTTCCTATTTCTATAGCTTACGGTCTCCCTTATTAACGCTAATAATTAACCTAGCTATGCCCGAAAAATTACGTATAAATTTACGATAAAAGTTAACGAACCTAATAAAGCTTTATAAGTCTTTAAGTATAGCTAGGGTACGCTAGTTAAGGATAGCCTCTACTTTATCTTTAGATATAGTAATACCTCTAGGGCTTATATTATATCCTAAGAATTTAACTTCTTACGTTTATTAGGTATATTTCTTTAGGGCTACCGCTAAATGGTTTTTTATAAGCCGTTTTAAGACTTTCTTAACTAATTCGTTATATTTCTCTAACGTATTAATATAGATTAGGACATTATCTAAGTAAGCGATAACCCCGGCGTTTAAGAGGTCGCGGAAGATATGGTTTATTATGGCTTAGAAAGTAGCGGGGGCGTTAATTAATCCCATAAATATAACCGTATATTCGTATAGCCCGTAGCGCGTTCTAAAGGCGGTTTTTCATTTATTATCCTTCTTAATCCGTACTATATAGAACCTAGATTTTAAATTAATCTTAGTAAACCATCGCGCCGTTTAAAATAGGTTCTATAATTTATTAATTAATAGGATCGGATATCGGACGGGTATTATAATTTTATTTAACCCCCGGTAGTCCGTTACCGGCCTTAGAGCGCCCGGGTTCTTTTTTTTTATAAATATTATAGATGCGCCGCAAGGGGCCTTGGATTTTCGGATTTTCCCCATAGTTATTATCTCGTCGAGCTAGGGTTTTAAGGCGTTTAGCTATCGTCTACTTATAATATATAAAGGTCCCTACGGGGGAGTAGTTCCCGGTCGGAGCTTAATAACGTAGTCCTACGGCTACCGATCGGGGAACCGTTATCCGGCTTCCTTGGTTATAATAGAAACGAAGTCGCGGAATTATTCCGGTACTTATACTAAAGCCTTTACTTTTCGTACTATCCCTACGCGAGCTAGCCGTAGGCGATAATTCTAGTACCGGGGCGAGTTAAAGTATAGCCGTCCGTCCGTAAATAATCCTTAAGAGGGGTATTCCTTTATTTATTATTAAAGTAAAATAGTATCGACCTTTTCGTTTAATTTACTAACTTCCTAAGCGATACGGTAGATATATTCGTAGCTATGGAACTTTAATTTATTTATATATTAAAGTCCTTTTAACGAGATTTCCGAGCCGTCGAATCTTATTAAGGTCCTAGCCCTAGAGCGTTAGTTAATAAGAAGGCGTAATTATTCGACTTTAGCGGCGTTAATTAAGGGTACCTTATTACCGGTATCTAGGAGGATTCGTAAGGGGTATTCTTTTCCTTAATATTTTATTTATATCGTATGAATAAGCCGTTTACTTAATCTTAGCTCGTTTAAGTTACGCTAAGGGACTCGTGATTTCTTCGTTATTAGTACCGCTTCCGTTACTTCTAGCGTTCCGGGCCGTTTAATAGCCGTAATTTTTACGTTATTTTTATCGTCCCTTTCTTCCGTTAACGCTTACGGGGAGGCATTTAAAAATCCCGTTCTTTATCGGAGTCGGATAGCTCTATAATACGGGGAAGAATTTCCTCCTATCGTATAGTAGTATCGATCCTAGCCCTCTTATTAGGTAGTAGTTCGGACTCCTTCCTTCCTCTTTTTCCCGATAAGACTTTCTTAGGTAGCGCCGATAAGTCCCGTCCTTTTAAGTCCTTTTTTACGAAGTAGGCTAGGGTTTAGTAATTATTCCTTCCGTATTTCTAATAGGCCTTTTTATTCTTCTTTCGTTAATCGATAGCGGCTTAGTTAATTTTAACTAAAGCTTCCTTATTATCCGTTTATCGTAAGTCCTTAGCCGGTACGGGTTTCTTATTATCCTTTTATTTACGTTCGTTTATCGGTTAGCTTAAGCGGGAGCGAGTTTCTTTTACGGGTTACCGTTATTACTAATCCGCTTTCGTATATTCCTTTTACGAAGCGGATCCTCCTTTTCCTAAAATCCCTAGGTTAGCTATTATATTTTCGTAAATTTAGCCGGCTTCTTTAATTATTCCGAGGAAGGCTTTATCGCTCTCGGGAATACTACTTAGTCGTAAGTAAACTAGCTTAATTATTTCGTCGGGTAAGGTACGGGCGATATAATTCTAGAAGGTAGTTCCGGATTATTAGACGATATTATTAAGATCCATAAGCTCGGTAAGGTACTAAGAGATATTTCCTTAATACTTTAATTCCTATATCTTTTTAGAATTACGATATCGTTCGGCGGGGTCTTTAAACCGTTCTTAAAGTACTTAAGAATACCCCGCCTACGTATCGACGACCATTAACCTTTTTACCTAGGCTAGCCGTTACTAATGCTAGAGCTAGGCCTTTTCGGTAAGTATCGATCTTATTTAGTTAATCTTTTAAACGTCCCGGGTAAAGCTTTCTTTATAAGTTTCGAGGTAGGATTTAACCTTAATTTATTACGATCGAAACTTAGCTAAATCCTTATCGTTATAAGCCGTAAGCTTAACAAGGTATATTAAATTAGTCGTTACCGTAATACTTCGTCGATTATTTATAGCTTTAGTTTAAGCCTTAATTATACGTTCCTCGGCCGGGTCGAGAAGCTCCTACGGTTCTTTAAAGGCGCTCGGCGGGCGTCGCGGCCTCTACGGGTTCCCGGATTCTAAGTTATCCGAATCGTTAGAATTCCTTAGGTTTCCTAAGGTATTCCGTAAGGTCCGTAGCGGTTACGGTAGTCCTTACCCGGCTCCTCTTAATATAAAGGCGCTTATCGCGGCGTTTTAAAAACGGACTCTTACTCGTACGGCGGTACGTTTAGCCGCGGCGTCCTAAAGTACGCCGTCGGAAATAATTTCCCTTATTCTAGCCTCGCTATTAATATATCTCCCGGTAAACGTTATCGTAATACGGATACCCGGCGCGGGAATAAGCGTTCTTATCCTCTAGCTAGCTCTTACGATAATAGACTTAATATCCGTTAGCTTATTACTTAATCGTCGTTATTAATATTTCTTAATTAAGTTAGCCGCGTAAGCCTTAAGGTCGTCCTTAATTAGCTAGGTTTTTTCTTCTATAGCCCCGGGAGTAAGGTATTCCTTACTAAGGATTTCGCTAATTTATTTATCCTTTTACGTAGCTTAGGAGCTAACGTCCGTTACTAACTTATTATATTCCTCGCGTAACTAGATTAAGGCTCGTTAGTTTTATAGTACGGCGTTTCGAAGTTAATTTATTACGGCCGTTCGTACTTTATCCTACCGGGCGAACTTAGCTACGGTTTCCTATACGTTCTAAGCGAAATAAGTACTTTATTTTACGATTTATTTCTAGAATTTATAGATCTATATCTTCGTAGTTCGGATACCGGTAGCTTATATTACCGTAGCGGTTTAATAAAGCTACCGTAGTTATTCGTACTACTCCTTTAAGATCGTATTTTATCGGTATCCTACGTCGACTTAGTTAGCTAGTATTACTAGGCTTTAATATACCTATCTTATTTACTTATATAAATCTACGATTTACTACGGAGGATTACGTATAATTACTCCTAAGTTCGCGATTTCCGGAGCATCTATTATAATTACCTTATATTCCTAGGGCTAGTATACGACGAGGGATTTATTAGTTAGTTCGGGGGTTAGCTTCGGTTAAAGCGCTAAAGTAGTTCGTTCGGCGTCCTTTACTTTTAATTCCGTTATTACGGCCTTTAGTTTATTAATCGTAGCTATTATTTAGGCTACTTCCGCTATAGAGATCGGCGCTACCCCCGAAGCGGCTAATCGCGGGAGTAGGAAGGTTTAAGACTTTAGTTCTTTAATAAAAGGTCGAGGTTAATCCGGTAGTAACGGTACCGGGGTAGCGGCTTTAGCGTATAACGCCGGCTTAGGCGTAGGCTTTTCTTATTACTAACTTATAGTAAAGTTATAAGGGTAAGAATAATATAGAATTATCTATAACAAAGGGATCTACTTAAAATAGGTTTAATTTAATTAATAATTCTATAGGAGGTCTCTTAAGTCCTTATCTTCTTCTAAGTTTTACGTTCCCTTCTCGTTCTAATATAACCCGGAAGTACCTTTATACCTTCGTACCTTTATACCTTAATACCGAAGCTATCCGAAGCTTATCTAGGACTTCCCTTAGTAGGTCGCCGAAGTAACGGCCTTAATGCCCGATATTGTCCTCCTAACCTTTATGGTCTGATTTATTAGCGCAGGGTTCCATCCGTGTGACACTGATATACAGGTGATGAACCGTCTGGATGAGCGCCTGGGAACCACCAATATTCCCCTGCGTATCTGCCGCTATGAGGAAGCGAAGGGGTTCTCGCTGGTCGCGGTAGCTGTGGATGGAGCGCATATTAGAGGTCTGAATGAGGGAATGATACTCCTACGTAAGGGTGTCAGGGAATGGTTACTAGATGGCAACTCACTTTGGCGACTTCACTAATCAAGTAGGATACACTGTGTTAGACGTACCCCGTCGCGCAGCCTACAGGCCAACAGATACCTACCCAAGGCCGTGTGCGGCGCTATAGGATGAGTCAATTCGGCCCGTCCCTCTTCGGACTCCGACCAGAAAATGGGAGCGGCCACGTGATGCTGCTGGCAACCTATTTACACACTTTTACATACTCTCCACCATCCACCACCTTATTGCGCTTCGCGTTATGGTCTCTTTTAGGACGACAACCTTTTATTCTATTACCGTTTCGGTTGGAAAACTCGGCCATGGTCCATCCAGGGAGCGCAACAACACGCGGTCAAGCGAGGAATCCATGTTCCCAAGACGATGCTAGACACGACAACGTCCGACGAGGGACCATGGAGCATCGCGAACCTGTATTTGATAGACAGAAGTATGAAACCACCCCTGTCATCTATGTGTCTATTCATTGCCCGCTGCATCCACCGGCCTACCTTTAGTTTACCCCCCCTTTGTAAGTAGACGTCTATCCGTATGCTGTAACTCTAGTTGCCTCTGTAAGTCCGGGCGCTGGAAGAAAGAAAAGACCCCACGAAACTGTATACGATCGTCATAATTCTCTCCCATCCAGATGATTATCCTCCTCGCGTGCGGGTGGCGCAGCCAACACCGGTTTTGGCACCTCGACGAAGAGCAGCAACGATCCAGCCGCGGCCGTGAGGATTGCCAAGCCGTAATAGGGTAAACCCACCCAGGCGCCGCCGAGCCTCATGCCGAGGGTGAAGAGCCCCGCGAGTAAGGGCTGGGCGTATATGCTGCTGACGACTTCGACGATGCCGACGAGGCTGAAAAGGCGGGATCGGTGCTCCGGGTCGACGTAGAGGCTCATGAGGCTCTTGGTGAGGCTGCCGAAGCCGGAGCCGAGGGCCATGAGGAGGAGGCCGACGACGAAGCCGGCGAGCCCCGGCGACGCCGCCAGCGCGAGGATGCCGAGGACGAGGACGACGTAGGACACGCGGGCGATCGACAGGTCGCGGTGGTGCTCGTCGCGCGCCCGCAGACGCGCCGGCGTCGTGCTCCGCATGGAGAACTTGGCCAGCCACGGCAGCACGACGACCGCCTGCAGCGCCTGCGCGACGCCGTACGCCGACTGCACGTAGCCCGTACTCGCCAGGCTCATCGCGTACCGCTTCGAGATGAACTGCGTCATGAACTGCAGCGTCGAGTACAGCACGGGGGTGGCCCCGAGGCAGGTGATGAGCAGGAGGACGAGGGACCGCGACTTGACGATCGAGAGAGACTCCTTGAACCGGATCGCGATGTGAGGCGCGCGCGATTTGGGATTGCTTTCCCCTTCCTCCGGCTCCGACCCCGCTTCGGCTTCCTCATGTGCATCTTTCTGTTCATCGTGGCGTCTCAGTGTCTCCGGGATGAAGAGGAAGGCGATGGCGCTCAGCATCAGTATGCAGATGGTGACCCAGAGCGGGGGCCACGGACCCGTCCTTTCCATCATGAGCGACGAGAGCGCCGGGGAGATGAGACTGCCCGCCAGCCCGGCGACGTTGAGACGCATGAACGCGATAGCCCTACCAGAAGATAAGTACCGTATTAGCATCCACACGCAGACGCGCCCCTTTATCGTCGTCGTCGGCGAACAGGGGGGGAGGGGGCGGCAAGGTACCTATGGGTAAACGAGTAGAGGAGAAAGATTTAACGGAACCGACTAACCTCTCGTCGTCGGTCGTCGCATCGGTCGTCATGCTCATCAAGACACCGGAGGTAACAGCGTTGCCGCCGCCGACGAGCGCACCCGCCGAGCCGAACCAGATGAGCCAAAGGGGAAATACGTCGTCGAAGTAAAGGACGGCCATGGTCCACAGCGCACTCAGTACCATGCCGAGCAGGCTGAGCGAGAACACCGGCTTGCGCCCGATCCTGCCACGCACGTTCGTCGGTTAGTCCGCGGCGGCCACTCGGGAGAGAGGAGAGAGGAGAGAGGAGATAGAGAAGGCGCCACGCACTTATCCGCGACCAGGGCCCACGGCAGCGCGGCGACGCAGCCGACGGCGGCGTCGAGGGCGGTCAACACGGCGAGGACGAGCGCGAGGCGCTGCTGGATGGGGTCCTCCTTGCAGAGGCTCTCGTCGACGGCGGAAGCGCCCGCGTCGCCGTAGTAGTAGCGCCGGCACAGCAGGTCCTCGAGGATGCGCGTCCGCGGGATCGACGCGAACCCGACGCCGCAGGACGCGACGAACAGCACGACGCACAGCAGGTTGACGACGGCGGCGCGGCCCCGCGCCTGCGGGACGTGTACGCCGGCGAGCAGCGGCGCGCGCTCGGCCGCGCGAGCGGCCTGCCCGTCGCTGGCCGTCGTCGGTAACATGGTTGGATACGGGGACGCCGCGGCGGGTTCTGGCTAAGTCGGGGCGGAGGCTCGGGTCCGTCGTGGGCATTCCGAATACCCGCGGAAAAAAAGACAGTGTGTGAGACGAGAGAGAAGGAAGGGGTATTTGGAAGTGGCATAGGGTGCGAGGGAGCCCATACAGCGATATATAAGTGCTATTGGCGAGCTCCGAAACGCGCGTCACCGAAGGCACGGATTAGGCGAAATGGCGTAGGATCGGAGCCCCGAAAGGGCATTATCCCGACCTTGGCGCCGCGTAGTTGGTCAGCTATTGTAGCAAGAATGCCGTCGTCAGACGTTAGGGATTCGGAGCCCGTAGATAGTTATTGAGGCTGGAGACAAATGGACTCCTAGGAGGTGTTATCGTCGACAGAATGTGTGCACGTGTATATCATATCGGGGTAGAATTCAGTCAAAGGTTCGTATGGGTCTGTAGATAGAGAGGTTAAGGGAGCATATAAACTAATATCGTTCCGAAGAGAAATTTCACAAGCTATCGGAACTACAGAAAGACACTCTCAAATTGCGGATTAATACGAGACTTCTTACACTCCCTACTGTCTTTTCTTCTGCACGTTCTCCAAACAACTCGACATCTGTTACCTACTCCGACTATCACACGCGGATTCAGGGGCTGCCTGTGATCCCCCTCAACCGATCGCACCGCGGTGTCGGATGCGCTTCAACGGCCACCTATCAATTCCGACTCGGAATCTGTGCTATTAGAAACGGCTTACATTCCCCGAGGCCATCTTTCGCTTTCACATAGGCAGTTCCTCGGCACCCCGTCTGCCCCCGCCTAGAGGCCTTGATGATTTCTGCGGTCCTCTCGGCGACGGCATACACGGAGGACAGGATGCTCGAGGGCGGGATGAGCGGGATGACACAGGCATCGTCGACCGGAGGGTGAACCAGTTGAAATATTTCCGACCACTATGCGGTCCTCAAATTTCTATCTACTGCAGGTTTATTACCAGCCTCAGTTGAACGGCGAAGGTGTTTGAAATAGAACACTATTCAGCCCTAGCGCGAGTTAACACTTTATCAACGGTTTCTAGGGAACGACTTGTTCGTATGGTAATACTGATCTTGCCCCGCGTACATTCCAGCCAACACGCGTTCTCTTACCCCAATAATTGATTGAGGCGACATTGAGTTGGGGACGCAGGGCTGAAGCAACTCTCTATTGCCCTAAGACTTGAACGTGTCCGTACCACCAATAACCTTTTCTGGTGCCTCGGCCCTCTAGGCAACTTGGGGGATGCCAACCAATGATATGATATACCAGATCAGGAAGACGTGATAGTAGGAACCGCAAGATCAAAATCAAGACGAGAGGTGGAATGAATATACCTACACATCGAGATACAACCAAGAGAGTTAATCTGGTTTTCCCTCGCATCGATCTTCATGATACAGGAGCCCGAGATGAGAAACCCGGGAGCAGCCTCCATAGTCTTCCCTATTTCTCTCCAGCCGATCTCAGCCGATTTTACAGGCGCAAGGCGCCTGGGTAGGATAGCTGGCTTGACTTACGAGAGGCTCGGTTCGATGCAATGACGCCTCGGTCCGACTTAGAACGATTAACCAAGATGGGAAACGGGAAGGGTGGCTTTCTGGGTGGCGTGTGCGGATGCTGTAAGATGGATCATTGCATTCCTACGTGATATCGGTGTGGCTCTGAATGCTCGTCTACTATTAGTAGGGCAGATGTGCAATTTGTCTGATGGCACCTATTATAGCATATTGTATCACGTCTGAGGCGGTCAGCACAACATGATGCGCGAAACGGAGAAGATCTCGACGTTACCAGACCCGACAACGTTAGCATGTTGTCGTAGTATTCGTACCGGAACCGAAATCGAGGTGACTATTAACATTCTGTCCCATTGGATATTCCTGTTCTCCATCGGCTGGTTCCCCTTACGCCCAAGCGATTAATATCTTGAGGTGAGAATCCGAGTTCGATAACGTAAGCACCCTATGCAGTATCGTAAGCCAGGCCGACGTTACCACCGACTGCTCAAGCAAACACCAGGACGCCGTGGCCATCCCAGTTGTTAAAGGTATTAGTTTCGTCTTGTCCGTAAACACCGTATCGTATAAGATGAGACAGATCTGAAGCGGTCGTCAGTTATCAATCCTCAAGTATCCGCCTGCGAGTATTAGAGACATGTCACGAGCGGCCGATGGCAAATCCTCATCGCCGCCGTAGAGCCAGAAGCCTCGAAGCGGCGGCGGGAGAAGGGGGGGGGGGGTTGGAGGCGGGCGTTTGGAGAGACGTGATCACATTAGCTTCAGCGTTTCGACGAGCCGCCCCCGTCCCCGTCCCCGTCTGCGTCTGCGTGGCTTGGAGCTAATACGAGCGTTAGAGACCGCTTAGTGCATCCGACGATCCCGACTAGGTGTATTAATTAAAGCCATACTATAGCAACCTCAGACACAGCGCCTTGGTTACAGACGCGAGCGCTCGCGGACGGCCAGAGACGTCGATATAGGTAATAAAAAGCCTCTAGGCTTTTACGACCCCTCGCCCGCGCCCGCGTCCGCACCCAGGCATTCTACCTGCCTCTCCCCAGCCCTGCATACGACCGCGAGCATCTCTTACTCGATTCGATCGCGTACGCTCGACTACAGCCGCGCGCTCCGCCGTGGCGTGTGCCGCTGTCCGGCGAACTGAGTTCCCGACGCCTTCGCTTCCTGCGTGGCGTAGGGCGCGTGTTTCTCTGAGAGACACGACGAGCCGGGAACCCCGGGGGAGGGAGGGGGCGCGCAGGCGTTGAGGTATAGACTGCGCCAGGATGGGCCCAACAGGCCTATTGATTTGTCGCTTTTTTCTTCTTTTTCCTGTCTCCGCCAGCTTGGGGCGACCTATACCTACGCACACCGGTGGCCCTTGCGGCGCCCGCCCCCTCGGGTTTCCAAGGGGAGGTCTCCGGCTCGCTCGTAAAGAGAGACAGCTGATGGTTCAGAGGTGCGCGAGTCGGTGCGTGGCCCTCGCCAGCCGCTCCGGGAGCGCCACGAGCTGCGGTCTGTTTATGCAGGTGTTAAGATTCTGAGCGCTAGATCGTAGTTGACGCGGCCTAGTCTCAGATATATGATATAGTTTGGAGGCCTGTGGTTTCTTTTCGCTCGTTCTCGACTCGGCACTGAGCTTGAGAAAGCCTGCAGAGACAGAGAGAGCAGATGCCGGCCCGCAAACCGACGGTTCCTTTGTAGCTGTATCCTCGGGTCTCCTTCACCCGAAACCAGGCGTCGACTCCTAAGCCCTTCGCGGAAGCCGATGAATCTATTCACATTCAACTAGCAGTCTCGCTCACCTTCCTTTCTCTCCATCTTCTGCGTTGTGGCGTAGTTCCCGTGCTGATAGGCGCGGGCTCGTTGTGCGAAATGGAGGCGTGTGTGGTCGTACAACCGAATCTAAGACGCGGATGGAGGCATGCAAAGCACGAGTCCTACATAGCTTGTTGGCACTGCGACGGCTATCTACATAGCTATTCGCCTTTCTTACAGTTCGTAGCCGTTTTATTCGCATAACAGAGTAGACCAGAGAGAGAGAGAGAGAGAGAGAAAGAGAAGAGTCAATACATACCTACAATTTAGCCCCTGGCTCGGACCAGAGAGGTCCCGCCATTTACCCCTGACGGGCTTCTCGCCCCTTACCCCTAATTCGTCAAGGCCTCATCTGATCTGGTTCCAATCTCATCTACGTACATGTAGGTACGTTGGGAAATTTGATTTAGCTTTGACCGCCTGACACCGGTAATCTGGGATCGGAGATAGGCTTGTCTTTGGTACGCGCGTTCCAGTAACGGGCGAGTAAGGAAGGGGGGTACAGAGCACCACTACCACCACCACCACCCCTGGTCCGGGAATCTGAGATTGGTCCCAAAGTACGACGTCGGGCGGACGTTATCGTCATCGGCCGGGACATTAATGTGTGGTTACAGCCCGTCTCTGGTCCCACCCCGCCCCTGTTGCATCGATCGGTGGGCAGCTTGATGCCAACAGGCTGGCGTTGGTTGGCCGACTTGCTCCCCGTTTCCCCTCCCTTCGTCTTATCTCATGCGTTGTGTTCCCCGAGGGCGGCGGCGCCTATGAGAAAAGAAAGAAAAGCAAGCCTCTCGACCTCCCCCCCCCCCCTTTGATCGCCTCGATCGAGGCGTTACCTACCCCAAACGCCGCCAGCCACCTCTTCCAGCTTGATCGAGATTTGCCTGGCAACCCGGCCCGAGATCTGGGAGAGGCGCTGTCGGCCCATGGCACCCTGCGGCAACGCGCGCGGGAGGATCCAAGCGTCGGCTTCGTCGCCCTCCCAGCGCGCGCTCCGTCACATCTCACATTGCCCGCTGGCTGCCCGGGATGGCGGGAGCAGTCATATCTCAGATGCCTGCTCTCGCTCGCTCTCTCGCTTCATCCCGCTGCATCTGCACATCTGCTGTATGGAGATAACGCACGCATTGTGCCGCGTCCCAGCGCCCCATCCTCTGCCCGCTGTCTTACCGGTCCCCGTAACCCCGTCGCCGACCCAGAGGGGAGTCCGCGGCTGCTGCTTTTCTTCTTCTTTGCATCTATGCCTCTTGACCCAACGAGTCGTCGGCGTCCCGAGACTGGTCATTTCTCACGCCTGTCTTAGAGCCCCCGTCCCGTCAGCCCGCACGATCCCACGCCGTTACGACGTGCGTGCGCCGGATTCGGGCAACGATTGGCGCTCGTGCGGGGCGCGTCCGAGGCTCAACAGCTCGCTTCCCGCGAGCGCTCCCAAGATGCATTGCTGCTGTACCTAACTCATATACCGCCGTCGCCGCCGCCGTCGCCGCCAAGCACGGGCGGGCCAGCAGACGGGAGGGCAGAGAGGACAGGGTCCCACCCCTCGCACTTAGGTACTTAATAGTTTGGTTGCGTCGACGTAAGTCGGCTTCGACACGTAAGTAGGGCAAAGGCCAGGTCGGTGTGCGCGCCCGCGGCCAATGGGAATGGGGCCCGGGGGTTGGTCGCGCAGGCAGTCGACGTTGCTGCGGCGTCGCGAGGGTTGCGAGGCCGGGGCGGGTGAGATGCCGGTCAGCCGTGAGCCTTGAGCCTTGCGCGCGCGTCTTCCCCGATGCTAGTCGGTGTGACATTTCCCTCACCTTCGCGACGTGGGGATGGCGCTCCGCGACCCGGACGGCTGGATAGGGAGGCCCGGCCAGAGGCAACCCACCCACGCCTGCGTTGTGACGCGATGGAGTGTCGAGGTTGCGTGTCATAGGTTCGTCCGACCAGGGGGGGCCGCAGCGAGACCATCCTAGCAGCAGCAAGTGAGGAATGCCACAAACCCCAATCCGACCGCTCGCCTCCTTCGTATCTCGACATGACCACGCATGGGTCCTGAGCCCACGATGCCGCCCTGTTCGCCAGCCCGACCGTGAGGAGCTCTGCAGCCCTTCAGTGCCGCTAAATGTAGGTGGGTGCCGGCGGGGGCCACCCCCTTCTTCGCCGGGGACCAGCTTGTTCTAAACACCATGTGGTATTCCTCCTTTCCTCCCCCTTGATGGAGGCCACATGGAGCCACACACAGGCCTCACTGCTTCTAGAATGTCCTAACCGAACCCTCCTGTTCGCGTACATATAAACCCGGGCTGCAGCGCTAGTTTCTCGTGAGCTTCTCGTGCGAACCACCCCGATGAAACCTACTTACTGTGATCGTTACATACCCGCGTCTATTACTAGCCGTGATACCTCGGAAACACCCACGCCCCTGATATCGTCCCGACGTATCCATAACGCAGTCCCCCCCTGCTATAAAACCCGCTGCACTATGGCCATCCAGAGCGAGCTGGAACGACCCGGATCTTGGGCCTTAGCAACGGACCACTACCCGCCGCAGCGGCTTCGGCCAATATCGAGCATATCGAGCCCGCACCTGGGGCTGGCACCGCCGCGGCCGGCGGTCCAGCTGCCGCGGCTAGCCGCGATCAGCGAGGCGTCGGCGCTGTCGCACGCGGGGCGGGTGGAGCGGCTCGCGGGGCGGCTCAAGAAGGGGACGCGGCGGCGGTACCTGGAGGCGATCGGGGCGGCGCGGCTGGAGCTGCTGCCGCAGAGCGTGCTGGACCGCATCTGCCGGCACGTGCCGTACGAGCGGCTGCTCTGGCTATACCAGCAGTCGCGGGCGCTGCGGCGGCACGTCGACCCGCACCTGGCCCCGCACGAGACCAAGCTCTCCTTCGTCCTCCGCGCCGAGCGCGACTATCCCCAGCACCGGCTCAGCGCGCCCCCCAACCTCGGCTGCTACATGTGCCACCGCGTCCTCCCCGCCGCCCTTTTCGCCAGCAACCAGCCCCTCCAGGCCCTCCTCCGCGCCCCCTTCCCCGACCCCGGCCCCGGCCCCAGCCCGCGCCCGCGCCCGACCCCCCCCCAGGTCGTCGTCAACCTCCGCCGCTTCTGCATCCGCTGCGGCATCCAGTCCGGCTGCCACCTCCCCGGCGACTCCCTCATCACTCGCACCGGCTATCAGTTCTGGCTGTGCCGCTGCTTCCGCATCCTCGACGACCACGTCCCCCACTGCAAGGACTGCAGGGCCGTCTGTCCCTTCGCGCCCCAGCCGCGCACGCGGCGCCCTCCCCTCGGCGGGGGTCCGGATACGATGGCGAGTGGCGATCGATAGGTCGGTTAACCATGTGCCGAGAGGAACTGGTGGTCACTCCCTACCCCTTAATGGCACCAGGCATCGAGCCACCTCATCATCACACCCCTCGCCTTCTCGCCATGCAAGGAGGGGGGGAGGGGGGGTTGGATGTCATCCTACGGCTTATCGGCACTGTCATATCCAAGGGCCAATGTACAATCAGCGCTCTTCTTCCCTCTTTTAGTTTATCCAAGGGGAGGGAAGGAGGGGGAAATATAGCCGAGTTTCATTTCCATATTTACCGCTCCTTGTCATGGGAAGGTGTTCCAGGAGGGTAACGGACCAAAAAGGCGAATCGGGGACTTTGGATATAACAAACGGCGTCGAGTCTTCACAGTGCGTGTAACATTGCGACCGAAAGTAATAATAAATCGCCTCAGTCTATATACTTATGGCTGAGGAGAATTCGATGTCATCGGGAGTATCGTTGTCGTCGTTATATACGTGAGTGAGAAGAAATATACATATATATGCATGGTGTACCGACCAGCCAACGCCGAACATGCCTGAAATAGGATTTAAAAAGTAGAAAATATGTGGTTGCTATGGTGAGATAGATGTTCGTAAGTCAAAAGGCAATAAATGGCGAGGTTAGATTCCTTCCACCTTTAACCCCCCCCCGGGCCTGTTAATACAGCACTACTGCATCCCCTCTCCTTTCCAGTTAACGCCGTCTCCCCTCCAGAGAGTTCCCGGCCTACTCGAGGAATGCGCAGCCAGCCTCGATCTTGCCGGCGAGCTCGACGAGGCTCGCGGCGCCGAGAATCTCAAAGATGGGCAGGCCGACGCCGGTCTCGCTGACGATCCAGTTGCGCAGCTCGACGGCGACGAGGCTGTCGAGCCCGAGCGCCGCCACGCTGCGCGTCGGGCTCACGTCCGACGCGTCGCGCCCCAGCAGGCTCGCGAGCCGCAGCACTACCGCCTGCGTCAGCACGTCGCGCCGCTCCGAGCCAGAAGCCGAGAGCAGGGGCTGCCGCAGCGACACTTTGGCGCCACTGCCGCCCTCACCGCTGCCGCCTTCGCCGCCTGCGTTCTGCGCGTGCGCCAGGTGGATCTGCGGCAGGTGGCTAAACTTGGCGTCATGGAGGCCGATACCTGCGCCCGAGCCGACCCCCGACGCGGCTGCGCGCACGTGCTCTGCTGCCGTGCTATCGTATCCGGAGACGACCTGCTCGCGCTCGCCGGCGCCAGCCACGATGGCGTGCCGCAGCATGGTGAAGAGCTCCTTGAGCTTGATGGCGCTGTACCCATGCACGCGCAGGTAGGCGACGGAGTCGGCGTTGTCCGTCACGTAGCCGGCCGACTCGATCATACCGAGGTCGAGGACGGAGGCGTGTAGGCCCAGCGCCTCGCGCCGGTAGCGCGCGAATGCGTCCTGGAACGCCGACGACGCCGCGTAGTTGGACTGGCCCCGGTTGCCCGAGATGCCCGACGCCGACGACAACAGCACGAAAAAGTCGAGCGGCTCGACTGCCGCAGCGAGGAACTCGTTGTGCAGGTTCCACGTCGAGGCCAGCTTCGTACTCGTCACCGCCTCCCAGTCGGCGAATGCCATGTTCTCGAAGAGCGAGTCCCGCAGGATCATGGCGCCATTTATGACGCCGCGCACGGGCGGCATGCCGTCGACCTCGCGTGCCTCGCGGACCACGCGCGAGAGGTCCTCGGTGCTGCGCGTGTCGCATTTTGCGACTTTGACACGGGCCCCACGCGCCGCGCATTCGTCGGTGAGCTCGCGGGCCTTGTCGTTGCCGTCGAGGCCGCTGCGTGACAGCAGCAAGATATTGTGAGCGCCGTTGTCGACCATCCAGCGGGCGATCTCGCGGCCGAGACCGCCGGTGCCGCCAGCGACGAGGTACGTCGCGTCGGTTCGGAGGAAGCGGACATTCTCGCGCGGCGCAACCAAGACCTGCGCATCCTCGGGTACCGTGACGACGATCTTGCCGCTGTGCTTGCCCACCTGCATGAAGCGGAACGCAGCCTCGGCCTGGTCGATCGGGAAGGCCGTGATGGGCGTCATCGGCGTCAGCTTACCATCACGGAAGAGCTGGAAGCAGTCGTTAAAGATGCGGGAACCCCACTCGAGACGCTGCGTAAAGATGCGCGACAGGTCGATGGCCGCGAAAGTGACGTGGTTATCAAAGGGCCGCATCTCGAGCCGGGTGTTGGCGTAGATGTCGCGCTTGCCGATCTCGAGAAAGTACCCAAACGTCGCGATGCAGTCCCACGTCTCCTTTAGCAGCTCGCCGGCGAGCGAGTTGAGCACCACGTCAACGCCCCGGCCGTTCGTCGTGCGCATGATGCGCTCCGCGAAGCCGGACCGGCGGCTCGAGAATATGTGCGATGCCGGGATGCCGTACTCGTCGATCATAAATTGACGCTTCTCGTCACTACCGACGGTGACGAAGACCTCGGCGCCCGCCAGCTGTGCTAACTTCACGGCGGCTTGTCCGACACCGCCAGCTGCGCTGTGGATTAGCACCGTCTGGCCCTTGGACACCCTGGCGACGTCTACGAGAGCGTGATACGCCGTCACGAATGGGAGGGGAACGGCGGCGCCGTCCTCAAAGGAGAACCCGTCGGGCAGGTGCACCAGATGCCACTTGTTCACCCGATGAACGCTAGTGAAGGACCCGACTGCCAGACCGACGATGACCTTGTCTCCGATAGCGAAATCCTTGACGTTGCTTCCCACGGCGGTGACCACTCCGGCGGAGTCGAAACCGAGGGGGTAAGGGTTCTCTATCTGGCCGAGCACGGTTAGGACGTCGCGGAAATTGAGGCCGATAGCCTTGATCCGCACTTCAACGCTGTCGGCATCGAGGGACTCTTCCCAATCAGGGACATCTGCGAAATGGAGCGAGTCGAGCAGGCCGGGCGTGCCGATTTGCAGCCGCAGCGGTCGTTTAGGCTGGTACAGCGGCTCCAACTCTGGCGGCTTCTTGACATCTGCGAGGTCTCTAACCAGCTCTTCGTTTAGTTCCTTGTGCTCGACGAGTCTGGGGATCTTGATGAAACCGTCCCGTTCAATCAACTCCTGATCCTCAGAGTTGGCAACGCCGTTCAGTCTCGAGTTGAGTACTCGCAGAATCTTCTCAGCGGTCTCGGAGCTGTTCGTGATCGTACGCGAGTCTAGGTCGAGCGTAACAAATTTCAATGCGGCGTCTTCGTTCCTCAAGGATCGCGACAGTCCCAATACCGTGGCTGCGTTGGGGTTGCTACCGTTCGCACCCGAGGTAACCCACAGGATGTTGTGGGATGAACCAAAAGCTTTCCGAATAGAGGAGAATCTCGTTGTGTCGAAGTTAGTAGTTAGACTATTACCTTCTATGTCCATGATTACGAGAGGCCCCCGAGTCACTTTATCCAGGTTAGACCAGCTCAACACTTCAGGCGCCTGGTTTTCTTTCTCGAGCCGTTTAGCCAATTCGGCGACAGCTCCAGAATCCTCGCCAGGAGAGAAGATCTGGACGGATGGGGCAGGTTTGCCGCTGTTCTCTAGCGGCACGCGGCTTACGATCAGGCTGGACATCTGGTACGGGCCGGGGTAATCGGGCTCGCAGATCTCAATGCCCTCGTACCCGTTCCGCCTAAGCACGCCGTCCCACATCTCGGTATTCAACAGCGGGCCCATCTCGCGGCCGTCGCCCTCGCCGAGCCACCAGCCGGGCAGGGTGCCGAAGGGGAGGAAGATGCGCAGGCGTGGGTTCGTGATCTCGATCATGATCAGGCGCCCGCCGGGCTTGAGCAGCCGGCGCGCGTTCGACATTGTCACGTCCATGCTGCGCGTCGCGTGGAGCACGTTGGCAGCGATGATGAGGTCGTACGTCCCGTACTCGAAACCTTGGTCTGCCGGTGGGCGCTCAACGTCGAGCGTCCGGTACTCGAGCATACCGTCCCACGCGGAAAAGCGAGCGCGCGCCTTCTCAAAGAAGGCTGACGAGATGTCGGTATAGGTATACTTGGAGAAGCGCGGGTATACGCCGGTGTCGCCGCCACCAAGTGCCTGGAGGAAAGGTTCGGTCGCGCCGCCAGTGCCAGCGCCGATCTCGAGGATCTTCAGGTTAGGATTCTTGAATGATAAACTCGAGACGTATGTCTTCAAAAGCTCGTAACATCGCAACATGCTCCTGTCCTGGGCGTATACCTCGGTGAGCAGGCCGCCCTCTACCATGAGCGCTAGCGGGTCGACTTCGCCCTTGAGAATCGGGCCGAGGCTCTTTCCGACTCGGAGCACGACTTCGCCTTCAGCGCCTAAAGTTTCCGCGACTGAGACGGCGGCGCTCCTCTTCGCAGAATGGTCGTCGAGGCTCAACACGCCTGATGCCACGGGCAAAGAAGCATTGCTCGGCTCTGTCGTGATCGAGGGGACATCTTGCGAGAGGCTCCATTCGTAGAACCGCTTGTGGTGCCATTCCATCTTCTCTAGGTCTTCGGGCTTGATTTCGGCCAAGGCCTCTTTCATGAATTGGAACGCGAGCCATTCGAGAACGGCAAGAGACTCAGCCGTCTCGAGCTTCTTCGACGGGTCAGGTGCGGGCCAGAAACCAGCCAGCTGGGTCGTGTCAAGCAAATCTACATCTGTTTCTAAAGGCACGGTGTAGCAGATCTTCCTCGTCGTATTGAGTTCCCACGGTCGCGTTGACGACCAGGTCAACGAGGTAGTCTTCAGCCCCTTCACCAATATCGTAGGAGACGCGCCTGAAGACGAATCCGTTCTAAAGACTGAGATGTCGGATAGGCAATTGCGAAGACCTGAAGGTTGCACCGACGCGTACGCTTTGAATGTCGCGCCGACGTTCCTTGAGACATTGGCATCGATGGTCAAGTGTTCGATAAAAGTCGGAACCATAGGATCCTTCAGCTTGCCGTGATAAATAACGGGAGGAAACGCAGCTTGGAAGCAAGAGTCGAGCACTGCAGGATGGATGGTGTTGAAAAACTCGGCCTGGTAAGGCATTGTCGCTTTTGTGTCGGGAATCGTGATCTCACTCGTGGAGTTGCTGTTTGCGCCCACCAACACGTTGGCCAGATTGCGGAAAGTCGCCCCAAAGACCAACCCCATGTTGTTAAATATGTCGTAGAGTTGACTGCTAGGCAATGGGATGCGGCAATCCTGGAATTCCGTCGACAGCCGGTCTTTCCAGAAGGCTGCAGTCCCGTCGTCGTCGGTTTCGCGGTCCTGATGGTCGTCGGCTTCTGCGTCAATAGAGATCTGACCACGGCAATGCTCACTCCAACTCTGAGCCGCCACGGTGTGCGAGAATATCCTGAATTCCCACCATTTCGTCGATGATTCCTGGTCACCGTCAGGAACTGGCCGGAGCGACAGAGACGTTTCGACACCGGCGTCACTGTCTGGAACCACGAGCGCCGTCGACAAACAGATCCTCCTCAGGTGGAAGGTTTTGGGCGGTGGCAGCGGTCGAGCACCCATCAAGTGCGCCTGTCGCGCCGCCTCGATCGCCATGGCGATGTAGCCAGCCGCAGGGAACACGACGGTCGATTGCACGATATGATCCTTAATCCAGGGGTTTTCCGTTAGACGAAGGATATTCCGCCACCTAGGCTCGATCGAGTTACTATCCGGGACCAGACCCCCCAGTATATCGTGCCGTCCTATCTTACGATGACGATAGTCCTTAGATAGACGCGACTCGTGCCAGTGTTCGACCGTATGATTGAAAGGGTACGGCGGTAGATCTAGCAGCGGCCCGTACTTCAGTTCGGGATACTCTAGGCGATTGGCGCTATTGATATCCACAGGGTAATCGTGTGTCCAGAGGCCAGCGGCTGTGCTGAGCAAGCTAACGTGCGCGTTTTGGTTTCGTACAAGCGTCGGCAGGTACTTGATCTTTGCCTTGAGACTGAGGCTCGTCAAAGTCTGGCCGATCGGGCCGGCCAGGGTGGAATGAGGGCCAATTTCTAATAGGGTGTCGACCAAGCTACCTTGCTTGCCCGCGACCATAACGGTCAGGGCTTCAGAGAACCGAACAGAACTGACCATGTTGCGGACCCAATAAGTCGCAGTCAGGTCCTGAAGATTGGCTATTCCAGCAACCAGAGACGATGCGAACACCACATCACGGCTCGGACTCTTGCCGTCAGGAAGCTGCGCACCCTTGAGCATATTCTGCAGGTACCCGTTGGAAGCGTAGAACATGTGATGAGAGTGATACGCAACCTCGACCTTGAGTCGGCGTGCGAAGATCCCACGCTCATCCAGAACCGTTACGAGCTTCTCGACAGCATCGACGTCGCCGCTAATCGTAACGGAGGACGGCGAATTGACGCACGCCACGGTGAGCTCGCCAATATTCAGCTCCATGATGAGTTTCTGAGCTTCGGACGCGGAGATCCCAGCCGCCAGCATCCCGCCGCGGAGCTCGGGAGTCACTTGCTTAAGCTCTACCATCGCGACTCCGCGATAGTATGCTACAGCCAACGCCGACTCAAAAGTCAAGGCTCCCGCTGCATACGCGGCCGCGATCTCGCCGCTAGAGTGACCGATGACGGCGGCCGGTTTCACATCCCAACTCGAGAGGAGGTCAACGATGGCTAACTGGATCGCGGTGCAGGCGGGCTGACTGACGGATGCAGTCCCCAACTGGCTCGAGTCCTTGTCTTCAAACAATTGTTCTGCAGATTCATTAGCCGTTGCCTGTGATCAGTCGACGCGGGAAACCGAGGGGTTCGTCAACTCACCCATCAGGGACCACGGCGATCCAAGCGTCTTCAGGTGTCTATCCGCAGCCTCCATGCTCTCCTTGAACACGGGGTAGGCATGCCTGAGCTCACGACCCATACCAAACCATTGCGCACCTTGACCCGTGAACACGAAGCCGATTCTCGACGGAGACCCTGGTCTGGACAGCGAGAGCTCTTCAGAAGCTAGCTTTTCAGAAAGCTCCCGGAGATTGGATGCGACGACTGCCCCTCGCCAGGGGAGGAGGGATCGACGAGAGTGGAGGGTATAGGCCAGTTGGTCTGCGTAAGCTAGGCTATCGTTGGCTACGCTGCCGAAGTAGGAAGCATACGTCTTCGAAAGCAATCTACAGGTATGCTCATCGTTCGCCGAGATGACGAAGACCCGTGGAGTGGGTACGATTTCAGCGCCGTTCACATCGCCGTTCGTATTTCCATTCGTCGCCGTCTCAGGCTCCGTAGAAGTAGAAAGTGGCTGCGAAAGGCGCCCACTGACCCCGTGAGATTCGAGGTAGTGTTCTGCGTCATCCAAGACACAGTGCGCGTTTGTACCTGCAGGAGGATTAGCCAAGCCGCTCCTGTCGGAACGGTCTTTCGATTCGGGACAAGGGCAACTCACCTCCAAATCCGAAAGAGCAAACAGATGCGCGCCGGAGTCCCTTCACGGGCCACGGCTCCAGGGTAGTTGGAACCTAGGAGGCGGTTAGCAGAAGAACCCGGGCACCACCACCGCTTACTACGATCGATGGAGGGGCACAGACCTCGAGATGGTTCTCCTCAAGAAGCACGCGCTCTCCCGGCTTTTCGAAATTCGAATTGGGAAGTATCATGCCCTTCTCGACGGAGAGGATCGTCTTGATCAGGCCGGCTATGCCGCTGGCATTTTCGAGATGGCCGATATTCGTCTTCACCGATCCTACCCGGACCTTCGGGGCCCCGGTCCTGGAGGATGCAGCCCCGAAGACACGCCCGAGCGCGCCTGACTCGATTGGGTCGCCTGCATTGGTTCCGGTTCCATGGCTCTCGACGTATCGTGTCAGCGCAGGATCCAGTCCCGCCGCCGCATAGGTCGATCGAATAAGAGTCTCCTGGGCGTCTCCGCTAGGCAACATTACCCCGGCCGTTCGTCCATCGGAGTTCACGCCGGTGGAGCGAATGACGCAGCGAATCGCATCGCCGTCCCTAATTGCGTCCTTGAGGTTTTTCAGGACGACGGTTCCGACGCCCTCACCACGACCGTACCCGGCCGCGCGGTGATCGTAGGTATAACATCTACCCTCGGGAGAGAAAAATCTAAACGAAAGGGCATCAGTACCGGCGATACTCACGATTATCTCTACACCGTGCGAGCCAACTAACCTTAAGGAGCTCATCGGTATTAACATGCCAGGCTCGAGAATCAAGTTGGCACCGCCAACGATGGCATGTGTAATTTCGCCGGTGCGGATACCTTGACAGGCTTGGTGAAGCGCAACAAGCGTAGAGGAACACTGCAGAGCGTGCTGGTTAGCGACTGGAGGGACCGGAAGCTGCATCGTACAACCATGCGCGTTCTTCTTCTCCGGGTTCCGCAACGGCGAAATGGACTTCAGGGCTTATACGTACCGCAGTGTCAATAGTTACACTCGGCCCTCTCAAATCAAAGAAATGAGAAATGCGGTTAGCCATAATAGCGGCGCTCGTTCCCACGGCATGGTATAACGGCAGGTTATCCGGATCTTTCCAGAGCATATGCGCATAATCGTGGTTAGAAGTGCCTATATAGACACCAGTATCGCTCCCGGCGATCTTCTCAAGAGGAATGCCAGCTAGTGTGCGGATTAGAAAAGCCTAGTCTCGACCTAACAGGTAACGGCACGGCTCTCACCATTCTCAAGCGCTTCGTAGGTGTTCTCTAGTTGTATTCTCTGCTGAGGATCTAAAGCCTGTAGGGTATTGTTTAGCGGGTTACTCGTATAGAGAGGGGTTGCGGCGGAAGATGGTGGAGTTGTCTTACTTTAGCTTCCGCAGGCGTGATGTTGAAAAATGACGTATCAAATTCCCCCATGCCTTGCGTTAAGAAATGTCCTCCTTTAGCGTTAAACTTGTGTTCCCGTCAGCACTCTATGCAATCCGATGAGGCGGTACGGGGGCTTGACTAACAGTGCCAGCTCGTTCAGGATGCGGATGGCAAAAGGCGGCCTGGTTGAACCTGGACTCGGGCCACTCGGACCAGGCCTCGCGGCCTTTGGCGCACAACTCCCATAATTTCTCGGGGGTCGTGGAATCTCCGGGCAGCCGGCAGCTCATCCCAACGACGGCAACAGCTCTTGAGCTGTCGTCAACGTCGGTAGTTACGTTGGTTTCCGGCACAGGTGCAGGGTCGGCGGGAAGATGGGCCGCCTGCGGCTGCCTTGACCTCGGGTTGCTGATAGCATCCTTGGCTGGGCTGGCGTCGGCAGAGCCGTTCAGCTTCATCTTGAGCATTCTTCCCTTGGGCGACTCTTTCGAATCGCGGAAGCTCTTCGCCGAGTGGCTTCCATTGAAGATGTCAGAGTCGGGGTCAGTTAAAGGGCTCTCGGCTCGCGGTGTAGATTCCACGTTGGAATTCTCCGAGTCCAGGGACACCTGGGATCCGCTAATATTGCGATGGGACTGGACCGATGCTTGTAGGTCCTTCCGGCTGTCCGCGAGGAGAGATTGGATGACGGATGCGAGCCCCGTGGGCTGACGCGCCGCGGTGATGAGGGTTTCGGCGTGGGCTGACTTTTGTACAGACAAAGCATCAGACAAAGCACCAGGCACGGGCTGCGGCGGGGACGGAGCCTCCGCAAAAGGTGATTCGTTAGATGCCATGTCGGTAATTTCCGGATAGGATCGGTGAGGTGATGAGGATAAGAGGGTATCTGAGTAGGGGTTCAGGGCGCGTGCTCCTGTGTCGAAGAAGACGAGCAAAAAAAAAAGCCTCGACCGAAAGTTTCTCTCAGTCTGGGCCCGGGACGACAGCTTTATGGACGGGGAACGTGGACGAGACGGGAAGGGGGGGGTGGGCGGGGAGAGGGGGCCAGATCCCGATCACGAGTGAGTCTCATCCGCAACGGTCGTCCTGTAGGTAGGTGAGGGATGCGGAACCGATGATGAACCTAGTGTGGTGAAGAGAAATGGGTCCGCTATACCCCCACAAGGTAGGCCGCAAGGTTATGTAGGCAGGCAGACTACTTCAGATGTGATAAGAAGCTGGTGGTGTAGATCTTAGCAAGGGAAGGGGGATCAATATTAATACTCGTCTAGAGTCGTTGACGACCATGTCGTATGTGGCGAGCTGGCCGGGTTCCTCGCTTTTTAGAGGGGTCGATGCCACCCAGGGAACTAGTCGGATGTCCAGGGTCGTGAGGAAAATAGTACGACGCAGCTCGGCCCGGCTATATCGAGGGCAAATCGGGGCCCGATCAAGCACGGATGGCCAATGCGGCTAGGACGAGGTTGGTAGTTAAGAAACCCGAGCATTGGGCTCTGCTAAGCTATTCAGGTTAGTCGACGAGATAGGCTATACTGCGTAGGCATGTATAGGCGGTTTGTTGTACCATTGTCTTGCCTCCGCATCACGTACGGACGGAGGCGGTGGATGGGCAAGATTGGCCGTGTGGGCGGACGGGTGTGGGTAGGGGATAGATATTACATAGGTGTCCCTGGACAGATGGGAGACGTAGCAGCTCGAAGGCGTGGATGTCGACTCTCTACCAACATACGTCGACGAGAGGAACAGTTGAGTTGTCCCGCCAGCCACGATAAGGCCCGGGGCCTGCAGCCCAGACAGCCAACGAAGAAACCACGAGGGTGGTGCCATGCTGCAATTCCGGCTTTAGTCGAGGATGGATATGGCATGGTCATGGCCGTGGTCCTGGTCGTGGTCGTTGTCGAGGGCCGGGACGGGTCTGAGGTGAGAGATGGCTTGACTAAGCCAGGAACAAAATGTACAATGTACCGACGGCTAGCACCAGCAGGCTGATAAAATGGAGGTACCTAGGGGCGGAAAGATTCTGTGGATAGGCAGGAGGTAGTAGGTGATCAATCCACTCTTGCCTGACATTTTTCCTCTTTTTCCTCTTTTTTTTTTTCTTTTTTCTCTTACTCTCTTCCTTCTCTCCTCTGTCCTCTTTTTCTTCTTTTTTTTTCCTTTTTCTTCTTCTTTTATTGTTATTTCGTTATTTCGCCAAAGCACGCCAACCTCCGCTAAGAGATGCTAGGTTGGCCGCTTAACTGGATTAATTCCCTTGGGTGGAACGAGTGCGTCCCCCCCCCCCCCCCCCCGCGGAAAAAAACCGCCAGCGTGGGATTCTTTTCTCTGCTTCACCCCCCCCCCCCCTTCTTCAGGGTTTCCAAATGTCCCCATGGCTATGGGGAATATAATAAACTAATTATGGCTGCTAGGTATACCTATTGCGAAGAGCCAAAACATGTTGTCCGGAGGGGGAAAAAATGTTGCTCCTGGTATTGTCGTGGAATTGCACGTTTAAAAACGCATGCCTCGCTCAATCTCACGCTACGTTTCACGCCCCGCCCCAGCCATATTTTTATTAGCTGCCTATATTAGGATAGCTATAGGGATAACCGGATGCCCAGGCGGCCGGCATGGCCATTGCTAACCTGGATAAGTAATTCCCTACATCAATCGCGTTGAAAATGTTGTCCCTTCTCTCCCCCCCCTTTCTAAGCCCAGCAACTGAGACAGACTGGAAGAAATAAATGTGCAGTTGTAGGATGCCGATTACACCGTACCGTAGCGGAAACCACTTCTGGGGAGCTGTCATGTTTCGTACTTCGAGGTTGCTGTCGTCTGTCTGTCGTATACCTTTATAGGTATGTAGCGACGCCCGACCCTCCCGTCCGAGTTGCTGCTCTGTTGCCAGCAACGATAATTACCTAGCTATGTAAGCCAGCGAGCTGGTCGATTCCGCATCCACCTCCTGTCTTGCCGCTTACTAACCCGCCTCATCCCGATTAGGCTGGTCGGTCCCCGGGCGGCGCAATCTGACTTGCGTACCTACATAGAGCTGACCGCCATGTTCGCGAGCTGCCAGCCAATGGACGGATCGTGGGAAAGCCGCCTGCCCGCCTACCGTCCATGACAAATTCCTGATGCAGATACAGGTGCCAGCGTACGTGGTAAAGGATTTTCTGGCGAACGGGGGAATCGAGACCGGCAGAGGTTTGTCACAGCAGATTCCGATGGAAACGCTACCGCATCCATCCCTCCTGCGTGCGTGCATCATCTACCTGCACCGAAAGTCTCCCACAGAAAGACGCCGAGAGGGGCTAACCGTGTGTGCCTGTAAGCATCTTAAAGCGCCTTGGCATGCTAGATGACAGGGGTTCTTCCGCACCCTGGATTGGGACACATCGAACACACGGAAGCGCCATTGCCTCGGGCCGCTTAGGGAGATACTTGGGCTCCAAGTACCCCAGGCCTCGCCCAAGCCGGATCCTACGGGCTATAGTACATGGGCAGCCGCGTAGGCAGCAAGTAGCATGGTAACGTACAGCGTGGCCAGGGGCGGGAGCATTCTCGCGGAAGGCTAATCCGGGTAGCAAATCAACGTCTGGTTGTAGCGGGGGGGCCCGGCGCTGTGGATATGGAAGACAACCTGTTGGGAGGGTGGGAGCGTATACCTACCTACCTACATATTAGGTATGGGAAGCGTGGTGTTCGTGTGGGAGGCGAGTGGGAGCGTGGGAAAAGCACCTCACGCACGACGCAAGGCAAGGCACTGCCGCTGCTGCTGCTGCTGCTGCGACTACCGCTGATACTGCTACGTAGGAGGTAGGCAGCTTAAATCATGCGTTGAGCCTTTTATTTTCGAAGGGCCTCGAAGTTACTATGGGCCAGAAGCTGTGCGTTAGGCAGGTCCTGCAGATAAACCATCCGACAACGAGGTCGATACACCAACCCTGGATATCCACCCATCCTTTCCTCCGCTGCATCACCTGAGCGAATCAATTTTCGACTCGGGTTTGGCTACGGTACTATTAGTGGGAACCCACCTCTAGAGACAGACAGGAAGAGAGACGACTCCGGCTTGGAGACATAACCTTGTTTTGTCTTTTCCTTGCTCTTCTTTCTCCCTTTTTTGTCCGGTTGGCCCGCTCCCATCTAGTAAGCCTCCCGAGGGGTTTGCTCATTCATCCCAGCCTCACAACCTTGACCTACCGATCTGGCCACCTTCCTCCCTACTTACCTACCTACCTACCTGCCGATCGAAACTGGGCAACTCACCTCTGTCCTCTCTAGGATATAGGCTGAATGTCGCGAGCCGACAACCACTCAAGAAACAACTGCCCTATACACGTCCGCGGCCGACTACTCCGTCCATACCTGATTCCCCAGGAAACTCGCTATCTTTCCGTTACGTAAGGCATGTAATAATATACGCATTTATATCGTCACATATGGATACAACGTAGTATGTAGTATGTATGTAGTGTAGTATGTAGTGGGTGTTAGGGTCGGTGGTTAGGGGGTATGTCTGTGCTCCCCTCCCCCACCGCATCGGGCTCAGCTGCTTACCTGGTAAACCCGACTCACGTGGTGCCTCTCCCACGAAGCCTCGATATGTGGGCGAGGCCGATAAGTGCCCAAGGTTGGGTGTCCCGGTTTCCCATCCAACGACACGTAATCTTCGGCATCTGATATGGGGATACGGGGTGGGCAATTAGGTCTCCCCCTCTCCGTCTTCTCCCTCTCTACCACGTAGGAAAGCCGGGGGGTCATGTACTTACCTTGGGTGGCTAAGTCCGTGACACCCACGCTGGGTTGGGTCATGCCGATAGCGAAAACGGGCGTAGCAGGTATTTTTAGAATGGGTATCGTTTGCGAAGAGAGCTGCTCTCGACGGGAGATGGAAAAAGTGACAGAAACATGGTAGATAGACGTGCCTGGACTGGGGGCGCGGTGCATGTTGGTGCACCTAAGCTGCTCTCACATCCGTCACACATCACATGCATGCATCGCCCCTCCGTGCTCTGGTCCCTGGGGGTGGCACACGGAACTATTGGAAAAAAAGACCCAGGAGGACCCGGGTGGTCGTTTCGGCGTCCCCCTACGAGATTGGTTCCCGGATTCCAACGTCGACGCCTCTCCTGTAGGTACTGCTTACGCGGAGCCCGTGGTGAGGCTGCAAGCTTACCGGCTAGCTTCGCTCTCGGCCCGGCTCGAAGGCGGCAGGCTCGCAATATGGAATAGGCATATATATATATGTTTGGGAACGGTCGTCAGCCAATACGATTTCGTCGCCTGTCTCCATGCGGGGGCTCGTTATCGCCGGGTCACCTATACTACCTTCGCGTTCCCTTTCCACTCTGCCCTGTCTAGCCTCCTCGTCGTCGGCGACTCTACCTAGGAAATCCCATCATCTACGAGGGACGGTTGTTGAATCGTACCATAATCGGCAAGGCCTTATGGATCTGCTGCGGAGCCTGCGGAATATCACATACTTACTACCTATCACGCGTCCCTAGCCGCGACATCTCGTCCAGGTATAAGCCATGCTCGGCAGCTAGGTTGCCTTGCCAGTAGCGAAGCCAAAGTTCGTCAAGTTCGCCAGCAGAGCCCGTTTCTACCAATTTCTCGGTACAGAGGCAGGGGCAGGAATAGACAATGCTACGCCAGCCTTCATCCCATACCCACAAGTTCCCTTACCAAGCCCGCAAGCAGCCATCGCTACCAAAGACGAGCACGAAGGGTACGCAACCGGTAAGTTCGACGGGAACATATTCGTCCCGTCTATGCGCCGTACACCTTGACGTATCATGGGAAGGTTACCGAGTGACTCTCCTATGTTGTCGCTTTCCCGTATGGGGATCTGTCCCACCTGCTTTAGGGTGCCAAACCCTGTCCCCTACCGAGTCAGGCTAACAACCATGTCGATGTTGCTTGCCTGCTCGCCAGGACCCATCACCTTGTCGCAGCATGGGAGAAGCCGTCTATAGAACAGCCATTATACATATACTATCACGCTTTCGTACTTTATCGTCATCGTTACCCCTCTTCTGTGTAGGAATATTTTCGGTATACGGTGTCATCTTTGGATTGAGGGATCGGGAGGCGGGGTCGAAAAAAGGCATCTATTCCCGCGGAACGGGCGGTGCGCTGCTAGGGATCGACCAGAGAGTCTTCGCCGATGTGCACGCGTGATTCAGCCATCCACTTGTAGGAAAGAGACTAGCCACTCGAAATAGCGACGACAGGTCGAGTCACGCAGATAGCGGGCGAGATCGTGGTCCCTTCCCCTCCTCCTCTCCCCTCACCCTGAGTCTGAAGCCGCATCAGATTGTTTCCCCCGCCGTCCTCCTTCTCTTTCGACACCTCATTATCATCTTCTATCAAGGAATCGTAGTGTATCCTGGTATGCCAAAGTAAAGTCCCATGAAACTCGGCCGTCAGAACCACATCCGGGCCGAGCCGCATCTACCAATGTAGGTAGTAGAAGTGGACCTGTATGTAGGTAGGTATTGGGTCTAAGATCTGGGTAGCATGGCGCCGCTTTTTTTTTCTTCCTTTTTTCCCCCCCCCCCAACGATGTTGGACTTGCCGTTGGGCACGTGCACCTTTCAAGTATTGTCGACGGGTCGCGAAGAATTCCGTTGCCCAGACCAGGGAACCGTTGCGAGATATCGGATTCGCACGCAACTAGCCTCGGTGGTCCCCTAGGCTTTGAAGCTACCTTGACAGAAGACCCACAAGAGACCTACACCAGGAATTCCGACAGCGTGGGTATTTCACCCTCTTCAAGTGGAGAAGGGAGACAACGGCGTTTGCTCCTGTGGGATTGTGGACGCCATAGTATGTGTGTTGGTTATAGGGAACGTCGGCGTGCTCCAGAGGGCTTGGGTATGTGGCTGCTAAGTAGTACACGTGGTGGATAAAAAGAATCGACACCTCAGCCAGTGTGAAATCCAGCTCCTGCGGTGCCTTCGTTTACGAAAGCTGTGGGTGCCGTGGCATCCTACGTCGCCGGTTTTTCCCATTGGCCACGCTGTGGTACCGTCCAGACATAAGGCCATCATAAGAGGAGTCGGCGCAACGTTCGAGGCGGGGGGGCAAATGTTAGTGGCGCTCAACATCTTGGCTAGTACATCTAGACGGATGCCAACCTGCCTGCTTACGGGGTCTCATTTCCAACGCATTAACCACACTCGTACGACCAAGTATGCGAGTTACGTGTGTCGTAGGGCCGAGATGGGAGCGCATCGCAGAGGGATGCGATCAAGCGCATCGTCAAGTATGACACCGACACTGTTGGATTGGCGGGGGGGTGGATCGACGTACAGCGGACTAGAACCTGGCGGTGTCGACTTCAATTGCCGGGCATGAGGCTGTCTTACACGGTCATATCTAAACGATATCCACCTGCGAGTGATGTGGTTCCGCATACTGTCCCAAGGCGTTGGGCCTATATATAAGTCAGGCATTGTCTACCTCGCTCATGGCTCCCAGTCCATGCCAGCGCGCGGGGGTGCCGCGCGGTTTATCTAGAGTAGGCATCCACACATTAGCTAAGACTGCGAATAGTTACCTTTGAACACTCAAGACCCCGCCGTCCCAGTGCAGCTTGCGATCGACGAAAGATCGAAGCCTCCGGGAAGCGCAGACGCGCGCGGGTAACCACCTCCCCTTTCCCAACTAGCCAACACGATGCCGTATCCCGAGGCTCGTCACGTGAAAAATGCGGCCCGAATCATGGCGGAACCGACTCCGAAGTAATATCCAACAAGCCGCTCAAGCAACCCCAACATCGGTCCAGAGAGGTAGGTAAGGGTTATGTATATATATATGTAGGTCAGGTAGGTCTGCTATCATATTGGGCGTATGTCTGGGTATCCGTGCAGGTATAGCTGCCAACTAAGACCGATTAAGGGATGGGCAGAGAAAAAGGGGGTGTGATGTGAAAAACACGCATGCATAAGAGAGGAAAAGAACCAGGGAGAAGGGCGAAAAAGGAGAGGGGTTCGAGAATTGAAGACAAAAGAGAAAAGGAGTTCCAAGGTAGGGAGATTTTTTTAATTAAAATTGAGGCACGGAGCGAAGTAGAGAAAGGCCAGATCGTTGGTAACACTGCGATTACCTGATACCAATCCTACCCTGCGTCCTCCTCATTATGGAAGGTATCCCTCCCTCGCGCGCAGCCACAGCCCTGTTACGATGACGGAGGCCCCGTGAGCTGGAAGCGAATGGAGAGCAGCATTGGCTGGCTGACCGAGTGATGGGAGCCGAAGTAGGTTGATATACCCATGTCATGCAACCATAACGTATACGCACCAGCATTTCGTACATGTCGTCCCCCCATCAAACCAACCATACAATCCGCCCGCCGGGAGATCATCAGGATCTCGGTAAGGCAGTCCAGGGGGGGCAGAAGAGGAAGGAGGGGGAGGGAGACGTCAGGATCTAGAATATGGAAGGAATCTTGCCTAAGAAGGACCAGGAGGGGGGTAGAGACAGAGGGAGGGGGGAGGAGGCGCCGCGGCTCTTCCCGCGCGCGGCAGAGGAAAATACCAGACGGCCAGGTAGGAGGAGGCAGAGAAAAGAGGAGGGGGATTAACCTTATTACAACACTTGACCTGGGGGATTCCCTAGATCCGTCCCGGGCGCAGGCAGGCACCGAGATAACATTGTCGTCTCCCCTCGGTGGCCTCTATTCTCGGCGGCTGAGGTAATTGATCCTCTCTTATCGATCCTATCATCCATCCATCCACCCGCTAATCCTTCAGGTCGATATAGGGAGCGGGAAAGATATGATTAGGGAGCGAGCGATACGCGAGTTCAGAGAAGCGGTACGGGGACGCTGAGAAAGAGTGAGAGTAAGAGTGACAGAGGGGGAGTAGAGAACGCAAAAGTTAACTGGCGTCCGTACACGGTAAGATTTCGGTAAGCAGCGGCACAGTCGCATCAGCGGTACCAGCGGTACCATCTTCAGCCCCGTGACACCCTCCCTCCCGGTCCCAAAGACGACGTCGTACCTTGCATTGACCTAGATAGGCCCGCGCGTGCATGTGCGCGACATCTATCACCTACATACGCGCACGCGTGTATCACCCACATGCGTGTTGGTACACATCACCCGCATATGTACCTAACGTACTCGAAAGGGCACCAATGGAACCGTGCCGGCCGGCTGGGTGGCGGCGAAGTTGAGGCTCGCAATGTGTCGCCTTGATTCTTAGGTCACGGCCAGAGCGAATCGGATCGCACGGCATCGCACACACCCTTTTTGGCGTTCTGCAGAGATGTGAGACTGGAAGAAGAGAGGACGGGGGCAGTAAGTTAGTAACAGCCACTTTGGGAGCCGAAATAAGCCTTATATATCCCCCCGAGGCGGTTATAAGCAAAACGGAGACGAAGTGTAGAAACCGAAAAGGAACCAGAGAAGAGGGAGAGAGCCAGGGTCACGTGGGGGAGTCACACAGTTGGGGTACACATTGGTAATACTCCGGCCTCGAGCGAGTTCCCGTACGTATACGGGGACCCTAGACACGGAACGAGACGGAGACAAAGCTTTACAGAAGAAACCAAAAAGACGACATTTTTTTAACTCTATCCTTAACCGAGTCCCGCTCGGACGAGCGGACTCTGGACATAGTGAATCCAAAGTCCTCTTCGTCCATATTTCTTTCTCCCTGTTATCGTCTAATTTCCCGGGCGTAAAAGTTCTCGTTAAATTCATGTAAAGTAATACAACAGGGCGAAGAAATCCTAAGGAGAGAGATCATAAGGGAATGAGTAAGAAATAAAAGCGAAAGAAAGGCGGGTTTCTGGTGGAAAGAGGGGCGAAAAGAGGGTATGAAGGCCAAAGAAAAACCAAAGAACTTCCTGCCCGCTAGATGGAAGTCGGGCGTTCAGATTTGAGAGCCCAATAAACATGATAAGCGCCCGGGGGGGGCCCAAGGCATGATCCCACCTCTTGCTCTCAGGGGTAAGAAGAAAAGGGTAGTCGAAGAGGGAGTACCGCGGGTTCGGACGTCATCAGACGCGAGGGCTCCCGCTTCCCCTGAAGCTCGTTTTGCTGCCCAGTCACAGCAATTTCCAGAGCGGTTTCCAAGAAAAGAGAGTGCAAAGAAAGTGTAAAAGGGAACCCGAACAAGCCCTCAACGCCTCCATTCCGTCCGTTCATGCCCGATGCCCAACATGTACTCGTTGGGCTCTAGTTGTACCCGCTGCGGCTCCTGCCGCGGGATTCAGACTCAGATCCAGACTCGGTCTTGTCAGCCCCGGTATCATTCGGGGGAACGTCGGATCCGGTGTCAGGCATTTTGCGAGTGTTATGAGGCTGTTTTCTTGGCAGACGGTGTGTAAGACTTGGAAGTAGGATGATTCGTAGGCCGGTATGTCCCGCGTCGTAACTGATCTACCTTCTTCGCACGTCTGCTCGTCTCCTGTGCTTGTCGAACGAAAAACAAGGTTTCGGGTCAGATATCTTATGTTACTGGGTGAGGGCAATATTTTATCCCTGGCTAACTTGGGCACAGCTAGCGTCAGCACATCGTGTCGAAGCGTTAGGATATAGGAAAGGGGGCCTGCCTTATATAGGCTAAAGGGGGGCACCTAGAATCTTACGCGAATGTGCTCGATGTTTGTACGAAAGAATGGCTGTATGGCGACTAGGGAAGGGGGAGGTTGGCTTGTGGGGATGAAGACGATCGTCCTTGATGAGGACAGAGACTGTGAGGGCGCTTGCGGAAATGCTCAAGAGAAATAACAGATTCTTCGGGGAAGGTCGCGAGGATTTATATTGTAATTTACTGTGGCCCGGGGAGCTAGGGTGTGACTTCGGCTTCCACATCCCTCCATCAGGTTTTCTTTTTCTGGCATATAGGAACTGTATACTCGCGGTAGATGAACACCGCCTCAGCCCTACGAAGGATTCCTTGGTCTACACCCAAGATTCACATGAGGACCACCTATGGTGTACGCCGATTGTGAGCATCGAGCCGGCCTGGTCAGCCTTCGCGTATGTGCCTCGCCCGAGAGTGTGACGGGGTTGGCCGTGGAGATCAACGGCAACAGCGATAACATGTTACCAAATTGGGCAAAGCTACCCGTTGAGACCAAGAAAGGGACAGCCGAGACGAAACACGACATTAAAATCTAGGAGGACGGATGGCAGTTTGACCCCAACTGCCGCAGTGCCTCCGGGCTGAAAGCCGAAGTAATCCTCGAGATGTCACCGGCATACATGACACTTGACATTGGGTCTCCGGCGGAACGAGAGCGATATGATGCTATCATGGCTGAACGTGTTAGTTGGAGCCTGGGATTCGAGAGCTGCGCCTTGTGGACTAGGCCGTCATCCAACAGGCCAGGCACGAGATAGTCAACAAGGATGGCTCCGTGTGGGTGCAGAGAGGCCTGCGACGCAAGCTGAAGACGAGAAGGAGAAGCGGGAGAGCGAGCGGACGAGAAGGACGGTATTCGGGCCTAGATCGCCTCGTACGGAGGAGGCGATGGAGGTGAAGAAGACGTCAGGAATCGGAGCTTCCATTTCGCTATATTACCGTAGCATCGACGTCGTGATCTACGGCTAGATAGGCCGCGCGCACTAGACCGCTCCGGGGACAGCGAAAGAAAGTCATGCGAGCTGAGTATAAGGCCAATCTAAGGCCGAGGAGGGAGTGTGGCACGTAGGCGGCGACAGTGGTACTGGGGCAGGCGACGAGGATCATGCTATCAGCCGCGGTACCAGCCCATACGAATCCCCAGAGGGATGGGAAGGCGCTGATAAGGAGAACTCGACGGCCAGCTTGCTGACAGGGCGAGCGTTGGACGGGGAAGCAAGACGGTGGCGTTGCGCCAACCGGGATAGCCATAACGGCGCAGATGCGAGACCGAACTGGGACGTGAAATTGCCGTGCCACCTAACCCCCCCCCCCTTCGGACGTGTGTGCTGGATTCGGCTGCTGAATTCGCCGTGCAGATGTAGAGCAAGTGCAGTTGCCATTTTGGAGAGTCGGCCGAAACGAGGGCACTATCCAAAGCGGCCGAGGCCAATGTAGGAGAGGTAGGCGGCGGAGGCATTGTGCATAGATGATGGAGGTGTGAGGGGGGCTCTCGCGATGAAGTTGAAGGATGGACGAGTTGCGCGGCGGGCGGGCGGTTGTTAGAGGGGGGTTTAGAGGGAAAGGGGGGGGTGTGGGTGCTCCCCCTGCCCCCCTGCGCGTTTAAGCGATATGCGCCCCGTACAACGGACCTGGGCAGGGCATGCTTGGAACCCCCGGTACCTCAGCGTCGGTATGCTCTACGGCCGGAACCGATGTACCCGGGATAAGGCACCTGCTACGTAGTAGGCAATTCACTAGACGCCGAGGTGGGTGGTACCACCCCTACATGGCGTCTAGGTAGGTAGGGAGGGAGGGCCAGCGAGCCCCAGCGAGCCCCAGCGACCAGCAAAGCCCAGGGCGCGCGTATTAGGACATGCTGGCCAGCAACCACAAACACACGGGACTGCCACCAACTCGGTGTGCCCCGTCGCCTTCGCTGAACGGGCCGGGAGCCCTTGGAGGGCCCGGTGTGCTACCTACCTTGCCGAGCAGGTAGGTAGCCGCTGGTTTGGCCGGATATCTCACCCCTCCCGCTGCCCGCCGCCTCGAGGATCATCCTAGGATAGGTAGGTAGACCAACGGCTATCGGGCCTGTCTAGGTATGCTGCCGGCTTGGTCCTGTCTTGCACCACGTATATCGACGTATTGCAGCATACACCGACCTCGGGCACCTCTACCACATAGCGAAGGGGACATAGCATTGGACCCGAGGCTCCCGCCCCAATCCCCTGGCCTTCATCTCTTCCCACAATTCCCAACAGGGAATGTGCCGGCGGCTCCTCCCAAGCCAGTGTACGTCGAAATGGGCAATCCTTCCATAGAGGGGTTAGGCGGGCGCCGGCCTAAATCGTCAGCAGTGTTGACAGCGTCAGTACCTGCAGACACAGCGGGATTAGCGACGTCGCGACGTAGTATCGGTGGTCGTATAGAGACTCCGAGGTACCTGATCGAGCCTAAGGCCGCGGAAGGCTACCTGTAGGAGTCGAAGGTGGTGTGTGTGGTCTCTCACCTACCTACTATAAGTCTAGGTGTAAAATGGGGGCCAATACATAGGCTACCATAGGTTCCCGAGGCATGTGGCATGTAGGTATGTTTCAATTAACCAGGATGTACCACGTAAGCCACAGCCGATTCAGGGCCCTGCGCTTGTAAGGCCAATTATAATCTTAACGGGTCCCCCCTCCCAGCCTACCTTAGCCAGGTTTCTTCCGGGCTGGGAACCCCTCCTCCGTCACCTACTCATACTCATATTCCTCGACATCCACACACTTCACCATTCCACTCGCATACTCACACCCCCCTCCCTTGACACTAGGGGAGTCAAAGGATGCGGTGCTGATCTACTTCTCAATCCTATTCCTTCCCCGACCAGCCTCCTACACATCTCATCGACGCCCTAAGCCCGACTCTTAGGGCTCTGCCTACCACGCCAGCCGGCCGCGAACGGGCCCGCTGTCAGTCATCTGGTCCCAAACGAGTAGCAAGGATGCTGCCGAGAGGCCCGAACAAGATACACCCTAACGCGGCCAGGTAGCCAGTTTCGTCGTCCACCACCATATTCGTCTGGCCAGCTCTAGGAAGCAAAGTAAAGTGTGCGGTGCTTCCCGCTCGTCCCACTTATCGACGGATCATATCAGTGCTGACTGGACTGGGAGCCGACCAGAATCGCCGCACATGGCTGAGCCGCCAGGATTCTGCCGTAATTCTGTAATCCTGATAGAGAGGAAAAAAAAAGCATAACTGAGCTGGCCCACGAACGAACCACCAAGGACGATTTCTATAGCTACCGACTACATTCCCATACCCGCGGGGCCAGAACAGAAGTTTCGATTTTCCTTCCAGAATTAGAATCGGCGTAGACTCCGATCCCTCCACGAGCCCACAGGGACCCCCTTGAAACGACGAAGTTCTTGACGGGCGACGTTGCATTCATCACCGCACGGCAGAGGGAGGTATCGCTGTCTAAACATGCTGCTATTCTCAGTGTGAGTTTGAAATATGCGATGGTCGTTTCTTGTTGATTGCCCCTGCGTCGGCTCGTAAAAGAAATCGTCAGCCTACCCGGCGATGATCAAATACTCTCCCATTCCGTTTAAGACTTGTTTTTGAGTCCAAAAGCAAGAGAAGGAAAGAAAAAAAAGGATATGTCGTGGGGCTACTTGTTTCGCATGCCTGCTTCACTTCGGTTTTTTTTTTTCTTCTTCTTCTTCTTCTTCAGAGAGGTTTGTTCAGGGTCTTCTCGAGTCCCCCATTACAGCCCTCGTTGGCTTGTCAAGGGGCATCCCATGTATTGTACGTAGGCATGAGCAAACTAACCCCAGGTCCACCTAAGATAAAAGGCATATGACTGGGGCCTCATTGGATCAGGTCACCGCGCTGGCCGCAGGCAGGCCGGGGGAAAGGGTATGGCGACCGGAAAGACAGGCGGCGGCTCGAAGGAATGCGAACGCACTGCCGGCTTTGGTCCCAATAGGGTCGCGGGACAGGAGCGCCAATCCCTTTTCCGCCTTGCGCCCTGCGAGACTCCCAGGATCGGATAGGTGTAGAAACAGGAACGAGACAGTTGGTTATCGAAGCCACCCCAAATCCGGCCGGGCGGCATTGCCAATGCACAAAAACGTACGGTCTCGGTGGCGGTGAAATCCAGTTCTCCAGAAGGTCTAGACCAACCCAACAACGTCGTCGCCTGCTGACTAAGACACCACTACGACGATCCCGATGCGGCGGACGGGACGCTTGTCACAGCGCCGTGGGTCGGTGACGAGCAGAGAGCAGCGCGGCCCATAGGCTATGCTATTGGGGATGCCTTCGTGCTCAGCTACCACTGCTTACCGCGCTTCAGGTCCAAGTAATGCACACACACGCGCCGCGCACCCCAGCCACTCTTGATCTGCCTCATGCAACCGATATGTGCCTGTGTCAGCAGCAGCCTCGCCAGCTTCGAGGCGTGTTTCACGACGATTATTATTAGCCTAGCTTGGCTTATTACATGAATGGGGTTTGCAAAGGTGCACGGCGGGTACGGGGAGGGGGGATTACACGCCACCTGCTAGGCACGGCTTACTCTAATTTTCCCCCGCCTCATCACCCCCGGCTCGAAGATATACTCATGGGCGTGAGCACGAACGCACATCACACACCTCCGCTCGCTCATATTCGCGCAGGGCCGCGGAACCAAAACTCACACGAAGCCGTCGGAACCAAGTTCCAGCGCTGACCTGGCCTGGACCACGCCGCCGAAGCCTATAGTATATACCATGGTACCTTATGCCATAGTACCTTATACCTAACTCACCTATTTCCAGCCGGCTCGGTTGTTTCAGGTTGTACGCTCGCCGTCGGATTCGCGATCGTAAATAGTCTGCGTACGCTATCCAGGCCTAGCTACGCCGTACGATTACATTGGTCGCCTCTTGTTCAACCTAGCCTAGTCCGGATTACGCAGCGTTGTCCCGCCTCCCATAGGCTTACCTCAGCATATTATTAGCTGTGCCAACTCCTACCCATCCCACTATCTCGTCAATTCGCAGTATCCTGCCGCCTATAGGACCCCAATTAAGCCATGCCCCTATGCGATGACCGCGCATCAAGTCTTTTCAGTTCAAAGCCTAAGCCCCAGATTTCTCAGGGGCTTCCTCTACGGACGATCAGATGCAAAATACTCATTTCGCGATGCTAAATTTGTCGACTGTTCCCCCTGTCGGCGACTGACGTGCGCCCAGGCTTCGCGACGACCTCTCGCCAGTCCTCAAGTCTGTCGCAGGCAGCCGTAGCAAGCGTGATTCCATCACGATCAAACTAGCGTTAGCCTTGCGTCCCCCTTGCCAGCGCCAGAATACGTCTCAGGCTGGGTTGTCGCCCTGGACATATCAATCAATCCGCGTTCAACACCAGCTCGGGGTCGGACCCGATAGGCATCATCGCGTCCTTCGTCATTCCCTACCGAGCGGAGCCGGGAGACTTGACCCAGGATCATCAGCGTCGTATGCTTATCGATCCTTCGCTATTTTTGCCGGGACGCGTCGTCCTTGTTCACTCACGCCCAGTTCATCGCGGAATTGTCCCACGTAAGGCTGATCCCGAACGATTCATATCTTGACATACATTCGTCGCATCCGCGAGGAGCGCTGCCATTCCCTATAGTGTCCCCCTTTCCCCATCGCAGTGCCGCGGCATGGTTCTTTTGCGACGGTGCGTCGAGAGTGTAAGTCAATCATCGTGTCTTGGGACCTACTTTCCTCGGATTCAAAATACCGGCTCCGGCCCCGCAGGAGGTTCTCAGATCAGAGGCAATATTATCCATATCTAGTTTCTGGAAACTGGAGCGTCGCCGGGATCGATAAGTCGATAGACTAGGGCAGGAACAAGAATTGATCCCCCGCAAACTTCGCACATAATAAAATAGTAGCCGGAGTCGCCGCCAAGCCACGGTGATCCTGAACAAAATCCGAGTTCGGGCCGTGCCAATCGCACGGTGGTATTTTTTAATAGATAACGGTTCAAAATTAAAAATCGAACATTTGCATTGTAAGAAATCGGACATTGTTGGTTGTCCCGTCTATGCAGGTCGGTGATAATCATCAAGCCCGAGTAATATTGTGTCCAGCCTAGGCTTGAGAGCTGACTCGAGCTCGGGTCCTGGAACTCGTGCCACTCCGCCTTGCGATTACGAGAACACAAGACCACCACTACACATCGTCGAGATGGGGGCGCATAGCAGGGAAAACGACGCACCGGTCGAGTCCTACTATCGTGGCTCGGAGCCACGCCGCTTCAGCAGGCTCGTCGTATGAGAGCTGTGCCTTGTCCCTCATCTTGATTGTCAACCGGGAAGAGCAGGGTCCTGTCTGGGTCATGATTGTGTTTATCTCAGCGCGTGCTGGCTCAAAGAAGCCATTCCTTCCTCGGGGGGGCACCCGGTCGAATATTACACTTCATGTTGCTATTCTTGGTATTCGACGCAATTGCGTCACGCCCACCTTGGCCAGAGCAGAGATATTACATACCTACACCAGGTGCAGGCCTAACCATATAGTCTCTGCCTAAAGGAACCGCTCCACCCCCATGGCTCCTGAAGTCATCATTGCCCCGGCAGACTTAAACTCGACATTCTCGATACATCTATTTGAGATGATGAGCCTCGATCTGTCGTAGCATAGAACGATAAGGGGTCACCCAGCCCCGGGTCGCCCGACCCTAGGAGAGTGGGGATGCTATCAAGTTAGTTAGTGTCGTTACATGGGGCGGATCCTCAGCGACGGTATGTAGCTCGAGTTATTACCGTATCGTGAGAAGCAGGAATCGCAGGTCTCCTAGTGCGACGATATATTATACATAGATTCACAACCGGTTGTATTTGATTGAGCAAGTTAGCCCCGCCCCTGTATTATCATTCCGGTCCGGGAATTAACGCCGGGGGGGGGAGGGGGGGACATAGGCCATTCCACGACGCCTCAAGGCACTATCGTGATGCTTCGTCGAATTATTACCAATGTAGAGAGTATTATGTTTCCTGGACTTGAGAAGGTTGCTTCCCCAAATCAGAAAGACCTAATAATTACTTTCAGGGGACCGTTCGACCTCGGGACACCGTGCTCGCAGATGTTAATAATATGCGGTATGCGTCGACATTCACCCAGAGAGCAACATGAGAGGGAAAAGGAAAAAAGCTAACTCATATCTCTTCCGACAGGCAGTTTTACGGTCACGAGCACAGCCAACGTAGAATATGCTAAGCAGAAGTAGGCCAAAGGCGAAATATGCCGACACACACGATGCCGTGGCAATTTTGGTACATACCCACACATACGTATGCCTTCTCAGCTTGGGGGTCGCTCAAGTACGAAGTCTTCCCCTCGCGTGGTTCCCAGTAGTCGGGACTAGTAAAAAGCTGTTTGACAATCTATAAATCAGGCCACTCTGGTCGCCAGAAGCATCACGCACAGGATTCAGAAGTACACGGCCAGTATTGATAACTTACAGACGCTGCGGCAGACTGGCATTTCACAACGACGCCGTCCGTAAGCTTTGTAATATATTGTCCATAGTCACGGCAGCATGTTACACCATCTTTCTGTGTAGATCGACCAAGCTTCGCGGGCACGGTTATTGGGGCGTCACCTCAGATCCTGTAGTCCTATGGCCGTGGGGTATAACTTTGCGTCTATGGATATGCAGGACTTTGTGATACGCTTTAATTACAGGCTGACTTCCTTCTGTCGACCAGACTGCTCGATAGACGGGTTTTATTACTTATCATACGGCGTATTAGTGAGAGCGCCTCGCATTCATGATAAGTTCCTTGCTACGTCTTCTTAAGCAGTCTACCTACAGGCTGGTATAGGACTTCACTGTGTCTAAGAACAGGCGCGTAGCTGTGCGGGAGGCCGTATAAGCACTGCCCCCAAGCAGGGTGTGTAGGCGCCTGAACTTTCCTAGTGACAGGAAGTATATTGCTCTAATTTTAGATGCATTGTCTCCCCAACTACTATGCATGGAGGCATCCAGGGTGAATTCTAGTCTGGCAGTATTCTGACCGTGAAGACGACAAGAGAGAAGCAGTCCCGGCACAGGAAGGACATGAATCTGCAGGAGCATCGATGCCGGACGGGTTACAGCTGGCCTCCCCATTGTATTAATCAAGTAGGTCCAGGTACTTGAAGCAGCAGCCAGCAGGGGAGGGGGGTACCTGTGTAGCGCATGCCTGCTTGAGATAGGTAGGTATACGAGGTGAGGACCCAGGGCGGCACCAAAGTTTTTACAGTTGTTCTTTTCAGGAGCTCCCTACAAGTAGTAAAGCCATGTACATGTGCTAGAGCCACCTCACTGCGTAGTATAACGAAGTACGATAAATCATATGTCTCTGCGGGGATTTGACTGATCCCGTCCCTGTTCTGCCGTTAATGTATGATGCAGGTAGGTCGGTCTACTAGCTCCTGTCCTTCCCTCTACGAGCTCCAACACCTCTCACATCTGTTCTCCCACCCACGTTTACATCAACGGTCTTCAAGTTATTGGCTCCCATAATATGAGAATACCCCTTAGAGCAACGACCGAACAACTCGGGTGTGGAAAAGGCTCAAGAGGTATAGCACTGAGTGGAAGTATTCCAGTCCTGCCGACTGCCAAACGCACCAAGTGAACCACAACCACGACAGATTTCAGGTTTCTCTTCCCGCACTTAATTTTATTTTCACCCTCCACTCTCTCTGATTCTTGATATTTCCATCACATTCCCCATCGAGCTCCTCGTCCAGTTCTCCCGATCTAACACCAATAAAAGTTTCCCTTAAGCCGAATATCGACGATACTCATTCTGATATCAGTTAGTGCTGCCACTCTTACCATAGCCAGGCCTCTTGAGTGATTCGCAATTTGAAATCTTCTCTACCTACAGGCTCAGCAAGTCTACTATAAAGAGAGACCCTTGACTTCTCAAATTCCGTTCCTTTCACTTACCGCCCCTAATCAAAATTCCTCACAAGAGACAAATTCATGCTTTTTCTAGGATCAGCTTAAGCAGCCCCTATTCCCGAGACTCTGGTAAGAGATAACCGTCCACAGCTTGCCCCTTTCAGCTCTCATTAACCAAGCGACGTCAGTAATTGATTCAAGCATCACCCATCAAGCAGCCATATCCTCACGACATCACTCACATTCATTTGTTATCGATTGTTGGTGCTCCATTTGCCTAAAGATCAGCATTCAAAAGTGAACAATCTCCAGTCCAATTTCTGCATAGTTGTTTGCTGTAAGTTTCCCACACTGTGCCTCCTGATATGTTGCTTGTGCCCAGGCCTGGTCTCCCGGTAGGCACCGACCAGTCCTGCTATTTGTTAGGTGCCAATCTCTACGATCTTGATCTTGCTAGCAACACCTTCTTTTCTATTTCTAATATACCGTTTCTGCTTTCTGCCACAAACCATCCCTACCAAACCCTTACTTATTACACATATCTACTCAAACACGCCCGGACCGTATACAGCTTCCCTCTTCTCCTTGTGGAAGCTACTTTCATCGCTATTGCCTCGATTCCCCTGACCCCCAGCATCCTGTCTCGATCCAATTCGAAACTCCCTATCGACGGGCACGATGCATGGGGTGTTTATCCCTATGTTCAGGTGCAAAACCAGCTGTTCGACTGATCGAGAGGCCCTGGCCATATACCATACACACAGTGGTTCCCATGGAGGAGCTCCATGAACCACCATCTCAGCATTTTCATCACAGCAACCGCCGACCACTCGGCATATGCATGACAGCAACGTGTTGTTGACTCTGATCCTTTCCCATGGAATAAACCAATCCCATCAACCCCAGAACATTGCAACTGCACTCCTGCGAGAAACAAGAGGGCAAGTGGGATACGCAACATACCTCCGATCGTGGTTTCGCATGCTACTACCCTCATATAACAACAGTTCCCATCAACCTTGTCCTCACAACGCCATTTCTCTCACACATCGGCACATCAATCTTCATCTCCGCTGACGAGTGATCCAAGCCATCATGATATCTACACGCCAAATCACCGACGGCCGCAACGAAATAGCCTGGGCCCAGGCCATCAGCGAGCCACCGGCCACAAATACCCCCGAAGTCCTATCGGCGGACGAGGAAGAGCGGCAGCCGACAAGCGGCGCGTCGACGGTGAGCTCGGGAAGCTCGGAAGGGGCCAGCAGCGAGGCGGACAGCAAGGACGACAGCGACGAGCCTCCGCCCCGCCCGAGCGCGAGCGAGGAGAGCGACCGGCCCGAGCGCGGCGCCTACGCCTACGCCTGCGGGGAGGTCTCGCCGGAGGACCTGGCGAGCCCGGAGACGTTCCGCAACGAGCTCGTCGAGGTGCGGGCGTCGCCGCTGGGCGGCAACGGCGTGTTCGCGCGGCGGGCGCTGCGCCGCGGCGAGCTCGTCCTCGCCGAGCGCCCCGTCTTCCGCGCCAGCCCCAACTCCCTCTACCGCCAGCTCGACGGCCTCGCGCCCGACGTGCGCGCCGCGTACGACCGCATGGTCGGGCACCGGCCCAGCCGCGGCGTCGACAGGCGCCAGGCCATATTCATGACGAACAGGTGCGGTTCCTCTTCTACCTGCGTCTTTGCTTTTTTCCCACTCGCGTTTCCTTTACGTCATGCTACGTCATGCTTCTCCTTTTTTTTTTTCTTTGTCTTTCCATCGTTCACCCCATCTCCATCTCACCAACACGCGACGATACACAATCCTGATCTCCTGCTAACGTCGCCGCGCTCTCCAGCTTCGTCGTAGGTACCCAATCCTACGTGTACCTCGTCGCGGCGCGGTTCAACCACGCCTGCGCGCCGGCGAGGTCGGTCGACTACCGGCCCGTCCCCGCCTCCGCGTCCCCGCCCGGCGGCAGGGTGCTGGAGTTCCGCATGGCGCGGGACGTGGAGGCGGGCGCGGAGCTGACCATCTCGTACGGCCTCCTGACGCCGCGCAACCTCTACGTCCGGTGGGGGTTCCGCTGCGCGTGCGGCGCCTGCCAGCCGCTCGCCGACGAGGAGGTGGCCCAGATCGACAGCCTCCGGGACGGAAACGGCGACGACGACGACGACGATAGCAGCGAGAGCTGGTAAGCGCGCTGGCCGCGCTAGAGAAAAAGGGGGGGAGGGGGAGTAGTGAGAGAAGGGGACGGGGAGGGGAGAGAGGTCTCGTCCGATGCATGGGACGACCACATCAGCTACCCTTCCCTCCACCCACTGGCGGAAATATTACTAAAGTCATCAAGCCTCTTGCAACACCGAATTTGCTTCGCTTTATCGCCACACATGAAGAGCGCGTATCCATTTCTAGTCCTAAATATCACTATTGACTGATCACCACACCACTAATTCCTACCCTACGTACCTACCTCACCTCGTCTCTCCATCGCAGCCTCTTATCTCTACATCTGTACGCTCCTCGGTCCCCACCGACTCCGGAACGAGCCCCGTGTGCTCACCCTCCATCTCGTCGCCTCGCTGTCCGCCGACGGGCTACGGGCTTGCGTCTTCACGGCGATGGCCAAGAGGGACCTCAGATGCCCATGGGTGGCGCTGGCGAGGACAGATGGGAGGGAGTACCGGAACGCATCACGATGCGGGAAACAGGCGGCGCTTGTGCAGCGAGGAGATGCCACGCACACGTACCTACATGCGGAGGTGAAGTAGCGATGCCGTGCCAGTGCTTATTTAGCGGGAGGAGAGCGAGCGGAAGTCTGATGTGGTGGTGGCCGGAATTGCCAGCGTTTTGTGTTTTAGCTGTCTATCACAGCTCTACACAGTAACACCCTTCGGCGGCGTATTTTCTGAGCGTAAAGACGAACCTAAGTGTAAACGTTTGCAAATAGCTATAACCCTCTGGAGGTTCGGTATTATCTAATGCCTCCTCGGACAAAGAAGATGATTACGCGATGGGTAGGCGAAGACCTCAGGCGCCCAGGCACCTTTATACCTAAGTAAACACTAGGTACCAAGGTACCTAGAGCATGGCGGTTCTTTCTTTCTTACGTAACCCTAGGTGGCCTGCCTCCTCGACTTATTGTGCTAGTAGTACCAAGACAGGCTCGGTCACGTGGCAGCGCGTTTCACGCTATTGGCCCCCCCCGGCAGGGCCTGGCACCTCCGTGACCGACCCCGGCCTGGGTCAGGCAACCTGTGCGACAGCAGTAAGGCAGAAGAGAACTGTAGGGCAGGTTGTAGAGTTGGGCTTCTTTCTGCGCTGGTACCCCACGAGGCATGCGGTTCTGGCAAGTTTCTGGCCTCGTCTTGTTCCTGTCTTTCTCCGTCTCTGCAGACAAAGTAAGCCTACCTAAGGCTCTGCCTTTGCCCGCTGTGTTAAACAGCGCCGGCCTTTGCCTGGCCCGCCTCCGGCTGCGGGTGCCTGAGGCTGCGATACGCCCGCGCTGCAGGTACATGGCACGGTGGAAGTACCCGGGTAGGCTAGATCAGGTACCTTGCCGCACTCGACGAGGCGGGAGGTACTTGGGGTTGACTCCGAATCAACCTTAGGTACCCTAATGCGATAGGCTGGGAAGGAGGCGAGAACCAACAGGTACCCAGCCCCGGACGGCAGATCAGGTATGCGGCGAACCTGGCTGGTATGTGGAAGATACACGGCGCGGCGGTCGGCCCGGGGTATGCGGTACCTCCCTCCTATTCACAAGGTTCGCTCGTCGACACGTAACTGCCCTCCTAAGGTTTGCCTGAGGAGGAGGAGGAGCACCTCCTAGTTCTCACCGCCCTGCCGCCCTCTTCTTATCGTTCATACCGCTGGCCCGTCTCTCCCCTCCTCTCCTCTCCTCTCCTCTCTCTTCTGCCTCCAGTTATTCAATAGACCCGATCCACTCCTTCGCCCAGTCCAGTCTCTTCATCCTGCTTTCTCCTCTCCAGCCTTCGTGGGTCGACGCCTGCTTCGAGACTTGCTGCATCTGTCTTGGGTATCTGCACATCTGCTCTCCCGCAGGGCGTCTCCAACCCTCCCCGCCGTCTCTATCCTCCGTCCGCCACCCATAAGGCGGCCCGCTACGGCGCCCGTGCCCTCCTTCGAACAGGGTTGAAGCTGTTATACCCGTCCATCCATACCCGTCCACCCACCCGCCATCGCCGAGAGGACGGCATGGCGACAGCTACCCATCTCAACCATTATCGCACCCTCGAGGTGGACCGTGCTGCCAGCCAGCAGGAACTCACGGCCTCGTACCGACGCCTGGCTCTCATCCACCACCCGGACAAGAACCCAGACAACCTCCAGGAAGCGACCGTCAAATTTCAACAGGTATATGCGGCCCGGTCGCTCCCCAGCCGTATGCCCCCGCCCCCCAAAGCTCAACTGACTGATCTTCGCCCGCTCTAGATCCAGCAGGCCTACGATACCCTGTCTGACCCAGTTGAACGTTCCCGATATGATGCCCGGGCCTGTCGAGGCTCCGATGATGCATTCCCACCGGCGTCCCAGCAACCCGGGTACGATTTCTTCGACGTCGCGCGGTTCTATTACTGGCAGGACCTTTTCTCAAACCTTGAACATAACTTTTATCCCTTTCCGGATGAGCAGGTCAGTTTTGCCTTTGGGTGTAGCTATGGCTGTGGCCAGAGCGGTTTCGGCCGCCGGGAACAAGCTGCTAGAAAGGAGGCAGAGACTGCGCGAGAGGTGAGAGAAAGGGAAGAAGCTGCACAAAAGAAGGCAAGGGCAGATGCTAGGAAGGCTGAGGAGGAGGCCAAGGCACAAGAGAGAGCCAAGAGGCAGAAGAGAGAGCAGTTGGAGCAAGAGGCGTACTGGGATGCAGCGAATGCCCTGACCAGAGAGGAACGTGTCGCGGCCTGCCTGCATTCCGAGTTCTGCATCAAGACGACTCAGCGCCAGAAGTTCAAGTGCAGCGTGTGCCGCGTGAGGAGAGGGCTGATCTCCTTTGAGTGTCCCTACTGCTCGCTCCTCATCTGCCAGCAATGCGTGGGCCAATTTGCACAACGCCGTGCGGTAGCTCTGCGGAAGCAGAAGCGGGGGCCGGATCCCGACTCGGAGCCGGCTACCGATGCTGCGAAAGGTCAGTCGGCTAAGGGCGGAGCAAGCACTAAGAAGGCCCGGCCGAACGGCAAGCCCAAGGGCGCTCAAGGTCGGCCGAAGGAGACGTAGGACCGTGATTCCGCTCCACCGCTCTTGCGCTCCAGCTGCAATAAGCCGGGCCGCTTCTGCAGGGACTGCCGATTCCGCCACAACGGCCGCCAGGGTCATCAGGGCGATACCGGTAATGTCAACGGCAACAGATGGGCCCACGTCTGCCACAATCCACGACCACCAAAGACGGGTTAGTACCTCGACCAGAGGGGTCCCTGAAATGGACCAGAGAAGAGGCAGGTAGGGGCGTTCCACCGAAGGGGCGGGATGAAAGAAACGGCGAGAAACGAAATAGGGGTTAGTGTGGGGGAGGGGAGGGGGGAGATTTTGGAGTTTCTGCGTAGTGAAGATGGTGGTGTAAGATACCACCAGGAAGGGGGGAAGAGATTCGGAGATACCTCGCGTGCTCGACATGCTTGGAGACTGGAGGATGACACAGGGACCTTGCGAAGAGCGCCTCTCTTTTACCGTTCCCCCCCCCCCTCTCTCCCTCTTCTCGCCTGTTTGCCTTCTTGGACGCGGGAAAGTTTGGGTGCTTACAGGCGCGGACGTAACCCAGATCCGCACGCTAGCTCTCTGCCGTAAGAAAATTGATTTTTTTTCTCTTCTTCATTTCTCACCGCGGTCTGTCGTTTACTCCTGGCCTCCGAAACCCGCTTCCTCGGCGAACATCCCTCGCGGCCGTCGTCGTCATCACCGTCTAGCGGGGTGCGGGGGTGCGACGCAGAGGTGGCCCTACTCGGTTGCCGCAGAGCCTAACCCCTGGCGCTGGCATCGCGGCGACGTTGCCGCTCGGGGGCTGCCGGAGGTAAGATATATATAAGCAGGTAAGCAAGTAGGTAACATAGATAAACGGGACGCGCGGGAGGGGCCTTGCGCAGGTCCCGCAAGAGAGAGGGAGAGGGAGAGGAGGGAGAGAGACTTGCCTGCTCTGGCTCTGGCTCTGGCTCTGGCTCTGCTGCCGCGGGCCGGGCCAAGCCAAACCTGGCTGACCGCCTGCGCCCCCCCCCCCCTTCCCCTTCTCCCCTCCCCCTTCCCCTTCTCCCCTCCCCCTTCCCCTTCTCCCCTCCCCCCCGGCTGGCCCCTGGTCCCGGTCGTGCTGCCCGTGCATATATATGTGCGTATACGCACCATACCACTTATAGATTTGCCTGTCTTCTTCGACGCCCGCATACGCACATGTGCACGCCCACATACATACATACATACTAGTACATACATACACGAATAAGAGGGAGGGAGGAGGGGGAACACGGGAAACAGGGAAAAAGCAAACAGGAAAACTACAAAAGGAAAAAAAAAGAAAAAAGAGGAAAAAGAAAAAAAAAGAGAGGGTGGGGGGGGGGGGAAGCTTACAGGCGCAGAACCGAACGCGGGCTTGGGGCTGTTCTGCGCGCCTCAGACTTGGTCGGCGTGGCGCCGAGAGGAGGGGAGGGGATAGGCGTTAGGGTGGGTAGGTAAATTACCTACCTAACTAACAGACGGTTACAAGTACTCGGTATCAACACGAGATACAATCTAAGCGGAGAGAGGTCGCGGGAATATCACGAGATATAACAGAGACGGAGACGGACGGGGACGGGCACACACACACAGAGAGAGAGAGAGAGAGCGTCCGGCAGAAGTATAGGCGTAGTCGAGACTGGTCTTCTATTGCGAGGGGTTCCGCGGATATATACTCTATGATATATATACCACATACCTCTCCACATATATATATATAGAGGGAGATGGATATATTTCAAATTGGGAATCTGTGTCAGTTAGGAGTTTTGTCGTTCGTCGGCCTCTCCCCCCCATAGAAGCGGGGGCCGAGCGCCTCCAGTCCCATCTTCTTCCTTTCTCGTCTTCTTCCCTCTCTCGAGTCCCGTGTACGAGGGCCCCTTTCCCCCTTCAGGTCAGACCTCCTCCTCCTCCTTCTCCTCGGTGCGCAGACCCGGGTTCACCTAGCTTTGCTCGGAAATTCCTCGCGCGTGGAGACGGCGTGGATCGCGGAAGAAGAAGAAAAAAAGTGAAGAAAGAATTTGCGAACCCTCGAGTGATGCCGTTCCGTTCACCGAACGCTAAGTAAAACCCGCTCCCGCCGTCGTCCCCTCTCCTTCCTTCGATTTTGTAATTTTCAACCCCCGAAATACAGCCTGCTAGCAGACCTAGCTCCCCCCCCCCCCTCACACTCGCTTAGTGTGCGGCGTGAAAGATTTAGACAAAAGAAACAAAAAAAAAGGACTGGGAATCGATTTGGCGACGGCGGTGGTAGGGCCGGCAGGTTCGGCCCGAGAGAATTGCACGTCGTTAGAAACCCTCCTTTCTACCGCGTGTCGGGAGAAGACGATACCCCCCGCGCGCTTACTATAATTCCCCCTCCCCTCCTTTCCCTGAAATGAGGTTGCGACAAGCCGTTGTAGCTCTCGGCTCGCCTATCCTACTATGGCAACCTCCTCCTGTGAATACGAGAGAGTGCTTAGGCACTCGGATCAGAACTCGGGGTGGGCCATCGAGGACCGGAGGAGACACGAAGGAAAGAAGGGATCGCAGAAATTGTGGCAACTTGACCCGGCATATAAAATTAAACAGTACATATACACCAAAAGTCGAAGTGGTCGTCACCAACGCCCGCCGCTATGATGGCAAATGTATCGGGTCAAGTTCCGTTTCGAGAAAAAAAAAAGCATATTAATTTGAGAAGCTTCAAAGAGTGACATCGAGAACCAGGCTGACGTCCTGGACATTAGGTCCGGCCAGGTCTTCGAGAACGGGTATCAAGTCTAATAATTCGTTGTCGTGCGCATCCGAGAACCAACTACTAATCGGCACGGCGTGCTGCGGGTGGAAGATGTACGAGGTGGGAGAATTGTCGATAATTATCGTATCCTTGAGGTCCCTGCCGACCTGGGACAGATCCTTGACGTAGTTGCCCTGGTGATTATAGCAGCTCTCGCGGAATAACCGATGGTGGACGACGTTGTGGATATCGAGTTGGTCGAGCAACGGATCGCCATACTGTTTGCACACCTGTCAGCATACAAAACGTCCGATGCGGCGATGCACGCAGAGTGCACGTACCTTGGAGACCGATGCTGTGAAAACCACTACTTCGTAAAGCTCACCGACCCGCTTCATGAACTGATCGACACCAGGCCGCTTGATGACATAGACATTGTGATAGTTGCCCTCGATCTCGACGGGTATCGTGAAGTCGGCTTGATGCAGGATCTGGCCATCAAAATTAGCGCTTCCGTCACCGCCCGGCAGAAGAATTCCACGTATATCGCGCGTGGCCTACCTTGAAAGAACTGTGCACCAAGGTCTCGTCTAAATCGAGCACGAGACACTTCCTGCCCTTGAGATGAGGCTCGATGGGGGGTAGCAGAAACTTTGGTTGACCTTGTTCCACGTCCGCCGATGCGTCGTCGTGCACTATTGGGTCTGGGCTCACAATCGGTATCGGTCCTGGTCCTGGCGGTGGGGGCGGAGGGACTGGTTTCGGGTACTGGTCGTCGCCTGCCGGACCTGTCTGCTTGGCGTGTTCGCTTGTAGCTTGCTCCGTATCCGCCATCTCGACATCCCCATCGACATCACTGGGGGAAGGAACTTCGACGGGAGCCACCTCCGCCTCATGATCCTCGGCGACCGGAGGGTTGACCGTGATGCTGGGGCCGGGCACACCGACTAGGGTGGTCTGCTTTGATTCGCTCTCGCGGTCGCCAACCGTCGACTGATCCTGAGTCGTCGAACCGGAAACTCGCTTCGTCGACTTGGGGGTGTCTTGAGCCGCCGCCGTGCCTGGCTGGGGTAGCGGCTCCTTCTCCTTTTCGTATAGCTGCGTCTTGCTGCCGCTGTTCTGCTCCGAGGGTGTTATCGTTCGTCGGCTAGAGGTCAGCGGCCGTTGGGGGATCTTGTCGAGCTTGTGAGACGGGAGTGGATCTTCACCACCATCGAGGTTGTTAGCATGATTGGGGACAACACAGCAGCCAAGAAGCGACAGTAGCCCGCCCTTCTTCCGTCGATGGGGAGCCCCAGCCGGAGAATTTGGCTGCGACATGCTCGGTGTAGTGGGAGGATTCGTGGCAGCGCCGGAGTGATTGCTGGATGCACTGCCATTTCGACGGCGGCCAAGCATACTGTGCTTTGACTCCTTGGACCGACTACCAATACTATCTCTCGGATCCTCCGCGGTGGTGCCGCTCAGGCCCGTTGTTGCTGACGACGGTTGTATTTTTTGGGAGGATGACCTTGACGGGACATTAAGCAGACCGCGAGTTTTCCTCGGACTAGACCCATCCGCGTGCGCACTTATCCCCTTTTCCCTCAGACCTTCGTGCTCTACCTGCGCTCTCTCATCGGCGCCCCTGGACATTTTCAACGGCTCGGCTTCGAAGCTCGGGAGTTGCTAAGAATGGTATGCTATGCTCCTCGAAGCTGTCGTTAGACAAAGACGCATTTGGTTGGGATGCCACGCTAATAATAGCACAACAAGTAGAAGACGATTGAAATACCGCGGGCGAGACCGATGTATTGTTTGCCAGACTGGACAATAGAGATTCCATACAGTGAACAACAGTCTGACTGGCGCGAGTCGGCAATCATAAGCTGAAAATAAGAGGCACTCTCCGTCCGATTGAAGGGGGAAAAAAAAAAATTAGAACAGCGGATGGGTAAAAGGGCGTGCTCTCGGACCAGAACGAAACTGAGTGACGACGATTTGAGGGGCCTTTCGTATCCTTGGGCTTGTCGGACAGAAATGATGGAAATTATCGCTCACCTGAGTATCCAGCGTCTCGTCGACGTTAAAAGAGATAACTACCCAACCCCCTGACGCAGCAATTGGCCGCCTAAAACGGCCTTAGTCGGTTCCTGGGCCGTGTCCGCGGCTGCGACCACAACCAGAAGGGGAAGACTGGTGCGGCTGAGCCGTAGTGCAGGTAGAAGCCCTCGTCGCAGATAGCCACAAGGCGAGCGATGGGACGAAGAGAGTAGGAGAAGAGAAGGGGAGACGACGAAGAGAGGGAAGGGGAGTGAGGAAATGAACAGAGATGACGGATGCGACGAGGAATATCAGCAGGCGCGCCGTGGAGTAGAGCCGTGGAGAGGGAGGACTGGAGGCTTATTGTGATAATTCCGGGGGGGGGGGGGGGGGGGATGAGGAGTGGGTCGAGGGCCGCTTGGGACTTTGCGAATTCGAGTAGCGAACGGGCGAGCGAACGGGAGGTGCTAAACGATCTGGACCGACTGAAAGCAGAGCACAGATGGTGAGGCTCGAACGGGTTACGGATTCTGCGAAGGGCGGGTATCGTATCTCGAGATCAAATAGCAGGTACCAAATCCGAAGTGGTGAATGGCCTACCAAATGCCCCCCAAAAAATATGGCGACGAGAACCCGGGGTCAAGGCATTCAGTCAGTAGGACAGCAGGTGGTGGGCAGGCAATAAACGGCAGGCTCATTAGTAAAAAAAAAAAAAAAAAAAAATAATAAAATAAAAAACGGGGGGGGGGGGGAGAGAGGAAGGGAGAAAAGAAGGTAAGGATGGCACAGGCTGTCGGAGGAGAACAGCAGCGTAGTAAGGTAGATGGGACAGGGTAGACTGGGTTGGACTGGACAGGGTAGGTGAAAAAGGAAGAAAGAAGAACAGAGAGCGAGCGAGGGCTACCCTGACTCTCGCTATCTCGCTGTCTCTCTCTCTCGCTATCTTCTCTCTTTCTCTCTGCCTCTGCGTGTGTGTGTGTGTGGTGTGTGTGTTGTGTGTGCGCAGAGTATGTGTGTGCGATCCCGCCTGGTCCAGTGTCTTGCTTCGCGGAGGCTGATGAAGAAAGTCTGGAATCGCAAGCGAAATGATTTCCGCAGAGGACCTTGGGACCGACGACAATTGGGGGAGGAGGAGGGAAGGGAAGGGCACGGAGCAATTTGGCCAGGGCAGGGGGGGTATGTGCAGGGTGGGAGGGCGTGGGCAGGGTATACACGGGCGGCGGCGCAGGGAGCAGGAGAGCAGAAAAGCCGCTAGCGCACACACTGGTGAAGGATGGCGACAGGGGGGGGAGGCAGTACGTATATATTGTACCGCTACGACGGGGCACGAGGTGCATGTTAGGGCCCGGCCAGGTACCCAGCACAGGTTCGGGGCGCCCATGTGTACTTCCAACCTGGCGGGGGAGAATACCTGCGCCGCCTGCTGCTGCTACTGCAATCTTGCCTGTCCCCCTTTTTACCCACACCCTCCCCCCCCCCCTCCGGAGCTGATTGTTCGCTCCTAGTCGTCCGCCCCGCTGCCTGGGTGGCAGCAGTCACCTTCGCAGGCTGGTCCTGGTTGGGCGCTACGGCCTGGTCCAATCCCGTGGCGGGCGACCACTAAGATTGCCCATTTCCATCGCTGGGCTGCCTGTGCCGGGCCACCCTGGTGATTACAGTACCTCGGTAGGCTGGTATCGTCATGTACTATACCTGCCCTCTGTTCCCCGACCTACGTGCCTCGACATACCGCACGTCCGCTGCATCAGGTACCTTCAATGCGCTTTTCAAGAGTTGGGAGGTACCTATCTCAGGTAGTACCTAAGGTATAGTAGGTAGTACCCAGGGCACAGCATCCAACGTCGGAATCAATACCTAGGTACCTTTTATAGGTACGGGTACCACCTAACCTAACCTACCTCTGTATCTATCCAACACATCATACACGACCCCTAGCCTACCTCTACCTGTAGGTGGCGCGCCGACTATACCTATGAATGACGACACGAGATATCTGTACGATGTACCTATTACCTACCTCCTACTAGGTACCTCCTCCTAGGTATAGGTACCTAGGTATTTGCCTGCCTCTCCAAGGCCCGTAGCTGGCATCGGTACACCATAGCTCGGTCCCCTATGGGCAGAATTCCGTACAGCCGGCACTGAGACAACCGAACGTTGATCAGCAATGCAACCTCTGCATGGCTGCATCCGTTAAGACGAGTACGGGGGGGCCTGTACGGGTTGCTAACAGGCCGCGTCCTGCTTTGGTGCTGCATGCAAACCACGCCCCGTCGCGGCCCACCTGGGCCTGGAGCTGTTGGCTCAGGTACATCCATGGCAGATACAGGTACCTTAGGTACCTAAACTACTTACCTTAGGTACCTAAGGTACCTACCTACCTCCTGTGCACAGATATGGATCGTACCTGGGCTAGTACCAGCACGCCTACGTACCTCTACATTACCTCTACCTAAAAGAGCTATCGATGCTCCCCCCCCACCTCCATTTGATTGACAGAAAATGCTCCCCCCCTCGTCCTAGCCACCTTTGCAATTTCATGTGTACCTAACTCTCTTCTTCCCTTCCTCGTCATATCCCATCCTCATGGATCCCGCCCATCTGTGATCCTGTCCACCTGTCCGTCTACATATATATCACGTAGGCATTCATCCCGTCCCGATCCCACCACCGCCCTGACTGCGTGCTGGCGCGCGGGTTTGTTTCCCACGAGAGCATAGGCCGTCGCTAGTTCCGGCGCCCGGGCTGCGTTCCGTATACCGTCCATCTCCTGCCTCGCTCCAACCCGCTGCCGCCAGCGTTACCAGTGATTCGCATCAGGCCTGCAGACACATGCGTACGCTATCACAAGTCCAGATCTCAATTTGGAGAACCGCCGGACCCAAACCATCGAAATACACATGCCCTGCACTATACCCATACCGGTTGCATGTATGTACGTACGGGCGTCTCCACCAGGTTGGCACATCCGGCCATCTCTCTATGCGCGTCGTGCCCATACTTACATATGTACGCCCGTCTCCTCCCTCCTGTCTCCTACCCAGTTAGGCAAGTAAGACGCCTCGGGTACTATTTCTGTCCGTCCTGGGCTTCCTTCGTCCAACCTCTTCGTAGACACGCGGCACAAACAACACCGGGCACCAGCGTCGCCACCGCCGTGCAAACACTGGTAGGCAACGCTGTCACGGCGAAAAGATTCCAGATTCCAGACACGGCCAGAAGGCGGAGGGCCCTCGCTTGCGCTGCATGCTGCACGACCCTTCTGATCGCCCACCACGTCCGGGCCAGTGGTGTAGGTGCGTCGGCTTAGCTCCGTCTCACAGCACCCCTACCTACGTGTACGGCATAGAGGCGGTAAGTGGCTCGAGCCCGGGTTCGAGCCCGGGTCGTATGAAAGCGCCCTGTCTCTTTTCTCAGATCGACACGACGCCGGTGGCGCAACTCGACCGACATGACATATTCAATGCGTCCGCGTCGAGGGCAGAGACTGTCAAGGTAGATTGAGCTGGGTGTAACATCTTGGTTCCGACCGGTGATTGGACGCGTTGGCGCCCGTCACAGTGATGGCTGAGCCATAGGCCACCGCCATCCACCCGCCTACATGGGACGTGAGCCGGTCTTGGGCCGCTCGGAAGTCTAGGACCCTCCGGTGAGTGGCCAGAATGGGAGTCGACGTTATGCGAATCGGGTATACATATATCTACCACCATGCCCTCGTACGGAAAGGGGAATTCCACGGGCGTCGGCCCCTTCACACACAGCTACCCGCGATTGGCTTCGACGTCTCGATTTCTCTGCTGTCTCTGCTAGCTTCGGACCGGCGGCTACGACCCTTCCAGTCGGGACGTGTGGAAAGGGCCAGTTGCTGTCATCGGATCTATCGTCGGATCACGAGCCGCCCGTGTACTTGCTGACCGTCAGTCGCCTTATGCAACGGCTTCGGTGATTCATTCCTCGACCTCCCCGATCTGCAAAGTTGTCCATGTGTTTCCCCAGACTTTTCCGTGACCAGGCCGGCTCGTAGGGTGGGATAAATTGGAGTCTCAGTCCTCCTCCTCCGTGCCTAATGCACGTTCGTGCTGATGCTGAGCGGTACGTACCTACCTAACCTAGCACAACCTTATGAGTAGAGGTAGGTAGGTACACAGCAGTACGCAGAATGCCTACCTAAGCTACACCCTGCCTGAGGTACCTGCTGAGGTACCCGACTGCTAAGCCACATCGAATGGCGGATCGTGGGGAATGCTAGCGTCACGTGGCTAAGGCCTCTTTAGGCTTGATCATCCTGCAAAGTGGCGAGCTACATGGTACCTCGCGTCGTCTATTGGTCTTAGGTAAGCCCCTGGCCCCAGCGGGCGGACGAAGGGTGACATAGGGGGCAGGTGTATGTACGTGTACATAGACAGGTATTTAATGCGTAGCAGTACCTATTACTTGGGCAAAGCACACGGCCTCCCACCGTCGACTTAGTAAGGCTGAGGTATCGGGGACACATCCATCCTCAACCTCGGGCCATCACATGCCTCAAAGCTCAATTCCCAGCCCGCCACCAGTGACGGAGTTACGAATACCTGCTCCGAGTCCTCCTCTCCTTTCTTCTTCTCGATCACCCCCATGTTCGTAACATCAACCGGTATAGCCCTGCGTATTCGATAGACACCCTCGTAACATCCTATTCGCGTCGCATGGCGTGGGAGAGAGCTCGATAATAGCAAACGACTTGTGGCCGATGGCACGCGCGGGCGACTGATTTCGTGCCAGCCCTCCTCGATGTCGCCTCGCGATGGCGGCGCAATCCACCCTCCGTCACTCGGCATCCGAGGATGTCCTCGCGGCGTTCCTCGATAAATACACGAACCTGATCCGAGATCGGCTGCGAAGAACGTCGCGACGCACCAGGCTGCTCGCTACTCTCGCTCTCGCCACGTCCATCATACTCAGCGCTGAGGGTGCTCGGAGATGGTGGAGCCGGAGACGGCGGGAGAGGGAGCAAGGCCGCAAGCTCCTGCGCACAAATTCGTGGTTGTTCAACAAGGATGGCTCGCGGACGATTTACGTACCGTACAAGGACGGGACGTCCAAGGTGGTCATCCACCGGACGAAGCCCCTAACCTTCGAGGCGCACCGTCGACTCTTCTTAAACCCGCCCAAGGTCTCGGGGCTGGGCGACGGCACCGTCCCTTCGGCGCAGACCAAACCGGGGCTGAATCTGGCCTTCCTACACCAGTTCCTAAGCTTGATGAGCATCATGATCCCGCGGTGGACCAGCAAAGAGGCGGGGTTGTTGGTCAGCCACGGCGCGTTTCTCCTGCTCCGCACCTATCTCTCTTTGGTGGTTGCGCGTCTGGACGGCGAGATCGTCCGCGACTTGGTTGCCGGCAACGGAAAGCAATTTCTCTGGGGTATCGTTAAGGTATCTGAGTCTACCCGTCGTGTGCCCAGCTGTTGGCCGATTGCTAATACTCTGCTGTAGTGGTGCGGGCTCGGTGGCTTTGCCTCGTATACCAATGCCATGATCAAGTTCCTAGAGTCCAAGGTATCCATAGCATTCCGAACTCGGCTGACGCGATACATCCACGACTTATACCTCAACGACAATCTGAATTATTACAAGCTATCCAACTTGGACGGCGGCGTGGGGCAAGGAGCCGATCAGTTCATCACCCAAGATCTCACCCTCTTCTGCGCCTCTGCTGCGAATCTCTACTCCTCGCTAGGGAAGCCTTTTGTCGACCTCTGCGTCTTCAACTTTCAGCTGTATCGCTCCCTTGGCCCCCTAGCTCTGACCGGTCTTATGAGCAACTACTTCCTGACAGCGAGTATTCTACGACGGATGTCGCCGCCTTTCGGGAAGCTCAAGGCAGTCGAGGGTCGCAAGGAGGGAGATTTCAGGAGTCTGCATGCCCGCTTGATCGCGAATGCCGAAGAAGTTGCCTTCTACGGCGGCGCCGAGATGGAAAAGACGTTCCTGAATAGAGAGTTCAAATCGCTCAAGACTTGGATGGAGAGCATCTACCTGCTCAAAATTCGGTATAATATTCTCGAGGACTTCATCTTGAAATATAGCTGGAGTGCATACGGCTACCTCCTGTCTTCCCTGCCGGTGTTCCTCCCGGCATGGGGCGGCTTGGGAGGCGCGATGGAGATGCTCGAGGGCGCCGAGAAAGGCGGGCGGGAGCGGAACCGCATGAAGGACTTCATCACGAACAAACGGCTCATGCTCTCGCTCGCAGACGCCGGAGGGCGCATGATGTACTCTATCAAGGACCTTTCCGAGCTAGCCGGTTACACGAGTCGCGTCTACACTCTCATCGCAACTCTGCATCGCGTCCACGCCAACGCCTACTTCCCGCAGCCGAGCGGCAACGAGCTATATTCCCTATCCGATGTTCAGGGCACCATCCAAAAAGGCTTTGACGGTGTGCGATTCGAGAACGTGCCTGTCGTCGCGCCTGGGCTGTGGCCCCAGGGCGGTGAGGAACTATTAGATTCGCTGTCCCTCGTCGTCCGGCGAGGGGAACATCTACTGATATCTGGCCCGAATGGCGTTGGCAAAAGCGCTATCTCGAGGGTACTCGCCGGGCTCTGGCCAGTTTACCGCGGCTTGGTGAGCCGGCCCAAGTCGATCGGCGAGGACGGAATCATGTTCCTTCCCCAGCGCCCGTACTTGAGCGTCGGTACTTTGCGTGACCAGGTTATCTATCCAGACGGGGAGCTCGATATGCGGCTCAAGCGTAAAAGCGAAGATGAGCTCAGGCGGGTGCTCGACGCTGCCAAGCTAGGGTACTTACCAGACCGCGAAGGCGGCTGGGACACTCGGAAGGAATGGAAAGACGTCCTAAGCGGCGGCGAGAAGCAGAGGATCGGCATTGCCCGCCTACTGTACCACGAACCCCAATACGCAGTCATCGACGAAGGCACGAGCGCAGTCTCGACCGACGTCGAGGGCCTGCTGTACGAGACGTGCAAGGAGAGGGGCATCAGTAAGTCGGAGCTGCGCCTTATTCGGTCCGGTCCACCAGCTAACCTAGGGAAACCAGCCCTGATCACGATTTCGACGCGAGCCTCCCTGAAGAAGTACCACACCTTCAACCTGATCCTCGGGATGGGGGAGAGCGGCGACGAGTGGGAGTTTGAGCGGATCGGGACGGAGCGGGAGAAGATGCAGGTCGAGCGGGAGCTCCACGAGCTCCACGAGCGGCTGTCGCAGGTGGAGGAGTGGAAGCGGCGCCGCGAGGAGATCGAGAAAGAGCTCGCCCAGGTCTGGGTCGAGGGCGATGCCTCGTTGGATCCGCCCCCCTACGTTGACAACGCTGACGACGCCGAACCCGAGGCCGAGAAGAGTTAAGGCGCGGTCTAGGGGATGGCCGCCCCGCGCCGAGGCCCGCCGCCTGGCCTCCTTATACGATTACGATGTACGAGATGCTCTGGGGTGAGCCGAGGCCGACGCAGCGTAGTATATTAGAACACTTTCCACCGTCGTAGAACCTTTAGAGCGGTAATTCAATGCTCACTTTCTTACGTAGCGACTCCACACATGGCAATACAGCAAGGCATTACCCAGGCGTTTTATAGCGCTTATGCCTAAGACTATGTGTTGTCCCGCTGGCTGACAGGTATGAATATCTCTCTGCATGGTCTCGTTCGTAGTTGGTGAGCTCCTATTAGGAAGTGGATGCCACGTCTGGCACAAAACCTACCCGACTGGAGAATATGATAGGGCGGGGGTTTTTTTTTTCATATGGCTCTATCCGTGTAGGCCTGGGTGGGATCTCCCAGCGCGTTCAGCTCTTTCAGCCTTGCAAGGCAGACATAGCCCAATCCACAGTGAGGCCGCCTGGGTAAAGCAGCACTGCTCAAGAATGAGAGTAGGCCGTCTCATAGCTTTCGTCACGATGCCTTCTCAGTCCGTCTGCATTAGTCAGGCCCCGTCTTCTGTGCACTGCCTAGCTCTCGAGAGGATCGGGAACGAGTCACTTTGGCCAATACCTACACCGTCTACTTTACGTACCATCATGTATTAACTTCATTCCTACCCGCCACACACCCTCACTTTCTCTCTCTCTCTCGTTAACCAGCAACTACGCGCCCATTACAGCCATCAAAACTCCCGCTAGGTCAGGAGTTGGCCGCACCTCCTCCCCAGCTTCGACTGCCTCCGCGATCGTAACATTATGGCGACTAGACGCCGTCGTCTTGAGAAATCCCTCCACAGAAAAATCGAATATGATGATGAATTGCCCCCGTATGCGCCAAGGGACCCGGGGTACAGAATCAATCCGGCATGGGATGTCCCAGAGCTGGTACCCGACGAAGATCCGCCTTGCACCCACTGGGCCGAGAGCGAGTGCCGGTTAACCCTCAGGCCTCGGCAGTGCTGCTCCTGCATAGACAAGCGGCCGGAGACAGAGTCGGGCCTATACCCTATGTACGTCGACGGCGAGGGCTGGGTAGAGAGAGCGGCGAGGTGGAAATATTATTGCTCCGGCTGCCACGGTGCGTCTACCCCCCCCCCCCCCCCCCCCAAAAAAAAAAGAGACCCACGAACCCCGTGGTGGTGCGCGCGTGCCGTCTGACTCGCGACAGATTATTTCCAAGCGGCGGGAGCGCCGAATGCCCTCCCGGACAGACGTGCCGAGCAACAGAAGCCCGGCAAGGCCGTAGAGTCGGGAGACGAAGAGACGGACTGGAATGGCTGCGGCCTCGGACGCTGGATCCTGAAGTATCTGCGAGGGTGCAAAGGAACAGACGGCCGGCATTGAGTCGCTTCGCCAGTCGATCGGCTACGGTGACATTCGCTATTCCCGGTGGCACCGCATGTCTCAACCCGGTTCCATGGCAGAAAGAGGTGGTGACATGCGCACAACGCACAACGCACAACCCCCCTTTACCTCCTCACCACCGTACTACCCTACCTCATATGTTGCATCTGTGCCTTTACTTCGTCTTAATGGAACCGTTGTCCTGGCGCTTCCCTGACGACAAGTACTGGGCCACCCCCTTCGCGCTGGCCCAGCCTGGACACTTTCGAATCGACGTCTGGCTTCACGACTCAACTGAAGAGCATTTAGCGCCTGTTGGGTAGCGATATTGAACTTTAACGCTCCAGCAAAGACGTGGCTATGTATGCCATTCTTGCGCAGATTCAATACCCGTCTTAAACCCGGTAGAGATTCATTACGTGGTGTCGGGACTTCCAGAGACGCTAAGGGGGCTTTAGCGTTGAGTTGTTATCAGACTTGAGGGGACTGGCCATAAGTTGTGTGCCCGATTATATATACCTATGGTGTGTGTGTGTGTGTGTGTGTGTGTCCCGTCCGTCTATACCAAGGAACAAGAGTTGGTGAACCATTCCCGCCAGCCACCCACGGGACTCAGGAACACGGCAACTGGCAATCCCATCGCATCTGGCGAGCTGTCGAAATGCAGCATGCTTGAGTAGCGAGACGACGGAGCACACATGCCGAAGAACTCCGCCCGGCCATCCAACACGCCATATCAGCACAATGATGACCTACAATCGCGAGCTCTGCCTCCGGCCCAGGGCGTCCCTTTATCGCAAACTCCTTACTCATACTCTTTACTCAAAGCACCTCGGCCGGAGCCCCCGATAAGCGACGGCTCGACCAACGGTCGCGCGCGACCGGCTCGCCCTATCAAAAGCGCGAGGAAAACCCTCCCCTGTCCCATGTCGCGGCAACGCAACGCCCCCCCCCCTCCCTGCCGTGCTTCGTCGTGTTCCCGGGAATCTCGACCAAACTGCCCGCCCGCGGACGGCGAGAGATAACAATTCGCGGCCTGGCGCGGGCAGATCCTGCAACGCGCGACGGACCGCATGCGCACACACGTGTGGAGATTCGCCCGCTTATCCTATCTGACTCGTCGCTTTCCGGTTCACGGCATGAGTTGGTGGCAGGGGGGAAAGGGGGAGGGGAGGGGGGATCGTCGCGCGCAGCATGCGTCTGTCTGCTGACGGGCGCGGGCAGCACGGGCGTATCACGGCCGCTACACGAGGATCTTATCGGTTCGGGTGACAGGCCTTCCTGGCTGGCTTCGTCTGAAGCATGATGAAACGTTCATCCGTACGTGGGCGCCTCCGCGTTGCTTGCATTGTTCCTATCAGTTCCCTCGATGCTGCTGCTGCTGCTGCTGTCGCCTTATAGCTGCTTGCGCCTGACTCGCGATATATCAGCCCCTTAGACGCACCGGCGTATATATTCTAGGCGCAAGGTATACCTACGTGTAGAGACAGGAGAGAAATTGCTGCCTCGCTACCCGTTATTGTTATATCGGACCTGCGAAGATAACCCCCTCCCTCCCCCTTTCCCCTCTCCTGCTGACGCGGAAGTCCTGTGTACCTCTCGAGGTGTCAGCATGGCGACAAGCATCCCCGCCGCCGACGAGGAGAAGAAGTCAGAGCTCGGGGGCTTCGACAACGAGACCATTGCTGCCGTTGATCAAGGCGTTCTGGTCAATGCCGCCGGCTACAAGGACCAGCTAAAGCGCCAGTACGGCCTGCTCGGAATCGTTGGCATCGCTCTCACGGTCGACAACGCCTGGGCAGCGCTGGGTTCGTCGATATCCGTCTCTATCCGTAAGATGCCCCCTTTCTCTCTCTCGTAACCTCGTAGCCGTGCGGCCGCGTGACGTCAAGTTCGCTCACTCCTCAACCGTTGGTAGTGAATGGGGGTCCTCCGGGGCTGATATACGGCCTTATCGTCGCTTTCTTCTGGTACACCTTCATTGGTCTGAGCCTAGCCGAGGTACGCGCGACCCTCTACCGAGCTGAGAGCTCGAGCGCGCTCGCCGATTGCTCACCCGCGTTAGCTTGCCTCGTCGGTGCCCACGGCCGGCGGCGTCTACCACTGGGCGACGATCGCGGCCGGCCCGAACTGGGGCCGCGCCGTCGGCTTCTTCGCGGGCTGGATCAACTTCTACGGCTGGATGTTCGACCTCGCCTCGCTGCTGCAGATCACGGCCAACATCCTCGTGCAGATGTACGCGACCTGGCACCAGGGCACCTACGCGCCGCACCCCTGGCACGTCTACGTCACGTACGTGATAGTCCTGTGGCTTTCGGCCGCCTTCGTCGTCTTCGCGAACAAGCTCATCCCGTACACCCAGGACTGCGGCATGTTCTTCGTCGTCGTCGGCGGCATCGTGACGATCGTCGTCATCTCGGCGATGCAGCCGAGCACCCACGCCAGTAACCACTTCGTATGGGGTTCCTTCGAGGAAAATAACTGTCAGTATATATCTGGAGCTGTCTCTGATCCCACGGGGCACACCATCCCTGGCCTTGGACCGTCCGAGACATCTGCTGACCGCAGGCGTTTCTTTAGTGACGGGATGGCAGGGCGGCGTCGCGTTTCTCCTAGGCGTGCTGAATGGCGCGTTCACCATCGGCACCCCTGATGCTATCACCCACATAGCAGAGGAGCTACCGCAGCCGCGGAAAGACCTTCCGCGGGCTATCGGACTCCAGATCGGGCTGGGTTTCATCTACGCCTTCGCCTTCGCCATCGCCATAGGCTATGCTATCACGGACCTCTCCGAACTGCAAGGCGGCATTAACACCTACCCTCTTGCGGTTATATATCAGCAGGCAACCGGGAGTTCGGGCGCGACCTTTGGTCTCCTCTTCATCTTGTTTCTCACCAGCATGTGCTGCTGCGTCGGAACTATACTGACTAACTCCCGCACGTATTGGGCGTTGGCGCGGGACAACGCCGTGCCATTCTCGAGCATCTTCGGTCGAGTCAACGAAGGGCTCAGCTGTCCCATCTACGCTACCTTGTTTGTCTCGGTAATCGCCACGGGGCTGGGCGCGATTCCACTCGGGAACACGAGTGCTTTCTTAGCTCTCACGGGCTCCTTCATCGTCCTCACAACGGTGTCCTACGCGATACCCTTTGCCGCGAACATGTTGACCGGCCGGAAGTACTTCCCTGCGGGGCCTTTTCATCTCGGGAAATTCGGCAACTCGCTAAACCTGGTGGCTGTCTTGCTTATAGTCGTGTTCGACATTTTCTTCTGCTTCCGTACGTCGCAGCACTCTCTTCATAAGAACCCACTGCTGATTTTGCCGCTGTAGCGTACGAGATCCCCACGAGCGTCGAGGCGATGAACTACAACAGTGTGATCCTTGTTGGCACCATCGCCATGTCGTCGTTATGGTGGCTACTACATGCCACTCGCCATTACCCAGGGCCAAAGGTGATGAAACTATACATCCATAACGACGCGGTTCCGTCAGATGATGCTGGAGTCGTCGACAAGAGCCATACGCCGACCGAGCCCGGAAGCGACCCTGCCACGTAAAAGCTCGCAAGGAAATGGAAAGAAGAGTCAATCTAAGAAGAAGTTGCGTGTACGGATGCAGACTTAAATTCCGATCCTTTCATGTTGCTGCTTAGACTTTTACGAAGCCATTATAGCTGAATTACTGGATAATACACGGAGCCGTCTACAGAACCACCATCGAGGCCATAATAAGCCAAGACCAAATAGAAGGAATGTCTAATGAAAATATTCCGAACCCCTGAAAACGTGCTCTAGAGAATACGACGTCCAAGCCCCATTTGTCGCCAGCGTCCCACGTGAAGACCCGTGTTCGCGGATGTTCGGTGTTCCCCGTGCCGCTCTACCAAGACATCGCTTACCGTAAATAGAGCGCCCCGACAGGCCTCACTGCTAGGGTGCGGATCTATATGCTCCCAACGGGAAATCTCGGAGGGCTTCGCGCCGACTTCAACATTTCCGAATCGGGGCGAAGCGCCGGCGAGCCTCCTCTGTCTGCGCATGTTTCCGGCGAGATGAACACCACGTTGTTTCATGCTATCTGGTATCGCGTTTCCCTGGCCTTGTATAGATGGCGGGCGCTACGAGGATTTGGGGAGCTTGATAGAACCCAACCCAACGCTCCCTCGCATTGTAACAGAAGAAATAGGGAAAAAGGAGCACGACAAAGCCCCCCATATCCCCATCTCCCAGCCTACAGGTACCCTACATGCAGTTTATCCCCACAGCGCGTCGTTCAGCCCGCTGTGTGGAGAGCTTATGGGATGAGATGGTGGTGTGTGATCTCGCGATCTGTCGTTGCATTGCTTCCGCAAGGGCGGATTCTAGCCCAGGCCCCGTATGGATGATTGGAGGGCCACCAATGGCATCAAGACCACCCTGCCCCGAATGTGACAATGGAGCCCGACGATCCGTCTTGAGCGGTCCTTGCTCGTGGTGCCTCGGCGGAGCCCTAGGGGGCATTTCGCATCGGGAGCTTCCATAAAAAGACGAACAGCATCGGACTCGAGCCGCCCGCCCATGCTAGCTCTCTGCGTCTGCGCTTCCTACTTCCGGCGATAAGTCTATCGTCGCCAACTTCTCGCAGCTAGACCACCAACCAGCGGTAGCCGAGATGAAGTATTCTAGAGCCGCGCTGCTCTCCCTCGCTGGCCCGGCTGCGGCCCAGGTGCAGGGTTGGGGGCAATGCGGCGGCCAGGGCTACTCGGGGGAAACGGCCTGCGTGTCGGGCTTCGTCTGCCAGTACTCGAACCAGTGGTATTCGCAGTGCGTGCCGGGTATGATGACCCCTTTCCCCGCCCCCTATCCCTATACAGCTGCAAAGAGGGTCGAGGGGGGGCAACACGATGCTAACGCGGACCCAGGGACCGCGGCGACCACCGCCGCGCCGCCGCCGCCGACGACGACTACGGCAGCCGTGCCTAGCAGCACGCGCACCAGCGCATCTCCGGGGGCGACGGGCTTCGCGAAGACGGACGGGCTGCAGTTCAACATCGACGGGGAGACGGGGTACTTCGCGGGCACCAACAGCTACTGGATCAGCTTCCTGACGAACAACGCCGACGTCGACAAGACGCTCGACGAGCTGGCGCGCGCCGGCCACAAGATCCTGCGCATCTGGGGCTTCAACGACGTCACGTCGCCGCCCGGCAGCGGCACCGTCTACTTCCAGCACCTGTCCGCCGGCGGCTCCACCATCAACACCGGCCCGAACGGCCTCCAGCGCCTCGACTACGTCGTCTCCTCCGCCGAGAAGCGCGGCATCAAGCTCATCATCAACTTCGTGAACAACTGGAGCGACTACGGGGGCATTCCGGCCGTGAGTTTCCCCCCCCCATGGTAGCAGCGTTAGTTGCGACACGAACGCCAGGTGGCTAACTCGTGGTTATGCGTAGTACGTGGCGGCGTTCGGCGGGACGCAGAAGACGTGGTACACGAACAGCGCGGCGCAGGCGCAGTACCGGGCGTACGTCGAGGCGGTGGTGTCGCGGTACGCGGGGTCGGCGGCGGTGTTCGCGTGGGAGCTGGCGAACGAGCCGCGCTGCAACGGGTGCGAGACGGGGGTGCTGACGCGGTGGGCGGCCGAGACGTCGGCGTACGTCAAGAGCCTCGACCCGGCGCACCTGGTGACGCTCGGCGACGAAGGCTTCGGCCTCGCCGGCGACGGCAGCTACCCCTACCAGTTCGCCGAGGGCGTCGACTTCGCCGCCAACCTCGCCATCGACACCCTCGACTTCGCCACCTTCCACCTCTACCCCAGCCACTGGGGCACTTCCTACGACTGGGGCAACGCCTGGATCCAGGCCCACGGCCGGGCCTGCGCCGCCGCCGGCAAGCCCTGCCTCTTCGAGGAATGTGAGTAGACCTACCTACCTTACTCCCCCTGGCATTCCCTTCTGTTAGACTCGAGAGTTCCCGCGCCCCGGCTGACGTTCGCGACTGCTACCCGCCGCTGCAGACGGCTCCGAGACCGACCACTGCGGCATCGAGAGCAAGTGGCAGGCGACGGCGCTCGCGACCGAGGGCGTCGCCGCCGACCTGTTCTGGCAGCTCGGCACGACGCTCAGCACCGGCCAGACGCACAACGACGGCTTCACCATCTACACCGGCTCCTCCGACTGGACCTGCCTCGTCACTAACCACATCGCCAACATCGCTAGTAGGTAGGTCCCGCGCGGCCTCCGGCGGCCGTTGGCGCTTTTGGCTTGCCGTTCTCCGGTCGTAGACAGGAGGTGCATGGTCCGCGGCGAGAGGGGACCGGGAGGACTGTTGTATACATAGGTAGCCAGATAATGGATGCTGCGCTGTGTCAAGCAGCCATGCTTTGCGAGTATAGAGCGTGAAGTGAGGTAGACTCGAAATTCGTGCGTGAAAAGTAACCGTCCGATCTACCCCTGAATGCCTAACTGAACTGAACTGACTTGCACGCATTGGTTCTTATTCCTACATAGGTAATTACATTCCACCCATGACACGGCATCAGCTAACAACAAACATCTTTGTATACCATCGAGTCTGCGTATATGCATCGGCCATTGTTATATACGATGTGCAAACCTATATGTTTTTAGATTCCAGGTTTATGCGTCGCGTTGTTCTGCCCCTAGACAGAACCGCACTTCGAGGGATATCGTGCAGCCGACGCCATTTGCCAGGAAATCTGAAAATTAAGCCAACCAAACATGCCCCCGGTAGCACCCGTATCCCCCTCAACCATTTCTCATCTACAATGCCGTATGCGTAACCGAATCGTGTGTAGATGCGTCGCCAATCGCCGGTCGGGCCGGCGCGGTAGGGCGGTGCCCGAGCCTCTGTATAAACTTGAAGGCGGTCCGGTTCTCGAGGCGGCGAGCCTCTTCGCGCTCGTGCTCCTCGTCCTTCCTCTCCTTCTCGAGGATCCGGCGCTCCTTAGCGGCGCTCTCGCTCGTGTCCAGCTCGGCCTCCTTGGCGCGCCGGGCGGCCTCCGGGTCGAGCAGCCGCTGCTTCTGGCGCCGGAGCGCGCGTGCCGCCTCCTTGCCCTTCCTCTTGATCCTCACGTACAGCTCGAGCCCGACCAGCACGGCGTAGCTCCTGCTGATGCTGACGTGCGACATGTCGGCGCCCTCCTCCTCGAGGCTGCGCACAAAGGCCCGGAAGTTCGACGCCGGCGGCCGGTAGTGGCCCGACAGCGGCGACAGGCTCGACAGCCGCCCGTTCTTTATCTTGATCAGCCCCGCGGCCGATATGCGCGAGCCCTGCAGGAACGAGCTGTGCTGGAAGGCGCCGCTGGTTTTGATGCCGACGTATAGGCGGAACGACGTGTCGGCGACGAAGATCCAGGTATTCCTGCGCACGGTTTTGCGCAAGAGCTTGTTGAAAATCGTCGCGACCGTCAGACGCCGGATCTTCTTGACGCCTTTCGCACTGTCAAAGTCAGGGTCTGTGTATTTTGCCGCCCTGGCGGCCTCCAGCCTAGACTCGCGGGAAGAAGCCGAAAACGTATTGAAACTGGAATGGTCATGTGGTTCGGGGGAGCCACCCGCGCCGGATGTCTCTTGCGCGTGTCGTTCGAGAGCGGGAGCAAAAGCTGGTGTGGGATCGTCCACACGTACGATGCCGTGAAGGCTATCTTTCCAGTCCTCGGTGGTGTCGATCCGCTGACCGTTCTTGGCCCAAACCAGACGGCCTTGGGAGTCGACTTTCACTAGATAGTATTGTCTTTCCTCCCGGCTCAGATAACGGACCTGCTCGCGATCCAAACGATCCCTGGGACATGCTACTAAATCTATAAGCCTCCCTTCGCCAAAGTCTAGCCAGTAGAAGAAATTCTCGTTCGTATCTGACTTCTTCCACTCTTCGTGGTACAGTGTAAGGTTTGAACCGTAACGATGCTTGAGGTCCACCATTTCCAAAAAGTACTGTAAGCCCATCATCCGAGCGTGTTCTCGTCTTTTGTCCTGGGTTTTTATGCGTTTCTTTTTCTCAGCAGCTCTCCGTTCCGAGCTCGCCCTGCTCAACTCCTCTCCAGCGGGCGAAGAAGGCGGGTGGTCGGAGGAGGAGGGAGATGAATCCTCATCTGCACCCGCATGTCGAGCTATGGCAGCAACTTTCATCCAGTTTTGCCTAGCTACAGACCGGCTCGTGCTAGGCCTCGTCCCGCTACCTGCATCCTCACTCCCGGCACTCATCGCACTACCCCGCCGGGCTCGTGGCGTGTTCAATTCTTTCCACCGCGCATCCCTGATAGCATGTGTCCATCTGGTGCTTGCGTCTAATCCTAGTCCTTGTATCTCCCTCCTGACGCGGTATCCACGATACGTTCGCTGTATGACGATGGCCGCCTGCGTCCTAATAGCTTCTTGCAGGGCGTTTCCGCTGCTCGGCGTCGCGTGTTCCGCAGCCTTGAGCAGCATGAAATCCTGCCTTGCCTTCATGCACATCTGCACGTCGATAATAATGTGACGGCGGAGCTCTTGATTACGATGCTTGTGTTCTTTCTCGCGCTGCTCCTGTAATTTTGCTAGGCGTTCGAATTCCTCGCCTGATGGCGGCTGCAACGAGTCGAGGTATTCCTGGTGGCTCCGATGCGACGTGGTTTTGCCGAGGGAAGCTTCGGACTCCCGGCGCGGTCCAGGTGAAGGCGGCGTGCCCCCGACGGGGGCGGAGGTCTGTGAAACCTGCCTGGAAAAAGAACACGGAGGTGGTGACCCCGTACGTTTCGGTGACGGTGAGGATGCTGGGTGGCTGATATGTTCACACTCCGTCATCTTGACACCTCAGTCGACACCGAATGTCCTTCGAGTGCGAATCAAGGGTGCCTGAACCTCTAGCCAGTCGGACGAGGCGCCACTTGTGGCGGCTACTAATATTTGAACGAACCGATGGGTGGGAATCTCGAAAGGTAAGCATCGCTAGTGGTAGGTAAGTAGCCAGAGATCACTAGTGGTATTGCGAAAGGGGTAAGTAAAATGCCTCTCCCATTGTGAGTAAGAATATTGGAAAAATACCAACACAGTTACTCGCTGGCGGCTCTAACGTCTAACGGGTGTTCGACCTCGAAATCGACCCCGAACCGCGTGGCTTTGTCTGGAATGACGCAACCACCTGGGCTTGGGAGTTGTGCCGGATAAACAACATGCGGGAGTGCATTCCGTGATGCGGATGCCGGCTGCCCCGAGTCGTCCATGTGGAGGGTTAGGGGTGTAGTGAATCTCGTCAATCCATGAGATACGTAATGCTTAATAGAAGGGGACCAAAAGAGAGAGACAAGAGAAGAGAATTAAAAAAGAGATAAAATCGAGAGGAGTGGCTAGAGAAGATATAACTATGCCAATGACGACGACGTAGGTTGCTCCATGCCTATGAGGTCATATGAGCCCTGTACATGCAGGCAAGATAGGTGAACTTATAGCGCCCGCTTTAGGCGCCTCCTCACCTAAGCTGTGTCGACGTGCGTGTCTCGATGCACGGTGGAGGTATGCAATATCTGGACGCGATGAGGTTGGCTCGGGTACCTTAGGCACTTAAGTATGTACCTACCTACCTAGGTAGCTATATGTATACCTAGGCAGGCACCCAATATCCCTTCTAAAGGCGAGAATGCGACATGTCCGGTGCCGTAGGGCGGATGTGCCTCTCTATATATAGAACCGTGCCGGTGGTGTCACCCGACATTTGAGCAATGGAATCGAAGAAACGGGGATTCGGATTTCTCCAGATTGTTGTTATTCTACCCGGATCGGTTGGGGGCGCCGGACGGGAACTGGATAGCCAGCGGGCCCAAGCCGTGGGTGAATCCATCCCCGGGTGCTGGAGGAGGTAGCGGCTGAGTCGGGTCGAGCCCATCCCTCGCACTATGCTCTTAGGTACCTAGGCACTTGGAGAACCGGCTTCGCCTCCCGCTATAATCAGCGGCAGTACTTGTGTTGCGGACAGCAATCGTAACTTGTTGCAACTGTTGCCCCCGAGAAAACTGGGCAGACTGTAGGACATATGATAAAGGAGGAAAAGTAGGTATTGACCATCCACGCACAGGATGTCTGCATTATCGGTAGGAGAAATAGCGTCCGATGCCGATAAATTGATGCGTACCGTCTATACCGATCCGCGTACATCCGTCCCGTAGTGATGGTGCATACTTATGAAGCAAGGCAGGGCAAGGCAAGGTAAGGGGGCAAGGTCCGGAGGATTAATGCACCTAAGGTTAAGACGGGCGTCGCTGTAGGCGTCACTGTAAGCGTCACTATAGGTATATGGGCGTGCCTAACTGTAGGTACCTCTTAGGGCAGTGACGGGCCCGCGGATAACCTACCTATAGCCTATAGGCGGGGTAGGTGCCTAATGTGGCCTAACACCGTCCGCTATAATCTGGGACGGTCGGCGGACACCCGCCTAATCCTTAGGCAGGCTCCAGCTGGCGAAAGGGGGAAGATTCATGGCTGGGTCGAGAGCCGGAATAAAAAGGCCCTCCAGCATCCCATGCACAGGCAATACGCAGGCAGATGCGCAATCGGTATAGGGATGCACCAAGGAGTCGAGGGTGGAAATACCTATCATAATAATACAATACGATACAATTCCATACATTGCCGATGCCTATGCCTTTGCCTATGCTATACCATACTCCATGAATCATCCACCCCTTCCGGTGCCATCATGGTCGCCCTTCTCGTTGCAACCACTCCCACCCATGGCCACCACTTCTTCGCGACGAGCTGAATCGCTCCAGCGCCCGCCCAAACAGGATCAGCACCTCCAGCACCACCACTACCCGCGACGCCATCCGCAGCAGCACGCCGTCAACGGCCATAGTACGAACACCCACGGCGGCACTGGCAATCCGAATGAGAGCAGCAGTCACGCTCTGGCTGTGGCGTCGGCTGCGCACGCTGGTCTCAGCGCCAACGACGTCGCCGCTAAACATGGTCAGATCATCGCGACGCCAATCCGAACGCGAAATTCGCAGCAGATTCATCCTCAGCACAGTCCCGCTCGAATGAAGCGCCCGCTCGATCCCATCGCTAATAACTTTGAACCTCCGAAGCCGAAGAGGACGAGAATCGCGGTCGAGATTCTAGCCAGGCCAGCATCGCACGACCAGCCGATCAGCCCACCCCATAAATCCATCATCGTGAAGCCCCAACGCCCGCCCACGGGCCACGACCGCCAACCTGCTGCGGTCGCGTCCGCGACTCGTAAGCCCCCCTTCTCTCCCTCCCAGCCGGCGACGACGGCGACGGCAGCAGAGCCAGGTCCGAAAAAGTATAGGGAGAAGGCATTCAATGGAATTAGACACGAATTGGACAAGCTGCAGCCGAGTGCCGCCGATGCCAGCTCGACGGAGCGGCCCGGTCGCAAGTTGCGGTCACAGAAGGCCACCCGGTTCAAGAGCGAGTTGTCGGCGTATTTTCCCGACTACGACGAGGTCATCGGCAATGATCCCAAGGAACAACGTACGTGCCCTACTTACTGTCTCTCCGTCCACCCCGTCATTATCCCGTTCTCTCTTGTCCTTTAATTAAAAAATATCTTGCTCGTATTTTTGTTTATTTATTTCGTTCCCTACCGTAATCTCTGCGTATTCCTACCTCATACACAGATATATGTACCTACACGTATACATAGCATAGCCACACACACCTCCCATATTCCTTCTCTCTCCCTCCCCTTAAAAAAACCAGCATCAATAAACCCCCCCGGCCGCAAATTCATTCGTAGTTCGGTTGCTAACGGCGGCGCTTATCTACTACAGACATCCTCAATCTCGATACCCCAATCATCCTCATCGACACCAATCCCGATCCTGATCCCAATCCCAATCCCAATCCCAGTGCAAACCCCCTCCTCCCCCCTACTCCACCATTACTACTGCCAATATCCACTCCCGACCAGGCGCTAGAATCGGCCCAGCTGCCCCGCCCAACAGTGCGAACTTATAGCGACCACTTGTTTACCGATCTGCACGACTCACAGCGAATTGACTTTTCGTTCTTGGAGGCCAGGTACACCGGCAAGGAGGTTGCAGACCCCTTGATCGATTCCTACTTTGAGCCCTCACATAAGAGGGCCGAGAGGCTGGAGAAGTCGATCCGGAACACGGAGAAAGGCCGCGCCCAGCATGAAAAGGACCAGATCATCCGCTTGCTCAACGAGCTACAAGGCCACGACTGGCTGAGAACGATGGGCGTGAGTGGCGTGACGGAAAGCCGCAAGAAGACCTTTGAGCCTGCCCGAGATCACTTCATCAGCGGCTGCCAAGCCATCCTAGAGAAGTTCCGGGCGTGGAACCAGGAAGAAAAGAGGCGCAAACTGCAGAAGGAGCGGGCCCTGGCCGAGGAGGCGGAGGAGGGCGAAGAGAAAGGCGCGGACTCTGACTACGCGGGGGAGGAATCTTCGGACGGCGACGAGGAGATGGCCGAGGCCGAGACCGAAGGAGACGACGCTCACGACGGGGACAGCGACAGCGACGGCGATCCCGTCGACTATGGCGACGTCGATCCCTCTGCGAGGCAGCTTCATGCGGAGGCGCTGGCGCGAGCGAGATATGCTGCGTCGGGTTCTAAACGATCCCGCGGCGAGCCTCCGCCAAAGTCGCCGGAGGCTCATGTGGCGAAAGAGTTCACCTCATTCTTTAAAAAGAAGCACCAGCGCGACGCCGCCCTAAGTAAAGGTCGTCGGAGAGGTAGAACGATTTTGGCTTGGGGCCATCCCGTACCAGACCCGGTGGAATACGACTTTGATCTGCCCGAGGAGTACCGCGACACGGAGACCTTGAAGGCGCACGAGAGGCGGAAGCGGAGGGATAGGCGTCAGCATAGACACTGACCGGAGCTCTTAGGATCTATTAGGCCTCCTCCGAACACTTAGAGTGGGCTGAAAAACGGCTGTTCGCCTGTTCGTGGGGCGTACAACTCGGCACCGAGCGAGGCTACCTGCCGCGGCGGCCAGAGCCGAAGGGTCCCCTAGCTTTAGAATCGCGCTCAAGCTGGCTGTATTAATTAGGTTGCTGCATGGCTTGGGCTGGATACGCAGCCGTAACCAGACCCCCGGATGTGTCGTAGCACTCCGGAGCTGCGACTTGCAGATTGGAGGCACTGACGTCGACGGTTGCATTTGGCTCGGGTCCTATCGATGTACATATGTAGGTATATATATGCCTTCATCTCCCTCCCTAGCCCTCGCTAGATATCTCGTACCAACAGGCTTGGGGGTTCACGCATCGAACGGGCATTTGGAACACCTACCTAATGCACCTAAGGTAGGAATACTGGAGAAGGTCGGCGGGCACTCTGCACCTAGAAAAAATAAACATCCTTTTCCCACGGGAATATCGCTGCCCCCTTTTTCTCCGTGCCTTGCGTGTCTAGCACCGAACCTAACAGAGCCTAGGCCTCGTCGCGAGTCTCGCGGAGTGCCGAGACTAGACACGTAGGGACCTATGTAGTAGACCCGGAGGCCACGTATCCAACGTAAAATCCCAGGCACAGACACTGAACAGAGCTAGGATTTGCCCGGAGAGAGACTACGCGCCCGCGTCGGTACACAGGGTGCGTGTGAGGTTGCCTCTATACGTAGTAATTTGCCACGTCTACAGCAGATGGCGGTTGGATGGCCTCGGGGAATTTTGCGGCGCTCCCAGTACCAAGATGCAGAAGGGCAAGTTGATCGAGGGTCGGATCTCACTTTATATGATCAACCTGGCCCATGCAGCATTCTCATCCGTACCCCGGATGTACCGCCTCCACCTAGATTAGGTACCTCTGAGTAAAGTGCTGATGTTACCCAGTGTTACCTACCGTTACCGTCTGGGCCGTAAGGACTTGATTACCTTTCTAGCCTTTGGGCAGGCTAGGCTATCTGAGGTAAGTGTAGAACCTCAAGCACTTAACGCAGCTAACTCGGCAGCTGAGTCATCATCGACCCGCATCCCCACGGACCTATACGGGGTTACCTAGGCCGATATGTGAATGTCCAGGTACATGGATACATATAACAGCACACGACGGCGCGCGTCGGGCACAGACCACGAGGTTGCTAGGTGAGTCGATAGGTTGGTTATCTAAGGTTAGGTAGGTAGGCCAGTTAATTTTCCCCCAGGACATCATCAATTTCATGCCGCTCACTCCCACTCCTACCTGTCAGCTTCATATCTGCTGGTCCCGTATTCCGTCTGGCGAGTGAGCGCCTCCTCCTGTGAATCATACATGCGTCCGGCACGCGGGATCTCGAGAGATCAGGCCTGCCATCGACCGACCCGACCTTGCATGCGTCTAGACGACACATCCCTAAGCACCTGATCCAGCGGTGCGTGGCCTCGTCACCAGCTTCAGAGACGCCCCCGTCTCTCGGGCGATCAACACCACTCCTTGTCCTCGAACAACTGCCCCTCGTCGAGGCGACCTGTAGAAGAAGCACCGCATAGAGAATTCATGGTCGCGGCACCGATCCCTCCGAGGCCCTGAGCAAGCCGGCTCGAGAACGGTCCCTTCATCCTTACCCTACCTTATCAAAATCGCCTCGCGCGAGCAACTCACGCTGCGCACCCGATCATTAACGCTCCCGCGCACCTCGCGCAAGGTCTCCCCGTCCCATTCCGCCTCCGACAGAAACGTACCCCGATGAGTAATACAATACTGTGACAGCACAGCGGCTTCGCGGACGCCCGACAATGCCTGGCATCGTGGAGCCAGAGCCCGCCGCGACAGGCGACACCCCTCCCGTCGAACTTCCCGTCGACGACACCCCCCCGCGTCCATATGTCGTCTTTACCCAGAATGTCGACATCGACATCGATTTCCGCGAGAAGCGCATCTCCGGTCGATCCCATATCCTCATCGTCCCCACCACAGACATCTCTGAAGTCTTTATCGACGCCCGCCAGTGCGAAATAGACGTGAAGCAGATCACCGTGTCCAACTGCGAGGTGGACGCCTCCTACCGCGACCCTTGCGAGTGCGTGCACACGCCTGGGCATTACGAGTGGTCGGCGCCTCAGTGGGGGATTAGGAAACACCGCATGGGGTCGCTGTTGCACCATCGACGCAAAGAAGTATCTGCGCTGGATCACGACTTAAAATGCTGCACCCCTCTCAACGGGTCCATCAGGGTCCAGCTGCCGAGTGTAGACGAAGTGCTACGGAAGAACCGAGATTCGCAAAAGAGCGACCAGCAGGACCTCCTCCTACACTCCGATGGCACCATAGGCGGCTACAGGATTAGCATCCCCTTCAAGCTGAAGAATTCCTGCGACGGGCTGCAGTTTGTCGGTGTTGACGAGGTGGATACCCGTTACCCACACGTCTATACCCGCCACTCCTTCGAACCCGGCACCGCGTCCGCTATCTTCCCCTGCATCGACGACCCCGGCTCGCGGAACTCTTGGAGGATATCGATCACCTTTCCCCGCACCGTCAGCGATGCATTTTACAAGCCACGCGAGGCGCACCAGCAGGCTAAGGGTGTTGGTGGCCTCAACGGAAGTCGCAAGCGAAAGCACGGCGAAGAAGAGCCCAGGCATAGGGACGTTACGCTGACCGAGGAAGATAAGCTTCTCGAGATGACTGTCGTTTGCTCTGGCTACCTGACCGGTGAAGTGGTTAATAAGGACGACGAGACGAAGAAGACCATGACTTTCGAGGTCGACAAGAATAAAGCGGCGAAACATATCGGTTTCGCCGTCGGCCCTTTCGAGCATATCGACCTGTGGTCGGAATTCCGAAGCGAGGAAGACGACACTAAGCTTGGTGCTAACGCCGTCAAGGTTCACGGTTACTGCTTACCAGGTCACGCGGAAGAAGTGAGAAATACTTGCGCCGCCCTCGTCACGGCCGTAGACCATCTCGTCCTCACGTTTGGCCGGTACCCCTTTGAGAGTTACAAGGTCTGCTTCGTCGACGACATGATCGAGGAGACTATACCCATATGCGCGTTCTCCTTGTGTAGCACAAGGCTGCTGTACCCTCAGGATATCGTCGACGACGAAGTCGACACCACCAGAACGCTCGTGCACGCGCTCGCGAGCCAGTGGTTTGGAGTCAACATCATCCCCAATACCAAAGCGGACATCTGGCTTGTCGTTGGCATCTCGTGGTTCATGACCGACCATTTCATCAAAGCGCTGTGCGGGAATAACGAGTTTAGATTCCGGATGAAATCGATGGCGGACCGCCTCGTCGAGGTCGACATACGACGACCCTCTCTGCAAGAGATTGGTGAACACCTCTACCTCGGTAATTTCGAAGTCGACTTCATGAATCTCAAAGCACCCCTAGTGCTTTTCATTCTAGACCGACGCCTCTCGAAGTCGTCGGGCACCGCAAGTATCTCCAAGATCATATCTCGCATGGTCAGCAAAGCCAATACGTCTGGCCAAGCCTCGGACGAAGTCTTAGGGTCGGATGCCTTTCGCAAAGCCTGCGAGAAGGCAGGGAACACGAGGCTGGAACATTTCTGGAATCAGTGGGTCGTGATGTCAGGTTGTCCCAGATTCGACGTCTTCCAGCGGTTCAACAAGAAACGGTTGTGTGTGGAAATGACGATCCGACAAACGCAAGACATCGCCTTTATCAAAGCCAGGCCAATCGACAAGGATAATTTCTGGAGAGACATTGTGGAGGAGAGCCACGCTGTTTACGCCAACGAGCCGCAGCAGTCCTTTACCGGACCTATGACCATCCGGATCCACGAAGCGGATGGCACACCTTACGAGCATATTGTAGAAATCCGGGAGGACGCTGCCAAATCTGTGAAATTCGAGATACCCTACAACACGAAGTATAAGCGACTTAAGAGAAATCGCCGGCAACGTGAAAGGGCATTGGCCAGCAGCAACGCGAGGGGCAACGAGGAAAGCCAGAAGGATCTCTACTACCTGGGGGACGTCATGCAACATCTGGATGAGATCGAAGAATGGGATTTCCGTGACTGGGACGAGGAAACCGAAGCGAAGATGGACCAGGAATCCTACGAATGGATCCGGATGGACGCCGACCTCGAGTGGCTCTGCGACATGCAAACCAATCTTCCTCCGTACATGTACGCATCACAGCTGCAGCAGGACAGGGATGTTGTTGCCCAGCAAGATTCTATGTTATTCCTCCACCGGAGCTTCTCTAAGACCGGACCTCACCCCCTCGTATCGACCATATTAACTCGGACCCTGTTGGACCCTCGATATTACTATGGGATACGCATAATGGCGGCGAACGAGCTCCCTCGCCACGCCGTAAACGAGCACGTGAACTGGATCGGTCTCCGCCATCTCCTCAAGACTTTCCAGCACTTTTTCTGTCATCCTGGCACATACACGCCGCTCCCCAACGACTTCTCGGACAAACGTCAGTACCTAGTACAATGCGCGATCCCAGAAGCCGTCGCTCGCATCCGCGGCGAAGACGGCAAGTGCCCTAAAGAAGCACGGAGGTTCATACTCGAACAGCTCCAGGCCAACGACAACACGAACAACGTCTACTCGGACCACTTATATATCTGTAGACTAATCAGGGCTCTAGCAATCTGCCAGGTTCCCGACGAGAAGAAAGCCGGTCAGCCGCAAATGAACATGTCCATGTCGTTTGAAGACGGCGAAGATGAAGAAATGCTAGATGCCGTTGACTTGGAACCCGAACAGTTTCGGGACTCAGCGGTGGAAGAAATCGAGCGGTTCCGTAGGATGGACCAGTACTCGCCCTCCCACCAAAATTGCTTCACCATAGCCGCTCTCGACGCCTTTTGCCACCTAATGAAGGCAAAGGTCATCCCCCTCAATCCTATCATGTTCATCCAGTATTTACAAGATAAGACTTTCGACCTGGTCCGGATTAAGGCCTGCGAATCGCTTGTCGAACTAGGATTGCTAAGAAACACATCATTCCTACGGTATTTCTTAGCATTGGTCAGTACCGACTCTTCGCCCTATGTCCGAGATCGACTGTTTAAAGCACTCTGCCGCGGTCTTGCCAGCATCGCGATAGGGGAGGACGAGCAGCCTGGTAAACAGGCGCCAGCCCAACCGGCAGAGGACGGCCTCATTGTCGAGCAGGACACCGCAATTATAGAAGCGAAGCAGAAAGCAAAGGCCCGCAAAGAGAAGCTCCCCGCGGCTCTCGAGGCTCTTAAAGCCGAGACCACGGATGACGAGGACCTACAGGCGGCTGTCTGGAACGCGATCGAATCACCCGTTCTTACCGTCGCCGAGCGGATCAATTTCCTTGAGCTTTGCTCGATACTATTCGAGGAAGACCAATCTCTGCTGATACACATCGCGTATCCTACCTACTGGACCGTTGAACGCGGCGAGAAGACTCGACACAGATGTCTGGTCACATTTAAGAGGCATTCCAGAACGAAGCCGCGCAAATCATACCCTCCTACACATCCACCTCCACCCAAGCCAGAACCCAAGCGAACTATCACTCTGAACCTGAACCGTAGTATGAGCTTCAGCGCGAAAGCTACTACTCCTGCGGCCGTCCAATCCCCGCCCCCATCGTCAACGTCAGCTTCTGCCCCTAAACCATCCGATACTGTCCTAGTGCCAAAATCGGCTACCAACTCTACAAAGCAACCGCCCACCCCGAGAGAAAAGGCGAAGGACAAATCCAAGGAGAAACTTAAGGAGAAACCTAAGGAGAATCCGAAAGAGAATCCCAAGGAGAAGCCGAAAGAGAAACCAAAAGAGAATTCCAAGGAGAAACAAAAGGAGAAGCCAAAAGATAAGCCAAAGGAGAAGTCATCCACTCCTATGCCGAAGCAGCCAGCGGTTCAAGGCCCGAAGGAGAGAACGCCACTAAAGCAGGCGAAGCAAGCAGGCGGCGCCGCCCCGCCACGAGGGGCTACCCCATCCATCTCGCTCGAGAAACCGAAGACCAGCGAATCTTATAGAGATAACATCTCTGCCCTGCCCCCTCCGCGACCTACCATTGAGCATGCCCCGCCGGAACCGAAAGCAGGACCCCCTAAAGTCAACGGGAACGGCAATTTAGCTCCCGCCAAGCCCTCGAAATCACTGAAGAGGGCGAGCACCGAAAGCGACGGGCCCCGGCCATCCAAGCTCGTCAAACTCGACACGTCCAGAATCCCTAGGAAGGAGTTGGAGTTGCTTGGAAAGAGCTCTAAGCCTACCATGCCCGTCAAGCTCAAGTTCAACGGCTGGCATAAGTTGCGCCGACGCAAGGACGGCCACCAAGCAGGATCGATCCGCGCCGCGCCTAAGCATCGCAAGCCGGAGGACGCGTCTGGCAGCAATGGCAGCACCGCACGTCCTCCCGCCCCGACGATCTCGTCGAGCAAAAAGGTTCCTGCGCAGGCTTCGTCGTCGACATCGGCGTCTTTCCCTCACAAAGCGCTACCCGCCGCCCCCGGCTTGTCCTCCGCTCACCCGCTCCCTTCTCAACCCTCTTCGCAATCCTTGTCCCAAGCCCAAGCCCAACCGGGAGGGGGCAACGGCACTGGGAAGCCGCGAAAGCCACTTCCGGACATGCGTAAACCGCTGCCATCGGCCGCACCCGGCGGTGCCGCACTGTCGAAGCCCCCTTCGGCGTCGCCTCCCGCGTCCAAAGGCCCGACAAAGTTCAAGATCAAGTTCAATCCTCCGCCCTCCTAAATGGCTTCGCCGCCTGTCTTTAGGGCAGCGGGGAGATGTGTAAAGGAGCAGCTTGATCGCCGCTACCGTACTGTGCCGGGGGGGTCTGCGCGAAAGGGGGAGGAGAGGGGGACGGATGTGACGGATGGGATGGGATGCTTGGGTACGGGACGTGGGACTGGATGGTTGCTAGTCATCGGCTGATATGGTGTTCGCGATGGCTGTATTTTCACTTGCCCTCTTCAGTAAATACCCCCCCCTCCCCCCACCCTCCTCCTCTCCTCCCCAGCCCTCAGCAAACCTCATCTTCTCATTCCCTTCTACCTGAGAGATTTGACAGGTCTTTTTTAAGTGCGCTCGAGCGCGAGCACGAAATTTTACTCATTCCAGCACGGCGACGGTCGCGGGCGTGCGTAGACGAAATAGAAGGGCACCCAAAAGAAAAAATAACCGGGCTATGCGGATCGTAGCGGACTCGCCCCGTTCGCGCGTGACGGTAGCACATGTATACCCGCCATCCGCCGGTGTAGGCTATGAGGGACGGCGAGGGGGGAGCGTGTCTCGACGCCAAGAGGCATCTAGGCCCCTCTCCCTATCCATTGTCGTTTTTGGTTTCCCTGTCCACTTCAGCGCTCTGCCGGATTTTGTTTTTTTCCTCTTTTTTTTTTTCTTCATTTCTTCTGGCATCGGGTTCCACTGCGCGTTCCGGTCTGCATGGCAGCGGCGGCGTTTTCGGGGGGAGAGAGCGGGAAGCGAGATGTGCACACACATAGATACGGAGGAGGAGGGTGCGCGGAAGAGGAGAGGAGGCGCGGAAAGCGGTAGTATAGGAAAGCAGGGCAGGCGTCCAGGATGGAAGCATAGCGAGCGAATCAATAAATACACACCATCGCCAGTTACCCCCTTCTTCCCCTTTCAGCACTGAGTAGTGATAGGGCTGCTTACTCTAGGTCCGACGGGTGCGTCAGGGCCCGGGATGTTTGGGATGGCGGAATGCATGAATGAATGAATGCGTTGCCTGCGTGTCTCTCCCGGCTGCAGCGCCAGCGCCAGCGGCCCTGACTCTCTCCCCCCCTCTCTCTCTCTGTGTGTGTGTGTCTGTCTGTCTAGGTATACCCGTAGCCGTGGCGCTGTCTCTCTCTCTCTCTTTCTTCTTTCCTCCCCCCCCGCTCCCCTACATATCAGCACTACCTACGCACACCAGCTGCACGAATGTCGCCGCTAGTCGGTCGGCGGCAGCCCGCCGGGCAGAACCACGAGAGCTGTAGGACCAGGTGCCAGCCTGGCGGCGCTTGCTCTAGCGGCAGCGGATAGACAATAGACGGACGGGGTGCCAGCGAGGGGCGGACGGCACGTGTCTGAGTCACCATGTGAGACGGCAAACGGCAGCGAGAGGGAGGCATTGGGGGGACGTGGAGTGAGTATGCTTGCTTCTCTGCCTGCGTGCACTACCGAGCATCACTGTCGAAAGCTGCCTGTATGGTTTCTATCTTGCTATCGTCGGCTGCGGACCCTACCCCGTCTCTCCGCGCTTGGGCCTGAACAAGGGTTTTTTTCTTTTCTTTTTTTTTCCTGTAGGTTGAGTCCAGATGATGTCGACCCGCCCACGAGTAGCGGGATATAACCACGATGAATAGGGTGACAAGCAGTAGGAGTGTTAAGTGGTATGTAGACGTAGGCACTATAAGCCTCCCCCTTCTGTCTTCGATCTCCTCAGATCCAACCCGGGATCCAGCTGTCCGCCTATATACACGTCTCTCGCCGTCCTAGCAGCTAGGGTAAGTCAGTGGCACCCAACTCCTCTCAAAAAAAAAAAAATTCGAATACTCTATCGATTCGAGAGAGCGCCGACCTCTTTCGCGCGGGAGCTAACGCCATTTCCTCACCCGCCCCTCACAACAGCCGTCTAGCGACCAGGCAAAATTCGAATCGCTAAACCCATTGGCAATCCGTTCCCGTGCTCACCCTGATCAAGCCTAGGAAGAGAATATTTCCCCAGTATCACATGTAGGCCCCCCCTCGCGATCCTGTGAATGCCGGCGATAGGCAGCGCCGAGGGCACGCTCGACTTACAAGCAAACAGGGGTGGCTTTTTATAGGGTTGCTACTATACCTCGCATTTCGCAGCAGAAGAGCCATTGGCAGCCCGCGGATGCGTGGACGCTGGGGTTCCACTGCGATGCAAGGTTGCTCGCTTTCCATGTGATAAGCACGGGTAGTACCTCTTCCTAGCCTGTACAGATGCAGGCTTCGACGTACTAGGAAAGACCAAATGCGATATAGGATCTGAGAGCCGCCTGTTGCTGTTAGCTGCACGAAGAATAGGAGGTGTCCATCACCTCGCTGGTAAGTACCTAATGCGAGGTGCCGAGTATACGGAAACGGACGTGCAATACGAAATAGCGACTCAACGGGAGTGAGAAGGTGGTATCACAACTCCCCACCTACGAGATATCTGTTCCTAGCGACGTCTCGATGCTGCGCTCGCTCCCGGCCCCGCTGTTGGAGCGACCCCAACCCGCTCCTCTCGGCTCCTTGTCATCATCCGCCCCGCCGGCGGGGCCGACGTACCGGTTGGTTCACTGCTACCTTGCCTACTAGTCGTTGGCCGCGCAGCAGTTCCGCCGGCGCCTCCGGACCTCGTCGAAGCCGTTTGCTGGGTGGCGGTCGCGCCAGAGACACCGATTACCCGCTGCGTGCGCGTCGTGGGGGTCGTGGCAGATGTGGATGTGGAGGCAGTAGCAGGATGTTGACTTCTGGTTGCCCGGGCCTGTTGTATGAATGCAGCACGCGCTTGACTAGGCGACTGTGCGCGAGCGCGGTGCTGATCGCGGGCGGCGCGGCGGGGTGCGGTTATGAAGGGGTCGCTGGTGTCACCGACTTCGGCATCGGCATCCTGCATGTCTTCGTCGTCTGCGGCTGTCGTTGTAGGTGGAGGCGACGGCGTTAATGACGAGGACGATGTGTCCATTGCGGTTGGTTGGGATTGCTGCGGCAATGGGGGGTGGGAGGCAGAACGCGAATGTACTTGAGTTTGGGCAGCATAGCGCCGGTCTTCATACGCGGCCACATCTTCAGCCGTGAGGGTGAGGGTGGTGGGCGGACGCCTCAACATTGCGTTGTAGAGCGGGTTGGCAGCTCTGGTCCCCTTCGCCTCTAGGAGCGGGTTAGGCGGGTAGGCTAAGGAGAGCGAGCGACCTAGTGAAGGGTTGCTTGTATACCTAGTAATAGCTTGTTGTCGTTCCGATTTCCCCGCTATCTATCCAAGATGGTGTAGCAACGTAGCAACGTAGGACTCCTTGGGTAGGTAGGTGTATATGCGTTTGAGCTACGAAGTTGGGATAGATGCCAAGGCTTTCAGGGATAAACGCGTTATGTTGCAGAGCTACACGCGTCTTCTAACCCTTCATTGAGCAATAGCAGCCTGTCCCGATTGTGGGGTTTGGGATTAGCGGTGTTTCTTCGTTACGACTTATACATATGCTACAGGGGATGGGATGGGGGGATGGGACATTCTCCATCTGGGGATGGTCTGGGATGATAGATAGCTTCACTTACCTAACGATGCCGGAGAGTACCAGAGGTGGTTTGGCCCTGGCGATGAATGCCGCATAAGGAAAAGCGACCCTCCTCCACTGTAGGTACCTATAAGCTGGATGCTCTCGGCGCGAGAGGGGCGTTGGCCAAGAATCTATGACAGGCCGCCGCGATAGTGGTGGTGGTGGTGATAGTGGCCAAGGTGTGGGAGGGAGAGCTTCACTCGCCACGAGATGTCCCGGAGGTGAATGAAGATGGTCGGGAAGTTATGGAGAGAGGGACGGGAATATCAAGCTCAGACGGGAGCTAAATCCAGCCCTGAGGCAAGAAGAAAATCATTCGCGACGAAATGCGACTGACTCTGGGAACATGGAGGATGAATCAGGTAAAGGAGGCGAATTGAGAGGGGGGGGGGATGGTGGGGAAGACGAAACAGTAAACAAGCGAAGTTTTCCTTACCGTGTGGCTACATCAGATGAATATTGCACGGCACTGTGCGAAAATGTCGGGTTCGGTAAGTACCTACCTACGTAATTAGAGGTTAGAGGTACCTAGATACCTAGGTCGCTTCTTCTCACTTAAAAGGATAGGTGGGCATTAGCTAATCTCACTTGTTACCCGCCTAGGTAGGTAGATACATTACCTTACACAACGTTACCCGGTGACGTCCAGCATGGAGTGGGGGAGGAACCCGGAAGTCGATTGAAGCAGCCCTTCTCTCGCCGTCCTCGTCATCCTAAAAATACAGTGAATGGAAAGCCCATGTTGACACGGGAACCGTCGCCCATAATTGTATGCCTGGCTATACCTGGTACGCACCTAAAATATCGACGGGTACGGAGTCATCCATACGCTTCACCTATGCGTCACACACTTCGAATCCCTCTATGTCATGTAGGCGAGTGTCCCATCTCACCCGACGAGCTCTGGGGGGTACACGACGTGAGGAGCGATGAGCCGTGTTTGCGGCCACTTTCCTGCGTCGAACTCGCACTCAAAGCGGCGAGCTCCCGAACCCACGATCTCGTGCTCGGCCTCGCCATCCTGCGCCGCCACGTCCTTCGGGAGGTCTGACAGCAGGGTAATCTTGATCGCCCTGTCGGTGCAAGCACCGGCCGCCGTCTGCCCGATCGTCGGCGCTTTATTCGTCCCCTTCTCTCCCCGTTGGCGTAAGTTTTATCTTTTCCCTAGTTCTCTCCAGGACGGGAGTAGCAATTTCATCAACCAAGAGATGATCCAGATCCGGGAACAGATCGACCTCAAGAAGATGCAAAATAAACCAGCGTGGCTTTCGACTGTGGCAAATCTCTTCTCCCGGCAGTATCTCCGCCGCACGGTCACGACTTTCTTCGTCCTCTGTATGACCCAGCTCACCAGCTCGTCGGTCGTCCAGAACTTCCAGAACTCTACGCCACCGCCGGCTTCCGGGGGTCAGCAAGCGCTGCTCATTTCGGGTGTATACGGGATGATGGTACCTAGTCATCGGCCAATTTATCTAGCCGTTCATCCTCGCCGACAAGTGGCCACGAGCCCGAACCATGTGGAGCGGCTCCCTGGTCCTCTGCGGGATGATCTCCATCTGCATGGCGCTCAGTGCAGTGTACGAAAACCAGAGCAATAGCAACCTAGCCAGCGCCCGGGAGGCCATTGTCTTCATCTTCCTTTACTCGATGTGTTACGCCATTTTCTTCAACGGGATTGTGTGGGTCGTGTGCTCGGAGCTGTTCCCCTTCTTCTGGACCAAGGACGCTTCCGTCGCCGTCTATTCCAAGACTGCCGTCGCCATCGTCCTGTCGCGGATCACGCCCCTTGTCATCGCCAACGTTGGCTGGCGGTACTACTCCCTTTTCATCGCCATCAACTTCGCCGCCGCCGTAGTCTATTTCTTCCTCCTCCCAGAAACCTCCGATAAGTCACTTTACGAGATCACCGAGCTCTTCGAAGATACCCGTGCCACCGGCCACATTAGAGAGATCGATGTCGACGCTAAGGACTTCGAATTGAATGACCCGGCCGCCGAGACGCGGAGCAGGGCTTAGGGCCTGCTATCTGGAACCATTAGTGATATGGGACCGCCCCCTTCTCGGCATCCGCTATTTAGGTAGTGCGGTAACGGACTAGCTCGCCTCTGGGTAGTAAATCCACTCCAAGGTTGACGTAAACGCTGCTAGGCTTGCAAATAGAGTAGGTATGTCAACAAGACACTGCTGCGGTCTATCGTTTGTAAGTCTCAAGACCTCGAATTCCTTAGACGGTCCCGTCATGTGTCTATTTGGAAGCGCTTATAGCACTCACGGAGTAAAAAGGGGTATTCCCCAAAGTATACCTAGGTATGTTCGTGGTCACGTGTAGTATGTAGGCGCGCATTAGTAATAATCCGGTAACGGAGATTGGAGTTCTTATACCGAGGTTTCGTATGAGAATATGTGCATATGCAGTTATAAGTAACTGGCATTTTTGGACCTAAGAATTTTCGATCGTTTCTCATGAACGAAGTCCACACTTGGAGACATACCTACACACCTAGGTAGTAATCCTCCCTTCAACGCAAAGAACTTGCTCCGAGTTTCCACCACCCAAAACAGCAGAACACGCCGACCCTCGAACAACACCCCTACAATCCTACCTCGGAAAGCTAGAAAGGAAGAAGAATCATTACCACCACACGCCGAGAGGGGGCGCGATGAACGCGCACGCCCTGCTGACGTCGCAGGGGTGGCGGGGCACCGGACACCCGCTGGGGACGAGGGGCGACGGGCGGGGCCTGACGCACCGGCTGCTGATGCGGCGGAACGAGGACGGGCGGGGGCTGGGGAGCCGGCAGGCGGAGGCGGAGCGGCGGGCGGACGCGTGGTGGCTCAACGCGTTCGACGAGGCGCTCAAGGGCATCGACACGGGCAGCGGCGGGGCTACGGTGAAGCAGGCGGCGGGGGCCCGGGGTGGGGCGCTCGCAGCCATCGCGACCCCGGCGGCCAAGTACACGGGCTCGCGCGGGCTGTACAGCTCCTTTGTGCGGGGCGGCGTGCTCGAGGGGACGCTAGGGCCCCAGGCGAAGAAGGAGGCGGACGCGGGAGGGCTTCCGACGCCGCCGGATAGCGATGGGGGCGCGGCGGCGCGGCGGCGCCCAGGAGGTCGCACCAAAGCCAGGGCCGGGGAAACGAAGGAGGAGAGGAGGGCGCGGCGCGCAGAGAAGAGGTCGAGGAAGGCGGAGAAGCGAGCGCGGAAGGAGGGGAAGGTGAAGAAGAGAGAAGAGAAAGGGGAGAAGTCGAAGAAAAAGAAGAAGGAGGGGGGGGAGGAGGCACCCGGGCAGACGGAGACCAGAGAGGAATGCCGCGCTAGGAGGGAGGCGAGGCGCAGGCGAAAGGAGGAAAAGAGGCGGCTCCAGCCCCCCGGAGGCTGAGGCGCGAGCTCGGAACTACGCGAGCCGCCACTACTCTACCGACCACATTAAGGCCTACCCGCCCCCCCCCGTGCGGATCCGCCGGGCTCTGGGCGCGCTGAGACGCCTCGATCGCAGCGCTCGCAGGCCCGGTTCGGCCGGCGGCACGGCTCACGGCCTAGTATTCCCCACTGGTAACATCGATCCACAACACCAGTTAGACGGCCACCGGGGCCGAATCGTGGCTCTCCTCGGCGGCCTACCGATGCTGCTGCGCGCACCGGTTCGCCACGATTCTTCAAGGCTGCGACAGGCACGAGGACGACGAACACGATAAGGCTAACGGAGGTGCCGATTGCTATGTGCGAATATACCTGTCTAGGCTATAGCGCGCGGCGTGGACGAGAAGCTCGGGAACTCCCATTCTCGCCGGGTGTGGGTTTAAGCTTCATCCGAGGCAGCCGGACTCCAAATACGATTGGTATATGCGTTGTATGATATACGTACATGTATATATATGTACGAGTCCAACGCCTTCAGATGTTCACGTAATTTGAGAAAAGTAAATGGATCGAGTTGATGTTTACTCTAATTAATTATATTTCGAGTCTATGTCTCCTTTGGGATCTGGCCCGGTTTGTTGGATAGCAGCCACGGCCGCCGCTCCCAAAAGTCGTCCTTGATAATATCGACATGGTCGACCAGGATTCTCGCCTTCGCGCGCCGCTTCTTGTCATTCTGGTCCTGCGTCTTGGATTGTTCCACCGGCTCCGCCAGCTCGTCGGCCGCCTTAGCTATGACCTCGTGACTTCCCGGCTCGACGAGCTCGTACTAGGTGCCGTCAGCATGGGTTCAGATGAGAACTTTCGAAACCAGTCTCAGAGTGAGGGGGGGATGGGGTGGCGCGATATGGTGAAGGGAAAGCATACGTCTCGGCACACCACGCTCCCTTTCCTGAAGATTTCCGGCTCGTTGTTGTAGTTAATCTTGAACTTGGAGTATAAGATTTCGTTTTTGTCCGCCGCGAGAGTCCCCTAGCCAACAATCAGCTTGTCTATCCACATGGGAATTCTGAGGGGGTAGATGAGTTCAGGAGCGTTTTAGGGGGTCGTGACTGACGGATAGAAACTTCTCCGCCTCGCTTGCGCCTATACCACCTAGCTTAACAAGCGACCAGAAGGTGGTGTTGTAAAGATTGTTGATGTGGCCTGCCCACCCACCATCAGCAACTCTGACCTGGCGAGATACGACAGTAGCGGCATACAGTCTACCTGGCGCCAACTCAAATAGTCGCGCAAGTTCTGCACGCTGGGGTAGCAAACTACCCGTCCGTCAAAGCTGGGGAGCGGCGGCGACAGCGGCGTGTCCGGGAAGTAGGTCGGCCACAGGTGGACGTAGTAGGCCGTAAACGTCGACACTATCGTCGACACTATCTTGCTACATTGCAGGAATTAGGCATGTTCCGATGCCTTGCCACCCCCGACGGCGAATTCAGAATACTCACCTTGACCTTCTCTCAAAGAGGGCACAAGTCTTGTGAAAAACAAAACTACCAACTCTCAGTACAAGAAACCAACGATCTACTCGCTCTTCCCGGCGAGGCTGGCGGAGCCCATCCGGAAAATCGCCTACCTATACTCATCACTGACTCCATAGGCGATGGTGATGTCGGGCAGCTCCGTCATAACCGCCTTGGCCGCGGCGTTCATGAGGTCGAGAGCTCTACGGTCATTGGGTTTCTCAAAATTATACTTGGCGCACAATCTAAAGACATTAGGGTAGAGAGCAGATGAGAATAGGCAATGGTAGGAATATAGAGGCACCGGTTAGGATACGGAAAGGCAACCGTCATGCATTGAGTGAGCGTAAGGGAGGAGGGAGGCTGTTACTTGGTGAAACCCCTGCCGTCTATTCTGACTATGACCCAGGTATTGGGCAGCAGATTGTCCGGCTGCTCGAATTGCTTGACATATTCAAACCTGGCATTTAATGTTTAGACGTATGATAGGAAGAGCCTGAGGGAAGATGGCCTGCCTTGAGTTGGCCATTGGGCCTGTTTTCTCGTGTTGGGGTCTGCGAATAGGAATATTTCGATGAAGAGGAGGTTTAATCGCAGGTGGTAGACGCGATATGAGAGAATGTCTGGTTACCGAAGAGAAACCTGCCGACCCGTATAGGGCAAAGTCTCTGGGTACTTACGGTACCTACCTACTTCCTAAGGTACCTACCTAGGTAGGTAGCACCACAGGTACCTAAGGCACCTACTTGCCCGGTAATAATGTTTTATCAATGTCGTTCAATGGGGGGTTGAGGTTCCTTGCAAAGTGGGGTAACGGTACCGGTGGGGGCCAGTCCCAGTCATTACCCCCTGTAGTAATGCTCTGTAGCGATCTCCTGCACTGTCAAGCTGCAAGGCTACCGTCATTACCGCATTACCGCCGTTACCACATATAATACGCCGCCGGCAGCCGCACGAGGGAAATGCTTGGTGTTCCATACCGACTCTATCGTGCCTTGCCTGGCAGCAGCCTCAGCTAACACCTCCCTGGGCTGCCCGCCGAGCCTGCTACCTCCTCTCCCTCTGTCATGATCATCGGCGTGCAACTATACCATCTATCCTGCGACCCTGAGGTGAACGCGTGCCGATATGAACCTGCTACTTTCCGACGATTACCTGCTTCAGGATTATCCCGAGAACATCACCAACACCATTCGTTCCGGCCACACGACATGTCTGCGGTTCAATCGCAAGGGCGACTACCTGGCCTCCGGTCGCGTCGACGGCACCGTCGTGGTTTGGGACCTTGAGACCATGGGCGTGGCGCGCAAGTTACGAGGCCATAGAGCGGCAATAACTTCGCTGAGTTGGTCTAGATGCGGCCGCTACCTTCTCTCCGCCTGCCAAGGCTGGAGGGCTGTTCTCTGGAACCTGCAGGATGGCACGAGGTATCGGGAGGTCCGCTTTCGCGCGCCCATCTACACTGCAGATCTGCACCCTTGGAACCAGTAAGTAGCTCCCGGAGGGGCGTGGCCATCGTACCCGGGCCAGCTGGGAAGAAGGCGGAAGCTAATGCCGGCCCTAATCTAGCAACATGTTCGTTGCCTCCATCTTCGACGAAGCCCCCTCACTTGTCGATATGAGCGGCCCGAGCGACGTTAAGCACACCCTCCCCTCTGCGCCCAAGCGAGCGAATGCCGACGCCGACGCCGCGACTAGGGAAAAACAGGCCAAGGAGGACGCGAAGCAGATGACCACCGCGACGGTGTGGACGGCTACGGGTGATCACATCCTCGCGGGCACGAACAAAGGCCGGTTCAACATTATCGATGCCAACACCCGCGAAATCATATGGTCCGAGAAGATATGTAGCTCGGTGGTAACTACCATACGGTTGACGCGGTCGGGCCGCGAGTTACTGGTGAATTCGCAGGATCGCATCATCAGGACCTTCCACCTACCTAACCTGTCGGCGGAGGACCTCGACCCCGATACGATACAGATGCCGCTCGAGCACAAATTCCAAGACGTCGTCAATAGGCTGTCTTGGAACCACGTCACGTTTAGCGCCACGGGCGAGTACGTGGCGGCATCTACATACAACAATCACGAATTATATATATGGGAGCGAAATCACGGCAGCTTGGTCCGGATGCTAGAAGGGCCGAAGGAGGAGCAGGGTGTCATAGAGTGGCACCCGCACAGAGCCCTCCTAGTCGCCTGCGGGCTCGAGACCGGCCGCATCTACATCTGGTCGGTGACCACGCCGCAGCGCTGGTCGGCGTTGGCGCCGGACTTTGTCGAGGTCGAGGAGAACGTCGAGTACATCGAGAGGGAGGACGAATTCGACATCCACCCGCAGGAAGAGATTAACAAGCGCCGACTGGATATGGAGGACGAGGATATTGACGTCTTGACGCTCGATCCGAGCAAAGGGTACGACGAGGAGATCGACGGTACCGGGTTCAGGATGCCGGTGCTGTTCAACCTGGGCGAGAGCGACAGCGAAGAGGAATTCGTCACAGTGTCGACGGGCACGGTGCGTCGTAGGAGCCTCGGCGAGGGACAGGAGGGCGAGGCTTCCAACGGGGAAGCAGGAACCGGAGGGAATAAGAAGGCCGGCGGCAAGGGCACGAGAGGGAGGAAAAAGTGATGGAATTAGAATAGACATTGTTGTTGTTAATGTACGTATACCGACGATAAGCCTAGACACGCGTTGCCCGCATTGACCGATTCCGGAGCATATGCAGTCGGCGCCTTAGTCTGGATCCCCGGACTCGACTTGGGCGTTGGGATGCGATGAATGCGATGGCGATGAGGCAAGGCAGGTAAAAAGATTTTAACACCCGGTTACCCGGGTACTCAACAATCCCCCGCACTGTACATATACGTGGGACGCCTAATACAAATGCGCGGCTTGCCCAGAGAAAACCTCAAGTAGGGGTACCTAAGGTTGCAGTCACACAGTACATGTTACAGGTTATAAATACCGTGTCATTTAGCTGCGTACCTAGGTACCCCCTAGAGTACTTGGTAGGTACCTGGGTACGTTCGGACGGGCCGTGGTGCAAGTACCTGACCACGCAACTTTCCGTGCCGAGGTACCTCGATCCGTGCAATTCACCCGTCTCCGCCCACATGGAGAAATTTGGCGCCGGTGACTTATTCACTCAAAAGAGGTTTAGCGCTGTTTCGTGGCCGATACCTGCCTTTGTCCTCTCACGTTCCCTACCTAAGTTCTTCTCGCCTTGTCTCGCAACCGATCGTCCTCTTCCCAGCCACAACAACAATTTTCACGATTGACGAAACATCACAACGCGCCCCGGATATCGCCCCAGCTTCCCTCCCGCGACTATCCGACATCATATCTCACATCCGCACAGTGGTTTCTGGTCATCGCGATTGCCTCGTCAGCCTGCGCGCCCTGGAGCGACTCTAGTCATTCACCTCGGGCCTCCGGCCTAGTTGGCAACAGCCCTCTAGTCGCCGTCGTCCGCATCATCCGTCATCCTCTCCGCCCATATCAACGGGCATTTCCATCATCGTCACCTTCGCTACTGGTCGCGCGTGTCTCGCTCTTCAATCGAGACGATACATTCATTTTTTCTGCTTACGAGTTAACGATTCGACGACACTACACTACACCCATCACGTCTCTCACCGTCCCCTCACCGCGCCTTCGCCTCTTAACCGAAGAATACCCACTCCCCTTATCCATCAGCCGAGATGGCAAACCTTCATTTCGCGCACTCCGGTGCGCCCGTCAAGACGGTGCAGGAGATCCAGTTCGGTCTCCTCTCGCCTGAGGAAATCAAAAACATGAGTGTCGCGCACATCTTATACCCCGAGACCATGGACGAGACGCGGACGAGACCTCGCCAGAGTGGCCTCAATGATCCGCGTCTCGGTTCTGTTGACCGTCAGTTCAAGTGTGCCACTTGTCTGGAGAACATGTCCGAGTGTCCCGGCCACTTTGGTCACATCGAGCTCGCGAAGCCGGTCTTTCATCCGGGCTTTCTGAAGAAGGTCAAGAAGATCCTCGAGATCGTCTGTCACAACTGTAGCAAAGTCTTGGATGACAGAGTCAGTTCCCTGCTCTTGGTCCCTGGTGGTATTGTGCCTGGACACTTGTGATGCTGACCGGCTTCCCTCTAGAATACTCCAGATTTCGCGGCCGCCGTGAGCTCACGAGACCCCAAAGCTCGGTTTAACCGCGTCTGGAATTGCTGCAAGACCAAGAGAGTTTGCAGCAATGAGGTCCCCAACAAAGAGGAGGACAAGGAGTATGAGCCGGGCAGCAAGCCCAAGTCGGAGGGTCACGGTGGTTGCGGTAACTTGCAGCCTCAAGTCCGCCAGACGGCTCTTCAACTATGGGCCCACTACCAGGTCGTGAGCGAAGAAGGCGCCAAGACTAAGGAGAAGCGTGCCCTCGCCCCCGAGATGGTTCTCAATATCCTCAAGCACATATCTGACGACGATCTCCGTGATATGGGCCTGAACCCAGACTACTCCCGACCAGAATGGATGGTCATCACAGTTCTTCCTGTCCCGCCGCCTCCGGTTCGCCCCAGTATATCTATGGACGGAACCGGTCAAGGTCTGAGAAACGAGGACGATTTGACCTACAAGCTGGGCGACATTATCCGTGCCAACGGCAATGTTCGACAGGCCATCCAGGAGGGCTCTCCCGCCCACATCCTCGCCGAATTCGAGCAGCTTCTGCAGTACCACGTCGCTACGCTGATGGACAACGACATTGCCGGTCAACCGCAGGCGCTACAGAAAAGCGGACGCCCTGTTAAGTCTATTCGAGCTCGTCTGAAGGGGAAGGAAGGTCGATTACGTGGTAACTTGATGGGCAAGCGTGTGGACTTCTCCGCTCGTACTGTCATCACAGGTGACGCCAATATTTCACTTGACGAAGTTGGTGTCCCGAAGTCCATCGCCCGAACGTTGACGTACCCTGAGACGGTCACCCCTTACAATATATCCCGCCTTCACAAGCTAGTCCAAAACGGACCCAACGAGCACCCTGGTGCCAAGTATGTCATTCGGTCGGACGGTACGAGAATCGACTTGCGGCACCACAAACGTGCCGGTCAGATCTCGCTGGAATACGGCTGGAAAGTCGAGCGACATCTCCAAGACGGCGATTATATCATATTCAATCGTCAACCGTCGCTTCACAAAGAGTCTATGATGGGTCACAGAGTTAAGGTGATGCCGTTCTCTACGTTCCGCCTCAACCTGTCTGTCACATCGCCATACAACGCAGATTTCGACGGCGATGAGATGAACTTGCACGTACCGCAGTCCGAGGAGACGCGGGCCGAAGTTCGGGAACTCTGCATGGTTCCCCTCAATATTGTTTCCCCCCAACGAAACGGGCCGTTGATGGGCATTGTGCAAGACACGCTGGCTGGCGTATACAAGATGTGCCGACGCGACGTCTTCTTGACCAAGGAGCAGGTTTTCAACATCATGCTCTGGGTGCCTGATTGGGATGGTATTATCCCCCAACCGGCTATCCTCAGACCGGTTCCACGCTGGACCGGGAAGCAGATTGTCAGCATGATCATCCCGAGGGAGATCAGCTTCTACGCCAAGCCCGGAGGTGGCTCATGGTGCCCACTAACCGACGACGGCTGCTACGTCCAGTCCGGTCAGCTACTGTTTGGTCTTCTCACCAAGAAGAATGTCGGTGCCGCGGGAGGAGGCATAGTCCACCTATGCTACAATGAGCTCGGACCCGAAGGCGCGATGGCTTTCCTTAATGGGTGCCAGCGCGTCGTCAACTACTGGCTCTTCCACAACGGCTTCAGCATCGGTATCGGTGATACTATCCCCGACAAGATTACCATCGAGAAGGTTCAAAAAAACATTGACGAGCAGAAGGACGAGGTCGCTAAGCTCACGGCCCAGGCCACTGCGAACCAGTTGGAAGCTCTCCCTGGTATGAATATTCGAGAAACGTTCGAGAGCAAGGTTTCGAAGGCCCTCAACTCTGCCCGAGACAAGGCAGGTACCACCACCGAGAACAGTCTCAAGGACCTCAACAATGCCGTAGTCATGGCTCGGTCTGGTTCGAAGGGGTCCTCGATCAACATTTCCCAGATGACTGCTCTGGTCGGTCAGCAGATCGTCGAAGGCAAGCGTATCCCCTTCGGCTTCAAATACCGAACTCTACCGCACTTTACCAAGGATGATTATTCGCCCGAAGCTCGAGGTTTCGTCGAGAACTCCTACCTGCGTGGCTTGACACCTTCAGAATTCTTTTTCCACGCCATGGCAGGTCGTGAGGGTCTCATTGATACCGCCGTCAAGACCGCCGAAACCGGTTACATCCAGCGTCGTCTCGTGAAAGCTCTCGAAGACGTTAGCGCGCGGTACGATGGTACCGTTCGAAACTCCCTTGGTGACATCATTCAATTCATCTACGGAGAGGATGGCCTGGACGGAATGCACATAGAAAAGCAACCAATGGACCACTGGGTCCTTAGGGATGTCGACTTTGAGAACCGATACCGTATTGACGTGATGGAGGACCTTAATCAGCCGGTGCTCGATGCGCTCGAGTACGGTCAGGATCTCGTAGGTGACGCGACTGTTCAGGAGCTTCTAGACGCGGAGTGGGAAGCATTGTACAAGGACCGCCAATTTCTACGTGAACTAAAGAAGAACGTCGAGAAGCTTGAGGAGATGTTCCAGCTTCCCCTCAACGTTGGTCGACTAATTGAATCTTCGAAGCAACTCCTCAAGGTTGACGACGCCAAGCGAAGTAACCTCTCCCCCCAAGATGTCATTCCTGTGGTGAAGGACCTATTAGAAAGAATGGTTGTCGTTCGTGGATCCGACCCAGTCTCGATAGAAGCCGACGACAACGCATCGAAGCTCTTCAAGGCCCTTCTTCGTTCGCGATTGGCCTTCAAGCGTGTCGCAGTGCACCATCGCCTAGATAAGCTGGCTTTCCGTCACGTCGTGGGCGAGCTAGAGTCTCGATGGGCGAAAGCGATGGTGAACCCCGGCGAGATGGTGGGCGTATTAGCTGCACAGTCTATCGGTGAACCTGCGACACAGATGACTCTAAACACGTTCCATTTTACCGGTATCTCGTCCAAGAACGTCACACTCGGTGTCCCGCGACTCAAGGAGATTCTCAATGTGGCCAGCAACATCAAGACGCCCTCCATGATGGTATTTTTGGATGGCTCTGCCGCTTCGCAGGACCACGCGAAGAAGCTTCGAAGCGTTGTCGAGCATACGAATCTCCGTTCTGTTACGGCAATTACCGAAGTCTACTATGACCCCGACATTGAGTCGACCACAATCCCGGAAGACGATGACTTTGTGTCGTCGTATTTCCTACTTCCAGACGATAGCCAGCCTTCCATTGATCGGCAGTCACGTTGGCTGCTTCGTTTCGTCTTGGATCGACAAAAGATGCTCGATAAGGGTCTGACTGTTGAAGATGTGGCTACCCGTCTCCGAGAGGAGTATCATAACGATCTCGCGGTTATTTGTAGTGACAATAACGCGGATCAACAGGTAATACGTATTCGGCCGATGCCAGAAGACAAGGACGACTCGGATAAGCCTATCGAGGATGATGTGATGCTGAAGCGTCTAGCCGACCACCTCCTTGAAAACTTAACACTGCGGGGAGTCAAGGGCATCGAGCGAGCTTTCTTGAACAAGGGAACGAGAGTTGCCGTTGATAAGAGCGGCGCCTTGATTCAGTCGAAGGATAGCCCGCTGTGTGAGGAGTGGTATCTGGATACGCAGGGCACGGCCCTACGGGAAGTCCTGGCCGTACCCGGAGTGGATGCTCAGCGTACCATCACGAACGACTTGTGGCAGACCGTGGAAGTCTTCGGCATCGAAGCCGCCCGAGGCGCACTCCTGAACGAGTTGAGGAGAGTTTTGGCCTTTGACGGTTCATACGTGAACGAGCGCCACCTTTCCCTCCTGGTTGATGTTATGACCTACCGAGGCAGCATCGCCGCTGTTACCCGCCATGGCATCAACAGAGCCGACACTGGTGCCCTGATGAGATGTTCATTTGAAGAGACTGTCGAGATTCTTCTGGAAGCAGCCGCTATCGGCGAGCTGGATGATTGCACTGGTATATCGGAGAACGTCATGCTCGGACAATTGGCCCCGATGGGTACCGGTCACTTCGAAACCTATCTGGATCCCAAGATGCTCGACACGGTCATCTCGGACAACTCGAGAATGGGTCTGATGCCAGGTATGACGATTAAGGGTAGCCCCATGGACGGTGCAGCGACCCCATACGATACCGGATCGCCGATGACGGACTCTGGCTACGGCATATCCCTCGCCTCGCCATCGATGGGTATGGGCAACTTCTCGCCTATCGTCGGGGCTGGTTCAGACTCGCCCTCAGGATTCGGAACCGAGTATGGAGGATTCGGAAGCGCTAGTCCGTATGGAGGACGAAGTCCTGGCGCAACGAGCCCGTTCTCAGGCGGTGCCTCGCCCACTTCGCCATTCAGTAGTTACGGCGGCTACTCGCCCACTTCGCCTGGTGGAAGTTATTCACCTACTTCACCAATGATCGGCGGTCGTTACGATAGCTCACCACGGTTCAGTCCTTCTTCGCCGTCGTTCTCGCCAAGTTCGCCTCACTTCAGGGCCACGAGCCCATCGAGTCCCAACTACAGTCCAACCTCGCCCAGCTACTCGCCTACCTCACCCTCGTCGCCGCAGCATTATTCTCCTACGTCTCCTGGTCTCAACTCTCCTACTTCGCCTAATTACTCCCCAACGAGTCCCAGCTATAGTCCGACGTCTCCTAATCTCCATGCGGGTGCTACATCGCCTTCTTACTCGCCCGTGTCGCCAAACTATTCACCGACGTCACCCGCGGCCTATTCGCCGACAAGCCCAGGCTATAGAACATCGGGAGCCCAACAATCTCCCACGAGTCCTCGCTACTCCCCAACGGTTCGTGTCTAACCCAACGCGATACCTCTGTTTTCTTTGGGCTACTCGCTAACATTTACACAGTCTCCCGCATTTTCACCCAAGACTCCGGGTCCCGGTGGCAACGCCAGTCCCAAGTTGTAAGTTTCCGTATCCATTCTATATGCAGCACATGGCCGTACTAACCAAAGTGCGCAGCTCACCCACTTCCCCCAAGAACGACTAATTCGCTCGTATACCCCTTGGTTTCACTTAATACCTGTGTTGAATAATAAACACTGGTGGCGTCTTGGGTTCCGTCTACATTTGCATCCAGGTGTTCCCGTTTTTTTCCGTTTCTGCTTTTTCAACCTCTTAACCTCCCCTAGAGGACTTAATGCATGATAGAGGAAAGATTCCCTTTGGCATGTGCTCGAGACTCGAACAAGAGCTCGAGTGACGACAAAAGAAAGAAAACAAGTCAACCCCCAAAAAAAGACAAAAGGTGAAATGTGGGCATGAGAGATCGGTTTTGTTTTGCTGTATACTAGCAGAGAACGGGCTCAGAAAGAGTCCGAAAGAGGGGTTTTCAGTTGTTTTTCCTGGAGACATGGACTGGTCATAAGATTGACATTTCTGCCCGATCGAGTTCCTATCGTCGTCGTCATTGCATGTCGTGCGGAGAGAAGGAAGGGAAGGGCAAAGGAGACGAAGACGAGACGAAGGGGGGAAGAGAGAGAGGGGGAGAGAGGCTTCCCAATGCACACGTCACCGGGAACAGAGACGGATTAGGCAGATAGGGCAGGTAGGCAGGAAAATAAATATGCATTCATACGTACCAACATGACAGCAGCCGTGACAGAGGACAGTGATAAAAATAAGTGAGTAGGCGAGCGCACTATTACCCCCCCCCCCCCCCGGTTTGTTTCCCACGTGCTAGCAAGGGATAGATAGGTAGATGCAGTTCTCACGACTCTTATCTGTGTCTATCTAGCTCGTCCCGACCCTTCCCGCGTCATGTGCTAGCCGCGACGAGGTGGGTACGTCTGCCCATCCACCTCTCTTGCTTCCCCTTTGCCTTCTAGTCCTATCCCTACCCCTTAAGAGTTTCGCAATAAGGGGTCATAGATGCCCCGTCCGAACGCCTTGGGGAAGAAGATGGCATCCGACGTCGACGCCGACGCACGAGGCGATCCCGGTCCCAGCGTAACCCCCTCCCCCCCTTTTACGCGCGGCTGCGTAACTAGGTAGACTGCGCTGCTCAATTCCGTGTAACTCGACAAAACCCCCGCTGACTCGCGGTGATAAATAATTAACTCCATTGCTGCCGCTGCTGCTGGTGCCGCTGCTGCAGTGGTGGTGGTGAGCTACTTCCCATCGCTCCTCACGAGAACCACCATCACTACTACCACCAACGAACCCCCCACGGCGATCCTGTGCCGGACTCACCGCGACCCTTGCTCAAGTCCATATCGGTTCGGTCCACGGGGCGAGCGACCTCTTCAGCCCCTCGCCCCTCGCCCCTCGTCCTCCTCCTCTCCTCCGGATTGCATTGGCTGCCTCAGCTGGCGCGCCGGAGAGGCAGGCGAGCGGGGCGAGCGAGAGGACGCGAATACGACCGGGACGCTCGCTCGGGCACGGGTAGTAGGGGTTTGGGGGTATCCGTGACCACGTTTTTAAAAGAACGAAACAAGTTTAGGGAAGCAGGTAATCCCGCGGCCGCGACCACGACCACGCTTCGGCGTGGGCGTGCATGCTGTGCCGTGCGAACCCCGCGCCCTCGGGCGCGCGGCGCGGAACTCGTCTATGTGCCTGCCTGCCGGTGGTGTATGGAGGTAGAGGGCATAGAGACCCCTAGGGAGGAGGGGGGGGCATCCGTGGGGTTCGTTTCGCCTGCCTTGCTCGTTGAGGGCCGGGATTTAGGACTACGGATTCCGCGCTCACAATGCTGCTAGACTCGCGTGCTAGGAACGTCAGCTTGGCTCTCACCGTCATCATCACGGCACGAAAATGATCAACCGGCGCGACGTTGGCGCGTGGGTGAGTACGTGTCGGTGATAAATAAGTCGAGGACTTGTTTCAGGTTTTCAGCAGCTCAGCTCGGCCATCGTCTGTATACCTGAAGGCCTGTCTATCTGTCTATCTTACTTGCATCTCGCGTGTTGTTTTGGAGGTAGTAGGGCGGTGGGATGACGGCTGATGTACGTTATCCTGGGGTTTTGCGTTCGCTGCCTCGCTCTCATGTATGTTTCAGTTGTTCACGTCCAAATAGATTACGTGTATCAGTTGCGAAGACGTGCTCAAGCGAGAAGGAGGAGGTAGAAGGGGTATAGTGAGGACACGTCTGGCTAGCTGTGAATAAGCCGCACAGGAGATCGCTGCAGTGCCTGCGTGCATGTGCATGTGTGTGGGCGCGGGTGAGAGAGTCTCGTTTCGGAATTTCGGTACCCAGATCACGGGTACGTTGGGTAGGTAACGCCGGATAGGGATGCATGGTAACTGAGGGTGGCGCGGCGGCGTGTCAGGTAGATTGGCAACCTAATATGCGTAGGGCGGTGGAGAGGCACAGGAAGACCACGCCGTCCCAGGGCTGCCACGTGAAGTGAATATGCAGGCCAATATCAGGAGCCATCGCCTTTCTACTCTCCGAAATAAAGTTGGGGTCAAAAGGTTGGTCGTGAGCCGTCGGGGTACCTAAGTGAGGTTGCTGACGTGAGATCTCGGACGGAAACATGCGACCCGGGAAGTGAAGAATATCGTAGGTATGTGCCTATATATACATACCCAGATAGGCATATACGTAAGAGAAAGGAGGACTGCAGTTATCTGGGGCCGTAAGGCTGAGCGGGAGGGTTGCAAGCCGTGGGTAGGGAGGCCGTCTGGTTAGCCGTCTGCGTGCCTGCAAAGCATATAACCTCCATCATCGACGGCCATTGCCGACGTGGGCTATGCTTGCGTTGTTGGACGCCGTCTCGGGGGCGGCCGCTACTAGACTACATCCCAGCTTCCATTCCTGAAGCCGCCAGTTAGCGTAATTATAGAATCTATCCGCCTAGGATGGCCTCTCAATCCTTGCGTATTTAGACCGAAGCTGTGTTCTTCTCGACAGCAGGTAATCCGTAAAATACTACCAGTCGGGCCGGCCGCATGGCCTGTCTTGCCCTCTACTCTCTCGCCATCGGCCCGTTGGGTTATCCTATCCGTAGGGATCCAGGTGCGATCAAGGTTGTCAGGTTAATTTTGATATACGCACCCCCATAACTATACTCGATGCCATTCGGAAGACATATCGCCCCTAGGTTGTGTTCTCCCTCTGTATCATAATGTTCTACTCATTTAGATGAAATCGGTGTGACAGGGACGGACGGGTCTTAGCTCAGGTAGTAGTGTAGGAATCTCGTTGGGGGACTTGAGCTCGAGTAGCAGACACATCGTCAGGGTAGACGCGATGGTGTGCCCGTACACGGCAGTAGGAGTAGCGCCGAGGACAGACAAAAAATCAAAAATAACTTGGTTGGCCCGTACCACTGGCGTCTCTAGAGCGTGTGGCGGGTATTGATCTAACCAAGGTCTTCACGAAACTTCCACGGAGACTGAGCTCACGGTTGCCCGCGTGGGCGTCGCAAGTTCGTTAAGCGCCACCAACTCAGGGCTTCAGTATCTCACCTCCTCCTAGTGAGCCAGGGATAGCCTATGAGCTTCCCAAAATCTCGCTGATTAGTATATTGCCTCGCCGGCTCTGGAGCAACGAGTCCACGAGAGAAATCGTCGCAGCCGATGCTAGAAATTAGTCTGCAAGTTTGCAAGTGTCGAAGCTCGAATCCGGATGAGCTTTACGATGCATCGTTAGCGAAACGTGCGTTCGACAAAGGCCAACCTCGTGCTGCGGCTTGCTCCGTTGTGGTGCTATATGTATGGGGTGGGCTCGACTAAGAGAGGTACGGATTTCTCTATTTCCCTACTCTAATGCCGTACGCGGTCGTTCGAAAGCCCGGCCAGCTGAAGTTAGAAGATGATGGTTAACACGAGGCCATCGGAGATCATTGCTTAATGTTATGTCTCCCAAGATGAAATCAAGTTGTTCAGGGAGACCACCATCTATACCGTAGTGTAATACCGTGTTCCCTGTAATCCAAGGATAGGAAGATAGTCGGTGCCACTACCAGAGCAGCCCCTCTGGCCGCCCAATCTGATACCAAAATGATAGCAACCGCCACTGCGAATAAGTAGGGATAACAGACGAGTCGGCCGTAATCAAGTACTTGACTGTACTAACGACGCCCGAGTTTTGTCACTCGATAATCGCGATACGGTACCAATTAGGTAGGGATTATTTGGCTTGTGATAGCACAAGACCAGATATCGTAAGAGGCGGTCGAGCATCGTGTAAAATACGAATAGCACGTCGGATGTAAAGCACACCTGGAATGAAGGAAGCGGAGCTCGCAGCGACAATGGCAGAATCTACAAGCCGGATGGATTGTCCAAGGCCACCGAACAAGATGACGAGCCTCGTATCGTCTAGGCATCACGGGGTTTCTCCCCCTCGCTAGCGTGCGAGGGCTCGAACTTGGATAGCGGCTTTCGGGTCTGGTACGCGTGCATCGAGATGGTCCGCAGTTAAAGTCGACGAGGGTATAAAAATAGGTCGAGCGGGCTTCTTTCTCGAGAGTATGGGGGAATAAGGGGTGCTCGTAGCTCGGCGGCGAGCCTAAAGCATCGGTGTAACCTCGGATGTGAGCTAAACGTTAAGAGGACTATCCGATATGCTCCGTCAAGTCGGCTGAAGCATGCAGCATTCTCTTGCGTTCGACGTTACGCAGAACTGAGCATCGGGGTGGTTTCAGCTTGCGGTTGCGGTTAGGCGGTATGCTACGATCGCCTCCACAGATGGTGCGCTACGGTATCATCGACGATCAAGACGTAGGTAGCGCGTGGTGAGCACGGGAAGAAGCCATCGAAGACGACCTAGTACAGGTGACGAAGCGATCCGCGAGGAGAAAGGGTTTCGTAGGCTACGGGCCTTTTTTTGTGGCCCGAGATCCTGCTGCACATCTCGCGTCACGAGCACGGTAAGCCCAGGTCGGCGCGGCATGGTACCTCGTTGGTAGGTAAACGATGAGGTTGACAAGCGTGGACCATGACCATCTCTGAAAGCTGCTGCCTCTTCCTAGGTTGGTCAATCAAGCTAGGGGCGCTTCATGCGTTTGTGCAACTCCGCTCCTCTCCCCAACCCCTGCAACTGCGCGCGACGACTCAGACAGACCCGGAAAGAAAAAAGTTCGATACTCACTCGGTCGAGTTGCTTGTTGGGCGTCCTAAGCGGTATCGAGTTCCACGCCGACAAGACGTGTCCGACAGGCTCAAAATTAGAGGGGAGGCCTAATGCGACTTCACATACCTGCTTAGTACTTACGGCGCGGCCAATCCGTGACTAGAAAGGTGCCTTCAGAAACGATGGCGTTGAGAAGGTTGATGTGTAGATATGACAAGATACAGGGAACAACCAAAGCCAGGGCGAGGTTGAACAAAAAGGAAGAAGGCAGCCCACGCGCGTCTAACGCCCCTCTCCCACTAGGCTCCCTTCTTCCCCTGTCGCCCGATGTTGGCGCTAGAGACGCCTTGGGGGGGTCTCTTAGCCGCCTCTCGCAATCTCATTAGTAGCTCTGACGCCCTAGCCGCCGTCCAGTTACGTGTGCAGGTAGATTGATGACTCGAAGCTGCAAGGGGTTGCGCGTGAGGCGATGCTAGACGCAAGGGTACTGACAATACCTAGGTAGCCTTTCAACGGTGAGTTGACCGGTTTGACAAGCAACCCGCTTCGGCCGATCTATAACGGCAAGGCATTATTCACGATTTCATACCCGCTTTTGTGTTTGTCACACAGACTGCAACTCTCCCCCTTCCTATGCTAAGCTTATGTGGCTCGGAAATGTGGAAGGGTGGGAACATCTCACCTCCGCCATTGCGCAGGCTTCTCCGTCGCTTCATCGGCGCAGTGCTGATTTTGAGGCTGGTATTTTCGACCCCATCCCCCGACCCCGCCCCCTCCTCTTCCTCGAAGCCGGAGGAAGCAGTGGAAGAGCAGGACCTACTTCTCCCGCAGGATACACGAATGTGGTTGCGTAGACCCATGTGATCGCGGAGGAGCATTTAGGAGACGGGGGGAGTGACCAGTACTCGTCAGCTGTTGATTTGCGGGTCTGGTTCATGCTGGGTCGGCTCGTCCGACGGTGCGAGACGGTGGCCATAAGCTGTTGGTTCGGCATTTTCGCATCACTCGGTAAGCGCATCCCGCTAGTTGGGCCCGTAGACGCAGCTTTCCACCCCGTTCTCGTCCAAGCCCTAGCTTTCGAATGCATAGTATTAGCAGGTTGCATGGGAAGCAGCAACAGCCTCAGGACCCATCTGGGCAACGCAGGGGGATCGTTGGCAACAAGATAGGAGAAGGGGAGGAGAGGGGGTCGGACAGGATAAGGGAGGGAGGAAGACAGACGGCTGCCTTGGAGCGGACTAAAAACTCGTAAACTGTCGTGTAATCCGACGGTGTATGCTAAGAGAATATGACGGGTGTCGTATCTGCCGGGACCGGGCCGCCCAAACGGGCCAACGCGCACCCTCGCAATCGTGCGCCCTCGAGCAGCCAGACAGACAGCCAGGCGAAGGAGTGTTGGCCTGGGCCCCCACCTCGCTGACTACCTACGCGATGGAATCGAAGGAAAGGCGGCACAAAGCCGCTATCGCGATGGGAGACTATACCTGCAGCGCTCTCGGACCGAAAGGTGAGGGCGCGCTCTCGGGCAGAGCCATGTGCAGGTACTCGCAGGCGCGCAGCACGGGACTTGGTGGCGGCGTCGCGCTTCGATTGGTTCGCCAACCGCAATGAGCGAGGGTCGTTCTATTAGACGTAGATTAACACAGGTGCGCGAACGTGGCGTACCGAGCCACCATAGGTCGATTCGGACAATATAACCAGGTTACAACCCTCCCTGCTTATTTCGGTGCCCTCTCTCCACTAGGAATGGCCCTGCATGTGCTACCGCACATGGGAATCGACGTGTGGGGGATGCAAGTCAAGGCAGCCCAAGAACAACCTGGAACGGAGACGCGTTGGAAGAGACGCCGATAGGGACGGGAAGAAATGAGATGTGACCGGGCGGCCTGCCTCCAGGGGACGCCCTCCTGCGAGCCCGGATCTCAGGTAGAGAGATGGATAATTTTACTTAGGTGCCTCCGGCGTCTCTTTTCTCGTGGGCTTATTGCCTGAGTAAAGTGCGTACGGCAGTAGGTACTGACCCTGACCACCTGCCTTAGAACCACCTGGGCAGGTAGGCAGGTACCTCCCACCTTGCCGCTCATCAGGCATCGACATGCACCGAAGGCAGGCACTACCTACCTACCTATGGAACGACTTCAATGGGTGTATCAAGTGCCTACACCTCCTGCCATCGGTACCTCTCAGGGGTAAGTAGGTGCCCGTACGCTCCACTAGAGGTACCTAGGGTCCAGGTGGGTATCGGAGGGGGGGGGCAGCGAGGTACCTGCCTAACCTACCTGCCTACCTAAGGTACCTCCTACCTACCTAGGTACCTAGTAATATACCTACCATAGGTACACACACAGCTCCATCAGCGCAACGGAAGGTAGGTGGGCCGGCCGTACGTACCTAGGTACCTAAGGCAAGGCAAGGAGGGACCCCTTAAAAAGTTTATATAAACCAATCCCTGTAAGGTAAGGCACGCAGGCAGGTACCTCCTCCCCCCATCCTAAGGTCCTAAGGGGGGCAGGTAGATCGCCAAATACGTCCATATGCATGAGGCATGTACCCCTTTGGGTTCTAGGTCTGGGCAGCTGCCTTCCTGACCTCTCATTTCGACTAGGTTAGGTAATCAATCAACCACCAATCTTACCCGGCTTCTCCCTCCTCTCCTCTCGCCTTTACCCCCTTTCTCCTCGCACCCAGGCCCTCTCTCTCCGCCTACAGGCATCACATGATGTGCTACGAATGCGAGTGGTATCCTGTTGTCTGCAATTCGATCCGTACAGAGCAACGCTAGGATTCTTCCAATGCGGCGCCTTCTCTTCCTAACGTCGGTCTTCCCTCTTCCCATGTGCAGTAGTAGGCTGTTGGTCCTCTCTCGACGGCGACGTGTTGGTGGATGGTTCTACGCGCATTGCAACCCAACCGACATGGATGACAAGGCTTCCCTTCACGCTGCTGGGTGCAACGACACGAACCCCCCTGCCTTGCATTGATTACCTATACTCTCGGATAGATGCCTCTGACCGCGGGTGTGGCCGTGTCATACCTGCTTCCCGTATGCTAGGTGGTGCGGTGTCACGTTTTACGGCCGCAGCTTGACGACATGTCGCTGGCCGTCGCTCTGCCAATACCATTCGACGCGCATGTCGGCGAAAGCTTGCTAGAGGTCGCCGCAACAAGACGGAATAAACCCGAGCCACAAAAAAAAAAAGGTAGGAGAGAAGAAATGATATTGAAGTAAGATCAAGGCCTGTCTGAAAATAACCCCTACCCGCGAGACGCCCAGCGACGGTACCCCGTTATATCCTAAGAGCCTGCCCACTGTCATGTCGTGAGCTCCGAATCAAATTAGATATCCAACCAAAGAAATGACAGGACCCGTCCACCGTTCTAAAAGCTTTTGGAGATGAGAGAGACAGAGAGAAAGAGAAAGAACGAGAGAGATGGAGGGTTGGTGTATGTACGTGTCTGCTGTTCGTGTGCGCGTGATACCCAACAAGCGCTGGCTCCAGGCCAGATCTTGACGAGAGCTTAAGAAAACCATTGCGGTGGAAAACCCGAGGTATATATGCGATCGCTCGCAGGATGCTCTTCCATCTTATACCCGCATCCGCCAATCATTCCTGCCTTTAGGCCATGCCTCGAATGGACCGTGATGGGTTGTTCCTAGACAGAGGAGCAAGTTAGCCAAGGATGAGCAACGGCGATCGCGGCCGGATATGCGCCTCTCTATACTTGCCTTCTGTTAAGCGTGGTAATCACACGGCCCATCGTTCTCGACATCTTTCTCCTCGAGTCCTCTGGAGCAGGTTCCGAGGGTGTTGGGGGTTTCCGCACAAGGAGCATCCTGGCGGACCGTGCACCCGCACGAGTACTTGATATACCAGATCTTACACATGGCTGGGTATTTCGAGTTCTAAGGAGCTCTCTGGTGCTGCTAAATTCTTAGTCCGAGGCCTGTTCGCGACGGGGTCAAGGAAACTTACTTGTGGATCGAGCCGGGATCGAATTCGTTCGACCGTCGGTATGTATGTTTGTCGTCTAGGGAAGCGGCCTCGAGGGGTGTCAAGCAGGAAGCTGGTGGGGTAGGCGATGGCTTGTAGCTAGAGCTGTACTCGAGTAGTCCGAAGAGGATATGGAGTGAAGTGTGTGATGATGGTGATGATGGTGATGAGGATGAAGAATGGATGTGCATATCGTAGCGGGTGGGAGCGTAGAATTTATATGTTGTCAGTTGGCTGATGGGCCGCCCTCGATAGAGGAGAGAAGACGGATGTATGTTAGCTCCGTTGTTTGTTACCGTCACTCGAGGCTGACTTCCTCGAAGTCTTCGCCGCCACGACTAGCAGTCCCCTGTTGGTAGAAAGAAAATTTCCTATCCTCGTTGACTAGAATAACAGGTGGTGTGTGAAGACAAGTAGTAACCGTCATCCGACCATTATGGAGGTGCCCCTCTTGGGGCCAACATGTATCAAGTCGACGAGACGACTTATAGTGAAGGGGAAAGTGTACTATGAACGACTGCGGTTGGGGCGCCGGGTGTGCGGCTGCGGACTTGCGTGCTTCTCCAGCAGTAGGCAACACACCGGCCAGTCGACGGAGAACTTGGGGTTAGGAAGCCGTCCTAGGAACAAGTTATTGGACATAAAGATGGACGTCATATAGTAAGTACTAGATCTTCTTTGATTGCTATCCCTGGCACTTACACCACCCAGGGTCGAGGGGAAGAGGGGGGGGGGGGGGGTGGAAGGGGGGCCAATTCCACTAGGCTCGGGTAACATAGACACGGAGCAGGGGTATTGCGGCGTCCCGATCAAGTCAGAAGAGCAGCCAGATGAGGGAAATAACGAGAAAGGAGCCGGTTCGGGCTAGTTGGGAGGCTAGGGGTGCGTTATAGTCGACGTCCGGTGTAGTTTGAAGGCGTTCTCACCATCCAGCCAATCCAATTAGGCAATTGGAATGGAGACGACAGCCCCTGCGTAGGTATGGAGGAAAAAGAAATATACGTCTGACACGGTTCCTGCAAATCAACGGACAGGGAATGCGATGATCCCGAATATATTGCGTTTGTTTGTCCTCGTCGTTGTAGCCGTTGGCTGCGTTGATCTCAGCATTATACCGGTTGCTATCGTGTGTCACCACATCACCACTGGAGGTCGGGCAACCTCGCGTATCCAACAATAGCACCGGCACGATATCCCCTAGAAGCTCACGAACCAGCTCCGGGCTTGAGCTCGAGGGGTCGCGGCGCATGCCAGGTCCTGTAGACTCGACGGCAGCTACCGAACTGAGGAAGCTCGAGGCCGGCGGGACCTGTTCGCGACGAGGAGCTACGTACTTAATCGTCCATCCCTCTCAGTGCGCGTGTGTATGTGTATGTATGTATGTGTGCGTGGGTGTGTGTGTGGATGTGGACGGACAATGTAACGGATCCCGATCTGCTTGCTTGGTCTGTTCCAACGTCGAGGCACCGGGTGGGTGGGTCGTGGCGAAGACGAACAATGGCAGAGGAGAAGAAGACGGAAACACGAAATTTCCTGCCTTTACCACAGGAGAGTAGAAAAACACCGGTTGGACAAAAGGGGCAAGAAGGTGGAAGGAAAGGAAAAGGAAAGGAGAAGGAAAAAAAAAAGCAGAAATTCAAGAAAAATAGAATTAAGAGAAATAGCCCAAACAGCCCAAGGCGGTGTATTCGATTCCTTTCTGTTGGGACCAACGTCTGAAATGTAGGCACCGAAGGTCTACCGCATGTGTCAAAATTGTCGAAGTAATACATACCTACTTACCTATCTTTCCAGCACCCGTGGCCCCTAGCGAAGGGGTACCAGCGGAGGTTGGTGTATGTGGGAATGAGAGAGAGAGTGTGTGTGTTAACGTGTGATGTAGGTAGGGGGAATAGATTCAGTACATCGGGCGGTGGTACAGGCAAGGATGGATCCTGGCCGGGTAGCGTGGCTCTATTCATGATAAAGCAGAGGTATTACCTGTCTCCCTGGTCCTCTTACCTGGCAATACACACCTCTTCTATCGAAGCCTGCCGGTATATACACGCTCATCTGTCTGTCTGTCTGTCTGTCTGTCTGTCGCGCGCGGGCAACGAGGCGGTAATGTAATCCATAATCCAGACCTATCAAAGTTGATCCATCATGGGAACCTGCCTAACCGCGCGTGCCCTAGAATGTACCTAAGGTACGACCTACCTACCTACCCACCTACCTACCCACGAGGGGATCTGCCGTAAGTACCTACCTCCTAGTAGTAATTGAGATACCGAAGGTGGTAGGTAGGTAGGTACCTACCTTTAACGGAGTGATTGTGAATATACCTGCCTACAGGTAGGTACCTTGGGGTACCACCTGCCCTGTGCTATGTCGTGCGGGTCTAGCAAGGGACCGGCCTTAGGTTAGGTACAGATCCATCCGGGGCAAGCACGCCCACCCTGCCACTTAGGTACCTGCGTACGTGCCTAAGTCAAGGTGGGATGCGATAGTAGACGGTGTTTAGTGCGGTCGGTCTTATGCCTTGGAGGGCTGGAATGGGGTCAATTCATCACTTAGCATCTGGGGCGTCAACGCGATCGAAAAGGCTTACCGGCCTTGCCTTGGGCGGGCCAGCTGCGAAAGGACTGGCCCTAGCGGGATCGATTCCAGAGCGAGAGGAACCGGACCGGCCGAGCGACCCAATACTGCGCAGCAGAAAGGCTGAAATCGTTCGGAGAGCTAGGAGACGACTAAGAAACAGCGCCGCAGGCCCCTCTCCAGAACCCAACCTCTGCTCCCACCCTCCAGTTTTACCACCCAGCGTCGAGCCCGCATCGCCATAGGTCGGAGCCACGGCACAAACAATGGCTTCCCACGGCTTGTAGCATGAGAAAAGGTAGATTGCAGCAGAGCCGATGGAAGAGGAGACAGAGGAGAGAGAGGAGAGAGAGGGAGAGAGAAAATACCCGACGCGCGCGGGAACCCACGTGCAGCGGAATTTCAAAAACTTGACGTCCCGTTTCCCTGCTTCCTGCTCCCTGCCGGAGCTGCGTTGCCTACCGGAAGAGCACCTCAGAGTACGTATTCGCTTATCCAGCTCGCACACCCGGACCTGGCAGTCTGCAAGCTGCACGCTGCGACACTGCTGTTCCCCGTCTGCCAACCTTTCCCTCCGCGCAGAGAATAACTCTCCTCCCGCTCGCTTTCGCCAGAGGCGTGCCGTTCGTAAGATGCAGTTCCAGAACGTTTCTTGACGCCGCGGCCAACTGCCCCCTTCTTCCGGCGGGGATGGGGGGGCTGCAGGGTTCTTGTCGTCTCTGGCCTCTACTCATACCTATCTCGGCTTGGCCGGTTGGGACGGGTTTGCAGACCCTGCCTCCCTCTCCGTCGTGGGTGAGAGGCTAGCTGCGTTGCTTCCTGCTTCACACGCCGGCACCGTGCTATATGGTACCATACATATACCTCCCTGGCTAGCCGAATGGCCCGGCCCGGCTACCGTATATCTTCATCCGCCAGGATGGCGTAGAGCGGGAGACAGGCCTTTAGTTCTTGCGCCCAACATCCTCAGCTATGGTTGCACAGAGGAGACAGGTAATCTTGAGAGAGGCGGTACATGGGTCCACCGTTTAATCCTCAATAACGACGTACCCTAGGCGGGTGCAGCAACCTCCCGCACAATGCAAGGAACAACCTGAAGTTCACCGCGGATATATGGCACATAAAATTGACCCAGCTCGGCATCGCTCAATCAACTTGAACCTGGGCTGCGAGAACTCCCGCCTCTTTGAATCCCGACGTTGTTGGTTACTCGCCCAGTGGGTGTACAACCACGGATTCAACCCCACCAACGCCGGGGGGGGGGTATCCCTTCACTACTAGGACGAACCTGACTATATCGCGGTGCAAAGTAGCCTTACCTGGCACCGCTACTGTTTTAAGGGCTTTCGCATACCTCGATAATGTGGACGCTACATCCCAATCAGAAGGGTCAGCCTACGCCGCAACGAGAGGGGGCCAGGTATCAGGTAGAGCCCCGCCAGCATACAATGCCGCAAACCTAGAAGTTGACAATCTACTGAATCATTTATTCTAGCGTCGTTATACGACGACGGCTTGTCCCTCTATCTTTAGGGACAGGCTAGAGATGAGTTGAAGAATCGGTATTAGGTGGCCATAGAATACGGCCGCCAACATCTTCCAGACAGCCTTACGGCCCATTCATGCGGCCATCCCCCCCTTCCCCTTTGTGGGCGTACCTTGGCTGCCTCTAGAAATCGCGGCCAGAGAAGCGGCCCATCTCGACCAGCGGCCTTCGTGTGTTGCCTCCAACAGTCGAATTCTTCTGACTCACAGGAGCCCCACGTCAAGTGATTCCTCGAGCTCTAGAAAACCCTCCCCCTGCCTGGGATGGTTTCTGGAGACTGAACTCAGCCGTAATAGCGGATGACTTCTATACACCCGTAAAAACACCCTGAGAGAGGCGCTAGAGACCGAGCTAACATCGAGGAGCATCGTAGACCAATGCCATTAGTTCGGTTTTGTCTCCTCCATGTTCGACTTGGAGAGGTGGTGGCGACTAGCATTCATGTTCCGGTGGAAGGCGAGCTACCCCCTTCCGTCGCTCACCAAACCAACCCTCGAGTCTAGCTTCTAGCATATGACCGTCCCAAACTCGTGTGAGATGAGCATGGACGGTCTAATTAGCTCCGCCGTGTTTAATCACCTCACCCGAAGGCGACTCATGTGAGGCCCAGGAGCGATCGGATGAGCTTCGCACTCGCCATGTTGCCACTCCCCAACCGGGACTCTACCGTGGTTAGAGGAGGGTATCCCAACAGGATCCTTGATTTCACCGACCAATATGGCAACAAGGAAGGCGAGCAGGCTCCTCCAGCGCTTGTGCTCGCGCTCCTGACATGCCAGGATCGCGTAGTATCAGAGCTTCGACGCGACAAGGTCCCCCCCCAAATGGCATCCAACGAGACGTATCACCGACCCGCGTTCTCCCCAGGAGACATCAGTCGAATTTCCTTTTCTGATTCCGTATCGGGAAATCGCTCGAGCGCCTCTGTCTCTCGGGCCCGGTAGCGGTTGGGCGCGCGAAGGCATGAGAAGCTCACCAACGGTTACGCCGCGCGGCCGAATAAGCGCGCTGCTTATTGTGTACCCTAGCACCGGGTATGGTTGCATTTGCCATCAGGTCATGGTATGAACTCGGAGTTCGTTATCTCGAGGGACAGTCTTGAATTCGAGTACGAGGCGAACTTGGCCACTTGATTCCGCTTCGAAAGCGGGATATTGTGCCGTCGGCGTGGCCCTGTTGTTCAACAAAGCTCTAAGCCTCTACACGGGGGCAATACCGAAGGAGAAGTGTGCGCCACTGTCCAATACCCAGCACTCAACGATCAACACAGGTATACGCATGTACCAAGAGGAACTGCTATGAGGTGCGGAGTAATGGTATGCTAATATGGCTTGCCCAAATCACGAGGCCAGAAAGCCTGAACAAGAGCCAGGGCCGTCTTTTTACGCTAGTAACCAACAACTTTGACAATTCCCTAGCCTTTAAGGAGGTATTCTTCTCGGTTTTACTACTGATCTCGGCCTGAATCTTTCTAGCTACCCTTTGCTGACGAGCTTTCGCCATGCGGTGGACGGTCAAGAATCTTGACCCCTGCGTCTAGTCGGCACCTAGGCGGGCCGTTAAAGAGCAAAAAACGGCGGTAGCGGTTGACATGTCGTTGGTACACCGTTGCGGTCGACTGATGACCGCCCTTGATGGCCTCGACGGCTCGAGTGCCGGCACCACTGGTATTAAAGTAGCTATTCGCACCTGGATGATCCCAAAATCAGACGAGGCCATTCCGGAGCATGTTATCTGCGGCCTTGAAGGAATACGCTGCGATGATGACGCGTTCATCAGTTGAGTTCCGCAAGACCTCCAAGCCTCCCCCCTCGGGACCTTGATCGGCAGTACAGCAGTACGGAGCAACATAGCGATACATTAAGACTAGGGGAGATTTTGCCTCTACGGCTTAGAATAAGTCCCAACAATGTCTTCCCTCTACCATTAAGTTGTATCGGTCACACCTCCTTCTTCCATCAGCGCAAGCGGTAGATACTACCTAATATGTTTCCGCCGTCCCCCTGACGCCCCTATCGCGGGATGTTGGCGTCCACCTTCCCTAGAAGGGCATGTATAGCTCAAGGACTCTAAAATTCAAGTTTTAGGGACCTGTTTACGTACCCAAGTCGCCGTTCCTCACAGTTTCACATCTCATTGACTGGCTCACCGCTATCGCTCCAAGGAGATACCAAGTCCTATGCGCAGGAGCTTTTGGCTGAAATACCGCATAGCTAGTCGGCCTATGATCCTTCATCCACCTAGTACCACCAACGACGACAATAAGTCCCGGCCCACCTGGCCTGACAGGCGTCAGTATGGCGCTCAGAGGCAGGGAAGCCTCTAACCGATAGTGTGACGACAATTTCTTAGACCGTCGACGAACATTGATTTGTGATGGAAAAACCATATGCGCGGATGCCTCTGCAGTCCTGCGATATCCGGTATTAGACATCGTCGCCACTCGTGTTCCTCAGTACCATACCGGGAACAGTCGACGGCTCTTGGGGACGCGTTGTCGCTTACGGGTCCCTCTGAGTGGTTCGGTCTTGATCACCTAGTCGCTCTAAGCTCTACCGTTAGATAGTTCCGCAGAAGTTCCACCGTTACCAGCAAGGAGATCGCCGATGTATCTACTCCTTCAAAGCAAACCTAAAGTGATAAGGCAAAATAGCTTAGGGCAGCGGGGGGTGACCTTGTTCCTGTCTCTTTTTTTCCGATGTTATCTTCTGTGATTACATTGTCCGTCCCATGGTCCGAGTGGTGTGGTCATCAATCCCCATGTGTGAATGACGCTCACCTGGGCCAGGAACTTTCGTTAAAGATGACACGTCTTCAACTTGACCCGGTTGTACCAACGGACGCCAATTTCGTGGCGGGCCATGGAGGGTACGTTAGCATAGCCTACATATAGTTTCCTACCAAACGAGAGCCGGGCAGACACGGAAAGAGAGAGAAATGATTAAACAGGAGAGTACGGAAGAGGCAATCATTTGTAAATATACCTGGAAGCATAGCTTTAGAGTTGCAAATAGTTTACAGCGTAAAGGGAAATGAGACAACGTCAAGATGCATTGATTCACCGTGTAATTTCTTGGACACGTACACTTGGACGTCGCTTCATCTGCTTACAGTGCCCAATCCGCCATTGTCAATAGACACAGGCGCACGTAGACCAGGATACCGCATTGCTCCCACGAATACGCAAAGAGACACGTTTCCTGGAGGGGCAGAAGAACCGTTTTGACTAGCGATAGCAATCAACCGTCACTGAGTTTGACTTGGCGGGCAGTCGAGCATCCACCACGCTGGAACCACTTTCCGTCGACTTAGGGCGTGGGTAGGGGGTTGCGAACAACAGCTCTAGCGTCAAGGCCTTCCGACCAAAGCGCCTTCTAGCAAGTACGCGTGCTTAGAAAGAGCTAAAAGAGGCATCATAGATCGTATGGCGAGGGTGGTAGTGACGCGCCCTTCTCTGGTGGATGTCCACGATGTGGATGTTTGCTATAGGAGGCACCTACCTACCCCTATCTTTAACCCCTGTTACACGATACCTACTGGTTGGACCATGATGCTTTAATACATATTTACATTTAAAAGCATACACGCATGTATGCATACAAGGGTAAGTGTTCTATGCGTTTATGAGAATATGCATTACAGCGATATCGCGTGTCCTCGCGTGTGTCTGTCTTTTTGGTTCTTCTTCTTCTTCTTCTTCCTCTCCTTGCCCTATGCTTTCCGCACCGCTCGTAAAGCAGACAAAGCGACTCTACTCCCAAACACGACACAGTCCTCGACGGGTTTGTCGACCGAAAATATACACGATGCCCGATATCCCCAGCGCGCAGAGGGCAGAGGGAGCAGCGGGAGTGCTCCTATAGGACCTCTCCGAACAATCCCGTTAGTGGCTTGGCCCGCCCAATGGCAGGGTCAGCAGCCTCCGAGCGCAGCGCGGTTCTGTCCGCGGCGCCTCCGCGATGCTCCGGGCCGACCGGGTGTCGTTGCTATTTTACTTAAAAGGCGAACGGAGCCGCGTCGCTCTTCTCCACACTTTTTCCTCTTCTCTCGATATCCCGCGGGACGGGCGATTCGGAGCCTCAGCACGTGGAGGTGCGGCGATAGGAGCGGCGACGGGCCACCTCCCAGGCGTCTGACAGCATGCACACCATTTCTGGAGAGTACGTACAGTACGCGTCGACGGAAGCGCACGGTCACAGGTCACGGGTCACGGGCGCAGATACCGACAGCTTATAAATCCTCTCGATCGGAGTTGGGTCGACCCCGAGTTGGAAGAGAGGGCGGGGGAGAAGGGGGGAAGGGGTGTGCGTGTGCGCGCATGTGGGAGGGAGGCAGAGATGGAAGGGCAGAGAAGCGGAGAGAGCGTGGACATAAGATAGCACAGGGCAGTCCGCCTTTGCGTGCTTCTCCTGTGCTGTGCTGTGCTCGATTGACCTCTACCCGACTGCACAAGTGCGCTTGGCGTATTCGCTGCCAATTGGGCACCCACGTGTGGGTGCGCGATCCTCCTTGCTCCCTGCTATTGTGTTACGGGCTCATAAGCGGCCGGCGCTGCGTCGCCATGTCTGCGGAAGCGGTCCAGGTGCACTTGCACGTTCCCAATCAGAGAGGCAAAACGCGGGCGAGCGAGAGAGAAAGCGAGAGAGAGAGAGAGACGAGGAGAGAGGGAGAACGAGAGAGGCAGGGCGCGAAGATGAGAGCCAGCCCTGGTCCCGGTCTGTTCCCCTCCGTGGCTCGAGGAGGGGAGTCTTGTGTCTCGTGGGATGTTGCGGCAGGATGGCCATCTCCGGAGCCATCCCGCGCTCCGTGGCATAGACGAAATATTTCAAACCTAGAAAAAAAGTATTCCTTATTGCCTTGGCGACTCACGAGAAACCCCGCAAGGCGCCGGTGGCACTGACTGGTCTAGCATTTCGTGTTGGGTTTACGGGGACAGGTGTGTGGTGTAGATGCGGGTGTGTGGGGGGGGGCAGGCCCTTGGCAGATTCGCCCTCCGCCGGGGCTAGCCATCGTCCGTATACCTATAAAGGACGCATCCCTCCTCGATCGAGACCTGCTCCTCCCTCATTGTTCTTCCTTCAACTCCGACCGACAAGACAGACAAAGCCAATCTTTCTCTTCAACCCCCCGGACCCTTCGAAGCGCTTGAAACTTTTATCACAAACCTACCGAGCTCCATCTCCCTCCCCCATTCCCCCCCTCTATCCCAATATACGGACACCAACCTCCGGACCACTTCTGCCATCAACGCTACCACCTACCCAACAACCAAGATGTCTTCCAGCAACCAGAGCATTGCTCAACATGTCCGCGAGGCCCAGCCCCTGCAGTTCCTGCCGCTGGCTCCCGCCACCTCTGCTTCCTACCCCACTACTCAGAATGCGAAGCCGAACCAAGGGATCCGCCGTAGCCCGAGCCAGACCAGCGTCGACAGCAGCGCCAGCAGCATCGCCAGCCCCCGCTTCCTCAAGCTCAACCCAGTCCACTACGGGGAGCGTCAGGACGACTACCACGACGTTGCTGCCGCCAACCCACAGCCTCAGCGGTTCCTGTCGCTAGCTCCCGCCACCTCTGCTACCTACCCTACCGCCCAGAGCACGAGGCTAAACTACGCGGCCCGCCGCAGGTCGAGCCAGAGCAGCGTCGGCAGCATCGCCAGCCTCCGCTTCCTCAAGCTTAACCCGGTCCATTATGGGGAGCAGCAGGACGACTATCACGACGTTGCGGTCGTCGAGTAAACAAACCAAGGATGCCAAATATCCAAGCGTAATGACGGGCACATTTCTATTCTTCTATTCTTCTTACTGTTCTTGTTCTCTTTCGAACATTACGGTATCATCTAGGGGGGGTTAAAGAGAAAGGACCAAAAAAAAGGGCAATGGGAAATGGGAAATGGGAAATGGGAGCTACTCTCGTATAGCTCGATGTTAATGACATGACTACCACACGCGTAGCACGCAATCCAATAGGGGGGGGAAAGCGTAGCCTAATCGATTATGGAGCGGACGGCTTCTCTGTGTATTCTCAGTTTTCTATTCTAAAGGTGGCGTTCCGAGGGGGCACCGGGAAAGCGACGGCACGGACGGGCGGGACCGGGTGGGTAGGTAGAGAGGGAGGATACCGAGAGTGCATAACTCGTATGATCCACCGTACTATTTCTCATCACGATCCTCTCTAGTCGGGGGATTCTCTCGCTATGCGGTTACCTGCGGGAGAAGGGTTTTCACCGCTGGGCGAGAAGGGTAGCGCAATTGGGGCCTAGCTAGTGTATACTATTGCGTTCCGGAATCTCGAATGGAACGGTTCGGCTTCGAAGACGTGCGTGTGAAGGTGTGGAAGCGAGCAGCGAGCGAGCGAGCGAGCAATGGCATGTGTGAATGTACGCGGTATCCCGTGAAAACGGGGCGGCCGCGCTGCGTTCCACTCGCCCCCTGCCCTTGCGCGAATATGTGTATGTGTATGCAGTTAGAGTCTTATCGTCAGCCGACCAGTCAGCTACGTGCGTGTGCTAGAGCAGGTCGGGGGGTTAGGCTTGGAGGGGGGGGGACCGTCGAGTCGCATACTTACGCCCCCCCCTCCCCCCTCCCCCTCCTCGTCCGGGGGTCTCTCGACGTGTTATTATCTGCCCTACTGGACGGCACTGTCGGTACGCTAAGGTGAGCATGGCTGCGTAGGGGGGGAGGGGAGAGACGGGCGACCGCGTAGGATATCCGCAAACAGCAAAGAGCGAGCCGGGTCAGCGTGTTGTTCGCGCGCCCCCCCTCCTTTGGCTCTCGCCTCCGTCCCCTTCCGACCCTTCCAGACTTCTGTCGTCGGCTGCGACGTGGGGAGATGGGGAGATGGAGAGATGGAGAGACGGAGACGGACATGGTATACCGACGCGACATTGGAGGTAGGGAGGTAGGAATTACGGGGGGAGGCGAGCAAATTGGCGGATCGTATCGCGTCGTGGGTGGGAAGGAGAGAGAGAGAGAGAAAAAAAAAAAAAGAGGCCTGCAATAAGCGTAACTCGTGATTGGATCGACTATAAGCCTACATGCACACATACACCTATATCCATAACTAACATCCATCCATATACCTACATCATCCATAGAATACATCATGTACGCGAACAGCATCCCCCTTGCTCGCTCGCTCCCAGGACATTCCATCAAGGCTGCTACCTGCGCATGTAGGTATGTGCGTATCCTTATCGGCCTATCAAGTAGCGCGTGGCACTTCTAGGCAGCCGGACTTGCAACAACAAAGGAGAAGAGAAAAAGGGTGGGGAGGAGAAGAAGGAATAGCAGCAGGATGACGATGAGCATCGCCGTCCCCAAATGATGACGATGATGTAGGTAGGTAGAGCCAGCGGGATATTAGGTATATTTGTCTTATATTATACCTAAGCTGGGGGTGGTAGCATCGGGGAGGTAGGTAGGTAGGTGGCGAGCACGGGCTCGCTCAATTCGAGCTACCTATGCTCTCTCCCCGTACCAGACAAGACTGGCTTCCATGCTAGCATTTCCGGGCATGTGCCCAGCAGAGGTGTAGGGAGATAACTCGGGTCGGGGTGGCGGAAATGGGGTAGGTACCTAAGAACGATAGCGTATTATTATTTTTCATTTGCTATTATTATCGTTGGCGGAGAGACACCAGCAGCGTCTGGCCAGAGCTTGTTGTCTGTATTGGTGGCCCGTAGCCGACGGCAGCCCGAAGCCGTTCGCCCTTCCTGGCGCGCTCCCGCCCTCGTCGTCTTACCCGCACACATACCTACTTCTGCTTCTGCTTCCGTATACCTAACTGGTGTGTGCGCGGTATGCCTACGCCTATCTACCTACCTCTTAGGCAACCTACCTACCTACCTGCCTGCCTGCGCCTTACGCCTACGCGTAGTTCTTACCTCGGATATAGGTAGGTAGATGAACCGCTGAGACATGAACTCCGCAATTTACCGACCTGGGGCTAAGCCAAGCCATACTACGTACTGAGACGGGACTTTCGTCTATCTCTCTCTCTATCTCTCCCTCTGAGCGACCACTCTATCCCGAAGCACTCCCTCGCCTCGGTGCTATGGAGAAGGTGATCCCGTGTGCAGGCTTCTTTTTTCGTCTCGCGAGACTTGGCGGTGTGTGTGGCGGCGGCGGGGAAGAGCCAGCGACGCTCGTGACGCCGTGACCCTGCCTCAATAAGCGTAGCGCGGGTCACATTAAAAAAAAAAGAGAAAAGGGAAAAATAAAAAGGAGAAGGGGGAGGAGGAGAAGAGAGAGAGAGAGAACAGGAAAAAAAGAATGATTGAGCGAGGGAGAGGGGGAGTTGGGGTTGTGGCTCTTTTGATTCTACGGCCCAACGAACCTAAGGAAGAGGCATAGGACGTAATACAGATGATAGCCAACCCCATTTCCCTGCCCGCACACACTGCGCAGGCTGTGCTGATGTCGGTGCGGGCGTCTGTGTGTGTGCATGACGATGCTACATGTGCGCGCGATGCGCGGGCAATATATGCGTGCTCCGGCCTGCCCCCCGTCTGTTCTGACAGCTACCCTCTGCGCGACCTCAACTCTACACACATATGAGCACATACATACTACCTACATACATGGCTCCCCTACCTGGTAGTGATGTGCAGAGCAGGCATATGCCTACACGTACATTCGAGAGAGCGAGCGAGGCGAGGCCAGGGCACTCTCTCTCTTTCTCCCACCGCTAATCGATCCCGCGCGTGGGCCTGGACCTGGGCGTGCGACGGACCCTTATCCGCTGGCACGGGATGACCCCGCCGATCCCCCCAGCCAAGCCCCCAGGGCCGTGTGCTTACAAGGGTACCGACCTGCCCTAGGATAGGTATTATGCTGCCCAGGTAATCCGTAGGGAAAGTCACCAAGCAACGGGAGGCCGTGGAGAGATACAGGCGAGATAACGCAGGATTTCCTGACGCCGAAGGGAGGGCTGAAAATGCCCGTCCACCAAGTGCTGCTGCTGCTGTGCGTCTGCCTCCCCTCCCCTCCCCTCTCCCATTAGGTACCTCCTAGATCTCGATGTTGTCTATCTAGGCACCCAAGGTGTAATATAGGTTAATATTACTACGACGCTTAGCGTCTAACCTTGCCGTGCTGAAGTTGCTATATGGCGGCATGGGAGTTTCGATAAGCCCGCCTTGCCCATCTTTTCCCCCCTTTTCTTTCTCCTTCTCTTGCCCAGCCGAGGCGGAGGGTGTGCGGGTTTGTGTGGGCTGGGGGTTGGCGTTTCGTCCAGACGCGCGGTGAAATCGGCCGGGGTCCGTCCCCACATCTCTCGGCACGCGAGATACCTACCTGCGCATGCGATAAACAACACCCTTGTCGGCAACCCATGCCTGGATATGCTCATAAGTGCACCTGTATCGTGTTTTCATACTCACATCTACGTAACCTATGGAGCAGGGCTGCCTTGAGTAGGTGGGTAGGTATGCGTGCGCGCGCCGGGAACCAAACCGTGACCAGTCCGATCGCCAGCGAGAGCTGCCTTGGTAGGTCTTATCTAGGTATGCACGTCGACACACGCTGCGTACGTGGGTGGTAATATCAAGGCAATGTATAGTATATGAGTACGTAGGTAGGTATGTATGTGTGTATAGTAGGTAAGGTATGTCGGAAACCCCTGCTAGGCACATACCTACGTGATGCGTGTGGCGGTTAGGGGCCAGCGACAATCTTCCTGTGCCAGCCCGAGCCGAGGCTCACTCACTCACTCACTCACCACGCCAGGTCGGGCAAGCCGGGGACGTTGGGGAGGAATAGTAAAGATGCAACACGTACGCCGCTGGTGAGACGCCATCGTAAGGCAGCGTTCTGCAGCCGACGTGCCTCTCCTGCCTCGCATTTGGAGGCGTGCGAGGGACTTGTAGTAATATAGGTACCTAACTAGGTACCTACGCACCTAGATGTAGAGGAGGTACCTACCTAAGGTGTCTTGAGACGTCTTTGCCTTCGTTACCTACGAAAAGCACGGAAGATTAGGTGCGTTAGGTACCTTAAACTGGGAGGTAGTAGGTAACCTCGCAAGTACCTAGCCTAATCCCCGTGAGTACCTACCCAAAGTAAGCAGCTTATCTTAGTACGCTCCAACAACAACGCCGGACGTCGCTACCCAATCCGCAGCGGCGGGTTCGCCACTCCTCCGTTTCCCTCCTTCCCGGCCACCAAATTCACGACCCCTTCTCCATCCTCGCCTCTCTCTGCCCTCCCCTCCCCTCCACCCCACCTTCACATGATTTTTTTTATTTTTTTTTATTTTTTTAATCCCCCCCCGGCCATTCGACACACACCACTAACCGCCAGGCTTACAACACACCGCACATAATACATACCTACGCGTACGCGCACGCCTCTCTGCCCGGCCCCAACCAAACCACCAGCCAGCCAACCATCGCGGCGGACGCTGATGTAGGCGTTGCCGGCGTGCAAGCGCACGCACGCCCAGAACTCGCCGAACGGCCGGGCCAGCCCTAGAACCGCAGCAGAGCGGCGACCGTCGGTCCATTCTGCTGTAGCGTCTCCCACCAACCCGCTCGCCCTTGCCTGTGCGACGTCATCGAAACCGCCATCCCTCTCTCGCTCACTCTCGCTCTCCCGCACCGTGCGACAACACGTAAGAGATGGGCCCCGCCATCTCCCCCTACTTCGACCCCCTCGGTGACGGCGACGAAGCTTACGATCGCGGCGCGGGGCCGCCGCGGCGTGCTGCTCGGGAGGAGGCCGAGGCCGAGGCGGCGCGCCGGGAGGAAGCCGAGGACGACGGCGGCGCCATGTCGCTCGACGCGAGGAGGCTCCGGGCCCGGCACGCGACGGAGGGGTACCGCGACGGCATCGCCGCCGGCAAGGCGGGCAGCATCCAGGGCGGCTTCGACGGCGGCTTCGAGCTGGGCGCCCACGTCGGGCTGCGCGCCGGCCGCGTCCTCGGCCTGCTCGAGGGCATCGCCGCGGCGCTGCGAGGGAGGGGCGGGGGCCGGGGCGGTCCCCTCGCCGACGCCGCCGCCGCCGCCGCCGAGCGCCTCCTCGCGGACGCGGCCGCCGAGCTGACCACCGACGCCGTCTTCGCCGAGGAGTACTGGACCCCCGACGGCAGCTGGAGGTACAGCGTGACGCCGCGCGAGGGCGCCGACAGCGCCGTCGCCGTCGCCTTGAGCGACGTAGCCGGCCAGCACCCGCTGATTGCGAAGTGGGAGGGCCTGGCTACGCGCGAGATCGAGCGGTGGGGCTTGAACTAGATTGGCCGCTTCTCTCTACGATCTACCTACTCCAAACTGCCTGTGCTTCCTCCCCCCTACCCCTCCTCTCCAGTCTCGGTATCGTTCGACCTGGGAAACAACCCGCGAAAGCATGTGCTCACACGGCCGCATATCCGCTACGTGCCCACTTACTCGCTGCGCCCAATCCCGTCCTCCGTCCCCACCGGCGCCGGAGCACGGTGCAGCGCTGATCGGGGGGGGGAGGGGGGGCCTACGCGCGGATGGTTAGGGAAATGCCGAGCCTATCCCGCCAGTCGTCACGCGACGGCCCCGGCGAAGGGGAACCAATAGAGACGAGGGGAAAAGAAACGCACGGAAATGTACAGATACACGACAGAAGAAGAGAACAGCAGAGGACCTGGAGACCTGGAGTATGTAACATTGGGATGGAGGCAGGGGGGGAAGGGGAGCGAGTCTAGAATAGGCCGCACGTACGATACAGCGTTGCGGCGGCTACCCGCGCCTTATCCACCCGCGCACAAGAATATGCGACACCCACACCTACACCCACACACATACACACACGAGAGAGGGAGACACAGAGAACTCACGTAGAGCAGACGTAAGTCGGGGGAAGGTAGGCAGTCAGGTTCGCTCTGCCTTCCTGGCCCTCCTCGTCTCTCCAGCTCAGACAGGCCTGGGCCGGCCCAGCCGCATGGCTGCGCACACACACACCTTACCTGTCGTGTACACGTACACACGCGTATCTGGGCTTGCTCCTTTCCCCGCTCTCGCCCTCCCATCCGTGATGAGATATCCGCGCGCCCGCTGTCGCTGGTGTGTAGCGTATGTATGTGTGTGTGTGTGTGTGTGTGTGTGTGTGTGTGTGTGTGTGTGTGTGTGTGTGTGTGTGTGTGTGTGTGTGTGTGTGTGTGTGTGTGTGTGTGTGTGTGTGTGTGTGTGTGTGTGTGTGTGTGTGTGTGTGGACGAGGAGTGGTGGCGGTGGGACAACGCCTCCATGCCTACGTATACGCGTGCGCGCACGTATATGGTGATGACAGACACCTCCTCTCCCGGCCATCTCGCAGCCGCAGCCGCAGCATTCCGCCTCGCGCAGTCGGACTTTGTTCTGCCTGCCTACCACCACTTCCGTATGACGAACCCTTCCCCCCCCCGCCCCCCTACTTGACCCTTCGTGCTTAGATTAGCAGCGATGATCTGTTTCAGTTGCGCGGCGGGGGAGGGGCCATGCGGCATTTTTTTCTTCCATCTGTGTCTCGATTTCTCTTGTCAAATTTGGATAATAATCTGTGGAGGACGAGATCTGTGTGATGGAGGAAGGGGGGGGGGGCTCTTATTCATCCGACGTGCAATATAACGGCACCTACGTGTGCGTGATGATATGTCGCGCACGCGGCTGCAGTCTAGGCCTGCACACGCACACACTCTCACACACGCTATCTATATACATATGTTTATGTTCCACGGAGCGTACAAGCCCCTCCCCCCCAAAGTAGACGTAGAAAGGGCGGCGAATAGGGGGGAGGGAGGGTGTGACGACTATTTGCCCACGCATAGTTGTGCCCGGGATCATTTCTAAGGCGAGCGAGGACGAGAAGAGGGGGGGATTCTTGGAGAATCCCGGACGGACGGACGGACGGGTGGGTGAAAGGGTGGGGATAGTTATCAGCGGCAGCAGACAACCAAGTGCTGACCGCGTGCGAGAGAGATATATAGATGATATCGAATGCTGATTGATGCAGATTATCGTCGCGGACGATACATGTCGCTAGGTGGGCACACGTGTGGGTGTGCTAGACAGAGAACCCCCCTCCCCGCGGCGTCGTACGAGGTCACGGTTGATGAAATGCTAGATTTGCGGGATCTAATAAGACAAAACCAAACGGTGTGCTCAGCCGGGAGGGAGGGGGAGAGGCACCAACGGTGAGGTGGTACGGAATGAATATATATGGCTTCATCCGCCAACGGGCGTTCCCTCAGAGCTCCAAAATCTGAGACCTAGGACGTAAGGGGGGGCCGCCGCCGCGGGGGGCAGATCTGGTCGCCGTAGGGCGCGGCCTAGGTACTACTGGCGGATGTGGACGGTAAGTGACGCCAAGCAAGGCCTGACTGTGTGTATCGTACTTCGTATTGCCGGGCTGTTGCGGCGTCTTCGACCGATCCCTAGGCATACAGACGGGTCGATGGGGTTTTCAGCGTCTCTCCGGTGTTCCCATCTGGAGACTCGGACTCTCTTGGCGTGCGCAGATGTCCTCCTCTGGCGCTTGCGATAGGCAGAAGCTCTTTTTGCGCATGTCATCGCTGCGGCCGGACATACTTATGTGCCCCATGCGATGCGACGCGCCGCGCCGAGGCGCCCACGTTACGCCGTCCTCGCGGAATGCGTCCTAGCACCGATGCCGAGAAGGCGACGACGACGACGTTGCGTGGCGAGCGGCAGCCTGGAGTTAGTGCCCGCCCCCCTCCCTCCCCAACAGGACGCAAATCAGTCTCGGCGAGACTGGTGAGGGCCCCCTTTTTGGCGGAGCAGAGCCTGCAGTTTACCGCTCGGAGGGCGATGTGCCAAGCTGATATAGTGCAAGCCATGGTGCGGGTAGCCAATGCCACCACACTCTTTGCGTAATCTACGTTTTCGATTTGTCTTCCGAGTCACCTACGCCCAGAAATTTCGTGGAACCGTAGGCCAGGAGGGCCTATCGTATTCACTCCACCATGCCGCCTACCGAAAGGATTTGACTCGCTCAGACAGCCACGCGGTCTTCCAGCCTTTTTTGCCTTTCGCTTCTCGGCCACCCTTCTCGAACCAAATAGTACCGGGATCTGCTCAGATGAAACATGGCGCGGTGGTATGATAGGAGCCGTGAGAGCGGTGCTTCGCGGACGATGGCCACGGGTGATCGACAGGGCCCGGCCCTGGTCTTTGGCTAAAAGACTGCCGGCGTTAGCAAGCTTAGCTGCATGAGCATACGTAGACATCGCCTTGGCTGCCGTTGGGATATATAATTCTCTATTGTGCTGTTCCGCCAAGAGTTCGTCGATGAGACAGAGTCGCGGATGATGCGGAGACCGGTACGTAACCGGATCGTATCGCAGGTGCGATATATGACGTCTCCCGTAGATGTGATGGGGGCCAGAGTAACGGGATTTCTCTCTCGGTGGCCATTATGATTCCAAACATGGTAACGCGGACGGTCCCATGAAAAGTGAACCCTCCACACAGACACCAATATCCTCGGTAAACAAGTGCGCCGCGGAGGCTGATCTGATCTTGGCTTCGCTCACTACTCTTGGCGTAGTGCTACCAAATCCTGAAATAGACTGCCGTCATTGGCGGGGAGAGTCCGGGTGTTCAAGGTGACCGCCGGTTATCCCTCGCCAGTGTCATCTTAATAGGTTCTCTCGCCGATCCTCACGATTCGCTGCCCCGTTCCGTGCACTTCGTTCATAGCCCTCCAATCCAGCTCGATCCAATCCGGACCGTTTCGCAGAGTGGCTAGGCCCTGATCATCCGTGGACTCCGTGGCCCGGTTCGTCAACGAACTGGCTTCTCGGTGAAACGGACAGAACACGGCCAGATGCGCTTTCCAGGTTGATAATTCGACTTTTTCCAGATACGGATCCGCTAGGAGGTCGAGCAGTGCTTGGAAAGGAGGCCGTTGCACCGTGTCGGGATCCGGCACTCGATTTGCGCCACGCCAACTCGGCTCTCCCAGCCGCACGTTGAGCACCCGCAGGCCTCCGCACAATACCATGTCGGAGAGTGCGGGTCCCAGAATATCGCCAAATTCGCCGCCTACCCTCGTCAGGTGAAGTGTTAGGTTGCGCACCCGTCTGCGAGCATCCTGCCCTTCTCGGCTTAGGAAACCGCCTCGGCCAGTGAGATGGATAGGTAGACGGTGGCTTTGAGCATTCAGGGTGAACCAGTTCTGGGAGTAGAATATCGCCGAGGCTTCTTCGTACATCTGAAGGCTGACGAGGAACACGTTCAGCGTGCTCGCGGCGTTCGAGAGCGGCCGAGGAAAGAGAGTCTTGTTGTGCAGCACGATACTAGAGTCCGAGACGAGAAGCTGAGTGAGGATGGCGGTCCGTAATTCGGGTGGAAGGCCGAAGAAATGAAAGGAGGTGATTCCCGCCATGATGCTAGCACCGAGCGAGTAAGGGCCGTGTATCTGCTAGGCAAGTGACGGTTGCCGGGGTCCTGTCGCGTCTATAGGCAGGCTCCTTTCCCTGGCCGAGTCTGCATTCCACGGCTCGATATCCTTATCACTCAGTCGCAAACGACCAAGAATATGGGTCTTATATGTTCTCTGATTATGCCGTTAGTTACCTATTTGACAACGTAGGGGAAGAGGCAATGGCGTTGATGGCGATGGTGATGCTGCTACAACGAACCGCTGGATGGTCGTCCCATCCACCTCTGTTCAAAGTTAAGGAACTCTTCGGGTGTGGGCTTATGATTCCATGCCGTGAACAGGACCTGGGTAATCAGTAATATAGCGTAAATCGTGACGAGATGATTCAGTGAGTAGCGCGTGATGCGTAGGTTGGGAGGTGAGGAGCTGGAGAAGGGAGAGGCGGACGCATGTCCAACGTTAGCCTCCGGTTTAGGCGCCGTTTAGTTGGATACATCATCGTCAGAGGGGAGGTTACTTGTCTGATATAACGATATATGAGGTTAGGGACCTATAATTATTCACATTGTGAAATATGTTATTAATGGGGCTGTCGCCTTGCATACATACATATTTGGCGGTATCTTATCTTACCTATCTTATCGCGTACGTCGCGCTTTCGAGGCTTTGGGTACCGTAGCTGACCTATTACCTAGCTGCTCCTCCCAATGCTCCCTGTCGACAACATCTCCCACTGCACCAGGAGATCTGAGATGAAGCTGTCCGCTCCAAAATGCAATGCTATACGGAGTTGACGTCCCCGACGGCCGTCACACATTCCCTATACCTTCCATTCGTATCGGCGCAGAGCAACAATCTCGTCATCGCAAGAGCATCCCTCCTCCAGATCTTCACCACCACGTCGGTCTCTGCTGAACTTGACAAGGCTCAGAATGCCCAACTACAATCCTCGCGACAAATCGAGAACTACGATGCCCGAATTAATGACGACGACGGCCTCGAGTCGTCCTTCCTCGGCGGCGACTCCGCCCTCGTGAGATCCGACCGTTCGAACTACACGAAGCTCGTGCTCGTCGCCGAGTTCTCCCTGGCTGGGACCATAACCGGACTCGCGCGTATCCAGTCGCAGGCCTCCGCGTCGGGCGGAGAGGCGCTCCTGCTGGCCTTTAGAGATGCTAAAATGAGCATGATAGAGTGGGACCCCGAGAAGCACGCCATAAACACCACATCTATACACTATTACGAGCAGGATGACCTGCAGGGAAGCCCGTGGACTGCTCCGCTGAGCAACTACACCAACTTCCTGGCGGCAGACCCGGGAAGCCGGTGCGCCGCGCTGAAGTTTGGGGCGCGGAGCCTTGCCATCGTCCAGTTCAAAGGCGCGGGAGAAGAAGACATTGACATGGCGGATTGGGACGAGGAGTTGGATGGACCGCGGCCGGTCAAGGAGCCCTCCGCGGCGCTCCCAAATGGAACTAGCAGCAGTGCAGACACACCATATTCAACTTCATTTGTCCTTCGACTGCCCAATCTTGACCCTAGTCTCATCTGTCCCGTACATCTTGCCTTCCTCCATGAGTATAGAGAGCCAACTTTCGGCATCCTCTCTTCCACCACGTCGCCGTCCCTAGTCCTCGGTCGAAAAGACCAGCTAACGTACATGGTATTCACCCTGGATATCCAGCAAAAAGCATCCACCACCATCCTATCCGTCAATGGCCTGCCACAAGATTTATTTCGAGTCATTGCCCTCCCCGCGCCCGTCGGCGGCGCCCTCTTAGTCGGCAGCAACGAGCTGATACACATCGACCAGGCCGGCAAGTCTCACGGTGTCGGCGTCAACCAATTTGCGAAACAGGCCACCTCGTTCTCCTTAGCCGACCAGTCTGACCTTAATATGAAGCTGGAAGGCTGCGAGATTGAGGCCTTATCCGCCGAAAATGGAGAGTTCTTGATAGTTCTCAACGACGGACACCTAGCCCTGCTTACCTTTAGAATTGATGGCAGGATCGTGTCTGGATTAAGCCTTCGGTTGATCGCACCCGAAGCCGGTGGCTCTATCATACCAACCTGCGTGACGACTCTGAGCAGGCTGAATAAGACGTGTTTATTTGCCGGTAGTGAGTGCGGCGATTCGCTCGTTATCGGTTGGACCCGCAAGCAAGGCCAGGCTGGAAGGAGGAAACTCCGCCTTCAAGACCCAGCACTAGACCTCGACATAGATGACGAAGACATAGACGACATGGACGACGACGACGACGACTTATACGGCGAAGAAGACGCATCCGCGAAGCCCTCACCGTCCCGGTTCATCAACACTCCCGGTAGCAAACCCGGGGAGCTCGTCTTCCGTGTCCACGACCGCCTCGTCAGCATCGCGCCGATCACAGACTTTACCCTTGGCCAGGCTTTCTCATTTGACAAGGAGGAAGAAAAAAATCAAGACGGCGTTACCAGCGATCTTAGCCTCGTATGTGCGTGCGGACGAGGCAATGCTGGCTCGATTGCCATAATCAATCGAAAAATACAACCCAAAGTCATCGGGCATTTCGAATTTCCTGAAGCGAGGGGCTTCTGGACTATGGCCGCCCAAAAGCCGATACCAAAGTCATTACAGGGCGACAAAGGAGCTACACCGATGGGCGCTGAGTATGAGACATTTGCGCAATATGACCGCTTCATGATTGTTTCTAAAATCGACCTGGACGGATATGAGACGTCGGACGTGTATGCCCTGACGGGGGCCGGCTTCGAGGCATTAACGGGGACGGAATTTGACCCGGCTGCTGGATTTACTATCGAAGCCGGCACCATGGGCAAGCACATGAGGGTCATCCAAGTGCTCAAGACGGCCGTCCACTGCTACGACGGAGGTGAGGACGCCTTTTCGGCACGATTCAAGCCGACGCTAACCTGCCCGTAACAGACTTTGGGTTGACGCAAATCCTCCCTATGTACGATGAAGAGACGGGCGCAGAGCCCAGAGTGGATAGTGCTAGCATAGTCGATCCGTTCCTCCTTCTGGTGCGAGACGACGCCAGCATTTTCATCGCCAAGATCGACAAAATCCTAGAACTTGAGGAATTAGACAAAGGAGATGCCGCGCTGGCTTCTACCAAATGGGCTACCGGCTGTTTGTATGAAGACAAGACAGGCATGTTTGTCAAAGTTCAGACCGACAGGGGAGCGAAATCTGGTGAAAACATTATCATGTTCTTGCTGAGCAAGGCTGGCGCGTTACATGTGGGTGCTGTCTCTTCATTCCTCGCCATCGTTGCTGACGGCTTCAGGTATACGCCCTTCCCGATCTTTCCAAACCAGTGTATGTGGCGGAAGGCTTGCCATTCGTGCCCCCTACCCTGTCAGCGAACTATGCGGCAAGGCGCGGGACTGCAAAAGAGATCATCAAAGAAATCCTAGTAGCTGATCTCGGAGATATGACTTCCTCGAACCCATACTTGGTCGTAAGTAGGGCCCGATATCCAATATACACTGCCCGTGACGCTCACTAGTGTAAGGCCCGCCACGATAATGACGACGTTACGATATACCAACCCTTCCGCACATCTTCGGAGGCCGGACAGGAACTTGCAACATCCCTTCACTTTCAGAAACTACCCAATCCTACTATAGCAGATAACGCAGCTGAGGCCTTAGATGACGAGGACGACGAGATATGGCGTCCGCTTGCGATGCGGCGGTGTGATAACGTTGGTGGTTATAAGACAGTTTTTATCCCGGGAAATTCGCCGAGCTTCATTCTGCGATCGTCGAAGACCTTGCCAAAAGTAATTGGATTACAGGGCGACGGAGTCCGGGGGATGAGCCCGTTCCACACCGAAGGCTGTGAACGAGGTTTCATCTACGCAGACTTCAAGGGTCTCGCCCGAGTTTCCCAGATCCCAATTCGCAACCACACCTACGCTGAGATAGGCATGGCCCTCAGGAAAGTGCCGTTAGATATCGACGTACTCTCCATCTCCCATCACCCGCCGTCCGGGACTTTTGTCGTCGGCTGCGATACCCTAGAGCCATTCGAGTTGCCGAAAGAAGACGACTATCACAAGGAATGGCAGCAAGAGAAGGATCTCACGCTGAAGCCCTTAGTCCCACGGGGGGTGATCAAGCTGATAAACCCCACCAGCTGGACCGTCATCGACGCCATCGAGATGGAACCGTGTGAGACGGTAATGTGTATCGAGACCCTGAACCTCGAAGTCTCGGAGTCGACCAACGAGCGGAAGCATCTGATCGCTGTCGGCACAGCGGTATCTCGTGGCGAAGATCTTCCTGTCAAGGGCCGGGTTCTCGTCTACGACATCGTTACCGTCATCCCCGAGCCGGGAAGGCCCGAGACGAACAAGAAGCTGAAGCTCATAGCCAACGAGGACATTCCCCGCGGCGCGGTCACAGCGCTCTCGGAGATTGGCACCCAGGGCCTGATGCTCGTCGCCCAGGGCCAGAAGTGCATGGTCCGCGGCCTGAAGGAAGACGGAACCCTCCTACCCGTCGCGTTTATGGATATGAACTGCTACGTGACGGCGGTCCGGGAACTCCGGGGCACCGGTCTCTGCCTCCTGGCCGACGCCGTCAAGGGCGTCTGGTTCACGGGCTACACCGAAGAGCCCTATAAGATGGTTCTCTTCGGGAAGAGCTCCACCAAACTCGAGGTCCTGACGGCAGACTTCCTGCCCGACGGGGACGACCTCCTCATCGTCGCCTGCGACTCGGACGGGGGCATCCATGTCCTGCAATTCGACCCCGACCGTAGGCGTCCCCCAACCACCAAACCCCTCTCCTCCCCCTCTGCCCACGCATATTCCGGCCGCGCGTGTTTGTGGTGCTAACGATCACGCGCAGATCCCAAGTCCATACAGGGCCACCTCCTCCTGCACCGCACGACCTTCTCCGGCGGCGCGCACCCGCCCACGCGGAGCATGCTCCTCCCGCGGACGCTGCCCGCCAGCTCCGACTACTACGCGCAGCTGCTGCAGCAGCAACAGCAAGCCAACGACGCGGCCGCTGCCGCTGCCGCTGCCGCCTCCGACAGGACCGCCAACGGCGACGACGCCGACACCGCAGCCCCGCGCCCTCCTCTACCCCCCGCCGCCGCGCCGACGCCGTCCCTCGTGCTCTTCTCGTCGCCGACGGGGGTGTTCGCGACGCTCGCGCCGCTCTCGGAGCCGCAGTACCGGCGGCTCTCCTTCATGACGGGCCAGCTGCTGTCGTCGCTGCCGCACCACGCGGGGCTCAACCCCAAGGACTACCGCGCGCCGGGGGCGGTGGCGCCCGCGGTCGTCGGCCGCCTGCCTCCCGGCGTCGACGCCGGCGCCGGCCGCAGCGTCGTCGACGGCGCGCTCCTCCTCGCCCGCTGGCCCGAGCTGCCCGCCGGCCGCCGCGCCGAGATCGCCGGCCGCGTCGGCTTCACCGGCGGCGCCGCAGAGGTCCGCGACGTCCTGCGCGAGGTCCTCGGCGCCGCCGGGCTCGGCTACTTGTGAAGGCGGCGCGCTGCGGTTGTGTGCGTGCATGCGTGCGTGCGGGGGCTAGGCGCGAGGTTGTCGCCGCGCGCGAGGCGTAGGGAACGTTGCTCCCTGGTTACCGGTAGTTGACAGTACCCGTGTATGAATAGGAATGGTAGATGGAAACAGAATTAGTTAGTTTCTTATTCCTAATACTAAAATTTTGGTCTTGCTGGGGGACTACCCAGTCAGATGTTCTTCTTTCGTATTCATTGACACTGAGAGAAGAATATGTCTTTCTTGAGAGGTCCTCAAGCGTACATACAATAGCGCATCGTGAGATGTGCTCTAGTCGGGGCTACGAGAAGGGCCACATACAAGCTAGCCGTCCGAATCCCCCTTTTCTTTCTAATGCAATTTATTCACCATCCCTTCCTATGTGGGCGCCACGCCGGGCCATATCCCTCCGTGTTGAACCGTTCCAACGTATCTATCCGCATGTGCCAGGCACACATACACACATACAGAGAGAGAAGAATCAGTTGGAGTCTTGGGACTCTTCTCGCACATGTAGTCGATCATGCCATCTATGCCTAGCCGTACGCCTGTTACTAGTCCGTCCCCTCTGTCAAACCAAACTCCGGTCCGGGACAAAGGAAAACAACAGTTGAGAAGACCCGAATGCAAATTAAGAAAAGGAAAAGAAAACAAGCAGACAAGAAGAGAAGATGCGAGCCAAACATCGAGACTGCTCTCCGCCGTTGCCTCACGAATATCCCTATCTGGTTTCCTAAACGTCATTCCACGTATTATCCGAGAATGCGCGCGACCCTGGGAACGAATACCTCCAATGCAAGACGGAGTCAGAAGCAGAACCGAGGCAAAGGACACATAACTCGGAGAAAAGGGAGAGAAAAAAGGAAATTTTCATAGGAGAAGAGGCAGAAGGGAAACAACGAGGAGAAAAGGAGAATCAGACACGGCAAAGGCATCAGTGGCCTGGTCGAGGGCACGTTATCGTGCGATGGGCACCCAAACCAAAGGGAAGAGAGGATGCCGATCTTAGACGTCGTCGTATTTATGCCGGAGACTACTCACGCGCCTCTTGATGTTGTCGCTGAGTCTCTGTCCCTTCCGATCGGAGGAGAGGCTCTCGGATCCAAGACTATAGCTCCTTTCTCGCTCCTGGCCGCTTTTTTTCCTATCGTTGCCTGGGCTCTTGGCGGTGGGCTGCATTTCGTACGCGCCGCGTGGGTCGAGAGATTTGTGGCGCTGGCGCTTCTGCTTCTTGCGCTCCTCCTCGATGCTGTAGGAGGGCTCACCCTTGCCTTTCAGATCGTTCGGATGGTATTGCTAGATGTGGTTGTGTGAGTTTTAAGCCTCTGCCTGATGGTTCGCCTTCAGATGACAGCAGCCGTTATGGGCTTGTTGGAGGGGCGGGAAGGCAGGGGGGATGAATCGAAAAGTGCGAACTTTGGACAATCCATCTGTTCAAAATGAAAGATGCCTCACAGAGGTAATTGTGTCTCAGTGCAACTTACCACATGATCGTAGCGTTTGTATGCGCCGCCCGGAGCATCGCTCTCCCTCATCAGGTCAGCCCCCTCTTCATATTGCATGACTCTACCGCTCATGTCTCGCTCGCCGGGCGGAATGGTGGCAGTTCCTTGAAGCGGCACATGGTGCTGCAGAGAGTCCATGACGTTCTCCCTAGGAGTGGCTCTGAGTGCTTCTTGGTTGGTATTCTTCACGGCCTCGACAGGAGAGTAACGCTTGTCTCGGTTTCGAGAAGCCAATGTGGCATCGTAGGGACCACCATGATGATAGGCACCGCCGATTCCGGTTGTGTCAAGAGCATCTACCATATCGGGACCCGTAAAGTTCTTTTTTCGCAAGTGCGGAGAGCGATCGGCAGCTTTGGTAGCGCGCTTAATTACGTCCAGGGGCTTTTCAGACATGCTGCCGAGACGGGAGCGAGTTCGTTCCAAAACTTTGTGAATACCTTCTTTGAACCTCTCCGTAGATGAAGGACGTTCGGGCTCGGGGGAGCGGCTGGTAAAATACCGAGCTAGCAAGACCTCGTCGGGGGTCTCGGGTGTGCTGCTGGTAGACTGAGACGAGGTTCGAACACGTTTGGCTGGTGCGGATGCGGCGGCAGATCGAGTGAGCTGCGACTGCTCGTAGGGTTGAGGCTCATGCAGAGGGCCGATAATTTCGTCGTGGGCCTGGAGGAGAAGAAGACGGCGGTGATGAGAGATGGAGGTCAGTCAAGAGGGACGGACGAAGTGAAGGATGGATGAAGAGGGGAACCTGTCTGACTGCTACGCGCGTCCACCAGGGCTATGATGTAATCGGCGTGCCGACTCCGACCTGCAGCGGGCTGCACCCGGGCCGTGGGCGCATCGCAGAGAGAGCTGTAAGGGAACCCAGCCAATCCTCGCCCACCCCACAGCCTCAACTCGGCGAGGCGTCCGACACAACGACGATCTAGCAGGGGTGTTGGCTTGGGGGATCTGACAGGAATGTAGGTACCTAACTGTACCCGACCAGGACGGACTCGGCTAAGCTGGAGAGGCTTGGCGATCGATCGTCTGGAGAGAGACAGGCCCAGGACACCAACCAAGAGCGAAACACAGTCTTCTTCACATGCCAAGTCTTCACCAATTACAGCCTGGTAACTTCCATGGGCAACAACATACATATATATATATATATCGCCAACGCTGTTGTTGAGATGGCACACAAGATGTACCAAGGTAAAATAGAGAAGCTGCCGAGACAGGCATCCCACTATAGATAGGTAGAGGCACCGGAGAAAAGAAAAACACCCCACTTCCCCGGCTCCAAGGCTCAACCTGACCATGTGATATCGTGTGTGTATATGTGTATGGAGGGGCAGCAACCCCAATCTGATCCATCTCTCCAGCCGACCGAGGAAACGAGAAAACCCCCGACCTCACTTACCCAGGTGCTGCTGCTTTTCGATGACTTTCTGGCACGAGTGCTTGACCTAGGAGGCTCCTGACTCGACCTGGAGCGATTCCCAAAGTTCCCTGATCCGGAAGTGGGGAAACCAGAGGAAGACCGGTCAGAAGAGGTATCCATGGTGGTGCAGGGCAGGATCAGGCACGGATGAATGCTTCACGAACCCGTCAGTAAATGAGTGTACAGCTAGGTGAGTGGAGGCAAAGGGGGGCGGGGGGGGACACAGACTCTTAGGGAATTTGGTCGACAGAACATCAACGATCGAGAAAGCGTTGGTGCTGGCTGAAACGGCGAGACTGAAACGCGGCTGGTGTTATAACAGACTTTACAGGCAGATGATAGTAGTAGTTGATGGTGAAAAGGGAATTGTGTTGCGATGAAGTGAGAGGAAGATGAGATTAGAAAGATGGCACGCCAGAAAAGCCTGTGAGGTGGTCTAAGAGAGGGTTAGAGTTTTCAAACTCAGCTACAGTTGAAGGGAAACAGCTGCTCATGTGTGCCTGGTCTTAACCTAGTGACCATCACTGTAAACAGCGGCCCTCACGTTGTTGTCGTCGCAACAGCAACAAGTGGGACATTGGCAGTAATCGATCTTGACTTCGGGGCAGCGGCCTAGATGGGATGTTCCTACAGCCAGGCATGTTACGTAGTAACACCGAAGTACCTATGTGCTGAGGGGACAGATCTTATAACGCAGACACATCCATCCAATATAGAATCTGTAGCTAACCTATATTAACAGCCTCTACCGATTCTATGAAGAGCTTATGATATCATAGGTGAAGCACTTAAGATATTGTTAGACAGGTACTCCAACTATAAAAGTGCTACATAGATAAGTATCTGGCCAGAAGTATAAGTATATGAGCTTAGTATTACATTCTAACTAAGTGTATTGAATGGCCTTAGGCGTGAGGGATCTAGAGAGGCAACCATATCAAACACTAAGGTATATATACCATCTATCTATACCTATGCCAAGGGGCTCAGCATACCCCCTTGGTTAGGTTGTGTTAGGAGTAGGTAGGTATTCATATGTCCCTAGGTACTTATAGAAACTGGTTGAGAAATCAATATAAATAGAGGAATCAATACAAAGGCTGTACAACTACCAGCAATGGCATGTTAGGGATCCCTTTTTCAGCAGCCCTTTCACTCAAGTACCCTATAAGAAAATACCTATAAGGTAAGGACAGTGCAGCTTTATGAAGGATACACAGCACCTGTAGCCCCACCAGTCTGGAATTCAGTGTCCATATCAGGTACCCATGTACCTGCACATTAGCAGGGATTAGCAGCTACAGGTGCTGGGTGGTACCTATATTAGAGGTGCTTTACTTACTTAGGTACCTGCCTAGGTACATACCTGATCAGCACAAGCGCAGAAGAAACCACCAACTTCCAGTTCCCTGATCCATCCGCCTCCCTCCCGATTAGTCAACTTAGAGCCAACGGCATCACCCAGGAACCCAGAAACCTGTAGGCAATATACGCCATGTGATATGCCCAACGGGGGCGACGGTAAGCCAGCCCCACAAGCCAGCCGCATTGTCGTCACTGCTACGATCGAGCGTCTGAAGATAGGCACCTAATGCTGTGAGTAGATGGCGCTGGTAGACTACTCGTCGTCCGACTCCGAGCCCGAGGCCGGCGGCCAGGACGCGACCCCCCCCGCGGGGCCGGCAGCGAAGCGCCGGAAGACCTGCCACTATAGCGACGCTGACGCGCTCCCGCCCCTCCCCGCCGCCTTCCACGACCTGTACGCGTCGACGGTGCGCGTCAGCGTCGCCGACGACCCGGCCCTGCACCAGGGGCGGCGGCGCGTGAACCCGCACAAGGCGGGCAGCTGGCCGAGCCACCTGTACATCGAGTGTGCGCTCTCTCCCTCTCCCTCCCTCTCCCTCCCCTCCTCCCCGCCTCTGCCCACCCGCGCGCCCGCCCCCCCCCGCTGACACACACCCCTCGTCCCAGGGCACCCCACGGCCGCGCAGCTCGCGACGCTCGGCGCGCTCCTCGCCGCGCTGCGGCCCGCGCTCGGGCTGCCGCTGACCTCGTTCCTGACGTCGGAGCTGGGCGCGCCGCAGCCGCTGCACGTGAGCCTGTCGCGGCCGATCGCGCTGGCCACGGCGCACAAGGACGCCTTCCTCGAGCGGCTGCGCGCCCGCGTCCAGCGCGCCGCGCCGCCGTTCGACCTCGCCCCCGTCGCGCTCGCGTGGCACCGCGCGCGCGACTCCGAGCGCTCGTTCCTCGTGCTGCGCGTCGCCAGCGCCTCCTCTTCCTCCTCTTCCCCCCTCTCCTCCTCCTCCTCTTTCTCTTTCTCCTCCTCCTCCTCCTCCCCGCCCCCCAAGAACCCGGAGCTCGCGCGCCTGCTCCGCCACTGCAACGCCCTCGTCGCCGAGTTCCAGCAGCCGCCGCTGTACGCCGGCGCGGACGCGGACGCGGACGCCCCCGACGACGCGTTCCACGTGTCGATCGCGTGGTCGTTCGCCGCGCCCACGCCCGAGGTCCGGCGCCGCACGCAGGAGGTCTTTGCTGCGCCGGCCGAGGCCGCCGCCGCCGCCGTCTCGCCCCTGCGCGACGCCGTCCTCGCCATGCGCGTCCCCGTCCGCGGCCTCAAGGCCAAGATCGGCAACGTCGTCACCCACATCGCGCTGCCCGCGCCGGGGGCCGCGAGCGCGGGCAGCGCGGGCAGCGCCGCCGCCGCCGCCGTCGTGGTCGGCGGCGCCGGTGACGGCGGCAGGCTCCTGCTCGGCGGGTGAGCGTCGGCGGGTGCCTCTTCGTCTCCTCGGGCGCCTATCTACCTAGCCAATCTATCGACTCAGCGATTGTGGTGATCCTGGGCTTGGAGGGCGTGGACGTAGGGAGTGCTGCGCTGTCTTACCAGCGGGGATTAGGTACGGGCCGTGTGTGTACGGCCTGAGTTGATAGGGACGGGCCGACGCGATACTTCTTCACAGGCACATCGTTCCCGAGCCCCCCACTAGCTAGCCTGACGGCAGGATTGGGGGGTCACACCTAGCCTATTTCTTTCCCCTCGTCACACACTACGCCGAGACAAAGACCACGCACAAATCGATATTTCTTGGGAAGCGACTTTTCATTCATCCAAGATAAGAACCGAGACCTCATAAACGCCCCAGAACTCCGCCCGACCATGCCGCAATTTTCAACGCTTGGAAAGCGCCCTATAATGAATAAGTGCGATGGAGAGAGGGTGATAAGCTAGATACATGGATAATGCCAAAAGGGGGAGAGAAGGGAAACGCCTGGTGGTTTATGACACCTTGTTTCCCATCCGATATGTTCAACGTTGTAATCGCCCAATTCATCTTCCCCATGCTTCAATATGTTCTTTTTGTCTTTGGATGTACAGCATCTAATGTAGTACTGAGCGCTTTTCTATGGTAAAGACGGACCTAGAGCTCGTCGAGACTGGGTCGCACAAAGCCCCAGGTACGGGGTTGGACCGGTAGGCCGATGTAGTACTCCCAGAATCGCGACAACTCCAGGATGATGATGTGGAAACTATTTATCGACGTTTGTCAGCATGGTGCGCTCAAGTTCCGCTGTAGCAACGACCGTCTCAACTTACAGGGTCTTCGGGAAGTTAACCCAGCTCTTTACTACGATCTTTACCGCCTTGATCACCCGGGCGAGCTCTTCGTTGAAGATTTCTCCCGCCGCCTCCGGCGTGGCGCGTTCCTTTCTGGGCGGCAAATCATCGTCCGTGTCCCACTCGTCGTCCTCAGCTTCCGCCAACGTTTCTTCGGGTGAGCTTACGGAGAGGCCCACCGCGTGCGGCTTCTTCGCCCGATCAGGGATCGCTTTCGGCTTCTCCTCGGCCTCGACCATGGCCCTAAATCCGACGAGCGCTTTCATAGAGCTACTCAGTCTGGCGTAGGTGTTAAAGAGGGCCACGAGCTCGGTCCGCTTCAGTTCCGGGATCTCCGGGCTCTCGCTGTCGAACTCGAAGAGGATCTTCAGCGCCGTGCCGTAGCCGGAAGTCTGGACCTTCCCCCAAAGCCTGCACTTATCGCATCCTACGCAATCCATGACCCGGCTGACATTCCGGAAGCGGTTCTTAAAGTCCTCCTTCAACGACGGACCCTCACCGTTCTTAAACATGAGGCTCTCGTCGAAGATCTGGGGTACCGAAGCCGCCGCTTCCGTGACGGCAAGAACCTTGGCCTTGGTAGCCGCGTCCTGGTCCGGCTCGCCGGTGCAGAATGTGTAGCTCTGGAGGCGCTGGCCGATTTTAGCAACCGCGCGGGTGACGAGCGCATAATTGAAATACAAGTTGGATATGCGTTCGGGGTACGTGTGCAAGCGGGCCTTGTAGCAGCCCAGATTGGGTTGCCACTCGCCGGTAGTCTGGTTCAAGAAATCCCAGCAGAGGTGAGTGCTGATGCTCGCGTGCATGCCAGATATCACGCGGTAAAACACCCGCTTCTCCAGACAGTCGCCTTCGTTCTCCAAACCAGCCTGCACAAGCGTGGTGCCTGGGCTTCCCTGCTGCTGTACCAGCTGCTGCCGTTCCGCGTCCTGGAGCACGTTCCGGAAGTCTTGCGCCGCCGGCCCCTTGACTACGGGACTGGTCCCGAGGGAGGCGGACTGGGGGAATGAGGATCTCTGGAAGCAGTTCTCCCCGTATATCGCGTCCCACACCATCTTTGAGCCCTCGCCGGCGTATCCGGTGAAGCGCTCGGGGTTGCGAACCAGGCTGACATAGTCGCCCTTGGCGCTTGCGCTCTCGTCCTCGGGAACACAGTAATCTCGCTCGTCGCACTCGTCGTCATATTCGACCACGCAGCTCTCGCCGACATCCTCGCCTAGCAGGCCCTGCAACGGCCGCTTCGGCCATTCCTTCTGCACCTTCTTCCCGGGATGTTTCGCCGACGGGCCTTCCAGCTTTCCCAGCTCGCTCGCTCTCCATATCTTGGGGATGTCCTCCTCGTTATCGATCGTGTTAACGGCACAAGCTACGTTGCCGCACATGCCATTTTCGTCGTTCCAGAAGGGGCATCTCTTGTTGAAGAGGTTCAGGCGGTAGTAGGAGAAGAAATCGGTCTCCTTGGTCAGCTCATCCACGGCAGGCTTGACTTTGCGGTTTAGTCTCTCGAGGGTTGAATAGGACGCACAGGCGTCGGAGACGATGGCGCGGGGAGATATCTGGACGATTGCGTTCTTGTTAGAGGAAAGAGATTGGTATTGGGACGGCGTCGCCGCCAGCGAGCCGGCCGCGAGACAGAGGAAGACAACTACGTTGTACGATAGAGGCGACATACTGCGCATGCGTCATCCCGAGCTTCCTTGCTTCCGCATTGCCCAGGTGTTCCCCAAAGCGCAAAAATCGATAGGTAGAAGAGTTTTGCCTGTTTCATGCCGGCGATCGGGGGGGGTTGGCCGGATATATAGGCAGCTGAGGTGTAAGAGGCCAGGGCCGATAGGTAGGGATGGTAGGGATGGTATGGATGGGCCTAATTATTGTTATATTGGGAGGGGGAGGAGTCGAAGCCCGGCCCTTCTGCTTCCTTTCGGTATTAACTCAAAGGGAGAGGTGATAAAGATGGCAAGTATTTACCTATTTATTATAAGTATGCGGTATCCGAGTTGGGAATGTGGGTGTAGTGTGGGAAGTGCGTATGAAGGAGAGGACACGAAGACACAGGTTGGCTGTTGCGGTTAAATCCCATTCCATGTAGTCTAGTTGGGATGCGCGCGGAGTGCAGGTGGTGTTTCCAACCGACCTATATACCATGCCAGGGGGGGGGGAGCAGTTTGGTAGAAAGTACATGCGGGTCTAGGGAGCGAGATGGGATAGGAAAGTGCCGATACCTCAGTCGGTACATGGTATATGTACCAGACACGCATCACTTCTGCAGGTTGACGAGGATGATGGTGTACAGGTTACCGTAAAATCAGGTATAAGGCGTCTTACATGCGTACTCTATACACAGAAAACCTGCGCAACACCTATTAATAGAGGTACCTGCTAAGCTAAGGTCGATCTGAGATCCCCGGTATTCTAAGTATCATAGTGGCGAGAGCATCAGACACGGTAGCTGATGTACTTCCGATATAGCTACATCTACGTTCTATCCGTAGGTACCTAACCTACCTAGACCTAGGTACCGACCCGGTGCGCACGCTGAATGTAGGCTCTCGTCAATCGCGATTACAAAGCTGCACTATGTCAACGTGTTCACTTCCCGTTCCCACATTCTCTTCCGAGAGTGAGCCATCGCGGATTCGACGTCATACGATAGTGGGCTGTGCCGGGTGGCCGAACGATGGAGAGGCTCGGTAGTACTTCCGTACGTATTCATTTGCAACCTGGCAAATTCGGATAAGGCGCTGGTGCTCCCTGTGCGTATATGCACACACTGAACCCCTGGCCGCCCCCGGTGTCTATAGTAGGTGGGTAAGGCATGTTGTGAGTTGGGAGGTCGGGTTATGGTGCGTGCGACTAACGTCACTTGCTGTTCGTGAGGCGTATACGAGTAGGTCGATTCGGGCGGGTTGTTATATGCCTAGAGGTATATAGTATGCTTCCCCTCCACCGTAGACGCGTGTGCGCTCTTAGTTTACGGGCATCTGCCGACGCGTTCCCTCGGACGTGCTGGCGTAGCGGGGTAAAAGCATACCTGCCTGCATACATGGATGCAGGTTATGCATACCTATCTATATAATATACAAGTATATGAACGTGTTCCACCTCCCGCGTTGCTGATCTGCGCTCTGTGCCATGCAGTATATATTCATGTGTTCACATCTACCTACCTCCCTATCTACCTGCCTGCCCACCTGCGTAGGTCGCGATCGCAGTTGGACGCCGGCTGCGGTTCCTCATCAGGCTTAGCCATGCGATCCGTTCGACGAGCCGACCAGATCCCACAGGTAAAAATACATTCGCATCCGGGGTTGATAGGCTGTGACGGCTCGACGGACTGTGTTTGATCAGAGAACCCGGTGTTTCTAATCATTGCTGGATTTGGTAGGTCCCTAGGTACCTAGGTAGGTAAGGAACCCTCTCTCTACTACGTACCAGCAAGATAACGTCAGAAGGACATATCCCTGTAAGCCTTAACATAGTCTCGTTCTAGACAATTGCCAAATGCCACCGCATTCTTCACAATATCATGATTCTCCATTTCGTTCCAGTTCCTACGGAACTCCATATGCCAAAGGCAACGAACTAGTAAGGTCTCCGTTGTCCACTTCCCGAAGGAAACGAAGCCTAAGCTTGGGAGGGTCAAATTACTTGTCTATTGCCACGGAGGAGGAGGAGGAGTTTCTGCTGATCCCTCCCCCCCATGCCCCCAACCAGACCCAAAGCCGCCATCCTCTTTGGTGCCTGTGCCAATATCCTAGGCCGAAGCTACTATATAAGCTCATCAACGACCTTGTCCGCGAGAAACTGCGATTGCGCCTCTAACGGACCCAGCTGAGAATCATACGAGAGGGGAAGTTTTATGGATCAGGAACGGCCGTAACATCGTCGTGGAGCAATACACCCTGATAATATGCGCACGTCGCTATGCAGTAGTAGGCTGGTGAAGGGCAATCCAGAGGAATAGAGAAACCGTATCGAGCTTGGGAGGTCGATGCGTCTATGCCTTCGTCTGCGCAAGGATCATTGCTGAGGCGGTTGATAGTTGAGGGGCCGTCTTGACGCCGTCAGGTTAGTGCCAGCCGATTGCGTACAAATTGCGACGGGCAACTCACTTGAAGAGGAGGATGTGCGGTTCTGGCTCGTGGACCTCATAGTGCTCCCAACCCAAGCTCTATATGCCCCCCCCCCGTCAGCATCCTAACCGGAAAATGTATGATGATCGAAGACACGCCGAGCGACCTACCTGGGTGATGCCGATCGCACGCCACTCGTCTTCCCATAGCAGCTTCAGCGTGCCCTTGGCGGCATCATGATAGTCCTTGGGAATCACCTTCAGCATCGCTTTCGGGAGCTGAACATGGCGGTATTCATATTCGCTGTCCGAGTAGCTGGCCAGCATCGTTAGCAACACTACGCGCCACAAGCGACGGGGCCGCGGAGGGGTATGAGGTTCGTACCGAGCCGAGTAGTGGATGGAGTCGATGTATTCTTCGAGTCGAGCTCGCTCATCATCGCTAAGGGGGCGGGGCGCCTTGTTGCGCCGACTGACGTCAATGTTCATCGCCATCGCGACGGGTCCAGTTGTCCAATCTTGTCTCCTGGCCAGACAAAAGGAATAAGAACGTGCCCGTCTTCCGATCGTGTCGCTCCCTAACTGCCCTAGTGGGAGTCCAGTTGTCACGGAAGGAGGTGAGAGGGGGGGAGGAGCGGGACTCGAGCGAGCGAGTATGGCGATTCGCGATTCGGAAAGGAGGTATTTGGCTGTCGCGTGAGGGAGAAGGAAACAAGAGATGGTCCGGTCGTTTTTTGGAGTGGTTGGGCGTGTTGCAACTCTGGTGCGCGCACAAGGCAGGCCTGACTGGCAGAGGCCTAACCGATCTTAGGGCGATAGATAAGCCTTGAGGCGATGGACTGGAGAGAGGAGAGGCCGAGGAGGAGGAGGAGGAGGAGGTGCAGCTGGGAGTTTGTAGGTTGCCTAGGAGGAGAGTGGAAGGAGGCGCGTTTCTTAAGCAGTTAAGTTGCCGTTCCCCGAATTTCGGTCGCATGAGATGGTGCAGATAGGCAGCGGATGTAAACAGTGCCAAAGTGGGGGGAAGCCCACCTAAGTGCATGCCTACCTCAAAATGAATATTCGTATATGTATCCATGTACCTATATGTACGGGCACCTAAGCTAGGTACCTCCTTAAGGTACCTTACCTGGTGGGATCTTAGGTGTCTGCCTTATGTAATGTACTACGTAATGTATCCCTGCATACGGGTACCTGTACAGGGACTGGTACACGTGACTATCTGCCGCTTGGTTCCAGGTCACCTACTAGTAGGAGCATGGTAAATTAGGAGGAGGAGGGGGGGGGGAGTTTATTGTGACGGCCGTCAACCAGCTGGCTCTCAGCAATCCTCTGGTGGTTTGCTCCCGGCTCCCGTTCTGCGTTCAAAACTCGCTGCACCGAATCCTTCTCCATAATATTCGTATGTGTGCATCGACGAGTTCTCCTACAGAAAACCGACACGCCCATACTACGTACACCACAAGTTCGGCTGCGACAGTGCACTAGGCACTTCTACCTTGGCCGTCCGAGGGAATCCGTTCACCGCATCCATTATTGCTTAACTGGTTGCCAGCCTAGCCTTACCTGCATTGTGGCAACAGGTGAGCCGCGCTCGGCAGCTCGCAACTCGCCATCACCAGCATCGCATCGCGTCCTGGTTCCGCAACCCACGACAGGATCAGTATCCTACGGCTATAGCTTGCCCCCAACGTTCCTCTGTCGAATGCACAAAGCGCTCCGCAAGACGCCGTCGTGCAATCCCACCAGGCTTGCACATGACCTTCCTCACCTGCGTTTTTCCTTTTCTCTAAACCATTATAGCAATGAACAACAAGAGGAAAGCCAGTGCCGCGCATGGCGCCGCATCAACAGGGAATGACTCTACAGACCGTGCTGCTAAGCGTCGCAAGCTTCAAGAGGTATGTTTTTGTTCACTACCCCAGTTATGTCCCATCCTACAACCCGCACCGTGGTGCACAACCGGAGGCAATTTCGCACCCGTCAAGATAAGTTGGGCGCAGTAGTGGCAGGATGCGAACCTTTGCTTCGAGCCGCGAATTATTTCGACGCCGAATTCCCAGCTGTAGTTGGAGTGAAGGGGAGGTCTGGGCCTGTGGCTAGATGATTCCCCCTAGAAAGTAGGAACCGCGATGCCGACTTGTCCATGTCAGCGATGAACCTGTCTATCAGGTAGACCTATTATTATTTATTCCTTCCCACGTCCATGCATAGACCCAGACCCCTCTGTCTTGGGCCTTGCAATTCGCATATCGCTATCTACACACTTCCCATGCGTCTCTTTACTATAGCAACGATGCGGCACTATACTAACTCCACCTCCATTCTAGGAATTCGGCGACCTTTCCAATGGCGAAACGGCTATATCTACAACCGCTTATGGGCTAAACATTTTAGAATCTATCAGAGCTACCACGGACAAGAGGTATGGTTGTGTCTCTTACCATTACTACTCGACCACCTTATATGCATCAGCAGCTAACCCCTATCCGCTGCAGTGGCCGCCCTGTTGCGCCCTACTTCGAGAGCTTCCCTTCCCGGAGTGAAGACCCCGAGTACCACAAGAAGATACGGCTCCCGCTTTCCCTCGAGTTGATCGAACGCAAGTTGAAGAACAATGAATACCCTAAGCTTTCCGCCCTGGAGAGCGACTTCAAACGGCTCGTCTCAAATGCTAAAGAAATCAATGAGCGGTCCTCTGTTGCTTTCGGAGACGCCGAACGGGTGCGTAAAGCAGTGAGCAACCTGATGGTTAAGCATAACCCTGCATACAAGATGGGCAATTATCAGGCCGTTGCTACACCCCTACCCCCAACCCCTAGCCCCGGCGCAGGCGAGGAAGGCGAGGAGGAGGGTGATGCTGAGGATGACGCCGACGGCGGAGAGGACGGTAAGGATGCACGTAAGGGGGACGCGAACGTCCAGGATGTGCAGGACACGCAAGCCTCGGAAGGCGAGGGCCGGGATGGCGCGGATCTAACAGCGGAAGAAGACGCTGAGGGAGAAGAAGAAGACGCAGAGGAGGAAGAAGGTGGGGTTGGCGGCGAAGAAGACGAAGAAGAGCAGGAGGACGACGACGACGACGAGGGGGACGACGACGGGGACGACGACGGGGACGAAGACGAAGACGGCGAGACGGCTCCTGCTACGGGAAGAAGACGACGGCCCGGTCGTCCTCCGAAGAATCCCCTCGCGCACGCTCGGAAAGTTGCAGCACGCGGGCCGACACCCGGCAAGGCCGACACTCACTACGAGAATGTGCCGTACGAGGGTTTAAACTTCCAGCAGGCGCAGGAGAAAATCGTGGAAGAGCTGCTCCGGAAGAAGGACGAAAGGTACGTACGTGGTACCGTATATGGGAGCACTCAACTAACAATCGCACGTAGCGATTACGCATACTTTGAGCCTTTCGTCTACTTACCACCGCGATCCTTGAAAGATTACTATGAGATTATTGCGGAACCCCTCTCTCTGAAAGCTCTACAGAAACAAGTCCGGGGCCAACATGGTAGAGGAGGCGCAACTTACGTCAGCGACTTCAAAAGCTGGGCTGCTTTTGAGGATCAAGCCAGCCTGATTTGGAAGAACGCTTACCATTACAATGAGGACGGGAGTGAGATTTTTCTCATGGCTCAGGAACTCGAGGTAGGCCGGACGGATACCCTTATCCTACCCAACTTTGCGTCTAACTTGCGTAGCGATCATTTCACGATGAAGTGAAGCAGGCCAAGCACCACATTCCAGAGCCTCCCCAGCCGCAACCAAAAATAAAACTGAAGAAGGCCTCGACGTCGGATACCCCTGGGCATCCTAAGAAGATAACCATCCACGTTGGCGGCGCGGGGAAAACTAGCGCCACCGGGTCACCAGCTCCCGCGACTGGCCAATCTGGCGATGGAGACACCACTCGCAACGGCTCGCCTGTGGGCAAAAATCCCTTCAGCGGTTCGGCAGCCGCGGCCGTCAACTTAAGCCGGCTCGAGAAGGCCAGGAGTGTATCCACCTCTGTCGGCGCCCCTAGCCCTGCAGCGACGGGTCCGACGAAGGCCGAAGATGCCGTCCGGCAATCACCGGCCCTCCCGAGTCACCACCAGCTTGCGCCAGTGGCGATAGCGCCCGCGAGTATTGTTCCCAACGGTACGGTGGCGGCGATAGCGCCGCCGCCACCCCCCCCTCCGAGACAGACGGCGGCAGAAATTCTCGAGGCCCAAAAATACAGGCCCCGCCCGATCAGTAAATCCCCGTCGTCCTCGTCACCCTACAATGCAGGCTAACCGGTTAACAGAGGAGTCGGAGGCGCTCATCCCGAAGCTCATCATCATGTCACACCCCAGCCTTCAGCTCGATAGCCGGCTTTCTATAACCATTCCTGCGAGCATCACCGAAAGCCAGCAGGAACTCATTTTTCATGCCCCAGCAAGCCATTACCGTCTACAACTTCGGCCGCAGATAGCGCCATTTCTCGAGGCGGGGCAGCGCGAGTGGAAGTTGAACGTGCTGCAGGACTCGATGCGGCTCTATCCGTCACAGGGTCCGTTCGACAAGAGGAATGAGCCAGTGTTCGACGCTAACCTCCGATTTGGATCCAACCGTCTCGAGGTGTCGGTGGTAGCGGCGCTTCCCAAGGGCGAGAGGGCGGCAAACGGGCTCAATATGGAATTGGAGAAGATCGTTGTACATTTCAACTTGTTTAAGCATCAGTAGTTCGAATCCGTCAGTCTCGTGGAGGGCCACTCGGGAGATATAGATAGCTCAGAAGGAGGGATGAGGGGAGCAGGGCCATAAGCATCATGCGACACCAATGTATTGCTTTGACGGGATGGCAGTGGGCCGCGTGTGAAGTTGTACGAATATCGGGGCACGGGATGACATTAGGCTGGTAGGAGCACGAGAGAGAGGGTGAGAGAGAGAGAGAGAGAGCTCACGTAGCACAGGCCTGTCGCCGTTGGAGCGACATGCCACACGGTAAGACGGCGATGCAGCCCGATTCCCTGTGCTTTGCTACAACTGCTGGGACGAGAAGCGAGCAAAGAAACGGTGCTTGTGCAGTAACTATGATTAGAAGATAGGGTAATGCGACGGCAGCGGTATGAAATATATGACTCTAACGTAGAAAATCGAGGAGACGGACCGCCGCGCGAGAGCCGCCTAACGTCAGGAATAGGAACAGGTACCTAAGGCACCTATCCTACCTCTGATCTAGGTCCTAAGGTAGAGATTATAGGCGGCTCACCTATCGAAGTCGAACACATACGACGCCCCGTCCCGCCCCTAAGGCGTCTTTAGGAGATAAGTAGGGTACCTAACTACGGACACATACAACAGGTGGTACCCCGGGACACACAGACTAGAGGTAGGTACCTAGGTAGATACATACAGCGGCCCTGCCAGACCCTGAGCCAGCCATAACAGCCCTACCAATCCCTAGGCGCGCCTTTCGAGGCTTCCCCCATCAGGTATGTAATTTATTCCCGGAATTACATTAGTTCCGGTGGCAAGTTCTGGCCTGGACAAGGCACGGCGGGGAAGAGGAAAAATTCATTGGGGGCGCAGAAAAAGGGAAGGAAAAAAAAAAGGGAGGATAGAACAAAAATCGAAATTTTAGTTCCCCTCACCGCCCGCATAAAATTTTGTTAAAAACCCCTCCATAACTCGATTCATCCCACCATCGATCACCATCGACCCCATCGCCCTCTTTGAAGAAATTCTCCCGCGCCCTGACGGTCTTTGCGAACCCGTTCGGCAAATAAAGAACCATCAAAATGGCGGAAGAAGTGTATGATGGTGCCATTGGCATCGATCTGGGTGAGTCCCGACACGCTTCTCCGTCCCCTTCCTGGCATCGCACAGCGTATTGTATTTGTGTGCGACCTGATAGAATCCATATTATTTTTTTTTCCTTATTCCTCTTCTTTCACCCCTCAGCCGGAGTGGGAACCCTTGAGTGGGATATCTTAAGAGCACTTCGCTGACGATGCCGCCCAACCCCCTCCCCCGCGGTGGCTAAACAGGCACAACTTATTCCTGCGTCGCTGTATATGAGGGGAACAATGTCGAGATCATCGCCAACGAGCAGGGCAGCTTCACCACCCCGTCATACGTCTCCTTCAACGAAAAGGAGCGCCTCATTGGTGAGGCCGCCAAGAACCAGGCCGCCATGAACCCGCGGAATACCGTCTTCGATGTCAAGTACGTTGTCGTCTACGCTGTCGACTCGGCGCTCTCCAGATGCGCTCTTCTTGCCGTCACGCTAATCTTAACCCCCCTTACGACAGACGACTGATCGGCCGGCCCTTCAACGACCCCATCGTGAAGAAGGACATCGAGTCGTGGCCCTTCAAGGTTGTCGAGCAGGGCACCAACCCGGTTGTCCAGGTCGAGTACCTGGGCGAGACCAAGACATTCTCGCCCCAGGAGATCTCTGCTATGGTCCTCATTAAGGTAAGCGACACTGCCGGGCCCCCGTCGCACCACGGCCATATTCTAACCATGATGGCCTACAGATGAAGGAAATCGCCGAGACCAAGCTCGGCAAGAAGGTGGAGAAGGCCGTCATCACCGTGCCTGCCTACTTCAACGACAACCAACGCCAGGCCACCAAGGATGCCGGCGCTATTTCCGGTCTCAACGTCCTCCGCATCATCAACGAGCCTACTGCCGCCGCTATCGCCTATGGCCTAGGCGCCAACAAGAGCAACAAGGAGCGCAATGTCCTAATCTACGACCTGGGTGGTGGTACTTTCGATGTCTCCCTCCTCAACATCCAAGGCGGCGTCTTTACCGTCAAGGCTACTGCTGGTGATACCCATCTTGGTGGTCAGGATTTCGATACCAACCTTCTCGATCACTGCAAGAAGGAGTTCCAGCGCAAGACTAAGAAGGACATCTCGGGCGACCCGCGAGCCCTACGACGGCTGCGGACCGCTTGCGAGCGCGCTAAGCGAACCCTGTCTAACGGTGCCCAAACCACTATCGAAATCGATTCGCTCTTCGACGGCGACGACTTCTTCCTCCAGATCACCCGCGCTCGTTTTGAGGACCTCAACGCTAAGGCCTTTAACGGCACCTTGGAGCCTGTTGCCCAGGTGCTCAAGGACGCCGGCGTCGAGAAGAGCGCCGTCGACGAGATCGTGCTTGTCGGCGGCTCTACCCGTATCCCCAAGATCCAGAAGCTCCTCAGCGACTTCTTCGACGGCAAGAAGCTAGAGAAGAGCATCAACCCGGACGAGGCCGTCGCTTATGGCGCTGCTGTCCAGGCAGGTATCCTCTCCGGCAAGGCTACTTCTGCCGATACCTCAGACCTCCTCCTGCTCGACGTCGTGCCCCTGTCGTTGGGTGTCGCTATGGAAGGCAACATCTTCGCCCCCGTCGTCACGCGCGGCCAGACCGTTCCCACAATAAAGAAGCGGACCTTCACCACGGTCGCCGACAACCAGCAGACCGTTCAGTTCCCCGTATACCAGGGTGAGCGTGTTAACTGCGAGGACAACACGTCTCTAGGCGAGTTCACGCTGGCACCCATCCCTCCTATGCGGGCCGGTGAGGCCGTCTTGGAAGTCGTTTTCGAAGTCGATGTCAACGGCATCCTAAAAGTTACTGCCACCGAGAAGACTTCCGGTCGCAGCGCCAACATCACCATTGCCAACTCGGTCGGCAAGCTCTCGTCGACCGAGATCGAGAGCATGATCAACGGTTTGTCTCCTCCTCTCCCCCCATCTCCCCAGCTACTCACGTCGTTATTTCCGATACACGGCTAACTTCGATCTACAGACGCGGAGAAGTTCAAGAACAGCGACGAAGCTTTCAGCAAGCGATTTGAGGCTAAGCAACAACTCGAGTCCTACATTAGCCGTGTCGAGGAGATCATCTCCGACCCGACTCTGTCCCTCAAGCTGAAGCGTGGCCAGCGGGACAAGATTGAGCAGTCGCTTAGCGATGCCATGGGCCAGCTCGAAATTGAAGAGTCTACGGCCGACGACCTGAAGAAGAAGGAACTGGCCCTGAAGAGATTGGTCACCAAGGCTATGTCTTCTCGATAAGTGCATCTCGAGTGCTCAACAGCTCGGAAAATTCAGTCATGGAACATAGACGAACGCGGAGAGGGGAGGGAGGGGGGGGGGGCCTTGTTTTCCCTCCCCCAGAATCTTGCGGGTGGGAACTTTTAACCCTCACTCGCAGGCTTTATTGACAGAGTATCTGGAGGGGAAAGGCAGGAATGAATCCCCTCCATGTGACGCACGATTTATGAGATGCGGGGAAACAGAAGAGATAAGTTTCCCGGGTGGTTCCTATACACCCAGTATACGCGGACTTCCCGTTGTTATCCATCTTCCCCACCCTCTCATGAAAAGGAAAATCAACAATACGTTGATTGGCGGCGCATTTGCATGGTAGACACAAGGGAAAAGTGATCCAAAAAGGACAAACGCTCAATGAATCTGATTTTTATGACATATTCCATCTCTCTCTGGCCGCTATACCTAGGTATGCCGTGAAAGATGGTTCGGCCGGGTCTCTGAGGACGTCGCCGGGAGTGGGTGTGACGGGCGAATTACTACCTAATGAACGAGAAAAAATTGGATGCCCAGGCTGGCGGATAAGCAAGGTGGTCTACAGTTAGGTACATACCTGGGTATACAATGCGCTGCGGCTTCAATCTATCTACCTACGTGCCGGTTCCTAGAGTCCCATAGAACGCACATAATGAAGGCCGTCAAAAGACTTGATCAACTTTTCCTCTTCCTCACGCTAGCCCTGACTGAACTTAAATATTCTCGAAGGGTTGGAGGGGCACTGAGCTTGGGTTTCTACAGGCTTCTAGCCTAGAGGTAGGGATGGCATGCAATATCTGGTTTCTTGTGAGGAGTGCTACGCGGGCTTTAGAGACAGCAGACGTCTCGGCAATATTATCGCCTTGTAGCTACAAAGGCGGGCTCCGGCGCCCCCGGCCCGCGGCTTCTCCCCCGCCCCCCGTCTGATACGCTTTCAGCCGTTGAGGACGAGGAGCGGGCAGCCGACGCGGCGGGCCTCGTCGTTGAGGGCGTCGACCTCGGCGGGGGCGAGGGGGATGCCGGCGCGGGCGCGGGCGTCGCGGGTCAGCTGCTCGATCTCGCCGGGGAAGTAGATGCGGTCGACGCCGGGGGCGCGCTCGGCGCCGACGACGCGCGCGTGCAGCGCCGCCATCCGCGCGCGGAACTCGGCCCCGCTCACGAACAGGTCCGGCTTCAGCGCCACCAGGAAGTGCCCCACGTCCGACGGCCGGCTCGCGTCGTACGGCCCCGTCACGTCGCCCCCGAAGGCGGACCCTGGTGCGCGCGCGAGGCGGGGTTAGCAGCCTCTCTCCCTTCCTCCTCCTCTTCTTCTTCTTCCTCTTGTCTCTCTATCTCGCGTGCATGTTGGAAGCAGGGGGGAATCGACGAGTAGGGGGGTTAAAGGAGAGAAAGAAAAAAAAAGGGAGAAGGGGGGGCTCGCACCCGTCAAGACTCCCGAAAACACGTCCATCATGATGGCGAGGCCGGAGCCCTTGGGGCCGCCCATGGGGAGCATGACGCCGTCGAGCGCGGCAGCCGGGTCGTCGGTGGGGCGGCCGTCGGCGTCGAGGGCCCAGTCGAGGGGGATCTTCTCGCCGCGGCGCTTGGCCTTGTGGATCTTGCCGCGGGCGGCGACGGAGGGGGCCATGTCGAGGACGAAGGGGCGGTCGGCGGCGCCGCCGGGGGCGCCGCAGGCGATGGGCGAGACGCCGAGGAGGCGGGCGCGGCCGCCGTACGGGGGCAGGGCGGGGCTCGAGTTGGTGAAGACGAGGGCCGCGAACCCGGCGTCGACCGCGCGCTGCACCGTCCACGCGCTCATGCCGAAGTGGTTCGAGCGGCGCACGCCAGCCAGCCCGACGCCCAGCTCGCGCGCCATCTCGCACGCCGCGTCGATCCCGGCCGCGGCCGCCACCGCCCCGAACCCGTTGCGCCCGTCGACCAGCGCGACCGCGCCCGCCACCTTGGTCACCTCCGGCGTCGCCGCCGCGTCCAGCACGCCCGCCCGCACCCGCGCCACGTACGACGGCAGCCGGTTCGCCCCGTGGCTGTCGACGCCCCGCAGGTCCGCCGCCACGAGGCACTGCGCGACGAGGTCCGCGCTGGCCGCCGGCGTGCCGTTGCCGCGGAGCACAGCCGCGACGAAGGTGTGCAGCGCTGCGGCGTCGACGTACCGGTACGGCGGCGCCTCGTCGTCTTCGTCTGGGTGCTCCGGAGCCGGGACTGGCGGGTGGGGGGATAAGGGCGTGGGTGTCTCGGCCATATTCTCTCGCTCCAAGTAGGCGGGTACCAGCCAACGTTGTTATCGGTAGAGTGCGTGGTTTGATTATTCGGAGTAACGAAGATGATGCTGCCCATCCCCGCAACCGGATTTAACCTAGGTTGCATGTCCGCTAGGATAAGACCAGTCATACCATCCGACCTCGGCACCGGCCCGGTAGGGTCACATCCGGAACGGGCCGAGGCCGTAGTTGTATGTATGTGTGAGACCTACATAAATACGTTATATGTATGTCTCCATCTTCATATCAGCGTCCACAACTCGACGGCCTCTCTCCTGTGGGGAGACATTCTTAGATCTGGGGAAGTTGGGAGCACTCAAACCATGAAGCCGCGCATACCCTTTGAAGCACTCGAGCTAGTTATTGGCGCATGAGACTGACCTGGGGCAAGCAATGAAGTAGTTGGTGGAGGCATGATGCAATTTATAAACACATAGATGTGTTAAGAGTGCCCCTACCGGCCATTATTGTCCGCGACCTGCTTGGAGATGCATTTAGCCCCGGGGATACCCTCGCTGCACGAATCTTTCCCGGCGGTGGGAAGCAGCCGGGTTGATCCCGTACGGAAACATCGTCGGGAATTACGCGGATGCCTATCCGGTGGTGTGGTCAAATACCTGCGATTTTGGATATAAGCGGGAGAGTCCACCAACATGTAAGTCAAGACAATTCGGATACATCCTGGAGTTTCGTGCAATCAACAAACAGTCAAGCTAAAACATAGCTGTTTATTGAAACGGGCAAATCCAACGAGAGGAATAATGGCCTATCTTGAGCTCTTCGCCCTCACATGGAGTTTGTATCCCCGCCGCGTGCTCATATACCTACACGAAAAGGGACTCCTGCCTTCTCCGCACATCAAGGTCACGCCCGTCACCAACGTATTCGGCACCCGCAAGATGGTGGCCCCCGGCAAGCCACCTGGTACGGTGCCCATCCTGGTCTTGCCGGACGGTAGCTTGATCAAACAGTCCATCGCGATCTTGGAGTACTTTGAAGAACTTTGCGACAATCCGCAGGAAGACTGGCAGAAGGAGATCGCGGCGACCGCAAAGCGCTCGTCCATGATGGGACGTGATGCGCGCGCGAGAGCAACGACCCGGGAGGTGCTCCAGCTGGCAGACGAGGCCACATCGTTCTTCACGTTCGCCTGCCGCACGGGAACCAAGCTAGCTGAAAGGATGGGGCCGACGAATGCTGTCGCGGCTAGAATGACCATGGAATACGTGTGGCAGGCTATGCGACTCCTCGAGGCCTACTACGAGGGCGCCGACGCTCGAGTAGCCGGTTCCGATTCCGACGAGACCGCCACCGCCATCACCATAGCCGATTGCGTGCTCTTCTCGCTCCTGCAGTTCAGCAAGGGGCTATACGGCCGCGATATAGTAGCAGAGATCGAGCTGCCGAACCTGAGGAAGTTCTACGATGCTTTCTCGCAGAGAGAGAGCGCCAAGATTCCCGCGGATTTCTATCCTCGGGAACTTACAGAGGTCGCCCAGGTCTGGCTGGAGTGACGCGTACGTATATTATACGTGTGATGGTTAAAAATGACGAGGACTTGTTCAGATGTGGCTTTTCGCATATCATGTCAATCTGTGTGTGTGTATTATTAAAGATCTCTACTGGCGATCTGAATACGAATACCTCTTGCGTAGTCGGGAGGCTGTTGGCTTTAACTTGTCGACCTACACTTGTGTAGGCATTGGTGGTCGTTTCCACAGCTTGAGAGGCCCTCGCACCTATAGGCGAGCAGTATGGCAAGCAGTCCGTACAACAGCAGACATACCGCCATTGAAAAGCAATACAGTGGTTACCGGCAGGAAATAGTTAGCGGGTGCCATAGCCACGTGGCCAGCGTCGGAGGGAGAGTTGACTTCGTGGCGTCGGTGCAAACCTGTCTCTGAGGTGGCCAACTTAAGATGTTGATGTTGAAGGGGATTCTAGCCACCATATTTTACGACTACTATTTTGAGGCATAAGAGGGGAGAGATGGGGGAAGAGATGAGGAAGGGTGGTGGTGGTGGAAGAAGATAGGTAGGTGTAGTAAGTCGTCTAAAGGTAGGTTATCCCCGGTTACTAATGGGAGCAAGAATGCGGTTAAAACAATATGGTGCATGAACGGCTTTATGCGTCAAAGGGGGATGTTGCTGTAAGTTGTACGTCATTAATACCGGGCTGCTAGAAAAGGGCAGCGACTCTGATGTGAGGGTCATCATCGCATGGTTACTTGCCATCAACAACAACATCCCACATTCCAGTCCAATTCACTTCGACTCGCCCGGCGCGCGGAGTCAAAGGCGAACAACTGACTACGTCAACTTTGGAGTCTCCCCTACCCAATGCGCCCTTCTCATTACCATTTCCGTCTCCATTTCTGCCTGTTCTAACAACAGTTAGCCTAGAAAATAGTGGTTATCCCGTCGCCCCGGTCTTCAATTGCCCAGCACCATGGCTGCTGCAGGCTACGTCCAGATCTCCTTGATATGGGTGGCCTATGCAGTTGCGGTCGCCTTAGCCTTCCTCGCCGCTAGCATTACCACCTTCATCTGGCAGACGCCTCGCGACCGATCCGCCGTCGTTACCATCGTTGCCATCATCAGTCTTACCGCGCTCCTCGCCACTGTCTTCCTGCTCCCTGTCGATATCGCCCTCGTATCCTCCACCACCGATACGGCCCTTGGCGTCAAGAAAGACTGGGCCAGCTCCGATCGTGTCGATGGCATCCTCCTAACCCTCAAGATCGTTTACTATACCCTCTACAGTCTCGACGCCCTGCTCTGCCTGCTCGTCATCCCCTTTGCCTACTTCTGGTATGAGGAGTATGACGAGGTCGAGGAGCAGGAGGGTAGCCAGACAGTGGCCAGCAGAATCTGGGGCGCTCTCAGGTACACTACCGCATTCATACTGCTCATCGTCATCATATTCCTCGTCGGCTTCTTTGTGCCCGCTGCCGGTGACCGCGAGGGCAAGCACTTCGACCTCGACTTCTTCAAGCGACTGCTCAATGAGAACAACGGCGAGAAAGCGCTTACCTTTGGCTTGGGCTTGTTGATCACGCTAGGGACGCTCCTCTACGTTATTTACACCGGAGCTGGTCTCGCCCTTTTCCCTATCTCGTTCATCAAGTCCGCCCCTTCCGTGTCGGCGCCGCAATTATACGAAAACACCGCGTCGCAACTGGAACAGAATCGGGAACGCCAGAGACAGTTAGAGCTACGCAATGCGGGTCGGTCGGATGGAATGCCCGCCAAGGATAGGCGCGAATTGGATGCGCTCGCCCGTGAAGAACGGACTCTAGTGCGACAGCACAGGCTCGCTGGCGAAGCCCAAGGCGAGGGCAAGAGCGCGATCGTGAGAGCGTGGTCGAAGATTTGCGCCGTGTTTCGGCCGCTCAAGCTCATCGGGGGTCTCCTTGTCGTTCTGCTTGCATTGCTCATCTGGGTCTCCATGCTCATCACGGGAATCGACAAGGCCGTCAACTCCGTCTGCAAGGAGCATTGCGGCTACATCCTCGCCCACATCAACGTCTTCCAGCCGATCAACTGGATCTTCGTCCAGACCGCGCGGGTGTTCCCGGTCGACTACGTGCTCATGGCGCTTCTGATCCTGCTCTTCTTCAGCAGCTCGATCTCGGGCGTGGCCGCGATCGGTATCCGCTTCCTGTGGGTGCGCATCTTCCAGATTCGGAAGGGCCGGACATCACCGCAGGCGTTGCTCATCGCGACCGTCATGCTCGCGCTCATGACCCTCGCCATCAACTACGCCGTGGCCATGATGGTGGCCCCACAGTACGCCACCTACGGGACGCAGACCTTCTGCGACCTACCGCCGCAGCACCCGTTCGCGCGACCCGACTGTAGCGGCGCCTCCGAGGCCGTCAAGCCATGCTCCGAGTGGGCAGACAACAACGCGTCGCGGTGGCACCACAACCCGCAGCAGACGTGCACACCGACCGTCATGTCGACGTTCCTGAATCGCGTGACGCTTAACTGGCCCGTGTTCGGCGCCATCGACTTCTGGGCTCAGTTCGCCTTCCTCGCCGTCTTCCTCGTCGTCTTCCTGACGGCGCTCTTCCGCACGCCGCGCGTCACCACCGGCGGTGAGGACGCCGACGAGGACGCCGAGGCTGACGAGGAGGAGGGCCTGCTTGCGAGCACGGGCCGGCGCTTCGGTGCCACCTGGCAGGACATCACCGGCAGGGCTCCGAAGCCTAGCGGCACGGACGCGAGGGCTGTGTAGAGGGCGGTCCCTCTCTCGCCGCCTACGTAAGGCGTTGTATTTAATAACACAACAGCGATATTTTTCCGCTTACGGTACTCTACTGGTATTATGGACTCGGTAGGAGTACGGATCTGTGGCTGACTGAAGAAACGTGGGTTTGCGGTATATTCGGGAAAAGAGCGGGAACATAAGGGGGAAAAGGAATCGAAAAATGGAGACAAAAGAAGAAGGTGGTCATTCAACACGGGACAACTCTGAAGCAAGAGCTAACCACGCCTGCTCCCGGCCGCGGAAGTTTCCTACGGGCTTCGGGGATATTCGAGGGCCTTTTTGGCACGGCGCGGGTGTCGACTCGTGTATCTGTCTCGATGGTGGGAACGGCGACACAGAGACAGAAGAGGCGCGCTTAAAGGGGCGAGTGAGGTCGGGGAAGTAGGGACCTGGAGCAGAGCACACACACTCGTACAAAGGAAATCCTACGCGCGTGCGGAGTATATAAGGGTACTATATTTCACTTGGTTTGGCTGGAGTAGGTAAAATCAGGGAGGGAGGGGGGACAATTGTAGCTAACGGGACAGGCCGGACAGGCAAGGTAGATGGACACCGCCGTCAACAAATGACATTGGGTACGGAGACGTAAGAGCGGCTCTCTGTTGTGTTCGCACACGTATGTGATTCTATGCCTATGCTGTCCGGGTGCGTTCGCGCGTACGGTGGACTACAACTGGGGCCAGCTTCCCACATCCACTAGACCCTACTCTTGTCCTCGCCTGCTAGTCTCTAGCGCGAACCACATGCCATACACCACGTAGGTAATAGGCAGGTGGTCGGCGGCGGTATGCAGGAGACGGGGCCCGCGGTGAAAAAAGAACTCCCGCCTCTTAATATCCCCCCCGTCCCCAACCCTCTTCGGTTTTCTGCTCGGCGGCCGCACGAGACCCGACGCAAGTCCTACTGGAGGAAGACCGCGAGAGGGACCGCCGTACGAGAGCGTAGTAGGTAATTGTAATCCGTAGTCCTGCCTCGCCAGCTCAGCGCGCGGACGCCAAGAGACTTGTCCCTACTACGTGCCCCTCGCGCGAGGCGCATGGTCGTCTCGAGGACTGGCACCGGAGCGTGGCATCCCGATGCTCAGCCCCGCGAGCAAGCTCAGGGGTGGTAGTAGTGGTGGTGGCGGAGCATGTCAAGTATGGTAGATCGAATTTTTTTTTTCAAATACCGCGCACCGGCACCCCGGTAAGCCGAACAGGCAACGGTGTGGTCCGCGACAGGGGTTGGTTTCTAGCGCAGAATCCCGCCCTTCCACCTGTCTCCAAATCCTTACTGCGGCACACCAGCAGCCAATTGCCCCAACCACCCGCGCATTCTCTCCGAAGGGGTATGATGAGGGGGGGGGAGCCAGGGGGGGGAGCAGGTCCTAGCGCCCCTTGACAAATCTTTCCCAGCGATGCCCCCGGTCGTCGTACCCGGCGGCGGGGCCGACGTGCATCTCGCGCCAGCACCTGGCGCAGTAGACGTCGTCGCCGTCGTCGCAGCCGAGGCAGCGGACGGCGCCGTCCTCGAGGCACACGACGCACCACGTCTTCTGGTCCTCGTCGGTGTAGCCGGCGCGCCTGACGAGCCCGGGGGCGGGGCGGTCGGCCGGCACGAAGGTGGGCGCCGCGGGCAGCCCGAGCACGTCGACGTCCGAGGTGGGCGCCGAGGGCAGCGTCGGGCTCGCTGGCGCGCTGACTCTGAGGGCCACCATGCGCGACGTGATGGAGGCCGCGAAGTCGGCGTCCTCCTGAGAGGAGCCGGCCAGGTCTGGCTGGTCCTGGAGTTCCAGGGGTACGGTGGGTAGGCCGAAGGGGTCCTCTGCGCTACGTGCCACTGCGGGTTTGGTTGTGCTACTTGAGCCATGTAGTTTGTGGTCGTGACTCGCTGCGGGTGCTCCAGGGTCAGGTGGGGACACGGGCCTGTGAGCCTTGTCCCAGTCAGCCTCGTCGACAGCCTGCGCGAGTATGATGTCAGCTTCGCGAATCATCCTTTCGCCCTCAGAATCGTCATCGCTATCTTGCTCCGAGTCGTTGCGACCGGCATTAGCGCTTTTAGGACTGCCGCTGTGATCTAAGCCGTGGTCAGCTTGGGAAGCCTTCCCGAGCTCTTCCAGAAGCAGAGTGACTCTTCGGTGCTCCTCTTCTTCGGCTACTACTTCGTCCAGCCACTGCTGATCGGATTCGAGATCCGCCAGGAGCTCTTCAAGGGTCTGGTCATCCGTGATCAGCAGGTTATCGGCACTGTCGATGCCCTCTTCTACGGCGGAGGCCGTCTGTGCGCCTCTGTCCGGCCCCGAATCTTCGACGCTGGGACGTAGCTGTGTGGTTTGGCTGGGAGTTGGTTGGCTAGTAGCGTTGCTATCTCGGCGGGATGCCCCTGAGCTGGAGGCGGAGGGGACTTTGCCATGGGACTGGTTCCGAAGACTTTTGAGTCTTTCGCTAAGGGCGTCCTCTCTCGACGGAGGCTTAGCAGGCTCTGTAGTAGATGCAACGGCTGATCTGGTACCGCTTAGTGGACTTATAGATTCTCGCCAGCAAGGCGAACCGGACCAAGTAACTAGGCGAGATGCACCGAAGAGGCCGAGAGGTTACCTTACTTCAATGAAGGATCGAGACGGACGGTGGTGGGTTTGAGGGCGTTGAGCCTCTCGAGCAAGGTCCTATCGGCCCCAGTACCGCTCGCCATAGCGGTGAGCCTTGCGGGGTGGTGGGGAAAACTAGGTTAAAGGAGACGAGACGATGGGATAGGTGTATCGGCGCATGTACGTGTATAGTTAGCAACGAAGGGTGGTAAGCTAGCAGAGCATAGCAACGTATCGTGGGGTTGGGCGAGGATAATCCATCTCAAGGGCGCATGTGTAATTGCTCCGTAGACAAACATGTGTGTAGTAAAGTCGGCAATGAGACTGGGATAGGAGGTGGGTAGGTGGGTGGCGAGACAGCTACCTAGGTCATGCTGCGGTTGCATACCTTAGATACATAACCCGGTTATGTACCTACCTACCATAAGGGGATTAGTAGTGGTACTCATAGTCAGGGTTGCAAAAAAAAGTTTTTAAGTTAAGTTTTAACGAAACTTAACTTAACTTAACTTAAGTTTTTAAAAATGAAAACTTAACTTAAAAAGTTTTTGAAAAGAGAAACTTAACTTAAAAATTTTTTCAAAAACTCAACTTAACTTAACTTAACTTAAACTTAACTTAAAAAAAACTTAAAAAAACTTAACTCAACTTAAAAACTTAAACTTTTTTTTTCAACCCTGCTCATAGTAGTACCTGTAAGGGGTAGTAGGTAATTGACGCACGTGTGCCTGTTGAGGCTATCCCGTGACCTCCCGTTGGCGTAGGTACTTACATATGTGAGGTGTGGGTACCTAAGGTACCTACATCTAAGCAGCCGGTCCTCTCGCCCATTCCTTTAATATATCCCACTTTCTCACACTCTACAACTCGCTTATTCTGTCTTCTCCGTACGATTTTCCATCGCCCAATATCTACCGTCGTGGTCGAGACCTCATATACCTATATCGCATACGTCCGTACCGGATTCGACCGACTTCCCGCTCTCGACTATACTTGACCCAGAACGCTACGTGCGCCTGGATATATCTAGATGAAGTTTTGCCGTTTAGTCTGTGGCCTCGCCGCCGTTAACTTCAGTGTTAGCGCTGTCATTCCCGATTCCGATACCAGCGCCAATGCCGACCATGTCGCCTTACATCCCCGGCCAGAGTCGGAAGTGCTCGAGAGATCCGCGGCGACTTGGGAGGACTTGGTGAAACGGAAAGGCGGCGGCAGCAGCGGCGGCAGAGGCGGAAGCAATAGCGGTGGTACCTCAGGTTCGTCGCAGGTTTCCAAAGGTGCTCCCAAGGGTTCCAACGGCGCCTCCAAAGGTTCCAATGGTGCCCCCACAGGCTCCAAAGGTTCCACTGGTGCCTCCACAGGCTCCAAGGGTTCCAATGCTGCCTCCACAGGCTCCAAAGGTTCTTCTTCAGGCCCCACAGGTAGCCCGGGCCACCGATCCCCGTATCGCATCCCATAGTGTCTGGCGACTGACGGCTTTGTAGGCGGCTCCTCCGGTAGTTCCAGTCCTTCCGGGAGCGGTCGAGGGTACGTTTCCCGCGTCGCGTTTTTTTTTTTTTTTCATCGCGCGATGCTATTCACCATCCGCGCCGGTTCTCTGTTACTGACCTCTCTGCGTGTAGCTCACCCTCTTCCAACGCCGGCGGCTTGACGACGACCGGCAGCGGCGTCCGCCCGAGCTACGGCGGCGGGGCTTTTTACGGCGGTGGCGCCCAGCAGCCCTACCGCTCCGGCCTCAGCTCGCCGTCGGGAATTGCGCCGTTCGTTATCGCAGGCGCCGGTCTCGCGACCATCGGCTTCGTCGGTGCGGCCTACGCACACGGCGCCTACGTGTACCCGTATACGAACCGGTATTACTACCACAACGCGACGACAAACCAGAACGAGACGAAGCCGGTCAGCTGCGTGTGCGAGAGGTACGAAGTATGCGGCTGCGATGACAATGGCAATCAGACCTACTTCAACTCCGTCATCGGCGACGGCTCCTACGAAAACCTCAACAAATCTCTCGTCACCGTTGCCGAGAACGAGACCACCCACGAGCCCACCATCTATATCCGCGGCACCCTAGCCAACGGCACCACCGCCCCTGGCGGCACCGATGACCCCAACGCCGCCGGTGCCAATTGGCAGGCCCTGGCGAGAGCTGCGGGCTGGTGGCCTCTCGCCACCACCGCATTAGCGATCGTGTGTCTATCGTAACCTGGAAGGATGGCCCTTACTGTGGCCGGATAACGAGAGGCTCTCTTTTTAGAGTCTCGCGCTTCTCCTAGTACATATTGATAACCCCTTTTCCCCCTCGCACATAATTGCACGTACCCGCACGCACATGCGCTTTCAGGATGCAGACCTAGCGGCGGCAACGCCTTGAGTGTTTGTTATGTTATGATTTATTGATTTTACCCATCGATATCCCGATGGTGGTATGTTTTGGCGGCTTCACGGTGTTGTTTGAAAGATGGATTGCTACGTGGAACAGCTGGAGGAGGACGGACGGGTCGGATCATCGGGAAGGGGACTCCGGCATCCTAGTGAGACGATACACCAAAAGGGATGAAATGGGGTAGTTCTGTAGAACAAAAAGCGGAAGAGGTGGACTTCAAGGACCTTCTCTGAGCGCTATCTTTGGTATCAAGACTCGAGCGCGTTATATATCAACAGTAAATAACTAATACAAATTACGCAACCTTCCCGGTGCGTCGTTCAAACCAGTAGGTGCACACGGCCCTAACTCCGGCGTGATACATCACATTATCTCCTCGTTCGACGTCGACCCCGCGGTATCTGCAGTAGCGCCGGCCCCGGTCCCGGCCGCAGCCTCCCTCTCCTTCCGCCTCTTCACGCACCAGTCACCTAGGATCTTCCATATCTGCTCCTTCTCCGCGGGCCGCAGCGAGGCAGCGAGACCGCTCGTGCTCGTGGCGACGAAGATCCGAGACCCGGGCCAGGGGGTCTCGCCGTCGTCCGGGACATCCCCCTCTCCTTCTTCTCCCGCCGCGGCGTCGTCCTCCGGCAGCTCGCCGGGGAGCACGGCGCCGAGGCCGGGCTCGTCGTCCTGCCAGCCGTAGTGGAACTCGGTGAAGCGCTTGGGCAGCCTCGGCGCGGCGCCGGGCGCGAGGCGGCGGCGTCGGCGGGCATCGCGGACGCGGGCGACGCTCTCCCAGATGCCCTTGCCGACGAGGCAGACGACCTCGGGGCGCCAGCGGCGGCACTTGCGCTCGAGGGCGGCGACGCCGGCGTCGAGCTCGGCGGGGCTGAGCTCGGCGCCGCGGCGGGTGGGGCGGGCGACGAGGTTGGTGTGGCCGACGGCGTAGCGGCGCGGCAGGTCGCGGTCGTCGGCGGGGGCGCAGCGCGTCGGCGTCACGCCCGACGCGTGCAGCAGCCGCCAGTACAGGTTCGACGGGTGCGCGTACGCGTGCCCCGTCCGCGCCGTCTCCACCCCCGGGTTCAGCCCCACCGTCAGCACCAGCAGCCCCGGCGCCAGCGCGTCCGGCAGCGGCGCCAGGTGCGCGTACGTCGCCGGCGGCGCGTACCCCGTCGGCTCGCGGCGCCGCTTCTTCTTCCGCGGCGACGGCGACGGCGACCGCGGCGCGCGAGCCCGGCCCGAGCCCGCATCCGAGGAGAGGCTGCGCTTGCCCGGCGAGACCACCGCCGTCCGAGGCGCGGCTAGCCTCGGGCTGCGCCGCGGCCCGCCCGCAGATGGGGAGCCGTGATCTGCGCCGGCGAACATGAAGTTCTGCAGCTGAAGGCGGCCCGCGAAGGTGGGTTCCTGGCGGGGGTTTCCCGGGTCTAGCGTTGTAGCCGATGCGTCATCCTCGTTCGCCTCCATGGCGCTCGGTGGCGGCCTCTTGTCGGGTGGTTGGATGAGCTCGCCTGCTCCTCGATGAGTAATGGACGAATGGGGCCGCGCTTCCTTTGCGGCTGCGAGACGGGCAAGAAGGGCTTAGGTAAGAATGACGAGTAGAAATTGGAGGGAGGCGATGAGAGGGCAATGAGGTTCAAAAGCATGCAGCAACACTGTGTTTCTAGACAATGACGGCGGACGCATGCTGTCATCCGTATTTATTAGGTACCAGCTAGGTACGTATAGATAGGGGCAAGACAGAAACCCCGGACAGATAAACCAGCACAGATGCTTATGAGTAATGCAATTACAGGGTTAGCAGCTGACGGGCGTTCCCGGCTGAAGGCAGAAACGGACGGACCCTTCTCAGCTACGATTGCTTACCTATGTAGGTACCTCTAGGTAGCGTGCCTACCTACATAAGGTACCCCCCAAAGCAGATCCCAGGCAAACGATTCATGAGAAGGCCAGATCTCGAACGTCGTCCGTGTGTCGCGCCGTGTGCCATCGCCGGCGCCTCCTTGCGTCCTGCCACCACTTCGCGTCGGGAAGGTGACGCCAGGCTGAAACGCGATGCGAGTGATTGATCGTCTCGTGTTGGCGCGAAGAGACCCGACATAGGGTATCACGGGGAGCGCGTACAGGCGGGTAGATAGATATTTATTCGATTTAGGTATTGATCCCACATCTGCAGGTCGGGTGCAGCGCGCAACTCGTCACGTCGTACATATACACAGAGAGGGAACCGTCTGCCCTACCCTGGCCTCAATTCACATACCTATTTGTACGTATCCGGACGAGTCGATGCCAGCGTGGTCGGGACGCCTTCCAGTGTCCGCCCGCCAATGCCGTCGAGGGGCTGGCTACTGAGAACACGGCCACAGCTACCTAACACATATATAGGTAGGTATACTGCCAATATGCTGCAATATGTATGTGTAGTACCATTGTAATGCGTATGGAGGGTGAGCTCAGCGCCCTAACGAATAGGAGGTGGCTGCGTCGCCGCATGGGTTCTTTGAGGCGGTGAGATGGTATGTGAGGTTGCTTGTGCTCTCCCTACCCAGGTACCTACTCACTACCACTACCGAGAGGTATGGGCGTAACCCCGCAGCGCTTTCGCACAAGATACGCCTCCCTATAGGAGGTACCTATCTACTGCGTTGACACCGTTAAAGAGTCCTCCGAATTGCCTTCTGTCAGCTTTCCTGGCATGGCCTCGCCATCGACCAACCCTTGTCCCTGTATACACGCTCCCCTACAAGTCAGGTTCCGTCCTGCCAATCGCTAAGCAAGCACGTCTTCAGCATCCGCTGCCTTTCTGCTCCCTCGACGGGTACGACGATTGCTTCTCTTTACGACACCACACGTCTACGGGTAGCTCGCATGTACCTCCACGTCGGTGCGTGGTGAGGGTTGAGGGTTACATCGACGCCGGATGCTCGTATTGGGTACCTCTACTAATAGGTAGGTGGGCCCAAATCCCCCGCCGTCGCCTCCGCCATGCCGCTACGGTACGCCATGGCGAGTGGTTACCACTCCCAACTCCAGCGTCCGCTCCACATCTTTATAGGTACTGGCTACGCAATACGCACCCGTAGACGCCAGAGAGGCTAGGGATCTGAGGTACCTACTAAATACCTACCTACCTACCTCCTACCTGTACCGCTTACCTAGGAGGTAGGTACCTACCTAAGACAACCCACTAACCTCCTCATATCTGTATTTTCCCTTGTCGCTTCTCTATCCTGCCCTCTCGTCCTATCACGTCCTGTCACGGCCTCTCCTCTCCTTTCTTTGCTCCTACACAAGTCATGCATGACCCAACCAGGCCAGCGGCTACATAAAAGCTCTCGATCACCTCTGGGAACTCTCCATTGGACCCTCCCCTCTTCTTTCTTCCCAACCCTCTCTTCCTGAAGCCCAAGGTCGCTACCTACCTAGCTAGTTGCCTCTCCCTCTCCCTCTCTACCCCCCGCCCAAATACCTCCTAGCTGGCCTTCGACCGACAAGTGCTGCCAACCATGCCGGAATTCACCCCCGCCGAGGTTCAGAGCCTGAAGGCTAGCTATGACGAGGCTGGCCAGGGTCACGTCTTCACCTACTTCGACTCCCTCGCCCTACCCGAGCAGAAGGCCTTCTTCGAGCAGCTGCAGAAGATCGACCCCGCCCGGGTCAACAAGCTCCGCGAGCTAGCTCTGAACCCTCCCAAGGAAGATGGCGAGGCCGTCCTCGAACCCCTCCCCGACTCCGCCAATGCCAGCATACTCGATTCGAAACCTGAGGACATTCAGAGGTGGTACGATCTTGGCCTGGAGCTCATCGGGAAGGGCGAGGTCGCCGTGGTTCTACTGGCCGGCGGTCAAGGCACCCGCTTGGGAAGTAAGGCTCCCAAGGGCTGCTTCGACATCCAACTCCCCTCCCACAAGTCCCTCTTCCAGATCCAGGCCGAGCGGATCATCAAAGTCCAGAAGCTCGCCGCCGAGCGAGCTGCCGATCCTGCGAAGGCCGTCATCCCTTGGTTCATTATGACCAGCGGCCCGACCCGCGGACCGACCGAGAAATTCTTCAAGAAGGAGAGGCTGGACGAGCTGACGGACGAGGAGAATGACAACCGCGCCAAGGGAGAGCCTTACTTCGGCTTGGACCCCGCGAACGTGACCATCTTCGAGCAGGGCGTGCTTCCTTGCATCACGAACGACGGCAAGTTCATGCTCGCGAGTAAGGACAAGGTCGCCGTAGCCCCCGACGGCAACGGCGGCTTGTACAAGGCGCTGCAAGACGAGGGCGTCCTGGACAAGATGCGCGCGAGCATCAAGCACGTCCACGCCTACTGCGTGGACAACTCGCTGGCCAAGGTTGCCGACCCCGTCTTCATCGGCTTCGCGGCCGAGAAGAAGGTCAAGATCGCCACCGAGGTGGTGCGGAAGCGCGACGCCCAGGAGTCGGTTGGGCTCATCCTGCAGAAGAACGGCCGGCCCGACGTGGTCGAGTACTCCGAGATCGACGAGGCCACCCGCCAGGCGCTGGACCCGAAGCAGCCCACGATCCTCAAGTTCCGCGCCGCCAACATCGTCAACCACTACTACTCGTTCGCGTACCTCGACAGCATGGGGGACGCGGTGAACCGGCTGCCGCCGCACATCGCGCGCAAGAAGATCCCATACTTCGACGTCGACACGGGCGCGGCCGTCGCCGACGTCAAGGCCCCGAACGGCATCAAGCTCGAGCAGTTTGTCTTCGACAACTTTAAGTGGCTCGACCTGCCCGAGTTTGCCTGCTTCGAGGTGAGGCGCGAGGAGGAGTTCTCACCGCTCAAGAACGCGGACCCGGCCCGCGCCGCCGACGGCTCCTTCGCGAAGCCGCCCGAGGACAGTCCGACGACCAGCCGCAAGCACATCAAGGAGCAGGGCAGGCGGTGGGCCGAGGCCGCCGGCGCGACCGTCGACAACGGTGACGCCGACGGAGGCCTCGAGGTTTCGCCGCTCACGAGCTACGTAAGTTCTCTCCTGAACCCCCAGCCGTCGGAACCTTTTTTTTCTCCTCGAGTCGTCTCTTTCTAACTCAGGTATGCAGGGCGGCGAGGGACTAGAGAGCTTCAAGGGACAGGTAATTAGCCAGCTTACGATTTGAAATGCGACGACATGAGCTATGAATGAAGAGGCACGGATTAGAAAAAGATAACGCTGGCCACACATTTTTTCTTCTCTTTTGGAATAACAGTAGAGGGGGACTGGCCCGCAACGGACCCCGCAGGTTCGCTGCTCGTAGACGGTCCAGGTAGGACTAGCTGTAGACCCGAGAGTTTTCAAGCCGATCTATGCGGCGCGGACGGCGGTGCGTCTGTCGCATCGTACGCAGTCATCGGACGGCCTTGCGGACGGAGACCCTCGGGCGGCTCGTGGTTGGTGTCTCGGAAGGGTCCAACTGATAGAGCTATGCCATGTCTATATATACCTACATATATATGTACACTGTATAGGACATCACCTACCCCATTCGCCCCGACCCCGTTGCCGAGTCCCGGGAACCCGGTCTTGGCCTGCCTCGAACACGTATACTCTCTCTCTGCGGCCCAGGGACTACTGCGCAAGACTCGGGGCGCCACAGCGAAGCGCTAAGCCCTGTGTGCCGGCCGCAATCGAGGCGGATGTAAATCCCCGCCCCCCAGCTGCACGCGGCCCTTGCTGTCACAAAAGGTTACCTACATCTGCGCCGGCGCGCGCAGACGCGGGAGCAGCGGTGCCGCCCGCGCGGTCTGCCCCCGGCCCGCCAGCACGAGCCATCCTCGCCCTCCGCTCTCCCCCCCCCTTCCCTCGCAAGCCCCGCGGCCGCCGAACCAGTTGCGCAGGCCATGAGTACGTAGCCATGACAGGCGCCCGCAACAATTAAGAATGCTTCCCTTCTTTCCCTTGCCCCTGTCCAACATGGGGACAAGGGGGGGGAAGGGAGCGAGGGCCTGGCAAGTTTCTACCCCGAATTTCTACCCCAACCCGGCCCCCACCCTAGGCCGAGCGCGGGCAACGTGGGGCTGCGACGATAGAGAGACACCGCGCGATGACGACTTCGTCTCGCTCGCTCGACTCGCGCGCTCTCGCGTTCCGCCTAGAGGCGAGCGCCTTTCGCCAGGGTCCGGTCGGTAGGTAGGTATGTCGCCGCGGAACCGGCGCTCCGTCCCGGGCAGGATGGCGGGGGAAACCGGGACGCGTCGTGGCGAACAGCGGTGCTGTAGGATTTCTACTCCAACGACGACGCGGAATGGCCCTTCGCGCCCCCCTATTATCTTCTCCAACGGGAGCGGGCCCCGCGGAGGAGTCACGTCGGACGCGGATTTCTAAGCGGCGCAGGCGGGCAAGACAGGAGTTGAATTATGCTGGGAGTTTTCTTTTACTCTCTCAAGGTGGAGTGGTGAGGGAGAGGGAGAGAGGGAGAGAGAGGGGAGGAATCTATATATAATGGACGTCGGTCTCGCTCTTCTCGGGACCATCTCGTCGTCGACCTTCACTCTCACCCTCTCGACCTGACAGCAACACGCGCAGTAACCAAGACAAAGCCTTCAACAAGACCAAGCAAGCATCCGATCGACCTCGCTCGCAGAGCTGACCCTCTAGCGCCAGACCTCCCCAATCCAAGCAACGCCCAGCCACAGCTCTCATTCCGCCATGTCTACCCACACCGTCTACCGCTTCGTCGAGCGCCGCGGCTTCGAGGGCCTCCAGGCCTTCACGGAGCCCATCCCCGCGGTCGGGGAGCACGACATCCTGGTGCGGGCGCGCAGCGTCGGGCTCAACTTCCGGGACATCGCGATCGCGACGGACAGCTACCCGCTGTCCGTCAAGGACCGGGTCATCCCGTGCTCCGACATGGTCGGCGAGGTTGCCGCCGTCGGCAGACTCGCCACCGGCTTCGCCGTCGGCGACCGCGTCATGGCGCCTCCGGCCATCACCTTCCAGGCCGGCGCCGTGCCCCCCGACCACGACACCTTCGGCGGCCCCGTCGACGGCCTGCTCGCCGAGTACACCGTGCTGCCCGCCCGCGCCACCATCAAGCTGCCCAAGTCCCCCCACAGCTTCGCCGAGTGGGCCGCCTTCATCGGCACCGGGGCGACCGTCTGGAACACCTTCTACGGCAACAAGCCGCTGCTGCCCGGCGAGTCGGTGCTCCTTCAGGGTATGATCGTTTTCCCTTTCCCGAGCTATCTATCCCCCCCCCACCCCCTTTCCCTCGATGTGAGGTGAGAGGACGAAGAGAGAATGGTACCTGCTGAGCGGAACCCCGGCTGACACGCAGTCTCTAGGAACCGGGGGCGTCTCTCTAACCGCCCTTATTATCGCCAAGGCCGCCGGCGCAACCACCATCATCACCTCGTCCAGCGACGCGAAGCTCGAGACGGCCAAGTCGCAGTTCGGCGCCGACTACACCGTCAACTACAAGACGCACCCGAACTGGGCCGCCGAGGTGCTGCGCATCACCGAGGGCCGGGGCGTGGACCACGTCGTCGACATCGGCGGCTTCGGGACGCTCGAGCAAAGCCTCGAGGCCGTCGCTCCCGGGGGGACTATCTCGCTGATCGGGTTCCTCACGGGCCTCACCATCGACAGGAAGACGGAGATACTCCTCTCGGTGCTGAGCAAGTCCGTCACCGTTCGCGGCATCATGGGCGGGTCGAGGCAGCAGCTCGAGGAGGCGGTTCGCCTAGTGGGCAGCCGCCAGCTGCCCGCGCCGTTGGAGAGGACGTTCAAGTACGATCGGGAGGACATCATCGCGGCGTTCGAGTACGTCGGCTCGGGGAAGCACACGGGCAAGATCTGCATCAATCTAGACTAGGGCCTGCTAGGAGGCGGAGGCTAGCGCCGATGACATTGTCAATCTCGAGAACGTGAGCGCCTTGGAATATCTCGGCCCATAATCTGATTACCGTCGAGCCCATGCGTCGGAGGTGAGAGGCCTCGTCTTCGAGGACGTCCAGCGTGTCGGCCAGGTGCGTCTCCTGGATGATCTCGGTGACGATCTGGAGAAGCTTCCGCTCGGTCTTGCGCAGCGTCTCGGTGCCGTAAGCGCTGAGAGTCGCCGACGTCGCTTCGAGCCAGTCTCGGAGCAGCAGGGCGCACTCGAGGCTGCACAGCGAGTGCTCGACCGTCCATATCGGCGTGTTGGCACGAGCCATCACGCCGATCCCAAGGCGCACAGGTACGCTGAGCGCGTGGGCCGCGTGGATGAGAGCTTTATCGAACTGCTTCGACCTGCCCATCTCGGTGCTCCTATCGGTAATCCGCTGTATTTCCCCAGAGAGGAGCCACCGACAGGGTCCTATCTTCGAATTTAAACGAACGTAAGCTAGCCGATACAGAGCAGTCGAACTAAGCCCGAGCGGGCCTTTGGGAGACGACGGATCGAGACTCGATTCATCGGTGAGTTCCCACGAGAGCTGCCAGTTGCGGAGGGCGGTCTCGAACGATTGCACTGTAGCAGGTTGTAGGGAACCCGTAGAGTGACGGTCGACGTAGATCTGTTGGAGCAGTCCGTGGATGAGCACGTAGTTGGAGATCGAAGACACGCTCGAATCCTTAGGGATCCCGGTGCCATCGAAGAGGGAGCGGAGTCCTTGCTGGAATTGACGCTCGACTTGGAGGGGGGTCTGGCGCCATTGCGATGCGTTTTTTGTAGCCCAATGCTCTGCAAATCCGGGCAGAAAGAGGCCAACTTCGTGGTTCAGGAGCAGTGGAGGCGTGCCGAAAGCGATACAATGTAGGTTGAGCACTACATAGGCAGCGAGTAACGTCCTCCGCCTTTCCTCGACGGCAACCCACGATAGCCAGTCGACGTCCGGTGGCATCGCGTCCGGCGTCGAGATGCCATTCGCTCGCACCAGCGAGGCGAGCTGACTGCCTATGGATAACGCATCCGGCATGACCTTCGTGTCGGCCCACGACGCGAAGGATATGAGCAAAACGAGCGTCTGGATCGTCCTGAGGTTGCCTACGGTGTTCGGGATCGAACCGCCTCGCCCGGATACCAAATCCGAAGCCAACTTGAGCTCGTCTCGGCGCATCCTCTCAGAGAGCATCGCCTTGGCCATGAAGTACAGCTCGTAAGACTTGCACGTTTCGTATGCGTACAGCGACCCGAGAGCGGCTACGGCCAGCAGCAGTTCGATGTCCCTCCGCTCGGCTACGAATGTGGCCACGTGAACGAAGGGGAAAAAACGCTGGACACATCGAATGTATGTTTCCAGGTACCTAGTGAATACATTTCTAGACGGCATGGAACACGCAGTCGGGAGCACGTCTGCGTGGGATTGGATCTGCGCGCAGAGGTTCTCGTAATGAGACGCGCTGATCGACCACGGCGCAGGATTGGCGGTGGCGCCGTCTTCCGCTTCGTTGTCTGCTGCTGCATTGCCGTCGTTTGCCGACACGTCGCTCTCGTCGTCGCTGTCGCCCAACGAGGGCAGCTGAGAACTGAAGCGCTGGAAACTGCACACGCGCGGGGGCCTGGTGCTTACTGGCACGTCGAGGAGAGAAAAGTCGACGTCGAGAAGCGTGGCGGGCAAGAGATCCTGAGTCGCAAAGTCCGGATCCCAAAAGAAGCCGGGGTCACTTACACCGACCACGGCCTCCCCATCATAGGCTGCCGGCGCCTGCGTCATCTCGGGGCGCGGGTGCGATATTCTCGTGTGGCGAGCTAGCAGGTCTCTATATAGGTACGGGAAACGGTTACGCAAGCGGTCTCCGAGCCCGAGACGAGGTCTGTCTGCTTACCGCCTGGCGAAACTCTGGCCGCACGCGCAAGCAAATGGCTTCTCGTGCGTGTCTGCTGGCTGTTAACCCGGGAGACATGCGAGGTTACACGCGGGCCGGCTTACGCGTGCGCTCGTGGCGAATGAGATGCTCCTGTCGTTTAAATTGCTTGCCGCAGTACAGGCACGGAGCCACGACGACCCTGGGCCGGCCTCGCGGCATGGTTTGGAGAAGGCGGTTAGATCTCGCGAAGTCACGTCGTTATCAGCAAGAAAGACATATTCCCTCCTAGGCTGAGACTGGCGGACCACGAACTACCGGAGCTTAGTCAGTCCAAACACCGTATCGTATGCTAGATCACCGGGGTAGCGGTGTCCGGCTGGACGGGAAACGCGCAGTACCTAGAGGGTGATTAGGGCTCGGTTTCGGAGGGGCACGTATAAAACATAGCAAGTATTCTATAAGCGAAAGTGGCTGGGTTCCGTGATATCGGAGACTGCATAGGACACACGAGAAGGAGAGGCGGAGAGTTGAGTCGAGGTGACGGGGAGAAGCGTGGGATTTCTCTCCTCGGTAAGCACTAAAGCATTGCGTGCCGTTGCCGACAATCACCTGCCCCCATAGAAAATACCTAAAGTGCGCGCATTACGCGACCTGGCCGACAAGTCCATCACCCGTTGAGCCTCGCCGCTCGTCCCCCAAGAATAAAAGGATGAGAGGCGTAAATGCACGTATTGACACATCGTAGTTTTAAAGATATAGGCGGGTACTAAGTGAGTAGGAGGAAGCAAGTAATACCTAAGTAACACTGCGCATATTACACCGCAACGCGAGGCAAACATGCACTTATGCAGTACCTAATCTAAGCGCCTCTTCGCTTAGTCGAGTTGCAGGGTTACGTGCATATGTATAGGTAACTACGTTATGTTGTCCTGGGGCTGCGTCGTCGCCCTCAGCTCAGTTTGCAGAGTGCACCTAGCTTTTTTTTTCCTGCTAACCTCTCAGGGTCCGACCGACTGGTAACTTGCATCAAACCAACTTCTCGTCTACATTACCTATCTACCTACATACACATATATACACACACACTCTCTCAGCCTCCCTGCCCCCCATTCACAACTCGTCTCTCTCCCTCCCTCTCTCTCTCTCTCAGTTGGGCAGCTATCAGCTCCCAAATCGCTGCAGATTCGAGAGCCTTCCATCGTTATCGCCTAAGGCACACCCTGCCGTTGCGTGCAGCATACCTGACCGTAATAAGCGAGAGCGACGAGGAGAGAGCGCAGCCGTAACACCACACAACCGCAACCGCAACCGCAACCGCCATCAGCCATGTTGCGCTGGTGAGCAGCCCCCTCCATGAGCACCTCCTCCTCTCTCCCGTCTCCCTCAAAACGCCCATGAACTGCCCAGAATGAGAGTGCTGAGCTGACCGGCCCGCCGTTGGCGCGCACGCAACAGGTACCAGAGAAAGCTCGCCTCGCGGCCGCTGCTGACGCAGAGCGTCACCACCGCCGTGCTCTTCGCCGTGGGCGACATCGCCGCGCAGCAGGCCGTCGAGAGGAAGGGCCTCGAGAAGCACGAGTTCGCCCGGACCGGTCGCATGTTCCTCTACGGGGGTGGTGAGTTTTTCCCTTCTCGTCTCTCTCTCTCTTCTTGTTTGCTTTTTCCGCCCTTCTTCTTTTCTTCCCGGCTTATTCAACTCAACGTTTGCACCCCCCCAAATATGAATTATGCATATGTCCATCCCGTCTTACCCCCCACACACACCGCCAACTCCCACAACCCCCAGGGCGGAGTTCCCCTATCGAGCCCCCTACATCTCTCTCTCCGCCGCCCCCACCCCCACCCCTAAAAACTCACCCCTGTCCCCCCCTTTTTTTTCTTGGAATTTGTTTTTAGGAAGCAACATGCTCACACGACCTTCCGTCTCCCCTCTCCCCGGGATGCAGCCGTCTTCGGGCCCGCGGCGACGACCTGGTTCGGGATCCTGCAGCGCGCGGTGCGGCTGCCCAGCCGGGCGGCCGAGGCGGCGGTCCGCGTCGCCGCCGACCAGCTGCTCTTCGCGCCGATCGCCATCGGCGTCTTCCTCTCCAGCATGGCCGCCCTTGAGGGCAGCGACCCCCGCGAGAAGCTCCGCCGCAGCTACGTCCCCGCCCTCACCACCAACTACCTCATCTGGCCCTTCGTCCAGCTCGCCAACTTCGCCTTCGTGCCCCTCCACCACCGCGTCCTCGTCGTCAACGTCGTCAGCATCGGCTGGAACTGCTACCTCAGCATGGTCAACAGCGGCACCGGCACCGGCGCCGGCGAGGCCGAGAGCGACGGCGCCGAGGCCGACGACGGCAGCAAGTGAAGCAGCACACCCCCGGACTCTTTTCTTCTTAATCCCCTGCCCGCTGCCCGGCCCCTCAGCTGCGTTGTGGTGTAGCTTGTGAACCCGGATAGCTAGCTAGCTGGTTGGGGGTTGGCTTCGGTATGGTAGTGTGTGACAGCCGAGATAAACTGAGATGAGCTGGAGCTGCTGCTGCTGCCGCCGAGGCGAACGATGTGTGTGGAGGCTCTTATCGCATACTTATTGATTCCGTCTATACGACCAATGACATAGATAGGGGTAGATGGGTGGCTAGATGGGTATAGAGAAAGAAGTGCTAGGCAATCAGCAAAGCTCAGGGCGGTACGGATGTGATATAGACGGCGATGCCACGACGGCCGGGCATGGTTCTGTTCGGAGGCGATCTTCTTATATCAAGACCCAGAGAGGGAGAAACAATATAATGAAGAGCAAGCAGGGGTTTGCTAGTCGCAGGCACGTTGGCATGTAGATGAGGCGTTCCGTCAGGCGCGTTCTCGTGGTCAGGTTTTATTTTTTTCATGTAGGGCAAAAATGTCTGTCTCCTGCGCGGGTCTCTGTCCCTCCCTCTCTTGCTTTCCGTCCCGTGATTTGATTTTGCGGCGCACCGTCTTGTTTTTTTCTTTTTCTTTTTCTGCCACTCAGAACTGCCCGGTCGAAGAAAGGAATATGGTTCACCTTCCCGCTCGGTTGATGCTTGCGGGTTGGGGCCACTCCATTCGGTGATCACGCTCGTCTGAAGCCTGCTGAGTTCAAAAGGCCTCCCCAACGCGTCTGAGTCTTCGTAGCTGTTCGCTGCGGGAAGACGCGAGGAACATCGACTTCCCACCAAGGAAGTATCCCAACCGCATCCTTAGTCTCTTCATAAATTCGTCATAGTATCCAAGAGATTGTGTTCGTACAGGATTAGCATTACTTCGTAAATAGTCGCGTCGTGGTCGAATGAGGTCCCGAGTTAAGGGCGCCAGGGCCTAATGCGCCACTAGTCATTCGAGGAGACGCTCGACACCGACTCGCCGTTTCGGCCATAGCTCATGAGAATAAGAATTCCTTCAGCACGGGGGACCCAGAGAATTCGGGGTTCAGTAGTATACAGCTGCCCGCCGCGTCAGCAAGCAAGTTACCTTCAGCTGAGAAAAGAGCGGTGGGTGTACGTACTTGAGAAAGTATTGCAGGCCCGCCCGGCGCTTCTCTAGGAACCTAGGCCTAAACTTGGACACGAGGCTCTTGGGCGGCAACTCTGGCACGGCCGCCTCGAAGTTTGGGAACGTGCGCACCAGTCGCCACCGGAAATCGTCAAACTCGGAGTACCGCTTGCGAATGTTCATATAGCTTCCCTGCGCGCGGGGGGGGGGGGCGTACTCGTGGTTAGCTGGTTCTGTAAAGCGAATTCGTGCGGTGGCAGTTCCCCTTCAGCACCCCCACCGGCATCCGCATCCGACCACAAGACATCACCGCCTTCTCACGAGACGAATGGGACGGGAGAAAAAAAAGAGAGGGGCAGAGGGGCGGAGAGGAGAACTCACGCTCAGCGTCTCGACCCGTATGTTCCAAACCACGAAGGCGCCGATATTCGTCGTGCTGCCGTTGACGGTCACGTAATCGGTGATCTCCACGCTCTTGGCCCAGCACGCGCTGCCCCGATCGTCGGTGCTGCTATTCTCGTTATCGCGCAAGGTAATACCGCCACTAGGGATCGAGTCGACAGACGCGCTCGAGACGTTTCTCGCGTGGCCCGGGCGGCGGTCGGAGCTATTGGCGCCGCTATGTGTCCAGTAGGGCGGGGACGCCACGGGCGAGGTCACAGGCGAAGAAACCGGCGAGACATCTTCGGCGGGGCTAAGCACGTTCCCCTCTTCGGTTCGAGCATTTGGTAGAGGTGTGTCGATTCCGGGGAGGGTCCGCGGCACTGATGAGGCGGCATCTGACTCTGTCTCGGTGTCTGTTTCAGTGGCAGGCGGCGATGGCGGCGGGTGTGGACGCAGGGCGGCTTGGGGCAGGGCGGCTTGGGGCAGGTCCTTGTGTACGCTTTCGTCCACACTACTGCCTCCTCGGCCCGTATCCTCTCCACTACCATTCGAGTGTTGTGTCTCTGCTGCCGACGCCATCCAGCCAAGCGCAAGCAAGCGCAAGGGCAGGGCACCTAAAGTTGTGAAGGAGTTGGGCAACAGATCGGAGTGGGCACAGCGTCAGGACGCCCAGGTCGTGATTCGGTCGCAGGTGGGTCGGGCTTGACGGGTGGGCGCAACTTGAGCTGACACAATGTTTTGCTGGAAGGGCGAGGGCGAGAAGACCTTAAGTGCCCAACGGCTTTTGGGTTGATTCGCGGTGGTATCGTTCTTAGAGTAGGATGTCGAATTGGCACACCAAGGAGGAATGGACAGGCTGGGGTGTGCTGGAATGGAGGAATCCGGCTCCAAGAAAGTTGGTTACTTTGGTGTGCTGAGCTGAAAAGGTTGGACAACGTATGTGTTTATTGGCATCGGGTCGCAGACCTGGACTTGAGTTGAAGGGAAGAGAAAAAAAAGAGCGAATGCGATAGGATGCTACGAGGTACGAAAACGAATAATGCATGACCTTATCCCGCCAACCGCTCAATGATACAGTGGACCAGCCAACGTGGGGTCGAAACATTAAAGCCCATCAGGCCATGTCGCAACTTGTCACCACTTTCGACAACTTTACAGCCAACTCATAACTCACCAAGCCCAAGGTCAAACAGGCCAGCTGTATTGCTTGTATAACCATTCATCGGTTTGCTTATGACTATGAGGTGCTACATGAATTGGGCATGGCATAGCATCCGTAGCACCTCACACCTCACTCACACCGTACCGTGAGACTCTCTCTCCCTCTCCAAGATCGCCGAGAAGGATTGATGTGTGTTCCCCTCCCACTACCACACACAGGTTACTCGTCGATTTACCCTGATCCCACATCGTACATCGGTCCCATTGGTCCACGACTGTCTATAGAATCTCCAATCGGCTGAGGCGATAAGCCAGAGACGGGTATCACCCGGGTAAGTGTTGCCGGTGCTAACTAAACTACCTAACTCGGGCTTGCTTAAGCACCTAGCTAGGTAGTAAATCAAACTCGATAAGCGACTTATAGACCTAGGTAGGTAGGTAGATAGCGAGTGACTGTGTTACAGCTGAGCATGAGACACGATATCCGACTGTCGTCCCATATATGAACCAATACTGCGACGAACCTGCGGCCGTACTACAGCCCAGCCTTTGCATTGCCAATTCCGTAGTTAACTCGCAACGCATACCGGATAGACCACAGGTGGTAACCCTCCTGTTGCCCAGACGGTATGTGCTTAGATCTGCTGGTGATCGTAACTCCGGGATACTATATAGTAGATTAAACACCCGGCGAAACCAACATACCCACCGCGTAGTACGTCAGCCAGGCAATGATTCAGATCTTATCTATTTTTTAACAGGGCCAGGCCATCCGCTTCCGTCCTCTGAGTGTTTCCGATAAGCGGGAAGAGGCGAGCGAATTGTGTCACGTCGACTGTCAGTTATCATTCGCGAGTCCTGAGTCCGGCACCACCGCCGCCAAGCCACCCGGGGAAAGGGCTGGTTGCTCCTATTCGCAGCATTCTTCGTGTGACAGCGACGGCGTGTATTTTTCCGCGTTCGGAAGGGATGCGACGCCATACAGGTATACGACGCATCTCGCACGAAGAAACCCGGACCTGTCGAAGTCCCTAGCGTAGTAGGTAGGTAGGTTTCACCACCGGAGGGGGAGGATAGGAAAGAAGAGAGTAAAATTAACTGTACCCGAATTCTCACTCCAGAGCGACGTACACTTCCACGATCGCCTATCGCCGCAGAATGCTGTTCGTCGTGCCGTTCTAATACTGACAACCAAAACCGAGAGCGATATAAGCCTGGCTGGCTTGTCGACTCTCGGGGACGTCCTCTAATGGCAATGACCTACGTAGATGGGGCTTAACGCTAGCGCAGCAGACCGAGACTGGCTCGTAGCGGGAACGGAGACAGCACGGTAGCGATGCATCGATGAATCTTTCCCATTTTACTTTGGAACTAGGGCAGTCTGCTAGGCAACTTAGCCGGCACCATATCCCACCGGCACCATATCCCACGAGGTACCTATACGATGTCGATGTCTGTATTTTACGTTCGTACTCCTAAGATAGTCTGTGCGACGGACGGGGAAAGAAAGCCATCAACTACTCAATCTCGGGTTGGGCATCTACTGTCCTTCCTTCTTCGCCCGTTCCCTGAGCGAGAGAGAGGCAAGGGAAGGGGAGGGAAACCGTCAGCGGAGAGAAAGTAGATAGATATATTTCTGCTTGCAGGGGCACCGGGTCTTAAAGAGAGCGGTGAAATGCCCCCTCCTCCTCCGCGACTGGAGAGGGTGATCAGTCTATTTGAGGCAAAGAGAGTCACGGAAGCCCTATCGGTGCAATTCCACGCAGACGCGGTTGCGGATGATGAGCCGTCGCGTCGGCGTTGTCCCGCCATACTGTGCACTGTTAGGTAGGTAGTACGTGGTACATAGTTATGCGTTTGGCCGCACGTCTACTTGCTCTTCGGGTATGCCATGCTTAAGAAGAATCATTTGGTGTTTTCTTTTCTGGCTAAGGCGCAGTGTGATGCCCGTTGAATCACATTATTAGGAATGGATTGGTTTGAGACATCGTGTCTCGGGATATCGAGGCGAGCGAATCGATGCTTGTATGTATGTAAATATATCATGACAAGATGCGCACACACGCCGACGAATCGGATTTGATCTGCAGATTTACCTAGTGTTATGGGTGACTGGTTAGTACCTAGGTATTGGCATCAGCGTCAGCATCGGAAGCATCAGGTAGGTAGCGAGCAGTATTGGGGCTCAGTATATGCCTGCCTTGGTTATGATAGGGCGATGCGATGGCAGCTCTACATCGATACATAAAACGACCTGTAAGAGATCTATCATGTCGGGTTGAACTGTCTGAACCGGGGGTGTTGAGACAGTGCTACGCAGCCATGGGAGAGGTGCCCTCTCGAAAGCCGTTGCTCGACTCCATCAGTGGCACGTCCACGCATCTGCAATCAGTGCACTGTCTGTATGGATATATTATTACATGGAGAGAGGGTGTGGGGGACTGGGGGTTCTGGTCGGAAATCCTGGCAGTCCTGAGGAACGCGAGCCACTTTGCGCTCTGTCTCCAGTCGTCGATCCGCAATGGCCCGGGAAAGACTGGGCTGGAAGTCTTTCTCCGGGTTGGCCATTCAGCGGTGGGAGGGGTTCGCTTCGAGGCGGCACGTCGTAGGACCGCGCATTTGCTACTCGTCTGAGGCGACGGAATATTCTCGAGCGTGGTTGAATCAGCCGATATGGCGAGAGAAACACGGCGTGCGTCGCAAAGTGCCCGCATGCGAGAGGGAGAGAAAGGAAAGAGAAATGGCCGGCTCAGCACACCACCCTGCGATAAGCGAGTATTTGTGGTATGTGGGAGGTTACCTACCTATGTAGGTGGAATAATGATAATACACATTCGTACACGTACATTTATTTCCGTGCGAGTGTGTGTGTGTGTGTGTGTTGATGAGGCATACAGGTTTAGGCATTCCATTGTATTTGTATCCGCCTACGTAGGTAGGTATACATAAATAGGGGCCTGCCTAACGCACCTATCTCGTGCCTCCCGGACGATATGTCGCATGCATTATCACGCTTCGGGATTCAGTTAGTCCAACCCTTCCCGACCGCAATACGAGAACTGCCCCTACTAGCAGGAGGCGGGCTCGCGATGCAAAGGAAGAAACACAACGAGGATGACGGCAAGTTGCTTTCCCCAATGGGCATCTGATCCAGCTCCCATCCAATGGGAGACCGGGCGAGCGCTGGTCGACGGCAAACGCGAATCCTCCAGCGTGGCACCGCACTCTGTATGTAGGTTCTTGCATACCTCCTACGAGCACACACCACCATCACCACCCATGCCACCTTTACGTCTAAATATGCATCCATCGTCATATATGTATGAGTATGTACTGCGTTAGGTAGGTGGGTAGGTAGGTATATATATATAGGTGTATATCAACCAACCACACACGTCGGTTGACCCATACGTGCACGTACACATACACCCAGACATGCATTAGCCACGTACTCTACGGATTTGTGTACAGCATCTCAGCAGGCAAACGCTTTGGAGTTGTGGCTGCGAGGATAGCCGAAGTTTCAAGTTTCGTCTGCCGTAGGGGCGTATCGGATGATGGACACAGGTGATCGACATCGAACCCGTCTGTCAGAATGGGAAGCTAGACAGAAGCTTGCGTCGGCGCCATTTCGTTTGGGCACGCATTTGCTCATCACGAAACAGAATTGGCTTTTTTTTTTCTCGGGTCGAATTTGTGTTTGCTTGTTTGTTCGCTGCCCACCGATTGCGGTGTTATGCCAGGCCAAAAATCGATTTGAGTCTACTCGGGACAAAACAGGGGGGGCTCTCGTGAGGCTCTGTCACCTGAAAGGGGACGAGCTTTGTCGGTACTACATGTGTATGTATGTACTAGTATAGGGTAAGATAGGTGGTGAGGGTGCTCGAGTTGAGAGCCAGCGCCGAGGCCCGGTTGCCCGCAGGCGAGACAGAGACAGAGGGGGGAGCGGAAACAAGTCGTCGGGGCGCATTAATGGACTGCGATAGATCGGCGGCTCGAGACTTGGGGTGGAAATGACACGAGAGCCAAGGTAGTAAGCGTAACGGAGTTGAGATAGAGGTGCATGTAGGTACATAACCTACCTACCTTGTACCCATCAACCCTGCTGTCCTGCCCATCTTCCCATCCCCATAATTCGGCCGGGCGCGCGGGCCCTCGTCGGCGTGTGTAAGCACAATATGCCTAAGACGTATTTTAGGGTATCACAGTGGATTTAGCATGGGAAACCGGCGCGGCCGTGCTGATGACAACTCGACGTCTCTGAGAATGGCCTGGTGGGCGGATTTATCGCGAGTCGATCTTGTCACTGTGCGGTGCAGCCGCTAATGCACAGATCCGTCGTGGGTACTGCGCAAGTAGGCACGCACTCTGTTAGCCAGCACGGATACCCCCGGGATACCTGCGGACCTCTGCGTGGTGGTGTTTGGGGAGCTAATATCCATATTAAATATCGGTGTATTGGGAGGGACGTGCCTTGTCTTGTGGAGGCTAGGTCCCTCCCGCTATAGGCATGTACATTGCCTAGGTACATACCTACATATGCATGCCTGTGGATGACAGTGCCGATCTAGACCGGTACAGGCTAGCTGCAGATGGGGTCTCCCGGCCCGCTTTAAGTGGCCTAATCGGAGGAATCAACTGCAGTGGATTAGTACGGCTACAGGTACCTCCGCACCCGCCCAAGGTCCTCTGTAGCTCAGGTACTAGCTCCAACGTAGCTAGCACTGCTACCTCGTACAATTAGACTGTAGTAAGGTGCTCGATGCATGTATTATGTATAGTGGATATGCTAAGACCCTCGATAGACAGGGAATCTCTCCTTTATGAGTACTTGTTGTGTTTTACTATTAATTTTTTTTTCTTTTTCTCTCCTTCCCGGTCCAATCTGGCCATGCAACCACCCAGCTAAGGTAGCTCCGTATCCCACATACCAGATGGTCTGTGTCTGGATTATAATCCAACACAGTACGGATTCCGTGCCATACCTACGCAAAGCCAATCCTCCCCCCCTAGCTTTCCTATCTTCTTCTCGGCGCCCTCGCCCTCGTGTCCCACGGTTCCAAGAGAAAACCTCCTCTCCTCTCTCAACATTCCTCTCGTTTTCCCTTCGTATTCCTAGGGACCTTCCTCTCGTTTTAATAAGTCTCGGTCACCCGACTGATCTTTTTTTGCCTCTCTACTTCTTCGTCCGCCTCCGTCCGGACCCTAATACTTGCTCTGCCGTACACTGGATTTAATACTGCCGTCGCCCTACTTATAATCTACGTACTTGATAATAGGAAGCCCGATACTCCGTCCTCAGCCTATACACCGGCAATCTTCCAGTAGCCATCTAGTACTTAATATCATTCACATACACCACGATGCCTTCGTTAAGAAATACCTTGGCTGCGGCTGTTGCTTTGATTGCTTCCGTCCGCGGCGACTATGACATCGATCCGAGCTCGGTCTCCCTGACGATCAGGAGTACGTCCTCTCCATTTCCTATCACCAACCGACTCGTCATGCTCTCGTGGAAGCAGGAGTGCTAACCGGATGTTCAGCATATTGGTGCCAGAGCGAGATCAGCACCTGCCCGCTGATTTGCCAACAGACGACCTCGGAGCCGACCTTGGTCAACGACTGTGACGCGGTAAGTCCCCTTCCCGAGGGACGTTTGGGGGGGTGCTCGCGTGATATTGACGCTTTTCGAACAGCAAACCCTCCGTTACGGCTGTGTATGCGGCGATGGAAAGCAACCGAACGTGTCCGAGTACTCATTGACGCTCCCGTACTTCGTCTGTACCGAATGGGGTAGCCAGTGTGTCACGGCGTGCGGACAAGACAACGCTTGCTCTAGCAGCTGCCGGGAGAACAATCCCTGTGGCGCTCGGAACCCGACGAGGGCGAACCAGACGTCGAGCTCGGTCCCGTCGGCTACGTCTAGCACGGCCGAGCCTAGCGACGAAAATACCATCTTCAACGGCCTAGACGGAAGCCAGCAGAACTCGGACACGCCGGGCAGCGGCGCCTTCCGTCTTGCCGGTAACGAGGGCCTCTTCGGCTTTGCCCTGCTCGGCGCCAGCGTCTGTCTGGGGATGCTGATGCTCTAGGGGACGGGTCCGCGAAGAGCGGCCCCATTTCGCCAAGAATTCTAGCAACGCCATCACAGCTCTTCTCCGGGCAAACTGCCGTTGGCCAACGATGGTTGGTCCCGGGATATGCTTCGCCAGTCTCCCGGGCGGACCGGCGGAAGCGAGTTGGCCCGGCTCGTATGCTCGGAGGTTCGCCGACATGACTGAAACCGATGCATCGGATCGCACAGTTAGCACGATCGCGCTCGTCAGGCCCGCCGCCACCGCGTACTCGTACCATCTCAGCATCAGTGTGGATAGACTCGGGAGGGGGTGTGGTAATTCGGATAATGAGCACGTAAATGGGAGGAGGGTTTGGGTACATACTGGTCGCGCGGCCAACTTAACCGGGGGCACAAGGGAATCCTAAGCAAGGGGCCCCAGACACGGTATCCGGGACTAATAATTCACAATGCAAACAAGGCTTGGTGTAGCTGTCAAGCCTTGGGTTTTCATCCTCACCGCGTTTCTCCCTAGGCGCACTTGAGCAGACGTGACGACACCATCACTAACCCAACGAGATGAGACGAGACGAGACGAGACCAGACGAGACCAAACGCCGTAAGTACATATACGCATGAAGGTTGGAGACGCTGGATCGGTTTGTAAGCTCCGCTACGCAGGGTCCTGGGTTTCCTTTTTTTTTTGATCATCCTTTCACATGTCAGGATCATCAAGTCGGCGTGAGCGAATCTACTGCGCCGTCTCCCTCTCTCTCTGCAACCGGTATTGGTTCCTGGCCGCCGCACGCGAGTTGGCCGGCCTTGATAAACTGGAGCCCCGCCTCAGCAGATGGTCGGCATTGATCAATGGTATTGGGCGTGTTGTGCCGTATCCAGGGGGCAGTACTGTCCTCCCATAGCCTGCGTCGGGGCCGAGATACCTAGTAGGTACTCCGTCCAGGCGGCCTAGGTCGTCAGAGAGGTGCATGCCTATCTAATCATAGGTACCTACCCACCCAACCTGCCTGGGTAGGTACCTAAGGTGCGCAAGGACTTCCAATAGTGAGGTCCATCGTATGTACTATACCCCAGAGGCAGAGGTATACACTCAGAATCACCTGGAGTCGGGTGGCAAGGCGGTAAGTGGCTACCTGTACCTAGGTAGGATTTGGCAACGCGGGCCAACCCACCCTGCTCGGAATCGGCACCCCATTTTGCATGTGGGGCTGTCTTCACCAAAGTCGCCAACTTCGACTGCGTGGGCGGTACCTGGGCCCTTACGTAGGTCGGTTAGTACCTACATGCCTGTGAGGTTAGGTAGTGTCGTAGTGCAGTTGCGTGCGTGCCCAGGTGTCAACAGCACGTACCTCTGCTGGCTGCTGGCTGCTGGCTGCTGGCAACATACTTGTTGGCACCCGGCGCTTCGCTGCCACTTCCGTCTATACCGACCGAGTCCCGCCCTGGCTACTTATTCAACAAATCTTCTATGCCACGCCCCTAAAATCTTCAACCCGCCCTACCACCTTCTCGCCACGTCTACCTGTCCTGTCGACGGCTTCTTCATGCCCTGCCCGTCGGCCCTGTTGCTTATTCTCTCTACGCGTTCTCTTATCGAGTCCCCATGGAGCTAGCACAGTAGGTAGCTCCTTGTCAGAACAGCCCCCCGGCAGGCGTCCCCGTGGACTTCGCCTTTCGCTGAGCCGGTCCAAAGGACACCTGTTGAATATCGATCGCTACCTACAGGCGCATGATACCCTCTTCTTTTTCGATTATTAAGTAGTCCTAGCGTTGGCGACTTCATCGGCCTGCCGTCGGCTCTCTATCGCATCGTCGCGGAAGTAGGAAGAAAAGAAAGAACGGAAGAACTAGCCCCCCCACGATGGCTTCCGGCAATAGCAGTACGTCAGACCCCGACGCCCTACACCGCGGAAGTCCGGTTCTAACGGAGCGTCGATGCGCAGAGAAGGCTGTAGCCGAATGCATCTCGGACGATGCCCTCACCCACCTGCGATCCTATAAATACTCCAGCGTCGACAAGTCCCCCGTCTCCTATTACATCCTCCGTCCCTACGTACGTCCAGCTCCTTCTCGACCCCCGCGATCGCCGCCGCGTGCTAGAACAAGAACATGGTACTAAGAGTCGGCTCTAGTGGAACGCGTTCGTCGAGCTTCTGCCGCTATGGCTGGCGCCGAATATGGTAACCCTCATAGGGTTCTTCTTCATCCTGGCGAACATCGCCCTGCTGGTTATATTCATGCCAGATTTGGTCGGACCGGTACGGAAGACCCCGGCGCAGCCTCGGTGGCGGATTTCCAGCTGACAAGAAACGCCTTTACAGGGCCCGTCGTGGTTATATCTGAGCTTCGCCTTTGGCCTCTTCATGTACCAGACCATGGACAACATCGACGGGAAGCAGGCTAGGCGAACCGGTACGTCGAGCGGCTTGGGCGAGTTGTTCGACCACGGCATCGACTCCTTAAACTGCACTCTCGGAAGCCTGTTGGAGACGGCCGCGATGGCCCTGGGAACCTCCAAGTCGGGCGTCTTTACAGCCCTGTGCCCCTGTCTCCCCATGTTCTTCTCAACCTGGGAGACCTACCATACTCACACCCTCTACCTGGGTTACGTCAACGGTCCTACCGAGGGTATTCTTATCGCGTGTAGCGTCATGGCGATCTCGGGCATCTACGGGCCTGGCATCTGGACCGAGCCTATTGTCAATATTGTCGGCAAGAATTACCTATTTGGATATGATGAGCTCGTCGGCGATCATTCGATTCGCGACATCTGGATCCTCATGATCGTGGGCTCCCTCCTCTTCGGCCACATGCCGTTCTGCGTCTTGAACGTCGTCAAGGCGAGGCGCAAGAACAAGTTGCCGGTCCTGCCCGTCTTCCTTGAGTGGATCCCCATGGCCGTGTACACGCTGTCGATCGGCGCGTGGCTGTACTCGCCCTACTCGACACTGATGCGCGAGAACCACCTAGTGCTGTTCTGCCTCACCATGTCGTTCGTGTTCGGGCGCATGACCACCAAGATGATCCTCGCCCACCTCACGCGCCAGCCGTTCCCGTACTGGACCGTCATGCTGGGACCGCTCGTCGGCGGCGCCGTCCTCGGCAACCTGCCGTGGTTCGGCCTTGCCCCAGTATCCGCGAAGGTAGAGCACTACTACCTGTGGGCGTACTTCGCGTTTGCGTGTGTCGTGTACTTCCGCTGGGCGTATCTCGTCACCACGAGCATCTGCAGCTTCCTCGGCATCAACTGCCTCACGATCCCGCGGGAGAAGCAGCTCGAGAACAAGCGGAAGCAGCAGGAGGAGAAGCTCCTGGCGAGAGGGGGCGCTAACGGCGCTCCCAATGGGAAGAAGTCGCAGTAAGCTCACGCTTACGGCGAGGGTGGACGCAAGGGGGGGAAGGAGCAAAGTAAGGGGTGGATAGAAATTAATGAATGGGACTAATGGATGAGGGGATGTATTATTATCATTTTCCTCATTGCCATAGAGAGTGCGTACGCGGGGCGCACGCATGCATCGTGAGAAGAAGCATAAGACATAGAGAACAGGCTTAGAGCCACATACAGCAGGGCCCGGCGCGCGCCACGCGTTCCGCAGAACTGAAATCCACCCTCTCCTCGTCCCCACCCCCTTCTTCTCTCTTTCGCTTCCAGGAAGGCAGCTGGGCAGCCGGCGCTCGGCTCTCTGCTCGAGACCGAGCCACGAAGTGACCTGGTAGACAGACAGACAGAGAGGTTGGGTAAAGTAGGAGATAGAGAGGCACAAGATGGGGGGCGGACAGGCGGGGACCACCCAGAACCGGAGTGAAGCAAGTCTCTCCCGCCGGGCGGAATCGGCGAAGGGCAGGCTCGTGGCGCGGCGTGGCGTGGCGTGACGAGCTTGCGGTGGGAGGAATGCCACCAGTATGGAGTGAAGAGGAGGTATTCCCCCAGAGCTCTCCGGGAGTAGATAAAGTGCCGACCGATCGATCCCGCGACGAAGGCAGACAGACATATGAACGAGCACGGACACAATCACGCACGCATGCCTACCACCTTTGGCAGTTTCTCGGTGTTCCTACCGTAGTCATTATTTTCATTCCCCTACTAGCCCTCCCGTTTTCCCTACCCCTCATCCGCGTGCTGCCTTTCTTTTCCTGCGGGTGTCTATGTAGGGACTCGAGCTCCATGGCCTGCTCTGCTCTGCTCCACGCGTCCACGCTCCAGTCGGTGCGGTTGCAGCGGAATGCTATCGTCATATCGTACCATTCGCGAAGGCCCGCCTGCTCCTGCTCCTCCTTGTCTGCGGGCGGAAACAGGCACGGTGCGCAGCCCGTAACTACACAAATAAGCAGCCACACGCACGCCAGTCTCTCTCCGCAGCTAAGACTGGCGCTTTTCTAACCCGGCGTCCCGCAAGGAAAACGCGCAAGGGCGCGCAAGCGCCCAACGCATGTGCGTATCGGGGTTACCCCGTTTACCGCTCGCCGGCGAGGCGGCGTCTCTGCACTTCGCCGAGGGCCTTGGTGCTGCTCAGGAAGGTGACGGCGCCGACGAGGCCGGCGACGGGGAGGACCTGGAACAGGTTCCAGCTCCGGTAGTAGAGGTAGAAGACGCCCTCCATGCCGACGATGGAGCCGAAGAAGACGACGTGCGCGACCGGGGCGGCGCTCAGCGCTTGGGGCAGGTGCGAGACGTTGGCGCCAAAGGAGAGCCACTGCGTGTTATTTTCGCCACGGTTAGCGGGGCGGAGAAGTTGGTTAAGAAAGACGGGGTGGGGGAGGGGGAAAAGGGTTCGGGTAGACGCACGGCAATGTAGAGGGCTGGGAGCGCAGCTACGACGAGCAGCACGAAGGCGATGGATATAATCTTGGGCGGGTTCTTGGGGTCGTCGCGGAACGTGTGGTAGATCTCCTCGCGCTTGCCGTAGCGCAGCGGCTTCTCGTAGACGATGGGCGTCGCGCCCGGGTTGAGCTTGATCTCCAGGTCGAAGAGGTGCTTATCGAGTCCTTCGGCAGACCCGAACGAGGCCAGCACCAGGGAGACCCGGAGGGGCTCGGTCGCGAGGGCAAGTTGGACGGGCAGATCGCTATGTTTCTATGACAAGTAAGAACTTGCTGCAGATTTGTAGTGCCTACTGCTTCCCACCCCGGGTTATATATAGGGTCTGTACGTACGATCTCGACAATCGCCCTGCCACTCTCCTTGACGGTCAGAGGGAACGGAGCCTCGAGCCCCGAGATCGGCTCGCGGAGGACTAGGAAAGCCTGGTGAGGGCGCTTGGCCTTGCCGCCTTCCTTGGCTGTGAGGAGCAGCTTGAGGGTGTCGGTGTTATCAAAGACCACCGGCGTCTGAGGGACGGGCGACTTGTCGCTGAACCTGGGAGGCGCCGTTGTTAGTTTGTGCTGTGCCCCCTCAACCTTGCCGGGTCGTTCCCCCAACTCACTGTTGAATACCCTTCTCCTTGGCATCGACTGCCGCTTTCTTGGGGCTCACTGTGAGCTTCGCATCGTCGAAGCCCCAAGAGGGAGCTGCCTGAACTGCGCCTGCAGCTAGGAGCAGGAGAGAGGGCACAAATGAATGTAGGAACCGCATTGGGCCGGCTCGCTGATCCAGCTATCTATCTCTTGCGTGGTGCACAATTGGGGACCGACAGGAGATAAGTGTCGACGTTGGGCCGGGGATGTTCAAGATGTCGACGAGGAAAGCTGTTTGGTGTCGTTGGCGGTGCTGCTTGGGTGAGCTTCGCAATTGAACAGAACACCCGTTCCACTTCTTCTGGGGTCTTAGGTACCTTGTATATGTACATACATTCAGGTATACGTATTGTACTGTTGTGGCTGACGTGGATGCGTATACTATGTACAAAGTACATCGATGTCAATTGCCATGGAACTGCTCGACACCGAACTTTGATGTACCTGCTTACTATCCCTTGGTGTAAGGATACATATGTATATTCTGATCTTTGCTATACCTATTCCCAGGTACAGCATGATAGAGGCCCTCTAAGCAGGTAAATTCCCCTTAGTGCATATCCTGCCCATTCGCATACTTGCATTGTTAATTAGCAAGGCATGGAGGGGAATGACATGAAAAGCTCGTATTATGTTGAACGTTGCCCATCCTCACAGATGAATACCACCAGCCGGAGAACTCAGTGGCTGTGGCGACATCTAGGGGGCAGGTAGTTCTACCAGGTATGTCTGTGATAGCGTCCGTTTCACAGCTCCGTCCTGTCCCTGATAGCCTTCCGCGCCCCAGGCGGCTCGGGGATGAAATTACCAAGCTCCATCCACTCCGCGGCAAATGCTGCAACGATCTTAGCCCAGTCGTCCATCGTTGCTAGATCTAGATGCTTGCCATCATCCTCCATCGTATGCCACGTAGCCGGGAACGGCGTTGGGATGATATGGAGAACATCGACACCTCGATCCATAAAAGGCACGTGATCGTCCTGGATGAATGCTCGAGTGAATTGGGACGCCTGCTTCCCGGAATCGGGGAGGAAGGGCTGCTTGGGCTTTGACTGGAGCAGGCCCAGCTTCCGCATCCTGCCTTCGATCCTGGCCATGCTTTGGTAAGCCCAGTGCGTCGTTAGGAAATACGAGGGAACGCGGGGTTCGGCTGCTCCGAGAAGATCCAGGAGCACGAACAGACTGATGGCATCCAGGGGGGACCGGTGCGACGAGGGGCTCGGGTGCAGCTCAGAGCCCCAACTCTCGGCGAGCGCTCTCGAGCCGTAGAGGGAGTCCGCGTCGGTCCAGCTAACCCACGCCTCCTCTCCGTCCAGCAGCAGAATCTGAACACCTCTCTCGTCCTCCAGCCCCAAGCCGGCGTCGCCCGAAGCTTCCATCGCCTCCCACTTCTTCGACAGCGCGCCGTCGATGCTGCGCGCGACATGCATCAGGATGGCGCAAGGAGCGGCGCTATCTACAGCGCCAATGAACCCTTCCGGGCGGTACAGGCTGTCGTAATGGGCGACCAGCGCCAATCGACTAACATCGCCAGCCTGGGCCCACGGCGGGTCGCGCGTGAGGATGAGGTTCACGAAAGGGACATCCGCGTCGCCGGTCGCCGGGGTCTTGGCCGTCGAGTTGTGCCATTCGATCCGCCACTCCGGCAGCTGCCGCGCGAAGAAATCAGCAAAGTGGTGCTGCACGGCGGCGGACCCCGGTGTCCCGGGTACCCGGGGTATCAAGATGGGAGACAGGAGCAATCCGCGCTCGATATCAAAGTCGCCAGCGGCGCCGGGAACGCGGCGGAGCGCGTCATCGGACAGTTCCTCGTACGCGAAGACGGGAAGCGAGGAGAGGAAGACGAGTAGAGCGACGGACCCGAGGCGAGCCCATTGCCGAGATGCCCTCAGATAACCCATTGGCAACCGCGACAGGGCACGCGGGCGCGCCGTGCTGGCATCAGGCCAATATGTGGCTGGTCGGGGGTGGGAAGGTCGACGATGGGAAGTACAGGTTGTGTGTACGTAGGGATGGGAGCGCGTGGTAGCGGGAGGTAGACATAACGCCGGTGCATCTCCCCTCTTTACTCGATATGACGGCGGTCGTCGCTGGCTTACCTAGCAAACGGGGTTTATGCACAATCCGGTCCCCATACCAAGTTAAACATAAAGCAGCCCCCGTTCTCCATGCCGTACTAGTAGGTACGCAATGCATACGTCATCCTCTCCTATATATATACCTAGGTAAGTAAATATCTGGCAATGAGACATTCCTGTATGCGAGGCATGCCACGGGAAATCCAGGACAAAATATACCTATTCCGTGTAGATATCCAGCTACCTGTGCTATCTATCTGCATACCTACCTCGTACGGACGCATAGGGCCGTATCCAAGGTCTGGTACCCTGGGCAAGTTACCCAGGTTACCTAGGTTCGTATGAAGCAGGCAAGTCAGGTGGCCATACCCTAGACGTAGGTAGGGAACACGCTCCAGAGACTCTACGTGTACACGTATCCCCAGGCTCATTTGGGTTCACCCCTCATGTAGGTAACAAGGATGGGCGGACCAGTCAGAAGCCTGTTTTCCCTGCCTTGGGCATCGAGTATGCTTACCTAACATCCCAAAGCCTGAGAGCCACTTTGCTTTCATCAAAGAAGAGGCCCCGCGTCGACGATATATATAGGTGCCTGCAAGCACCAGGATAGTAAGTAGGTTGATGTGTCTACCTGGTATGGTGCTGGTAGAAGTGGTGCTACCGGACTCCTCGGACATGCGCAATGTGAGATGATCAAAGTTCGAGGACAGCCCGGGGTTGGAGTCCTCAAGATCCTCACATAAGCACAATAAGCTTCTGCAGAGCCAGCGGACAGTCGTAAGTGGTATCAGGTATGAACCCTCTCGGGCGCGGAGTAGAAACATATATTCTCCCGAGTCAACGCTGTGGATGCCGCCCAATCCTCCCATCCATTTCCCACCAACAAGCGCATTTCCTACTACCCTCCTCATCCCGCAAATCAAGTAGATCGCGCCAGATCATTGCCAGCACTGCTCCCAATCAAATCCCATCACCGTCGGAAGCAGGTATATCGTCGGTTGGGCTACTTTAGAGAACCGCAAGGGACATTACTGCGGAGGTAGCAACAGCAACGACAACAACCAACGATGCCTTTCATCAACTTCGAGACCACCACCCCGACAAAAGCTTTACACAGCTCCAAGAAGAAGCCCATAAACATCGAACGGGAGAAGCCAGAGTATTGCTGCTCCCTGACGGGGAGCGAAGCGAGGTTTGAGGTCAGGCCGGGAAACTTACCCGGTGTGGATGACCCGTTAGGAGCACCCGTCGCACACGACGAGCGCATCAAATCTGGTAGAGAAAACATGGGAGAGACGACGGGAACGGGGGCTGTTATCAAACGGCTCTTTCAGCGAAGGAAGACATTCGAGTCAGAGCCAAAGAAGACAACCCAAGAAGATAAAGACCAGCCAAACACCAACATATCATCTTATTTAGAGTGCAATCCCGACAACACTACACCTCTTGAACGAATCCATCCATCCATCCCATACACTCTGGCATACTACCATCTCCGCTGGGTGCGAGGTGCAACATCGCGCGCCGAGCAGAGGGCAAGGGCAGCCGAGCTCAGCTGTTTCGGTGCCGGGGTCGGCCGACCCGGCCTGAAGTTCTGGGCCGTTCCTCGCTGGCACAACGACACCTTTTTCGTCCAGCAGCTGGTCCAATTCACCCTTACCCCGAAGCGGCGGTATCCCGTGCCGGGTCGCGAGTTCGGGGGGATGGCGTGGCCGACGGACAAGAAGTGGTCCTTTAAGCCCTGCCTGCATATCAAGCACCAATTCCTCGGCTGCCGATTCACAAAGACACACGGACGCTCCGAAGTAATAAAGGCCAAATACCGGACGACCGGTATGAGGAGGATCTCCGCCACTGATGAGACGGAGTGGACGAGCGCCGAAGGGACCACCTCCACGGACTGGAACTGCCGGTACTGTTGCACGGACAGTTCGGTGACGATAGGCATGGTGGACGGCGAAGTATTGGTCTCCATACACGTGTTTAGAAATCTCGGTAGCGCGCACACCCCTTTTGATCCCAACTGGCTGGCGGCGCAGCAGCGGGAGGCTAGTATGAGAGGCAGGACAAACGAGGCCAGGGCCGGCTTAACCCGACAAGCCGTACTCGAGGCGGCGGAACACAGTAAAGAGCACGACCTCATTCTACCCGAAGGACAGTTATCCTATCTACAGAACAGTTATAATACGTTTAACCCCTGTTATCCTCACTAAATTATGGGGGTTTCTTATCGAGGATCGTGCGAGGACTAGCCTGATATAAAATTTGAGCCAGCGTGAATAGTTGCAATTCTTACGTATTCGCAGTTCAATCAAGCGTCAGTCCCTGCTCACCCCTTTTCCCGTAGCCTTCAGAGAGGTCTTGGGGTTTTAATACAAGAACGTGGAGGAGCGCAGAGCGCTCCGACGTAAACCAACCAATCCTCGACGTATATCAATCAGCGAAGCTTCCTGCTTTACTTGTCCCCCATATTATTTCAGGGTGCCTGCATTATGTGTGTGAACCTACGGGTCCAGCACGGGATATGCCTATGCATATATACGCACGGTACCTATATATAGGGGATATCCCTCTCCATATAGGTACGCCTTGCCTAAGAGGAGGTACCTAGGTAGATAGGTAGGTAGGCAGGTAGACAACCCCCAGATCAGTAGGCTACTTAATGAAGGATAGGTTCGATTCCTCACAGCGCTACTTGGTAGTCTTCGCTATTTAGCTCATCTCCCCCCCCCCCCCTCCCTCAGCGTCCCAACATATGTGTATATATGTATGTAGGTATGCGTACAGATGCTTCCCGCCGTCCAGTCCACAGAAGATAGCGAGCATGCGCCATAGGTTCACATACACGTAGGACGTCGAACGGCGATCCAAAAGGTACGGCCACCCGTCGACCTTCCCACAGGCGCTCTCTGGGTCCGTATGGGCCAATGGCGACGGCCAACCGCGGTGCAGAGACCGCGCTTCCGGGTCTGCACCCCCGTAACACCTGCATCGATCAGCACCTGATTCGCAACGCCCTGTTATATACATAGAACCACGTACCTACCTGTAGAGGTACCTGGGTGTGGACATCCCACGGGTACTCACGTTCGCCCTGCAGAGGTACCCGGCTCGCCATACAAACGCAGCGAGGATGTCCAGGTACCTGAGGTGCCGGGTCGATGTACCTTCTATTGCTGTTGCGGTACCTATGCGATATGCCATATCGTAACATGCCACCACTTATGTTTCCTTACCTACCTGAGTTACATGTAGGGACTTAGGATGAATCTAAATCGGCCCTCCCTCAAACTTGGAATGTCTCTTCCATCTTCCTCCCTGCTTCCCTTACCTTATCGCCGTCTCTCTCTCTCTCTCTCTCTCTACCCGTCTCTTCTCCCAGAGCTCTTCTCTTTTCTTCTCTCGTCTCTCTGCCCATCGCATTCCCGCCTCGATTCACACTCTCCCGTCCCGCCTATCCTGCCAGTCCGTCGTCGGCAGGCTAGCCCAAACGATGCACAGGTAGAATTCCCGCTTGCCCTCGAACTCGCCGTACCTATCGCGCAATCCTTAGCGACTCCTCTCTCCACACCCAGGTCAAGGTCAGGTCAGGTCAGGCCAGGCCAGGCCAGGACGGGGGCTTCAGGACGTTCGCCCGTTTCTACTACTTCATTCTTGATTTCCGAATCTAATATCGCCCCTCATATCCTCGTGATTCACGCTCCCTTCTTCTCCTCCTTCTTCTCCTTCGATACGACGTACGAGCCATCTCGAGTTCGTTTTACTTGTCGCTCGAGCACAGCCCCCCTTCTCGCTATATCCTACCCTCCCTCCCTCGAGTCTTCCCGCGCTCGCCTCTCCTCTCCGGCCGCTCCACGTGCACTCACATACGTCGACGCCCACACCCGACTGGCACTTTTAGTTTACTTCGTGACAGGGACGAACTCTGCCGAAGACTTGGGCCGCCAGAGGTCCCCTTACCCACCCTCGCCGGATTTGGGACCTATAGAATTTACCTGCGAACTGCCCTCCCGTGGCCTTTCTTACTACCTGGCCGCCGTCCATTATTTTCTATCACCTTCCACTATTTAAGCCGCGCCCCCTCCCCCCCCCTCCCTCCTCTCTCGGGCGCTTATAACCACTAGAACCCAACCTTCTCTCACTCTTCCCACCATTCAAATCCAGATCCCTACGGTTTCATACCGAATCCTGCCTCCAAATCCGCCCAGCTCGCCTCTACCACGATGAAGGGCCGTCCGGTCGATCAGCTCGTTTACGAGTGCATGTTTCCCAAACCTCGAACGAGCGAACCGCAAAATTTCCATACTCTCCTCCACCGAAACCTGGTTCCCGAAGTTCGCCAGGAGGTTCATTCCTTCTACGGCCACTTAGACACCCAAGAAGCCAAGTATCCCGGCCTCGACTACACCAACCGCATTCACCGAATACGGCTGAGCCGCTGGCAGTGGCATCGTCGCTTATTTCGAGCATTCGACAGCCTGCGTCTCACCGACTACGAGATTTCGACCCTGACAAAATGGGAGGGTACGAAGTGGGCAAAGGAGCGATTCGAGCGAGACTCCGGAATCACCATCCGAGACACTGCGTTTGATGATATTGCTAAGTGGGTGGATCCCGGGGATCGACCTCAGACCGCGCGTGCTACTCCGGGAGGGGATGCCGAGGAGTTGGAAGATGCTGCCGCGACGCTGGACGAAGACATGGATGGCGAGGAGGAGGACAGCGATGGAGAGCTGACCAGCGTGGGAATCCCACTGAATGAACGCCTCCGAGAAAGGGCAGCGCGTCACGAGGCTGGCGAGACCTCGGTGCCCCTAGACGAGGAGTTGGAGCAGTGGCTGAAGAACGCGATTGAGTCGGGCGAACTCTCCTTCCTCACGGAGCAGATCGTCCGCCAACCGAACAACATCACGCTGGTCCCGCAAGCGCTCTTCCCTACGCGCATGCTGAGTGCAGCGCGGGCCGGCCAGTGGCAGGACATCCCGGACTTCCTCCGTGGTGTACTCCGATATGCACTGGAGAACGAAGCACCAAACAGAGGTCAAGAATCAGCAGCACCGCCTACCTCGAGTGACCGCCCATCCGGAGCATCGCTGCAACCCCACCTCTTCGCAAGCAACCAAGGAAATTGGCGTCGTGACTATTCCGATCTGCGACTCCCTGCCGGCGAGCCTGGCAATGCGAGCACTTCGGAGGTTCGTCTGCAGCGAACAGCTCAGTCTGGCGCCTAAGCCTTATCTCTCGCACCTACGAGAGCCTCGCCGCTTACATCCTACCGCCTTCGGGATGACGCGGCATACTAGATGTCACACCACTTTCGGGAATTTCAAGTCTACTATTACTACCATCGCACACTACCTCGATACCCTCTCCGTCCCCCCCTCTCCGTCCCCTTTCTGTAACATGCTCCCTAGTGCCTGGTCACTGGGTGCTATCTGTGTGTGCACCTTTTTTTTTTTCCCCTTTGTGGCCTAGACGGCTGCTCCCCTCCGTCTCTCTGCACTCTTGGGTGATTTAATAGGCTGTATCTCAACGAAGGAGGTTGATCCCCTTCCGCTCTCGAGGACGGATTCGAAGGAAATTCTAAAACTAGGATAGAGACTAGTGGGGAAGGCTATCGGGAACTCTCTTCCCATGCTTCTCGAGACGTAGGCTTGCGGCTTGTGCATCTCAAAAAGTCTCGTCTCGCTCGTTCGACATTCATCATTCTTCTTCGGCTGAGGCGGAGATATCGGATGCCCCGATCTATTATCGGTTTGCAGCCTCCACACCATCCACTAGATCGATTATCTCTCCTCCTCAGTCCTGTATCTGGGCACATAGACGTGAGCCGACGAATCTAGTGCTGGCTCCTCCCAAAAAGTTCGACAGACAGCCGGGCGGCCAGGGGAAGACGTGGTTCCATTTGTTGGTTTGATTTTACACCATCACCGGAGTTGGGGGGATGGGTGGGCTGGGGGTTACTAGTAGGCGGGTTGCATGTTGAAGAGGGTGAAGGGGGGAGGGGCGGGATCGAATTCATCGGGGCAGCATTCCCCCGAGACGTACATAACACCTACGCGCACCGCGCGCAACCACACATAATACAGGCGCACGCGCGCACGCCCTCAGCTAGCTGCAATTCGCAAAAGAAATAGGAAAATACAACTCGTCGGACATGCAAGGCTTCTAAGCGCATTGGCTGGCCGGGTCGATCGGTCAGAGCTTAGCTCTCCCTCTCCCTCTCTTTCTCTTGGATAGCGAAGGGGTTGGGGAGCAGCGGCGAGTATAATCGGTTGCAGTGAGTACCTACCTAAATACGGGAGAACAGAAGAGAAAAAAAGAGAAAAAAAAAGGGAAAAAAGACAGAAGACGGTTAAACGGTTCGAGTCTGAATTCAGCGCGCGTCTTTCGTCTGCCGCTGGGTGAATATATAGATACGCCGACACACATATACACACGCACGAGGGAGATGTATTATATATATATATATGCTCTCTCGCCTTCCTGCCCCACCGCCACGGCGGGTTCCAAGTTCTGCTACCAGCATACATACACGTAGCATGCAGCGGGAGGCATTTCTCGCGGCTCGTCCGTAGAGCACGGCACGGTCGCGCGAGTCCGCTCCACTACTATACGCGGCGAGCCGTCGTACTGCCCGCCCTTCCACAGCACTCGCGCAAAATGCCGTCCGGTGATGCTACGACACGCCCGTCAAAAAAAAAAAAGGCCGTTCGGAGGGCCGTTTGGAGAAATAGGAGAAGAAAAAAACAAAACCTGTCTTGCGGAGGGCCCCGTGCCTGCAAAAAATCTACCTGCGAGGATCCGTGCTCTACTGCTACTCTAACACACACGCCACACAACCCTCTCTCTCCCGCCATCCCACGCCTCGCACTCGAACACGGAACGGCGACGAACGGCGAACGGATCTCGGCTGCGGCGCACGGGAAACCTAGAAACGGCGACAAAAAAATTAACAACATCAGGATGAGCCAGCCTCAGCGAATCGAAAACGGGAACAGGGCGGTGACCTAGAGCCAGTGTTCTACAGGCGTGATGTGTGCGGGGCCTGAGCCTGAGCCTGTCCATAGTCACGGGGCTTGCCTATGGAACGCTGGGTCGTGCCCCGATGTGGTCCGTCTAACAAAGGGGAGGAGGGGGAGTAGGGAGAGAGAGATGCGGGCCATGAGCTTGCTCGGGGTCCGGGCTGGGTACGGCCTGGGCTCAAGACCCAGACTCGGACTCCGTGTCAGAGGTGAGATCGATGAGTGGGTAGGCTTGAATCCGAAGCAGAGGCCGGGGCCAAAGCCGGGGTCGTCCCTGAGTTTTGTCGCGGGGTACAGGGCTAGGTTGGTCTCGAACTTGGGGTTCAAAGTGAGACACAGGGTTGGATTGAACCTGAACCGGCATTCCATGCTCAGGCTGAGGTTGGCCCTGGATTTGGGATTCGGGTTGGGGCTGACCACTACCGACGCCCCCTCCGGGTTCAGACCAACCTTGGACGTAGGGACTTGGCTCAGGCATAGGTCGGGGTTGAGGCTGAACTAGGACTTGGGGGTTTGACTGGGATTGGGGCAGGGGTAGGGCTTCGTGTTCGGGGGACCTTGGCGAACTCTCAGGTGCGCGCGACAGGTCTTCTCTGACCAAGGTCTCCCCCAAACCGCTCATAATCCGGTTCGCGTTCCGGATCCTCGAGAGCGCAGCCTGCGCTGCAGGCCGCCTCGGCCGCCCTGCAGAGATCGAAGGGGACGGCTCGCACAGGACTTCCGGCTTCGGGGCCCCGAACGAGCCGTCCCCCTCCAGACTGATCTCCATGGCCCTTCTCCTACCACGTTTCTTCCAAAATGATCGAGTCGCGTCACTAACCTATGGCTCGAGATGTGACCATTCTGGTATCGCTTTAATTTGCAACCACATGTATTTCTCCAACTTGTTGGCGGACTTAGCGTAGGGCGTCGTCTCGTTGTTGTACTTGCGGCAATTGTCGAAGATGAGCTTGGCGTCTTTGATGAACTCCTCCGGCGTGGCGTACTGGTCGGCCTCTAGCTTCGTTTCCATCGTACTGAGATCCATCGGCTCCTTGATGACATCATAGTAGTCTGCCACGTCGTCCTTATTGACAGGGTTGAGGAACGGCCACGCCGACTGGTGGTTCTGCAAATCGTTGAGCAGGTGCAGCAGTTGGTTGTAGTTGGGACCGTGTCGTGGTTGGCGCGCCAGCTCATCCATGTCGGGCGACCAGCCCGAGGCGCGGATGGCTTCGATGGAGAGCGGATCGATGGGTGCCACGCCATTCTTCCACTGCTTAGGCGGTTGGTGGATGACATGAGACTTGGAGAAAGCGCGGATCTTTGCCTGGACGCACTCCTTTTGCTTAAGCAGCATGCGGCCCATTTCAAGATACCGGACGTGCGGAAGCATAGAACACTGCATTATGGTGCCGCCCTCGTAGTCCTTGATGTAGCCCATCCACACGGACCTCGGTAGAGTGATCTCTTTAGTGAAGCCCTGCTTCTTGAAGTAGCCAATGGCATAATTGTCAGCATAAGTAAGGAAGTGCATCACGTCGCTGGTTGCCTTGACGTAGTCCTTCAGATGGGACATGAGATGAGCACCATAGCCCTTCACTTGCTGATCGCTGCTAATAGCGCAGAAAACAATCTCGGCGAATTGGCGGCCCTTGAACGGGCGATACGTAATTCCTCCAACGACCTCGAGAGGCTTCTTGACGATAGCAATGGAAAGGTGGGTTCGGTCGTAGACAAGTCGAGCAATGTAATCCTTTGGCATCTTGGGTAGCTGCTTCTGAAAAATGCACTTTAGACCAGTGAGAATAATGAGCGACTCGCGCTCGTTGTCATTGTTCACGACGCGGAACTCGATCTCTCCATTTCGCTCCTCCACGACAGCAGGCTAGAGGTCTGTGTCAGCAAGACGGCCCATACGCTCCCTACAGAGCTCTCGCGCGCACGCAACAGGCGAGCTCAGCCGCGGCATCTCTGCTCTTGGCCCCTACACTCGTGGGCGCATTGTCGTCGTTGGGACAGGAGGGGCGCGTACCTTCTCGGGAAAAGGGATCGGTTTGATGACGGATTTCTTTTCGGACTCGGCTGGGTCATCGTGTCTGGCTCGCTTAATAGCAACGGGTGACGGTGGCTCGTCGCTGGCCTTTCGCTTGCCATCTGCGGAGGAGAGAAGGACAAGAGTTAGCAAGAAGCCGAAGCGGCGTGAATATGGACTGTGGCGAGATCGGGTGGGGATCGTACTCTCGTCCTTAACCATACTGGCTACGTTGCTCCCGAAGGGGTTCTACGCGCACGCGAGATATATGGAAAGGATGCGCCAATGCAAAACGAAGGTTGCTGAGGTGTAGGCGTAGGAGGAGGTCGATGAGCAATGAGCGGGTTTGGGGCTTAGAATCAGATAGGCGAAGCGGCAGAGATGCTGCTGGATACACGATTGCCTACCTAAGGTATGAGTAATCGCGATTTCCCGTCAACTGACTGCAGCTGCGGGCAGGCGGGCAGGTACTTATGTACTGCCGTCGGCAGATACCTGTGATTACCTAAGGTAGGTAGGTAAGCACCTGAGGTAACCTCGCTTCTTGATAGGCACCTAGGTACCTGGTGCATGTTCTGCTGCATGTACTTGAGCATATTGGCTATGCCTTTGGGGTACTCGTACGCGTGCATACACATGTATATGGTGCTAAGCCGCAACGGGGACAGGCCACCTGTTTAACTGCCAGCAACATCCAATGGAAAGTCCCACATCCAGAGCAAGAGCAGGCAGGCTCTTGGAGGCTGCGACTTCACGACTAGCTACCTACCTACCTCTATTACCTCAGGTAGACGAGATACAGGAATACCTCAGCATCACCTACCATCTAACCTCCCTTCTACCCTATCTTCTCTCCTCTCCCTCTCCCTTGGAGTTCCCCATCGACTCTCCCCCCGCGATATGAAGTCGTCGTGAACCCAGCCAGCCAGCCAGCCAGCCAACCTCACCTGCCACCAACATCAGCTCCATTCGCCTCCTCGCCGCGCACCCCACCTCTAACCTCTACTCCATACATGGATTCTTCACTCCTCGAAGTCTGGGAAGCGGCACAGGGTAGTCCGTTTCTCCCAGCTGTAGGGAAGGGCAGCCAATTCCTAGTCGGATTCGTCCTTCTCCTCCTCGGCCTGTCCCTAACTGGCACATTCGCATTGAGTAAGTGCCAAGATGCGCACATACGCGTGTCCCCAACTCCACCTCTGTGTGAATAGCTGCTAATGCGCCCTGCTTAGATCGATCTCTTATAAATCTTCCCCTCTACGGTGTCCCAGCCTCGTTAGCCATCGCGTATGTCTCCCCCCTCCCTCCCACCGGCCTCATCGCACCCTGGCTTCCTGCCTAACAGCATACCAGCTTCGGCACCGTCTACATGTTCTGTGCCGTTGGGGTCTACGTCTAGAAGACCCCTCAAAGATACCCCCAAGGTACCACGAGTCCGGAAAGATCGTCCGTGTGTATCTTAGATGAATTGACGTCCTCGAGAGCATCCGTTTGAGTCATAGAGCATATCTTGTGAATGTGACTGGATATTGTTGCCGTTAGCAGAAGTCGTCGCATCCTCTCCACCTCCCGCTCTCGTACTCCCTCCTTCATATTTCGAGTTGCCCATAAAAATCACCATCTCTTCACCATGGCCGAGCCTGAGAATCCTATAGCTCCTCAGCAGCCGCTATTCAGAGCAGTGGCGAGCTCCACGAAGCAGATATACCATCTGTTGAAATGCATCAGCTTTACTCCGAAGGTGCAAGTCCAGATAACTCAGGATGGCATTCGATTTGCCGCCGACCACTCCCGTGTGATGCAAGGCAAGTCGTTTAACGTTATTCAGATTAGAGGCCGAGGAAACCTAACTGTATCTCCAGGCGTGGTCTTCCTAGATAAAGCTCTCTTCACGACGTACACGCTGAACGTGCCAGATGAAGGAAGTACTCTGCCGCAATTTCAGATGAACCTAGCAGCCTTGTTAGAAGCTCTGCAGATCTTCGGGGCTGTGGACGTGGCTGCTCGCGCTGCCAGAGCCGAAGCAGAGACGTATCGCAGCAATCTTCGCAACTACCGTCAGGATGTTTTTAGCCATCAGGCCTTGGGCATCCCCGGGACCTGCTGCTTCGTGTACGAGGAAGATGGGTCGCCGCTGAGCATCATCCTCGAGGAGACGGGAGTTAAGACTCGGTGTAATATGGTCACCTACACCCCTGAATCCCCCGACGATATACCTTTCGATCGTAGAGACCTGTGCTTCAAGATCATAATGCAAGCTCGCTGGCTCCTCGACGGTCTTTCCGAGCTAGCGCCCATAGCTCCGGCCCGCATTACCATCGCTGCCTCGCCTGACGCACCGTATCTGAGCTTCACGAGCAGCGGATCTCTCGGCAGCGCCAGTGTAGACTTTTCAAGCGGTCGTGACCTTCTCGAGACCTTCTCCGTGCGTGATCGCTGGGTTCAGAGCTTCAAATTCGACTTTATCAAATCTGCGAGCGAAGCCATGCGCATAGCGAACAAGGTCAGCTTCCGCGGGGACGGCCAAGGCGTCCTCAGTCTGCAATTCATGGTAGAGGTCGACGGCGGCGCCGTAAGCTTTCTGGACTTCCGGTTTGTCCCCTACGTTACCCAAGAGGACGAGGAGACGGAGTCCGAGGAAGACGAAAGAGATTAGGCGCCGGGCATGCATTGACTTAACCCAGATCTAAAGCTTAATGTACTGGGCCACGCGAGTTTAGGTACCGATGTGTGTTTAGACGGACCGCTTTAGATCTTTCCGGGTATCTAGGGGATCCTCTGTTGGTGCGGTACTCCGAAAGGTCTCTAGAAAGGTACCTATGCCCTCCTGCTCTCGAGGGGAGTTGGGCGTTTCTCCATCCAGCGTCACGCAACGGAGGCGCCATCGACGGCTTCGTTGGCGGACCTATTCCGCTAAGCCACAGGGAACTCTATCTCGTCAAAAGAACCTCCCGCGGTCATCGTTGTGACACCGCCGCCTTCACCCCCCGAGCGACTCGCGTGCTCCAATCTCCCTAGACCTGAGAGGCCTAGATCGTAAGGTCGTAATGTCCGAGGGAGATCCAAGATGCGAAGTCGGATATAGAGAGGGTACTGTCGAGCAAGGAGAGACGGGGAGAGACGGGGAGAGATTTATTTTTTTTCGTAGAAAAAGGCTTTATATATCAGCGTATGAAGCTACCACATTCCACCCTTCTACCCCTTCACCCCCCTCGAGAGGGGATGGGTCTTCCCAAGGTTTCGATCTCTTGCTCATCGTAATCACTCACGCTGGGGACCGAGAGCCAAATAGGTATTGACGTGAGTTTAATTTGGTTGGCAACATATAGAAGTACCGAAGCCCCCTCGCTCCCCTCTCCTCGTTCTTCCCTTTACTCACTTATTCTTCACTCATCTATTCCGCGTGTCCGACCTGCCCTCGTCGTGATCGCGATCCACATCGGCTACGTACCTACCTGCTTCTAGGCCAGGAGAAGAACCACCGGGACGCAAAAGCCTCATCGGAAATACTGACTTCTTTCCATCATCTCCATATCCAACCTCAAGGCCACACAGTCAAGGCTCCCGCCTCCTATCCGTAAAGCCCCTCGGCAAGCTTGCCTCTCTCTCTTTCTTCTCCACACACACACACACACATATATATATATATACGTACACACCCACGCACATCCGTATAAGGCAAAACAAGATGGCCGTGCAACGGAAAAAGACCGACACCACGGCCTGCGACAACCAAGACCACAGCACGAAGCCCAGCAGCGACAGAAAGCACGAGATGGACCAGCTCAACCAACAGGTCGGGCACATGTCGCCGAGCCCGCAGCTGTTGCCGCAGCCTAACTGCGGCGCACCACCGCCGTCGCGTCGCCGCGCCGGCTCCAAGCAGCCGAAGGCCCAGGGCGGCGCCCACGTGCGCCCGTCGTCCCCGGCGCAGCCCACGTTGGTGCCGCTCCCGCTACCGGCCCTGCCACTGCCGCCGCGCGTACCACTGCCGCCGCGCGTGCCACTCCCGCCGCGCGTGCCGCCGCCACCGCGCGTACCGCGACCGCCGCTGCCCTCATTCCGGCCGCCGCGGCCGCCATCTCTGCCCCCGCCATCTCTGCCCCCGCCGGCCCTGCTGCTGCCCCTGTCGCCGTCGCCGCCGCGGCCGCCACCCGAGTCCCCGCACACGCAGACGGTGTCGCCGCTGCCGCCCGACCCCCCCGCGCGCCCGCGCGCGGCCCTCCTGCGCGACATTACTATCCGCCACCACGGCTCCCCTGACGCCCGCGCCCCTGGGCTCCGACGCCGAGAGCGTTCCGCACGTGAGGGGACGGGCGATAGCTGTGCCTAGGCGGGGTTCCTGACCTTTTTCTTGTCTTTGGGATGAATTTTTTTTTGGGGGGGGGGGGAGTTTCGTTTCGTTTCGCAGGCTCCTATTCCCCAGGGAGCGGGTGGACGGGGTGCTGGGAGGGTTGATTAAGCTACTGCCTGATAATATTATTGCTTACTGCTTGATAATAGTGCTGGAGCGGCACCGGGCTAGCACACACAAGACCATATACCTACCTATAGACGACGTCGAGGGACGGTAATAGAATTTTCGGTTCCTGCCTGCTCTACGCCCGGTTCTTCTGCATGCTCGTGCTCGTGATGGTGCCCCGTCTTGTCTCGTTCTCTCGTAGGATCGGCGTAGCTGCGGATGGATATAGGGGCTGAGGAGAAGGAGAAGGGATAAAAGGGGGGGGTGGAGGCTGTAGGTGGTGGAGAGAGAGACTGGTGTGGGGGGGTGCCTGGCAGCCAGGAGTAATGGACGAGGGACGGCCAGGCATGCTATGTCGAAGGAGAGCAGGCAGCGAGGCGAGAAGGACGAGGGGGAGCGAGCGCCTCGGGCTCCGGCTCGCGATAGGCGGGCGTGGTAGGTTGGCCTGCCCAGCTCCCAGCACACGGACGCGACGTGCCCCCGGACAGTGAAAACGACGGCAGCGATGGCGATACGGGTGCTGGCGGCGCGAGAAGGAGGGCACGGCCAGGCAGATACGGCTGCCTGCGATCGCTGCCCGCCACGATGGTCGCGATAGCGCCTCTCCACTGGCGGTGCTGCGGCCGGGCGTGCCCCCCCGGCTCTGGCGCGGTGGCTCCGCAGTTTATGCCGCCAGCTCGCTCCGCTACGGATACGGGGCGTTCGGCGCAGCTGGTTGGCTGGCTGGCGGGCGGGCGCTCTCGGCGCGAGGCGCACGATGTTTTGTTTCTCGCAGGGCCCAGGTGCCTCTCCCTTTTGCGGGCAGGGGCCAGGACGGGGCTCTAGGGGGGGGGCCTGGGCGAGAGCGGGCGGGGCCACGCGCTGTGCTTGGACGGCACGGCTATTCTTGGGTACTCGCAGCTTTCGTGCGCGTGGTCCCTCTCGCAGCCCCCCTGGCCGTCCCCACCCCCTTTTTTTCTTCTCTCTCCCGTCCATCCCCTTCCTCTCTCTCCCTTTCCCCTTTCCCATCCTCGATCTGCCTAGGTATGCGCATGGTGTATGTATGCATGTACGTGCTATCATATTTTGGGAGCGGGGAGGGGCACGCGAATCACCGGATTTTCCTGTTTTTCCTTTCGTACCTCCTCACTCCTGCGGGGCTCCCTCACACCTGGTGACCTGCCCTTCCCTACATGCCCCCTCCCGCATCCCGCATCCCAACTCCATCGGCGGTGTCTTTAACAATAATTCTATTATCGCTGGGTATCCATTATCAGTAGTTAAATCACAGCCTCTTATCTCGTTTCGTTTTCTGTGCTTTTCTCTGGTATTGGTAGGTTTCCCTCGGTGTTTTGCTGCGGAGGATTAAGCCAGCAACAGATATTTTACGAGGTACGTACGCCCTGAGTGGTTGGAGATCTGGGAGGGGTTGGCAGCGAGGCTTAGAGCCCGTTTATCGGGTTTGGAGGAAGAGCGGTGTTTGGTGTACTGTCCTAGCTTCGAGATCCCCCTCCATCGGTGTGTAGAAGCTGTCTGAGCTCGTCTGCGATCCTTAGCACCTAGGTACGACGAGAGCGACGACCACGACAGCTCGTGATGCCGCTCGGCGGAGTGAGGGGATCCGTGCCCAACGACATCATCGACCTAGAGATGTTTCGTTTCCCTTTCCTTCATCGGGGCCTGGTCTCGAGTTGATTGGAAGGCCAGCGCGGGCAGGGTGTCTGGGGCGGGTCTGAAGGATCTGAGGCAGGGGAGTCGACCAAGGGCACCAGGGGACACACCCAGACCTCTGAACCAAGATAAAGTCAGCAACTCTAAAATAACTCTATTCAAACGTGGATTCTGCTGTTCCGATTAGGCAGGTGGGCGCATATCGGGCACGGACTAGAGACGCGAATCCTGTCGAGCCAGGGCCGGGCGAACACCTGGGGCGAGCTGTCTTACGATAGGCACTTCAGATTTGGCTATCAAGCTCCAGTGAAACTCGGCTGTCGTCAATTACTTCCCTCAGGACGAATTGCTACTGTTACTGCTGCTACCATACGTGGTAGTGGTTGCTGGCACCACGCTCCCAACGCTGCTCGCCACGAGGGGATCGAAGCTCCGGGGCCCGTCTCATGTCCTTCTATGTCTCGTCTGGGATCTACCTACCTGCGATTCGAGGCTAGAGTTCAGCTTCGCCCACGTGTCCGGCCACACGATAGGTAGGTATGTCTCGACCCGGGGACTCGACCGTAAATCGCAAGCCGGCTTCACCGGGCTTTCGTGCGAACGGCCGATATACGGGGTTACGTCACTCGATCACCACACACAGATGCCATTCCAAAGAAGTGAGCGTCGAGGATCGACTTCGTCCGATGTGCAGTGCGGGGCGGCGAGAGAGAGGGAATTCCGCACCCCTGAATATACCTGAGATAGGAGCTCGATCTGATCCTGCGGAGGGATACTGTCGGCATTGCAGATGAAATGCTATTAATCCTCTACTACCACGAATAGACCGAGAGGATATGCTGATCGTTGCTCCTTTCTTCCCCTTCATCCTGACCGGCAGGGATGCGGCACTCGATGTACGTACATACTACTACGTAGTACGTTGGAACAATATGCCACCTCCATATAACAGCCTGCCAGGGGGGAATCGCGATACGGGTACGCAAGCACTTATTCGACAATTCCTGGATGAATCGCCTAAAAAGCCTCGGCTCGTCTCTTTTTCTCTTTTTCTGTGTTTTACTTTCCCCCCTTCCTCTCACACACAGGGGGATTCACACCCGAGAGAGTGCTGCTGTGCACCGCACGCAGCTGGACGGCAGGATTCAGGACGGCCTCAATTGGCAGCTAATTATCCCACAGCCACAAACAATTGGGGCAAAACGTGTTCCGTAGGGCGTAAGGACTAGGTGCAAACGAGACTAGGGCTTATAAAGGGCCTGTACCTGGGGATGGACCGCCATTGGGCCGACGAGGAGGGAGAAAACACGAAGCGCCTCACATTTCCACCCTGATCCGCGCAGGGGAGGGGGAGGATGCGGACTATTGCTCGCACGCATAGATCACAGCTAGCACCTAAAACCCAGCACGCCTGCCTACCCGGCTTCCATGCACGTGGGCTGAGTTTGCTGACGATCGAGGAGGAGGGGGAGGCTGCGCAGCCTACATTCCTCGGGGTAGCGAGGGGAGGGGATTCTACAGCGTGCCTCGCCATCAGCTGGTACCGCCTCCCCGCCCGAGATCGCAGATTCATATGGGTATCAGCACTCTCTAGAGGCCCGCGTACGGCTGGCAAGCTAGCCGGTTCCGATAACGAGAGAGTGTGTGTATGTGTGAGAGGCTGGTAGGCCAAACACACGCCCGGTTTCATGTGACCGAGGCAGATGGGATTGCGCGTGGGAAGGCCGGATGCAACGTCGAGTTGCCAAGCAAGTCTCTCAGTAGGAGCGGTAGCACAGAGGGAGGAGGGGGAGGAGGAAGAGGGAAGAGGTACGTAGAGAGATAGGCGAGGGGACGAGACGAAAAGGGGACGAGAGGGAAGAGAGGGAATCGGCGATAAGAAGGGGGCAGGCGTACGACGGAACGCGTCAGCAGCTCGGTGCGGCTCGCTCGCTGGTTATTGCCTGCGGAGCGCGCGGCGGGAGAGGCCAAATTCGAGCGCCAGCAGGGAGACGGCGTCGAAAGCCGCAATATACCTCACACAGCGGCGGCCGCGCGCCTCGCCGGGGTTTAATATATTCAGCTTGTCGCGACGGTACGCTCGAGGTATGTTACATGGCGTTTCCCACGGGTGCGCCTACGGGACCCGGGGCTTACTTACCTGCGTGCTTTCTGTTGCCGCTGCTGGTACTGCTGGCGCAGCATAGTATTGTCGCCAGAAACACATCTAGCTATGGATTAATTAGGTAGGTAGTTTAAGTAAGTAAGCCGGTAGGCGCGCATGTAGGTAGGTACTGCTTTATCTCTCGCATCGCGGGAGACGGCCACGAGGGCCTCTCCACCGCAACCGATGACACACATACCATCTACATACGCACACCCGACCGCTCGACATCCGGCATGTCATTGGTTACCGGGCTCTTGGGTCTTTTTTCTCTTTCCCTTTGAGTGTCTAAGTATATCCATCCATATGCAGGGCGCCGCCAACTTACGTGATGGTTATAGCTACATATTTGCGAGCGTGTGTGTGGATGTGGATGTGGATGTGGTGGATGTGGATGGCATGTCAATGTGTGTATAGGTGTGTAGCGTGTGCGCGCCTGTGTGCGTCATGTAACATGCCCCAGACTACCTAGATAGAGCAGAACAACCATCGTAGGCTACTAGACCAGGAAGAGATACCTACAGAATCGCGACCTCTTAAGACTGAGCTGACGCCTCCATCTCACCAGCTTGCCGGAGAAGATCAAACCACCAACATCGAGCTCGTACCGCTGGGGAGATGATGAAGTCCCACGTTGCGGTTCCTTCTTGCTTCGACTAGAGAGACGGGAGATTTGCGACGGCGTCAACTGACAAGCAACGGGCGCTAGCGGAGGCGCCGTTAGCTTGACACCGGAGCTTGCCGAGTTGCCATGACACCCTCCCAACACCCCCAGGACAGCTTGCTGACGCCCTGCTGGCACCCAATCTAATTATCACTCGATCCGCACGGCGTTCGCACGATAGAGGGTTTGACGAGGTAACATCGCGGTATCACGTGTCCTTGCCATGGCCCAGGTGGGAAGGGCATGTGGCCAATTCAATTCTTTCTCATCAATCTCGAGAAGGCGGTGATGACTGTTAGTCTGCTTACAGAGGATTGCTATTGGGAAAAAGCGGCCCAGCTTCAACCCACCCCGTGTGCGTGTTGGGAGGGGGAAGGGGAGGGATGATGACCGCCTCTCTGATTCAACATGTGTGGTAATTGGGGAACACGATGTGCCTACCTGGCAGGATCAATCGTCGTAGAGAGAGCGGTTAGACGTCGCCGAGGCTCACCGTTAACGACAGGCATGGCATCGCTGTCGGAGCTGAGGCAGCCCCGGCCGCGGCCCCGAGAGGAGGGGGGGAAAGGGCACCGGCGCCTGGGCTGCGCGTCCGAGACGGCCTCCCGGGCGGAGGGCGAGAGAGCAACGCCGGGATAGCCTACTACTAACAGTGCCATTTCCTGTTTCCCATTTCCCATTTCCCATGCGCGAGGAGATAGAACCATGTATGAAACGCCCCGCCATCCTGCAATCTACCTACCTTACCCATAGACCTCTCGCCGCGGTCGCGACTCATGTCAAGAAAGAAAAAAATTTTTTTGCACCTGGTTTTGGGGACGTGCGATTTCGAGTAACGGATGTTTTGCGGTGGAGCTACCGGCCCATTTTTGGTCGAGGGAAGAACGAAAGCGGAAGCTCGCTGGGTTGGATACATGGGGAATTGGTTCGATACGGGCAACAAGCGAGAGAAAAAAAAAAAAAAGAGAAGGAACAAACACAGGCCATTTTGGATAATTTTCCGTCAATGCCGGGAGGGCGGCCATCGTCGTCATCATCATCGCCACTACACGTGGGTATTCGTCGCTAAGGGTTTCCCACTCTTTCCTTTCTTTTCTCCGATCAAAGACAAGACATACCTAGATGCACACATCCACGCGCATAACACGCGCGTATATTGCACCCATAAATAGGTAAAATGTGGCTGGCTCGTGGGGCCTTTGTTGTCTCCTTCGGCAAGACGTTCCGTGCATACTCTATGCTGGATGTTACGTAATGCGTGGTGGGTACGCGGGTACGTGGGTACGTGGGTGGCGGCGGGTCGGGTTAGTAGCGTGCAATATGGGATACATCAGAGGTACTCGACCCGCCCAGCACACTCACACATACATTGTCGTGGACACTGGGTAGTGAAGATGTATACTCGAACCGTAGCTCACCTGCTTTCCATCTCCCTAATTGCCGAGCTGAGAGCTAAGAGGCCCCATACCGGTGTCAAGTGGCTTACGTGGTACAGCCCGGTAATCCATGCAAAAGTACCTCCTACCGGCCTACACCTTAGGTACCTCACGTACTTAGGTACACGGCATGGAGGCCAGCTGGCTCAGGTGCAACATTGAAGTTTTCATGTCGTCTCCGCAGATACCCAATACACTCAAATGCTGGCGACGAAGCAGCAACGATTTCACCAAGGAGGGTCACGTAATCGATACTATTCCCATTCTACGCCCGACGTTTCTACCCCCATCATCTGCGAAGGCTAGCGAAACAGGCGTGCCGATCGGCATATGGTTTCGCTCACCAGTCAAGTGTCAACAGGCAGGCAGGCAGGCAGGCTTGCTTAGCCTCGTCCAGAAGTGAGATAGTATTGCCCGTAAAAAAAAAAAAAAAAAGAAAGGGAGGCACAGGGAGTCGGCCCTACCTAGAGTCCGTCTCGAGGCTCAAGGGAGAGTCTCTCTTTTCAATAGCGTCCTTCCGTAAGGAAGAGGATTTTCCACAGCTGGATCTGTCTTTGTTTCGTTTCGCCTCTTTTTTTTCTTTGTGAGGTGCCGAGCTGCGGGAAGGCTGGGCAGATTTGAAAATAGCAGCGCAGGCGGGCAGAGAGTCCCAACGCTCCAGGCACCGCGCGCACAGCACACACTCACACACGCACATATGCCTGGGTAGGTACATACAGAGGTACATACAAGCCTCCTCATACCCGTGGTGATACCCGAATAACGTGGATTGGACGGCAAGGCTGGTTGTCTAAGCTGACCTGCCCGCCTACCTACCCAGATGGGTAACGTGTAGGTGTTAGTGAGACATTGTCGTTCAGCCTCTCTCCGTCTTGGCCGTCTCACGCGCCTACGAAGAGAGAGACAGAGGAAATTAAACGGAAGGGGAAGACGAAGGCAGAGGGAAAACTGGCCGTATCCCTCGCGCTCGCGAACCGGTGGACCCTCCTCTGTTCCTGTCTACGGTGTTGGTACCACAAGGCGAACACGATAGCCACCCAGACGGCAAATACGACGCCGGGTTTACGAGGTATGCGTGGACAGCGGTGCACGCACAGTAGGATGGGCGCTTGCTGCCGGGAAAATGTCGTCAAGTTGTGGGGTATCACTCACCCGCCGCACAGAGACAGAGACGAGAAACCGAGAGAGAGAGGGAGAGGGAGACTGGATAGGATCAAGTAGGTAGCCGTGGCACGCTCGTGATTCGCTGGCGGCGCAGGTAGTCGAGCTGGCAGGGTTGGGTCTGGACGTACCCATCGCCCGCGCCCAGGCTTGGGGGCCGCAGCCCGGACAGCTGCCATAGGCCCGCTGAGGAGGTCCAGCCCCGGCCCGGTGCGCTTAGCCTAAATTAGGGAGGCCTTCCGCCACTTGCGAAGGGAGCGCCAGCGCGAAAGACGGGCTCTCCCCCATCGCCCACGCGCGGAGAGGCGAAAAGGCGGGCAGCCCAGACAGCTGGTATTATACGTGCGCGCAACATGCATTCGCCTGCCGCCTGCGACACAACCTAATATATCAGGTACGGAGTTGGGGCCAGGCGCCGGCCCCGTAAGGCCCTGGTCCCGCCCGAGATAGGGCGCCCTACGGATCTCGAGATGTAAGTCACACCAGCACACGCACGCGCACACGCCTTGCATGAGGGGCAGAGCAACATACCTCGGTATGCGTGCCATCACCGCCCCGAACCGCACCGCACTGCCCATCGCTCGCTGTAGGTACGTAAGCGCTCCTCGCGCCCGTCGGCTCCGGGCCATGCCATAGGCCGGCTGCCTACGTAAGTATCTGTCATCCGTCGATATTGGTCATCTCGTTGGTCATCCGGTTCTGTAGGTAAGCCCAGTCATAAATAAGGTCGGCCGCTGAGTCGTCCTGCACGACACCGCTCTGCCCATACCGAAGAGGGGGAGGGCGGTGGCTCAGTCTGCAACGGGCCCGAGTGGATAATGGACAATCGAGGGCTGGGTCCGCGATTGGCTGATCCGCGGTGCCGTCCGTCTGCTGCCTGCTTCTTCGACGTCGACCTCTCTCTCTCTCTCTTTCCCTCTCCCTCTCTCTCCCTCTGCTCCCTCTCGTCTTTTGGACATGGCGACGAAACCGACTTTGTACTTGCGGCAGCCTCTGGCGTTATGCACGTCGGGCCTTCGGCGAAAGCAGCCAGAGACGCCTATTTGGAGCAGCGCAGCTGTCGAAAGGGATGTGGCTAGCCCGAGGTCGTATTTCGATAGCTTGGTGCTTACTGTATTTATTGGATGGTGTGTGCCGAATGCGTCGATAGATGGACCCGTGTACGAGTAGGTACCTATTACCTACCTACCTCCTAGGTACGTGCCTCCTAGGGTGCCGAGCTCGACATCCGCGGAGCAGGATCGGTACCTTTGTGCTGCCTCCCCTCACGAGCCCTGCCCATCCAATTGACCCATATACGCAACATTCGCTGCACATGCCCACCTATGAGTATCTCCTGCCAATGTTCCGTGCCTCGGCGGACCTGCGGAGGGTAGCTAACGTGCACGGGGGCCGGAGAGGCTAGGCACCTAGGTACAGTTGGCGACGGGAGCGCGTCTGTCTTAGGTGTCTACGCTGGCTTACCGCTGTCTGGGGTTCCGGGGCGATGGCCATCCCTAAGGACGTGTGCCCGCCTGGGTTGCCCAAATACCTACTCGTAAGAGGTAGCTAGCCACCAGGCAGCCTGGCTTAGGGGAGGTATTCTTAGGTATCTAACGTTAGGGCGTCAGGGCCGGGTTTAATTTGGCAGTTGCCAGGATCACGTGTAACGCCGATTGGGTTTCCTTTCCGATCTGCGCCAACCGCAATAGGGAAGAGGCATCTGAAAGTGGAGAGCGGCTGTTTCTTGTATTTCTGTCTCTTTTTTTTTTCTTTCTCTTTGCCTCTCCCCGTCCCGTCTAGGCAAGTGCCAGCTGCCCGGCCTATGCCGCCTCTCTACCTCTCATCTGTCCTTCACGCAGTCTGTCCCAAGTCCCTCTTTTGCAACCCATCCTCATCCCTCCGTCCATTCCCTCTCGCTCTCCTGTCCCATCCTGTCCCGTCCCCATCCTGCGTCTACCCTCTGGTAAGAAATTGCGTCCTCTCGATGCTGTTTCACCTCTCGTCTCCCCGTACGACCTGTGCAAGATCCCCCTCGAGCCTCTCCGCCTCGATTGCCCCCTCTCCGTGTGCTCTCCCAGTGGTTTTGTTTCTTCGCCTCCGTCCTGCGTGGGTCTTGGCGTCGGCCCCGACTGAACACCAACCTCGACCTACCTACCGCTATCCGTGTCAGCCATTCTGTAGTTCCGCTTTCGTGGCTCGGGAAGCTGGCGCCGTTTGGGGATGACTAGACGTGAATGGCGTATATCCTTCGTCAGTGGGGTGGCTTGCCCGGTCGGACATGAATGTGGGCAGAATGGCCGAGTCGCTCTCTCGTCCTCGCCGCCAGACACTCCCATCGTTCCTCATCTGGGGTTGCATCCATCCGCCTCTCTGCATGTACCCATTCCCATTCTAGTATCCTCGTTTCGGCCCCCGGTCGGCTTCGTCCTGGGAGCGTACCAACACCGTAGCTCACTATTAAGCTTGCCCACCCTCTCGTGCTCGCTGTTACCCTTCCCCCTCCCCTCAGCGCCTGCGAGCGTGGGCGGTGCTGTGGGAGAGTGTGAGGGGATGGCTAGCAGTGTCTCACCGCGTTCCGCGATGGTGGTGAGCTGGGCTTCTCGGGAGCCTACTGCGCGGCTCGTATGTGACCCGTCTGTCCGTCTTGAAGCGCATCTGCTAGACTTAGGTAAGGTGGGCGGGCGAGCTGGCCGGGCTTCGCGGGGCAGGCGACGAGGCACCACTCGACTCGATGTTACGTTGTCCTGCCAGGGTTGCGGCCGCGTACATGCAAATTTCCATGTATCCAGATGATCGCAGACTACGTACTACGTAGGCGTGGGCGCCAAGTACTGCATAATCACTACTGTTCGGGTTGGTGGGACGGCAAGGCACAGTAATACTCATCTCACAAGCGCGAGTATCCCGATGTTATTCTACTTGCTCGTCGTCGTCGTCGTCCAACTGGGCCAACCCGAGTACGTATGTAGTATGTATGTATGCGTGTGTGTACGTGTGCATGTATGTTGTATGTATTCACACTCCCCCTTCTTCCCCCCTCTCTCCCTCTCCCTCCCTCTCTCTCTCTCTCTCCTCCCCCATCCTGCATGCAGATGTATGTAGTAGCATGGCACGATAGCCTGGCGGTTCTACCTCCTCTCCTTGTTCTTAGGTAAGTACCCCCCATCCGCCGTTCGTGCCATGGGCCGTCGTACGCTCCCCCTCTCCCCGCGGGCCATATTGCTGGACAGCAAATCCGATACAATGTAATCCGGATCGGCTCACGGGGTAAGTTACGGTCGCTAGAAATCCTGGCTGATTCGCATTCAACCAGGGACCCAGAGGTATGACTTGCGTAAAATAGTAATTCGCAGGTGGACCAATAGGCGATAAAAATAACAGGATCCCTAGTGAAGACGGCCCCTTGTTCCAACCGGGCGAAGAGAGGAGGTACCTCTGTTCTGCAGGACCCTCTTCCCGCTTTACAGGGCTCTCTCCTCCTCCTCCCTTCACAGAGCCACGCTTCGTGTACTTCCCTTAGGTACGTGGTGTGGTACTCGAGGGTACATGGGGGTGGTGCTCGGCGACCGGGGTCCGCCGCCGCATTCCGTCAGTACGCCTTTGGCTTCCCCAAGTATCGGTGCCACTGCCACTGCGTCAGGCCGACTTGACAAGACGCTCGCTCAGCGGCCGCTGCTATGTATGTAGCATCCAGCCAGCTGCTGCGCTTCCTTGGTCGCAGAGCCTTGTGCCACCCACCCGAGCAGATCCCACACCTCATATATGTCGAGTCGCCTCCCCCAGACTCTACGACTCCCTTTTCGTCTTGTCCGAACCCTCCCTCGCGTCCGCCTGTCATCCACGATGCTGTCAGGCGCTAGTACTAGTATTCGGCGGCTTATCTCACAACGGCGACCTCAGAATGGCTATGGGGATGGATATTACGCCGGCACCAATACGCCGGCCCACAAAGAAGGACGGAAAGACAATGGGACGCCCACGCGGCGACCTTATAGTAGGAAACGATCGCCACCACCCATCATAATCAGCAGGGAACAAAGCATCCATGACATCCTCAACCCTCTTCCGCCACTCCCCCATGAAAGGCCGCGGTCTTCGACCAGTTCGCTGAATAGCAGCGAACGCCACGCCGAGACCTACTCTACTCATTCAATCGACCGCTCGAGGTCACCTCTTTGTTCGATATCGTCAAAGGGCGGCGAGAGTCAAGAGTCCCTCCAGCTCTCGACCACGAGCTACGAAGATGAAGACTTCCCCCCTCAGCCTCCCCCTAAAGGTTACACGTGGCCGAGAGAAACCCCTACACGCCTGGCGGAGCCGCCGGTTACGACACTCGAAATCATCAACGCCCTGTCTCTGGACCTAGACGACGAAGCAACGCCGACCCAACCGCACCCGCGGAGGCAGACGTCCTTCTCCAGCTATTCGGAAAACATCCAGCAGCTCATCGAAGAAGCAGACGAGGCATTCAGGGCCGTCGGTGACGCCCTCGCTGAAGTACAGCGCACGGAAACTACTACTACATTCAAGGAACTTCCCAGACTTCCCACCCCAGACCCGGAGCCTGAGCTCCCGGCTCGAGAGCTAACCCCGGAGCCAGCAACCCCTCCCCTCAAGAGTCAAATACAGGACTCACCTAAGCAAGTTACCTCATCTCCAAGGCAAATCACCTCCTCTCCGGGACAAATCACATCCTCGCCGAGACAAATCACCTCCTCTCCGAGGCAAATCACCTCCTCGCCGAGACAAACCCCAATCTCGCCCATCCCCTCCCCCGCTACCTCCGTTACCGCCTCCCCTGCAGCCTCCCCCAAGCGAAACATATCCGCACCTGGCAGGGTTAAGAGGAAGAAGTCGAAGAAGTCGAAAAAGACAAAGCCGATGATGCCGCATCGAAAGCCGGCCGCGGCTAAATCGGCGGCAAAGAGCGGCCCGATATGGACGCTGCCCGATAACGTGACGGAGCTCTTCAGCGGAAAGCTCTTCCACAGGCTCGAGGTGGATGAGATGCTCACGCCGAGTCAGCTGGAGGAGTACAGGCTACAGAGGATGTCGGGCACGCATCCGGAGCGATCCACCGAGACTCTGGACGCCGAAGCAAGCGACACGCCAATCGAGCCTTTCCATCTCGAGGACCTCCCCTCCCGGATCGGATCGGCCGGAATCAGGCTGAACGACGACATCCCGGTGGAAAGAAAGCCCGCCGCACCGTCCTCCAGCTCCATCATGCGTCAAGATTTCTCGGTAGAGGAGTCACGAGACGTCAATAGTTTTACCAACACGGATTCATGGATCGACATCGACGAGCCACCGATGCAATACAAAGACACGCATTTTCCCACGCCGCCGCTGAGGCACGGCCCACGATTTACCTTGCGTGCTCCCAGGATCGCGCTGCCTAGCATTCCGGAGATGGCAACCATCTCGACGCCGGTGAGCGAACCTGTCTTCCGCGCGAGTCTACAGAGCCCCCAGGACGTAGTCGCCGATTCGAATTACGTCTTCCTCCGGTCCTCACCGTGCTCTCTGACGGTCCCCACATTCCGCCACGGCCCGATCCGGTTGGCGAAGGCGGACCTGGTGCCGGATATGAAGGTCGGGGCTGATGAGGGTCTGGACTGGACAGCGTTCCAGATGGCCATCTCGGGCGGCGCCGGCGACTGGCTCTCGGAGAGCGACGACGTCATCCGACGGAGAGAGGCGGAAGAGGTGGAAGAGATATCCGCGTGGTGGGATACGTGGAACTTTGACAGCGCTGGCGGGCTCATGACGCAAGACGTCAAAGCCGCCAGCCCTACGAGCACCACGTCGAGCGAGGATTACTCGGACGCGTCGAACGGCGAGACCGAGAAGGACGATCAGTACAGCCTGCACCGACAGTGGCAGCAGTTCCGACGCAGGGTGGCTGCCGAGAACAGGCAGCTCGAGCTTGACATGGCGGGGCTCCAGCTCGATACGTCGAAGTTGAACGGCGGCGAGCAGCTCGACCGGCTGTCCAAAGACTACAGCTGCCGCGAGAGCTACGCTAGCCTCCCGCAGAGCCCGATGTTGGATCTGAGGGTGATCCGCAGCGAGGATGGCGAGGACTTTGACGTCGTCCCGATGGGGTACAATCTCGGGCACGACTTGGGAGACTTCCTCAAGTGGGAGGCGGAGCACGCCTACGCCGGCGACTTTCAGAGGCTCTAAGTCGTTTCAGCTACCCACATGAACTTCCCCTTTCTTGCCGCCGCTTTCGCTTTCGCTCCTCTTTCCTTTGGGTTTTCGGTTTCTCTTGTTTTTTTATTTTCTTTTTTTAGCGGGCATATGAGGACATGCGTTCACGTTCGGGATCGGATTTGTCTTCCCCCTTTCCATCACCATCTTTATACCAATGGGTTTCTACCGGTGTTCGGTCGGGTGGTTTTGCTTTGCACAAAAGCAACCATTCATTGCATACGCTACACATGCACATATATATTGATTTCCGTGTAGCGCGGCGCTGGGACGGCGGGAACGGGACGGGATGAAGGGGGTTAGAGCGTATGGGGCGTACCTATCTATCAGGTAGGTATCTATCTGCTGCCTACCTTGGGCACTTGGCTGAGGTGCCTACGGGGCCACCTACTTTCCTTTCTTTTTTTTCTTGTCGTCTACGAAGAGAGAGAGAGAGAGAGAGAGGGAGAGGGAGAGGGAGACAGAAGAGAGCTGGAATCACATGTACCTAACCTAGAGGTGGTACCTCCTATCTTAGGTACCTCCGGTACGCCTAACCTATATACATCTGTCACATTTCATTCCATCAGGTACTTCCGTAGGAGGTATACCGTGAGGCTGCCATACCTACCTCCGGTCCACCACCTCACGTGCACCCCCTTTTGCTCGGGGCCGCCTTCGCGGAGAAGAATGGCCGTCTTACGTAGGTATTTTTGTTGTGCGCACATTTGGGACGTTGTGCTAGGTTAGTCGGGTTGTTCAGGGCAGGATACACGATTATACCACGTTGATGAGTCAAATCGAATGAGGGCAGTTACGAGTCTAAATCTCGCCGCTGCCTCGGTCTGAGGTTTCTAGCACGTGTGTTGTCTATTTCCTTTTACCCTCACCTTCTCCTCCTCCCTCCCTCCCTCTTGTGCCAGGCTACTCGATGCGTGGCACAGCACCAGACAACACGAGACAACACAAACGCGAGCGTGACGGCCAAACGGGAAAGTACTAGCATTAGTGACACGCGATCCGAAAGATTCTAGTCATCTTGATCTTGTCCTCCTCCGGCCTCGTGGTGTGTATACCTGCCGTTTGTCCGCCCTCCGCAGCTCCCACCCTCGCCCCCCTCCATATCCCAACTTATAACAACTAGGAACTGCCACGTCCGATAGAAAGCCGTCGAGATTTTCGTGTCTAGACTTGCCCAGGTCAGATCGCAGAAACTTCAGCCCCCCCCCGCCCCCTCTCCCCCTTCTCGGGGACAATGACTACGAGATACTGCGACCATGCCGTATGACGACTCGATTCTCACTCTCACCTCCGTGGGAACCCCCGATCCCTTCGTTATCCAATTTGGAGGGCAATACTATTTCGTCAGCCGTTTCCTTCCACTCGTACAGCGGGACGTCGTCTGTTAGACGACTATGGTATGGGCTAACATTATGTGTAGACCTTCACGGCGGGGAATAGAGTTGAGATCTGGAGCTCCCCTAGTCTGGTGGATATAGAGGCCTCTTCCTCTCGACATGTAATCTGGTACAGCTACACACCTCCCCGATTCCAGTCCCTTGCCGCCCAACGACTATGTGCTGACAATTACGGCATAGGAACCCTCCTCAGGGTACTGACCACTCAGCTGACCTGTGGGCCCCCGAGTTGCACCCCATACGCGGTCGATGGTACGTCTATTATGCTGCAGCACACCCAGCCCACGGAAACAAGAGTCACCGTATGTATGTGCTGGGGGGACCGCCCACGACTAGGAACCCGTGCGAGGGCGAGTGGGAATTTTTGGGCCGTATTCGAGGCATGCTGCCAGACCAGTGGGCCATCGACGGCACCGTGTTCGAGCTGGAGGACGGCCAGTTATACCTCGCGTACTCGGGATGGCCACTTGAAAACCATTATGGTCATGTGGACGTTGTCGGCGAGCCTTCCGACCTCGTCCAGGAAATATTCATCGTGAAACTCGAGGACCCGATTACGGTGGCGAGTAGCCCCGTTGCCATATCTCGGCCGCAGCACGCATGGGAGCTATCACGGGATGGTAATAGCATAGACCACCGTATCAACGAGGGCCCGCAGTTTCTTCGGGCTCCGGATGGCCACTGGAGAGGGCTCGTCTACTCTTGCGCCGGGAGCTGGACGCACGAGTACAAGATGGCAACGCTACAGCTGATCGAGGGGGGTGACCCGCTAAATCCAGCGTCGTGGCACAAGGGTAAAGGGCCACTTATCCAGACGCGAGAGTATACCGATCAGGTTGACGGAGGAGGAGACAACGGGGGCCGGGGGATCGGGGGGCCGTTTGGGCCCGGCCACGGTTGCTTCGTACATGTAGAGGACCAGGTGGTAGCAGTCTATCACGCGACAGATACTCCGACAGACGGGTGGCAAAACCGACGAGCAAGGGCGCAGCGACTCGTGTTCACGAACGACGGGCCGTACATGGGGGTACCACCCGGGCTCGCAGCGCAGGCGCTACTGGGGCGTCGTCAGGAAAAAGGAGGTATATTGAGCAAACTGAAGCAGAGACTACTTCGCAAGCTACGGAACGTGGAAGAGGAGGTCGTAACTGGCGAGGAGAGCTTGAGGAAACTACTAGGAGAATGTAAAGCCCCCTGAAAATTGGGACTGCCGGTTGCACGAATCTACGGCGGAGAGAAAGGAAAAGTGGATTGTTCCGCTCGGGGGCGAAGTGGTAGATGCTCCGAGGAGCTTTTGCTATACTAATGATAATACTACAACCGCTCTTTCAACGCGGAGCTGGTACAGGAAGCCACGGGCCACGCTCCTCTCCTAACGTGATCTCGGGAACCTTGCCCCGGTCCCCGTTTGCGCGTAGGGAGGCGGTGCTGGAGTCGAGTTCTTCTCCGCGTGGACGGACGGATAGACGCTCACGCATTCCCTCCGTCTTCTCTCCCTCCCGGCCACTGAGAAGGCCCAACCCGGGGCTCTCGAATCTAAACTAACCCGGCTGGTCCGACTACCGTCTGCCGAGTCCACTCGAGCATATATATATATACCCTGTATATGGCCAAGTAAGTCATAGGTAGACAAGACCAACCCGGAGCCCCAACCACCTCTTCACTCTGCACTGCTGTGTCCTCCTCTCCCTGCTGGCTGCGGAAGCACGCGTGGCGCGGTGCAGTTCTAGTCTCTGCTTCTTCTTTTTCTTTTCTCCTTTTCTTCTCTACGGGGGTGGGGGGGGGGGCAAATTGGCGTGGGTGGTGGCGGAGGGTAGGCGGTCATAGGCGGGAGCGAGAGAGAGGACGGGGGAGGGAGGTTTTGCGGAAAGGGGGTTAGGGGGGCGAAAGGGGAAGGGGAAGGGGAAGGGCGCGGCGGTGGGGGCCATGCGTGGACGCGTCTAGGTGTAGCATCCCTTCCCTTCCCCTCCCGTTCGCCCTTCTTCTTCTCCTGCCCCTCGTCCCCCCGACGCGTCTCTGCGTGCCTGGCGGCACTACCAGCTGGCTTCATCGCCGTTCGTCGCCGTCGCTGTTACTATTCGTATTCGCTTCTACTGAATATATTTTCTTTGGGGAGGATCTTATTGTTCGATGGGTGGGTAGGTAGGTAGGTAGGTAAGGCAAGGTAGGAGAAAAGCGCCGTCGTTTCCCCTTCCCCTTCCCCTCCCCCTCCCCCTTTCTCCCACCCCATTACGCCATGAGCGCAAATGCGCGCGCGCGCAGCGTACGTATTCGTCTTGTTTACATTCATCATTAAGCCCTCAATCCTTGTCCTCATCCGCCGTGCCCGACCCTTTCTTTGTGCACTCACCGGCATTCGTTTCCCTCCTCCCCTCTATCTGCGCCGCTATCCCCCTCCCCAGCCGTCTCCTCTTCCTCGTCGCAATCGATCCAACAAACTTCGCAAGTCAAAAGTCACGAGCGGATGCGCCTGCGATATCCCCCCCCCCCCCTCCCTAGAAAGAAGAAAAAAAAACAAGTTCGAGTCATTTTGCATATATGTATCTCTTGTGTGTTTTATGTGCCCCTTTTACTGAATTATATGTTGAGCTTTGTATTGCGGTAGCGGCAGCGGCAGCGGCAGCGATAGTAATTGCGGCCGCCAAGGAGATGACCTCCATCTCGTTGGTGTCAAATTAGACATTAATAACGGGTTACCATTGGCTTCCGGCGTCGCGGCGGAAGACGGTGGTGGACGCAACAGGGAAAGAAGGGGTAGCCTAGACCGCCATCTCGGGTGCTCGGCCTCGATGCTCCCCATTCAGCCCGCCGTCAGAGTCTAGGACTGAGTGGGCCGGTTCGTCCTCTTCCTCTTCGTCCTCGTAATCATGCTGCTTGTGGTGCTCTCCGGCTGCAACCCAAGAGTCGCGGTCATTCAGTGGCGCATCCTGGCCGGAAAGGTCCAGGCCTTCCGACCGGGCTTTGATGTTATTTCGGCGTCTCTGGGATAGGGTCCGGGCCCGCGTGGACAGCTTCGGGTTCACGGAAGCGTTCGACGAGACCCAGTTGGTGAGTGCATCCTCGCAGTCCTGGATGATGGCCTTGCTGGCTTCGTAGCCGTCGTACGCAGCGCGGGTCTCCCCCGGAGTGACGGGAGTGTCGTCGATCAGCTCCAGGAGGTGCTTTCCGTATCCGGCAATGATGGCGACCTTTTCGCAGTGCTCCTGCAGAGCGTCGAACTGGTATGCGTAGGCCGACTTTAGCTTCTCGCGGGTGATGTTGGAGAGTTGGGCTTCGGCGACAAGGGACTCGGCCTCGGCGCGGACAAGCTCCTGCTCGAGGACGACGATCTTGGGCGAGTTCGGCTCCTTGTACTTGAGCTGGGCAATCTGATCGGCGATCTTTTGCTTGCCTATCCCGATGTGTCAGTCTGTGCAGCGAACTGGGTAGGCTGTAGCGCCTCGGCACTACTTACGGTCTCGACTGGGCTGGACCGATGCTTCGATATTTCGGATGCTCTTCATGGTAACGCGGTATTGGTCGTAGCGATCGACGTACTGGTCCTCGAGCTCACCTATTTCGTAGATGAGCACGCCAAGTTTGTCGGTAACGTCGGAAACGTCCTCATCGCCGGCCTCGCCCCAGAGGGAGAGTTGTTGCTGGAGGGGAGCGTTAGCAGCGTGCAGTACCGGGGTACGGGCGGGCATCGACGTACAGCGACCTCCATGCGCTCCTTAGCGACGAGCTCCAGGCTCCGCATCACGTTCTTTTCCATCTTGACGAGCTGGGTCAGCTTCTTAGCCAGGTCGGGGCCAAAGGCGCCGGCGGCATTGCGACGAAGCGCATGTCCTTGGGTGCTGCGTTAGCAGATTGGTTTTCAGGCACGCCCTCGGGGACATTGACCGAGCAGAGGGATTGCATCTCGAGAACCGCCGAGCAACTTACCGAAGCCGCCTCTCCCGAATAATCTGCCGGACTTGGTGGACGATGGAGGGGGAGGGGGGTTCTGGCGGTAGGGGATGTCAGCCGCGCGTGTCAACAACACCGAATCAAGCAGCTAGAGACTTGCCTGGATCTGCGACGCAGTAGGCGCCCGGGTCTGGCGCATAGAGTATGTTCGATGCATCTTGGGAGAGGCTGCCTAGCAGACGGGTCTCGAGTGCTTCTAGCGATCACGATGGTGGCGCTGCAGGGATGGACAAAGGCCGGAAGGGATTTCGAAAGGAGATAACGTGTGTGCGTGCGTGCGGCTGGACTCGGTCGACTCGCCAGGGCTTGCTGGTATGCTTTCTCTCGGGTGGGCCGGGGGTCGAGGCGAGGGCAGAGAGATGCGATGGCGAAGCTCTGCGTAGGATGGCAGGGAGTAGGAAGCTAGACGGTGTTGTGTTTGTCGTTGCGTTGCGATGCTCCATATACCGAAAAGAGGATGATGGGTGGACGGATGGCGACGATCACATACGTGAGGCACAGACGGAATTGCTTTCCTGTTCTTGTTAGTATATTCTCGGGAACCTGGTAGTGGGCGGACGGGTGAGTAACGGGATGGCGGGAGGGATGGCTGGATGGATGGACGGGGATCAAGGTGATGATGGCCCGATCGATACCTACTACGGACAGCATGCGCAATACCGTACTATATGTATGTATATATGTCCTGGGGAGGTGAGCGAGGGAGGAGGGTAGGTGGGCTTTGGCTGGGGTCGAGAGGTTTGACCAGGGGCCGAGAGAGAGAGAGGGTTGGTTGGTTGGTTACCCTAGCTGGCCTGGCCTCGAGGGAAAGAAAAAAAAAGAAGGGAGAAGGGAAGGACTGGAAATGCTGGGTCCTTCGGGATGCTACGTCATCGATACCGAGTAGAAGTGCTTTCTATCTATCTACCTAGGTACCTACCTGTATATGTAGGTAGGCTACCTAGGTACTCTGTAGGTACCTCTCACGGGTCCGCCCCCCCTTAGGTTCCATAGGCACCCAAGTAGAGGTACCTACCTCTTCTATTGCACGCAAGTACCTAAGGCGCCTAATGTACCTGCCCCGGTACACCCCTGGGCCCTAATCATGTTGTGGATGTCACTACCTTCGGTACGTATTAGTATAGGTGCGTAAGTGCCCTCCATTGCTCGCATTAGCCGGGCAGGTACCTGCTATGTACATAGTAGGTAGCTTAGCAATGCCTGCAGCAGCAGCTGAAGCTCTTTGACCCCCCCCCTCGCCCGCTACGGTGTGGCGCTAGGCCCGAAGCGACGGCTGCGGTCTCAACTTAGCAGGGCAGCTGTCGTCGCTGCAGGCTGCATGCGTAACTACATACATATATGGGTGTGCAGAGATCTCGCCGATCGACAGAACTGTTTGTTTGAGGCATCGGGCGTGTATAGTGTGTACCTCTGCCTGCGCCGACCAAGGTCAAGCTCTCCCGGCATATACCTAGTGTAGCTACCTGCGGTGCCTAGAGCACGGAGACTCTGACCAATGCCGCTGACCTAAGTGTATAATAGGTACCAAAGGTACCTGTACCTAACCTAAGCATAGGTAGGTACCCTCTAGGCAGCCCTAACCTTGTATGGTGGGGCACACCCGACCGCCACAGAAATATGAGCACAGAAATGCCAGAGGTAACTCGCGATACAGGCAGGTAGGTACCTACCTAGGCTCCTAATATAGCGACACCGCCACAGAGGTGCCACTCCTTAATTAATTACCTAATGCCTACGGCCAAAGGCCGTCTCATATCGCGTCGTCTCGTCTCATCTCATCAACCAACGCGTCACTCCCGCTCCAGAGCCTGCAACTCTCCAATCCAAGACAGGTGATGGCTACGAGATACGCCTGGCCACCCTATTGATCCATCTCAGGAGACCCCTTTCCTTTTCCGCAGGTAGGTTCTCGCTCGTCCAACCACTCTTTTCTCATTGGCCTGTTTTCATGTAACCCGCCATCTTGAATTGGGTCTGCATGGTCCTATACCACCTATAGGCCGTCGCCATTGCTGATCGGCCTGCCATAGTTGGACGGGCGATCGGCTTAAGGACAGAGGCTCAGCGGCTACTCTGAAACTCCCCATCCACGCCCTCCTCGCAAGGCCGATCGAGGCCCCAATTCCTACCACGAGACGTGGACTACGGAGCCAGCCGGCTCTCCTTCTCTTTACGCCCGGAAAGCTCCAGTTCCGATTAATCGACGCCGGCGGTAGACGATGACTGAAAACGTCATCTGGCTTGCTAGGTCTTGAGGAGACTCGGGGGATCCTAGCTTGGCGTCAGCACCGTAGGCCTGCCCATTTCGAAGCATAGAAGGTGTATCTCCTTAGAGCAGGCGCCCGGGCTTTTCAAGATGACCAGGGAACCCCTCGACATCGCAGCCGTTATATCCGACTCGGACGGTCCTGATGCCGCCGTCCGTACGCCTCAGAGAGTCAGGCAATCCCAGCCGCATTCCCTACCCGGGTCCCGTACCCGTAAGCCTGCCAGCCCGCCGCCTCCGGCCCGGCGGGCGGTATCGTCTACACTAGATAATTCCACCCCGATCCCGGCTGCCACCCCCACTCGACCTGCTAGGGGGTCTGCATCCAAACCCGGCGGCCACGACGAGACAACAGCATCGCTGTCTGTCAGGTCGACCGGCGGTCCCCGGAATGCGCATGATACCACGCCCTCGTCGGCTCACCACCACCCGCCCGCCAGTCAGAGGACGCCTAAGAATCAGACGCCGAGAAAGGTGGACTGGACCACCGACAAGATCGAAGAGGCTTTACGAAAGTATGCAGTGGATATCGGCACGGACGGGGCTCAGCTTACTGCTCGCCTCATCCATATGGCGTGGAAGAACGAGGCTCCCCAGCAGCGCTTTACTTGCAAGAAAGACTGGTTTGCCAATATGAAGTGTGTCCCGGTAGAAGGGACTCAGAGATCCTCCGACACCATGCGAATCAAGACCAAGGTTTGTCTCAAAGCGAGCTCACAGGCTAGGTTGACCTCAGTCTCGCAACGCCGAAAGGAGAATTCGCTGACAACCAACCTAGCAAGTTGGCCAAGGGAGATCTGGAAAGCAGGAAAAACGGGAACACTATCAGGTCATCTGCATCAAGACCAATACCGACACCGTCCCTCCTTACAGCTTTCACCATGTCGAGATCAAGAAGAATATCCTCTCTCCGAATACTATGCTGACATACGTTCCACACCTGCGAGATCTGGCTGACAACGAAGAGGGCATCTACCGTCGGTGGCTCGAAAATCTGGAGAACATGGACAAAACCTCCGGATTTGCCACGCTGAGTAGGCAGCAGAAAGTCACCAAAACTATTCAGAAAGAGCGCGCCACCACTCTCTTGCTATATCTCGACTCCTGGCTCGACAGTTTGTCCATTGAGAACTGCACCAAAACCACGCTCATCCGCTACATGGCAAATCAGGGCGACAATGTAACACCCCAGCAAAAGTCGAGTATTCTTAACTCGTACAGCGATGAGGCCAGCTCCCCACGGTCGGTTAAGGCTGTACGGATGTTCACGGACGCCTTCGACCGAGTATTTAACTCGCCGAATTTACGGGAACGCGCCGTACCTCTCCGCGATGTCCTCCTACTGGATAAGTCCATCGATGTAATTGCCGACTCGAAGAAGTGGATGAAGGAAACTCCTAGTCAATCAAAAGTCACAGACGAACCGACGACGGTCGAGTCTTTCTTAGAAACCTACGCATTGCTCGGCTGCCTAGTCTGCACGAGCCATTCGTGCGAGCACGGCGAGTACGGAGTGGACAACGAGCGGAAACGATTTTCCGTCGAAGTGATCGGAGGGTTGTCGCCCATGATCCGGCAGCAACTCACAAAGAAAAACGGAAAGGGTGAGGAAAGTCCGACAGCGCGCAGGGCGAGGAAGCCCTGCGGCGAGGACTGCTATCTGAACGGGCGGCCGGGAACGCGTGCCCGTGTATGGAATGAAACCGAGGTAATGCTCCTGAAAGCGTTTTTTTCCACGCTGAGCAGCTCGAGCATCCCGGTGCAATGTGCTACCGCAGTAGCCACCGGCAGACCCTGCTGGGACGTCAGCCGTCAGCTCGATAAGCTCGATCTATCTATCCCTATGGCGTCGCCGCCGTCGCCCGTCCAAGTCAAACCCTTGCCATGGTATGACAGGAAGAAGAAGATGCTCATAGGGGATTGGCAAGAGCATACAAACACTCACGAACACCAGAGGAAAGACTATTTCGACCCATGCAACCACGAAGGGCCTTGCACGTCCAAGAACTGCGGATGCATCCAGAACCACATCATGTGTGAGCGTTTCTGCCGCTGCACGGCGGCCACTTGCGCCAACAAGTTTACCGGCTGCGCTTGCCATTCCCATGGGAAGACGTGTGTCTCGAAGCAGAAGGACAGGCCGTGTATATGTGTGCAGCTGAATCGCGAATGTGATCCGGCATTGTGCGGGAGCTGCGGTGCTTTCGAGAGGGCGAACCCGGCCAACGCAGACAACGACGCTCTCTACGCGACTGGGTGTCAAAACTGCGCGCTTCAACGAGGCAAGTCGAAGTCACTCATTTTGGGAAAATCTAAGATAGCGGGGTACGGGCTCTTCGCAACCGAGGACATCGCCCAGGACGAGTTCGTCATCGAATACGTCGGCGAGCTCATCAGCCAAGACGAGGGTGTCCGCCGCGAGGCTCGGCGCGGAGATGTATTCGATGAGTCGTCCAATTCCTCATACCTCTTCACCCTGCTAGAACAAGAAGGCATCTGGGTTGATGCTGCCATATACGGGAACCTCAGTCGCTATATCAACCACCAGGAGACCAACTGCAACGTTACGCCACGGATCTTGTACGTAAACGGCGAGTATCGGATCAAATTTACCTCCTTGCGGGACATCAAGGCGGGAGAGGAGTTATTCTTCCATTACGGCGAGAACTTCCCCAATTTGACTAAGAAGCTATTGCAAGAAGAGAAGGCCGAGAAGAGGCGCCGCAAGGCGAAAGAGCAGGCCAGCAAAGCGGACCAGAACGGTGGAGAAAGACCGAGGAAGAAACCGGGCCGTAAGCCGGGTAGAAAGCCCGGGCGTAAGCCGGGGCGGAAACCAAAGAAGTCGTTCGCCAAAATCGACTCGGAGCCGGAGGACGATGACAATGTCCTCGAGCCGTCCGAAGAACCATTCCCTGACGTCGACATCACAAGGTCGCGCAAGCGTAAACGTGGCGCCGACGGCGGCGACTCTGGCGAAGGAGAGTACCGCCCCGATGCAACTGACTCCCAAACCGACGTCGTGTTTGATGTCGGCGACGCCGCTTCTCTCGGCCAGAAGGTTTCGCGCTTCAGAAAGCGACTAGGAGCCCCGAAGGCGAGGAAGAGTTTCCCCAGCGCGGCCACCAGACGACGAAAGGTGAACGGAGACGGGGATGAGAACGACCCCGAGCCGACACCAAAACGTCGTCGCAGGAAGGCCCGGAAACTCGAGGAGGACGCTTCGATTGAGGAAATCGATGAAGCGCTGAATTTAGATAACGAGCCTGTTGTCACGCCAAAACGTCGAGGCAGGAAGCCTAAACATCTCAAAGAGAGTAACGTCGAAATCGAAGTAGTCGGACCCTCTAAAGGCGATGCGGCAGTCTCGGGTGACGGGCCGAGCAATGCTGCGTCCGCGAGCGTCCCGGGCATCGCCCAGGATGGCGTGGCCCTCTTCAGACACACGGAGGCCAGGCTTGAGCTCGACTCGGATTCGGCCGCGTGCGAGGACACGCCCTCTCGCGTGCGAACCCGGCGACAGGCCAAGGAGGTCGTAGCGTCCAGCCCGCTCTCGACCCCGGATTCCGGCATCGAGTACCCCGGGGTGGACATGTCCGACTCGGACATACGGCCGCGGTCGAGGAGGTCGCGCGCGAGGCCCGGCAGGGGGGCTACCGCGGACCGCAAGCGCAACGGAAGCGGCTGGAGCGACGCCGGCAGGGTTAGGCGCCGCGGCAGCGGCGGCGCCGGAGACGGAGACGGAGACGAGAGCGACGACGACGATGATGCCCCCGTCGACCGCACGCGGACGCGACGCAGACCCGCTCGGTACGACGACTAAACCGAGCACTCTCTCTCTCCCCCTCCTCCTCCTCATCCTTTTTTCCCCTTTTTTGGCTGCTTCTAATTTCCCCTGCGTGTCGCTTTCTCGCCCAGTTCCGTAGCCTCCCCTCCGACCCTAGGCTATCCGATCCGACCGCGCTCGGCGCCCCCCGACGATGAGCGGCCGGCGCCCTCCGGAATCCTCGCCGCTGCCGCTGCCGCTGCCGCCGCAGATCGGACGAGAGAATCTGCCGCCGCCGCCGCCGCCGCCCCCCCTGAACGTATCTAGAGCGCAACAACACTGGGACGGGAGACCAGCCACCCCCCCCTCCCCCAAAGGAAAAGGGGGAAAGAAGAAAAAAGTAGCTGCATCTGCACATATAAGAATACGTTATGCTGCTTTGCTTGCTTTTGCTGTGTCGTCCGGTCGAGTTCGGTATCCGGCACTCACTCGCTCGAGACCGCTCTCGCTATGTACTACCGCACAGATGGTGTGTATGATAGGGGAAGTAGTAGGAGGAGTTTACATTATTAGTAGTTTTAAGTAGTTAGCCGCCCGGGGGGCCGGGGGGGGGGGGGGGGGGGGGGGGGGGCGGAAATCATAATACCATATATATTGCCGTGCTATTTATTCGTCGAGCTGCGGGACCTCGTGGGGGGGAGCTGTATCTGCGGAAATGTAATTATATATATATACTGGTAGAGAGAAGGGAGCGTTGGCTATTTGATGCATAAATTTTCTATTTTATTTTTGACTTTTTTTCCTTTTTTTAATTATGAAAGCAAGATCCCCCCCTCTGCCCCCGACGTATATCTCCCCATTAACCACGTAGATACCACTTATCGCTCCGACATGGACGAGGCGGAGGAGGAAGAAGAAGAAGAGAAAGAAGTTATGTGAACCTCGGGCGGGTTGGACACGACTAATTCGCAACGATTAACAACCGACCGGAATTCCCTTCCCCTTTCCTGATATGGTACATCAAGCGGCAACTGCGGAACACTCCTCATTCTTTTTCCCCTTGCTCAAGAAAAACGATGTGGAAAAAAAACTAACACGCAAAAAACAATAAACAAGGGTGGATTTGAAGGGCGGACGGATAGACTTTTGACCCCCCTGAAGTGCCGGCGAAAGCCCCCCCCCCCTTCCTTTTTACTCCCCGACGTCCCCTGGCGATCCCATCGGCTGTGACCACTACTGTTGAAGCAGAGCCGTTTCTGGCCTACTTCGTCATCCCCACTCGCTCGCTCGGGCGGCTACGCCCTCACCTCCCCTCCTACACCCGTGGTACCGTCTGCCTCGAGGTAGATTTGACCAAGCCAAGTCGATTTGGCGTTAGGACCTGCCGCTAAACCCAGCCCCACTCTTCTCTCGCGCACCGGACTTGTAGCTTGGCACGGCGGCCATGCCGTTTAAGGCGTGAGAAAGGCCTGTTGGCATAAGGATATCTTCTCTAGCCCCTCCCCGAATCCTCTTGGGACCTTCAATCCGTTTCCATGCGACATGAAATCGCCCATACGGTTGTTCGGTAAGGCTCATCTCCTGCGCGGTCCTTCAAAGACTTAAAAGCTCTGGGGGTGCACGTTGGCGGGCTAGATCGATGGGAAGGGCAAGTCGTCAGAATCGAGGCACATCGGGTTCAAGGGGATCATGTCCACATACCGGGCTGTTCAGCATATTGTTACGTCTGTTCCTGCCTTTCTTAATGTGGCTCTTGAGCGCCGTCGAGTCGAGGGGTTTGAGAAGCTCGAAACTACACAAGAGCTCCGAAGACACGGACATAACTGCCCCCCAGTTGTCAAATTCGCCGCAATACTAGGTGTGTATACACAATTAGTACGGATCCGTGTCACGTCGTGCATACAGTGCACGCAAAGGGTCTTTGTCTTACATTCGGAGCGCTGAAGACGGTGACTAAAACTCTGTCGTTAAAGAACTCGTACCCGTCTTCGACAACCATGTGCGCTCGGCAGACGAGATCAAAATCGTGCGTGGCAAGGAAATCGGTGATGACCTTTTTGCCAAAGCAGTAACTGACCCCCCTCTCGTTGGCCTCCCAGTCGGATTCCATATCGGCGGGGTCGGACCAGAGTAAGTCATTGAGCAGGCCGTAATCGGGGACGTCGGTGGGGCGGGCGATGTTGCGAATATCATCCATGTGGCTGAGCGCCGGAGAGAGCCCTCCATGGACGCAGAAAATCTTGCCGGCCACGATGGCGGCGATAGGCAGCGTGTTAAAGCAGTCGATAAACGTCTTCCAGATCTTGACATTGCACCTTCGCTTGCATTCATCGTAAAACCCGTAGACCCTTGTCACGTTCGCGCATTCGTGGTTACCCCGGAGGAGGAAAAAGTTCTCGGGGTACTTGAGCTTGTAGCAGAGGAGAAGCAGGATCGTCTCCAGCGACTGCTTTCCGCGATCGACGTAGTCGCCGAGGAAGAGGTAATTTGCGGTGGGCGGGAAGCCGCACATCTCGAACATGCGAATCAAGTCGGTGTACTGGCCGTGGACGTCTCCGACGATCTTGACCGGCGCATCCAGCTCCAGCAGCGCAGGCTGAGACAAGAAGCACTCACGGGCCCTCTGGCAGATGGCGACAATCTCGGCATTCTTGAGGCACACACTCTTAGTTACCTTGCCGGCGTACGCGGCATCGAGAAGTCGCTTGATAAAGTCGTCGAGGTCGATCTCCTTGATGTCGCTCATCGCCACTCCGCCGGCGGACGGATCGTCCTTCGAGGATGTTCCCGGGACCGAGATAATGGGGTTGATGGCATTCTCCTTCTTGACCAAGATGGGTGCCCCGGGTTGCTGCTGTATGTGCGGGTTCGGGTTAACAGCTCCGGAAGGCGGCTGGTCCGACACGTGGTCAACTTCGCCGGAAGCCTGAGCGGCAGTGATGTCGCTGTGTCCGGTCCTCATAGAGGTGGATTGGATAGGTGACGGCGGCGGTTGGGAATCGTCGAACGGCGAGCTCGCGGCTTCTCCGGATTGCGGTGACCTGGAGGACGGGGTCGAGGCGGCAGAGTCACCCCGGCTTGCTCTCGACTTGCTGCCCCTCGAGGATCGCACCGACGCCGCGTCCGACTTGTCACCAGAGGCATCCCCGTTCGAAATGATGGTCGAGGCTCGAGGGCTGTCCGATTTCCCACCGGGTATTTTCGATCGAAGGTTCTTGAAGGACCGCGCAGACTCCTTGGTTTCCGACTTGCCAAACGACGGATAGGATTGCAGATTCTCGGCGCGATCGCCGGAAGATGCGCCGCCCGAGCTCTTGGAGCCCCCTCCTTCCTTCGAGTTTTGGTTTCCCATGGCCTCGTGTCAGGTGTTATCGGCTCCCGAGGGGTAAGTACCGTGATCCGATCGTGCGATCCAGTCCCTTTGCAATGCCCAGGAAAACCCAAACACCCGCCACTCTACCGCTTGAGTACCGGAAACGCTTAGTGGTGATACGTATTCTTCGTCTATGTTCAGCAGCCCGTCGCTAGGGAGGATGGAACAGTCGATCGAGGATAGAAAGGAGAAGGGCGGCGGAAGAGGTGGGAGCCGTTTTGCTGTCCGTCTTTGTAGCTGGGGCGTACGGTGAGCGCCAGTGTGTGTATGTATGCAGGGTTGCGGAGGGGGGAATGACGGGAGAGGTGAGAAAAGGCGAAGCGGGCTTCTGTCACAGTCGAACGGAGGTATCGGAGCGGAGAGGTCGTGTTAGGTAGGAGGACTATGGCGGCGAAGCAGCGGCCGAGGCTGGAGACAGGCCTGACACCAGCTGATTAATCTAGCGGCGTCGGAAGAATCAGCAACGGGGCCACGCGTATCAGAAAATGGGGCCGGCAGTTTCCCGGGCAATCTCGCGAGGATAAATGGAAATGGAGGGATTGAGATCACAGCCAGAAAGGGCGGCGGAGGTGGGTTTATGGAAGGAAAGATAAGGCAAGAGATGTGCAAAAGGAGGGAGGGTCGAAGACGGTGATAGGGTCCACCAAGGCTCAGGTCGTCAGACGTCCTTCAACGAATTTTTTTTTTTCTTCCTTCCTCCTCTGGATTTTTCCCAATTGTCCACCTATCCTCTTTTGGGGGGCAGCGAGCAGAGGAGGAAAATGCGGGGAGCAGCTATTCCCTGTGGTCTCTTGGGGATGCGGCGAATGGATGAGTAAGGGAGGAAGATAAGAAATCAGACACATACCTAAAGGAACAAGGTGTCGGATGGAGACCAAGAAAGAGAAGGCCCAGAAGAACGTGCTGGACTCTGGTGGATTCTTTTGCGGTTGTGTCGCCAAGCAGCAAGGCCAGAATGGTCGTCTCACCGTAACCGGGTTACGTTCGGAGAGTGGCTGCTGAGCTAGATCCCCGGTTAGGCAGGGCTATCATATGGCTGATCCGCCCGTCTGCATGCACTGAGCTTGGTCTTTGTCCTCTCCTCGTGCACTTTTGCGAGTGGCCGTATGTGTGTATGTGTGTGTGCCTATGCGCCGCAGCAGCAGCAGCAGCAGCAGCGTTGTTTCAGCCTGTGCCTATAGCTGTCGTGTACAAGGGGACAGGTCGTCGACGGTGGCTCGAGGTTGGTTGTTGGTGGTGACAGGTGTTCAGGTAGAAGGCCTACCCATGCACTACTTGCAGATATAAAAAAGGACGACGCTGTTTGGTTTGCTAGTTCGATCCCGGGAGCTCTCAATGGCTGGGCTGTGCTTGATTGGGTAGGACAGTGAATCCAGCACGTTAGGGTTCCAAGGTCTATGACGGGTTAGAGGGACGTTGAGAAAGATGCATACAGGAAAAGAGAGAGGGCGGGTGAGGAGGGAGTTGGAGAGAGAGAGAGAGGGACGGAGGTCTGGTGTTGGTGGGGAGTTGTTCATGGACGGACAGGGTTGAGAGAAGGGCGCTACAGGCACTCGAGGTACCTAGGACATGCGCCCTAGCTAGGTACCTATGTGTAGAGCTGAGCAAAAGGAGCCTTCCCAGAAGCCAGCGGGGGTGGAGCCTCACAGTGCACTGGATGCAGCCACTAGGAGGGAGTCGGCCTGCCGCATGTACATACCTACGTGACGTCTCCGAGGTACCCAATAGAGGGTGCTGAGGTAGATGCCAATGGGGGAAGGGGGAGAGAGAAGGGGGGGACCATCTTACCTGTACGCCTATAAACCACATGTAGGCATTCGAGAGGCAGTTATTTCCACCTGGGCCCAGCAACTTTCGGCCAACTCGAGAAAGGGGATACGCAGAGGGAAGACAGCCAGGATGGTCCAGCGGTTCTCGCTTGACTGGTCACCGAACATCGGCGTGGGCACGATGCACCACCAGCATAGAGGCGGCACCCAGGCTGGTTGCTATGGGCTGACCCGTAACTTGCGGCCGGTGTGGAGCAGCACGTGTGCGCATTCACAGGGACGATACATCCACCACCTGTACCTAGTACCGACACAGGTACCTCGAATAGGACCAGGGAGGTACGTAATAGCTATGCCAATAGACGGCTGCGCTAGCTCACTATCAAAGCTTTTGGCGGGGCTCCGCGGTTCCGGCTCGATCCAGTCGTCGAGTCAAGGGCGAGGCAAAGTTGCCGGCCGTGGTTTGTCTTACCTAAGGGAGGTCCAAGTCGACTGGAGATATATATATTGTCCGTAAATATATTGTAGATAGAATGGGTAAGAATATATGGATAAGTTCCAGGGCTAAGGGCAAGGGACGAGGAGCTGGGGGGAGAAAGGGAGGGGGCGCCGGAGGAGAGCGAGGAAAGCGTAAGACGGAAGACGAGGAGAGGAGAGAGAGAGAAGGGCCAACGACGGAGAGACGGAGAGGCGGAGAGGCGGCGGGCACTTGGGAATCATCAGCGCAGCAGCGCCTCTCTCTTAAGTACCCCGTAACCATCCGGCTTATCTGCCTCTGATATTGGTCTCGCCAGCCTCAGAGCAACACCCGACAATAAACCAGTCTCGATGCGGTTAGAAGGGAGAGCCGGGAGAGCAAGCAGCGTCATCACCGCTACCTACCGCCGCGACCACGATCACGATATTCACTTCTACGGCTGCTACCGCACGTGCCGCTACTACCTTTACTGCTCTTACTGTTGCCTCAAGATTTGCATATGCCAACCCTAGCGGTCGACTGACCGACTCCCTGCCTGTCGGGTGCCGTAGGTCTGTCGGGCATTTCCTCGTCCTCGTCGCCTCGCCGAGCCGAGCCCGTCTGGTGCCCAAGGCTAGATAAATCGCTCCTCGGGCGGCGGGTGAGTAAGTTACCACGATGGGTATCCGAGCCGATCAATCAGGGTAGCATGCAGGCGGGCGCAATCCGCTGGCTTGCCAATGAGAGAGACGACGACGCGCCGATCGGAAGCCCGATGCCAGCTTGCTGCAAAGATCTCACTCACGTCTAGCTCCCGTTCGCCGCCCCGATTTGTATTGCCTAAACTTAGCATCTCGCCGTGCGATGGCTATACGAGGACCTGGCCAGCTTTGTCGCCCCCCGTCACCCCGCCAATTTTTCTTGCCCTTACCGATTTTTCGTGGGCCGGTAGTTCCATTACCCGGCCCACGCCTCGTCCTGCGGGAGTCAATAAACCGCGATGTCACGATGTCTGGCGGTGGCGATTCTAATCGCCTCGTAGCGTCATGCAGAGGCATTATAGATGATGCGTTTTTTTTTCTTCTCTTTCGACTGCCCCGGTTGCGACCTTTTAGGGAGGCTGCGTACTTGGCAACTGCCGTCCCAACACCGGTGACCGCTTTTATTGGAGTCCGAGAAAGCTTGACACCACCATATCAATACCGATATCGTGGCAATTGCATGCATGCCTACTCTTCCCCAACCTGTTCAACACATAGGAGCAGGTCACGGGCGGTTTCTTCACGATGGGTGAAGGGGAAGACCCAATAGGAACCCGAGACGCTGGCCCGTTTCGTGCGTTGTCAAATCCTCCAGCGCCTATATGGCGGTATAACCCACCAGGATAATAAAAAAAGGAATGTCGTGTGCTCTCTACCTACAGCTCGATTCCCGCCGTATCCCAGAAGTCCCTCAGGTCCTGGGAGTTGCGGGACAGACTCGCGCGCCTCAGTACGCAATGGGCATGCAAGCGGGCGACAAGTTGAAGACAATACTAGAAGTTAGTTGGTGACACCGTTTTCGGCTACGAAGGCAATGGCGTCCTAGTAGGAGCAAAGCTGACCCGTGGATTCCGACGGCATACGCCTACATGTGAGATCAAGGCAGCAGTAGCGGTGCTACCCATGCGACTGAGGTTCAACAACGTCAGAACCCTGTGCTGTGATGCTCTAACACTCGCGGGACAAGCATCTCGTATGTCGGTTTGTTCGCCGTAAGACCGTCGCAGCCTGACACTGGACGGCGATTGGGTCCGGGGTAGGACGACGCAGCATTGCGACGACGGCCGAGCCGGCGGAATATATCTTCTTGATAGCGAAGCTTACCCATTCGGATGATCGGAAGGCAAGGTATGCATTGAGCTGCTAGCGACGTCAGCTCCGGTTGCCGGCCGCGAAGACCAACATCCGATCCCGCGGTGGCATCTCGGGCGAGTCCCGGCCCGTCGGCGCGTTCTCGATCGGGTAGGGACCACGAACCTAGGATGTTGGCCTTGGGATGCTTCTCGAACGCGATAAGGCTTACGAGGTTGATCCGCCGCCTGAAGATTTCTGTCTTGGCAGCCCATCCTCGGCGACGAGAGGGTGGTCGCCCGTCTTATAAAGAATCGGGCGACTCGGAGAATTTCGAACGCATCAACGATGTATACCTGAAAAACGCGGGGGGGTTGAACGGGTTCCGGCCTCGAGAAACCAAAGTCTTTCTACCTAAATGCCACTGGCCGGCAAGCCCCTTTACTGGGTGCTGGAGACTCTGGGGCGTAAGCCACACCCCGCTAGTCTTGGCATGCTATTTTAAGGGCGGCTTAGGCTCTAGCCTACCCTAGTGAGTCCAGGGGAGGTGAGGACCCGCGGCCTGCGTGGGCCCCGCTGACTTCCCCAGCCACATCTAGAGAGCTGACGGAGGGACCCTCGCGCGGGCAGGGCAGTTCGGGGCCACTTGCCCGCACCCGCATACAGATGGTCGGGGTGTGTATATCCACACCAGGCACATACTTTGGGTACTCCTCCTAAGGTCGACATCAACCTAGAGGTACCTCACAGAGTGCTTAAACCCCATCGAGGGTCGACAGATGTCTACGTGCTCTGAAGGGCGAAAGGTAAAACTTCAGATGTATGGGTTCTGTCGGCGTCTTGGCACACTGAATCCTTCTGGGACCCCCTGGATTCCCACCCTCCCGGTTGTCATTCGTGCAATTTGAATAATAACAATAAAAAAAGGAAAAAGAAAGAATCTACGAACGGTTTCGTAAACCTGGGGTATCTGATCGCCCACCCTGCCGAGTTACGAAATAATACGCCGTATGCCTACATGCCCAACGTGCCAGCATACATATGTACGCACATGCAGACATCGGTTACGTATACATATCCTGGCGTACGTATGTATTCGAGGCTGCGACCCCCCCTATGCACAGGGAGGGGAGGGAACGAAGGGGGTCCCGAAGACGCGTCGAATGTCATCGCCTCCTCGAGTTTGGCGGGCTCGGTCGCGCCACAACGCCCCCGCAGGTGAATACGCAAGAAAACCACGCGTCAGCCGAGTTGACATTTTCGAGGGCCGATTGTCATTTGTGCCGTCGTATCTTCTCTCTCTCTTTCTCTGCTCTCTCCTCGCTTCTCCCTCTGCCTCTCTCATTTGTTGTTGCTTCCTCCCCGGGGATTGCTCTCCCTCGTGTGTTCCCGTCTCTGCCGCCTTTCGGGCGCTCTGTTTCGCATCAGCTAGTCGGGATCCTACCGACGGAGAGCAGCGTTAGGGCTTGTTTAAATCGTCGGATGGGTGCATCGTCCTTCGGTGTCACTCGCCTGGGCGCACACACACGCACCAGTATGTGAAACAAATATGGTGCGCCGTCTTGGCATTATTCGCTGCATGTGGTCAGACTGCCGAGCCTGCTGCGTACTCGTGTCGAATCTGGCCGATAGCCTATGTAGGGTACCTCGTCCTCCGCTGGGGTCTGTGCCGTAGTAGCCGTCTAGCCCCCCGCTAGCCACGGGCCACCAGGGGAGACCCTAGCCCGGGATGGCGACGTGCCTCCAAGGCCATTGGCCGGCTAGTATGTTACTGGCGAGCGTCAGCACGATAGTGTATGAGTATGCGTGTAGGTACCTACATACAAGGTAGGATGTTTACGTCGTAGTACCCTTTGGGTTACTACCCTAAGGCACGTAGGTAGCGATGCGTCCCCTTCCATGCGCGTGTACACACGCTGCACTCCGTCGCTAGGGAGGTTAAAATTAGCAGGATAGGGGTTGTCTCGAAGCGTCGCCGAGCAGTGTTAGGAAGGAATACGCAGAAGAGTAATCTGATCTGTCGCTTAGCCCAACCTGGAGAACCTGCCCGTCTGTGTATAGCGTGCGAGCATTGCGTGTTATGAGGTGGGCATATCTACCCAGCAGGTAATGTACGGTACATCGCATCACACAGGATTTCCACCGTCGATAGGCCTGGTAGGCTGTGCCAACTGATCTTCCACGGGACGGGGAAAAAAAAAAGACGTCGGCTGAGTGGGACAGGAACTACGTAATCTGGTAGTGGGGTCAAGTCTCGCTGCAGGCGGCCTTATCATTGGGCAACGTGCGGGGCTGAGCAGGTTGGCCTCCCGACGTGTAGACAAACAGTGGCGTGGGCTGACGTCGACGTTACCCGGTACTGTAGGTCGGTAGGTACCTGGTACTATAGGGACCCGAGGTAGGCACCTACTCGGGTTAGGCAGTTTGGGGTTCAGTGCCACTGCCTTCCTGCCATGCCGTGCTGTGCTGTGCTGGCAGGGCTCGTCCGCACCTGCTCCGTGGGAAATCCCAATCGTGCTAGGAAAGACCGAACAAGGGGGGGAGGGAAGCTGCGCCACGCATTATATATGGGACGTCTGTTGGCAGGTTCAGGGTCGGGTACTAACGTATGGCTGGGCAGACGCGGTGCTTAGCAGGTACCCAGGCCGGCCACGGTGGGTGTGTGCTGTACCTACGCGGTACATGTCCTCCGCGTACCGCAGGCACGGAGATCCATCGTCGACACGCATGGATGGGGTTACGTATACGGTACCTACCGATGTTGATCCAGTCCGTCAAGCCCCGTCTCTGTCCCTGTCCAACCCTGCCCCCTCCCGTCCTACCCAACCCAGCCAACCAGGCCGACCCTCCATTAAATAAATCCGTCTTCTCTCGCCCTCTTTCTGCCCGACCTGACATCCGCATCCCTTCGTTCCCGTACAAACTACATCCCCAGGAGCCCATATCTCCTCCTCTTCATCCTACCCCTTCGCATCTGCGCTCTCCGGGTTCATCGTTGCTTCTGCAGACTCATCGTTGCCGGGTCTAACGCCGACGACAGCAACCCGTCCTCGATACCCTTGTATCTAGACCTAGCTTACCGGATCACGAACGGTCCGACCAAAAACCACCATGGGTGCCGGAAGATATATTTGCGTGGCTCTGCCATTCATATTAACCGTGGCCAGCATCGTATGCATGCTTATCGTTGGCCTTGCCGGCGTCGCCAACCAGAATCTATACCTGTTCCGAATCGACGTAACCGACCTCTCCATCAGCCCCGTTGCCCTTGCCAGCATTATCGGCAACCTCACCGGAGTTGGAGATATCCAGAGCCAAGTCGACAGCCTCAAGAGCACCGTCGACGAGAGCGGAAAGAATCTCTCGGAGAGCCTCAACGACGCTAAGAACAACTTGCTCGTAAACACTCGTTCGCCCAGCCCCGCCCCGCAGGACATCTCCAGCATCATCAACGGGGTGCTCAACTCGGGATCCGACAGCAACGTCACCGCCGCCGAGCTCGGACTGGCAAACACCTACGACTTCACTCTCTGGGGCTTCTGTGCCACCGCGGCCAACGGAACCCAAAACTGCACCCAGGCCAGGTTTGACTGGGCCACGGACGAGCTCAACATCGACTTCCTCCACCGGCTTAACAATGCCTCCGGCCTCAACGTCACGATCCCCCAGGAAGTCGAAGACAGCTTGACCACCTTCAAGACTCTGATCCGCTGGACTGAGGTCGTCTATGTCATCGCTATCGTCGGCCTCGGTATCGAGCTCGTCATCGGCTTGTTCACCGCCTGCTCTCGCGCCGTCTCGTGCCTAACCTGGCTCGTTTCCGGCATTGCCACCCTCGCCGTCATTGCTGCCGCCTCCATGATGACCGCGGTGGCCATCGTCCCCGTCGGCTTGGTTGTCGCCGCCACGTCCCAGTACGGTGGGAGGGCTAACGTCAACGGCTCATTCCTCGCCGTCGCCTGGCTCGCCGTCGCATTCGGCCTCGGCGCCAGCCTGTTCTGGCTCTTCTCCGTCTGCTGCTGCAAGCCCGAGAGCCGTGCCTCCAAGCGGTCTTCGCAAAGCACCGAGGGCGAGAAGTTCCTCCCGGCCGGCACGTACGCGCCGCTCGGCGACGGGAACCACAACTCCAACTACAGCTACGGCGCCCAGCAACGCGGCGGAGCCCGTTCCGATCTGGCGTACGAACCCTACTCTCATGCCCACTAAGTATGGAATGTCTAAGAAGCTAGCGGCGGACGTGGCTAGTCAGTGCCGGACGACGCACTAGAGGGTTGATTGCGGTTATGTAGATTCTGCATTGTGCTGGCGTTTGGACACGGGAATGACGAGAATGAAATGAAAGCTGCGTTTCATAGGCAAAAGAGGTTAGAAGGGGAGGAATTAGGGGGCAGCTGAAAGTGAGGAGGGATACCCGGATCGTTATGACAGTTATTTACCGTTAGACGCGATGGTACAATGTGGGACATTTTATAATTTACCCATTTCGTCGGCGAGTTTTAACGTTAAGATTTCGCCTGTTCGATCAAGATAAATGCTATACTCTGTGCTATGCGAAGCCTTATAACGATAACAGCGCACAATCACGTGGAACCTTTTTTTGGGCGATTTCTGAGGATACGATTCTAATCCAGAAATTTAAAAAAAAAAAACCCCCCCATACTTGCTTATGCCCGGCGCGCTGCTCCTCAAATCTCTAAACATACACATACATCGCCGAATTCGGTGCCAAATTAGTTTGTGAGCACAGGTAGGCATATGGCAACGCTGTCTAGGAGTTAATACTGCCGATGTCTTGCGAGGTGAGCGCTCAGTTGGCTGTTTGTTTTTGTCTGATGCGGTTCGAGTGACGAAACGAACGAAATTTCCCTTCCCCTTGTCGCCCTTCCACCCCCACCCCCCTGGCTGAAGCAACACCTACCTACCCTTATCGTCCAAGCCCGGACTCATATGCTGAACCCGCCTCGCCGCAGCCAGCCGACGCGGGCCGTCTCCGCCGGGAGTCGGTGCTGAACCCCGTCACGGCGCTCGCCTTCTACACGTCGCCGGCCGACGGGCGGCAGTATCTGCTCGCCGGGGAGGACGCCGACGTCGAGGTCTACGACGCCCGGGCGGCGCGCCGCCGCGGCGGCCGGCTCGCCGTCTTCCGCGACCAGGCCGTGCACGGCATCGCGGTCGCCGCGGGGCACGGCGCCTCGCCCGGGGCGGGGGCGGGGGCGGGGGGCGCGCTCCCGGCCGTCCTCGTCTGGGGCGGGCACGCTGTCGCGGTGCTGTCGCGCGACGCCATCGAAGCGGTCGTGGTCGGCGGCGCGCCGGGCCAGGCGCCGGCCGTCGCGGCGGCCCGCGCGCCGGACTGGATCCTCGACGGGCGCATCTCGCCGCTCGGCGACGGCCGCGTGGCCCTGCTCACGGCGCACAACGAGGTGATCGCCGCGCGCGCGGACCGCCGCGGCGGCCTCGTCCTCGGCGGCGCGCGGTCGCCGTCGCGGCCCATCCTGTACGCGGGCACGCTCGCCTGGTCGTCGGCGGACCACGTGCTCGTCGCCGCCGGCACGGTCTTCGGCGAGATCATCGTGTGGAGGTGCGGCCTCGCAGAGGCGGGGCGAGGAGGGGGGGAAACGGGGCAAGGGGGGGGGTGCGAGGTCCTGCACGTGCTCGCCGGCCACGAAGGCTCCATCTTCGGCGTGCGCTTCTCCCCCGAGATCCGGATCCCGACGGGCGAGACCCTGAGGCTGCTGGCTAGCTGCAGCGACGACAGGACCATCCGCGTCTGGGACGTGACGGAGAGACGTGCGGAGTCGGCGCGCCAGCGCGGGGAGAATAGCGGAGCGGGGGGTGTGCGGGGAGGGTACGAAAGCCACATCTCGGACGCGCGAGAGACCGGCTTCGGCCGTAATGTCGAGGCCCCGCCGCGCGACGACGATTCGACGAGGTGTCTGGCCGCGGCTATGGGCCACGCGTCGAGGATCTGGCAGGTCGAGTTCCAACCGAGCCAGCCGTCGTCGTCTCAGACCGCGAACACTATAGATCTCTATTCCTTCGGCGAGGACGCTACCACCCAGAAATGGAGCCTCCTCCTAGACCCGCAGCCGCCGACGGCAACCGAGCTCGGTGTCGAGAAAGCCGTCCCCGGGAGGGCGAGGATCGCCGCTAGACTGACGCACCAGTCGACATTCGCCAATCACAGCGGAAAACATATATGGTCTCACGCCATGGTCGCTGCCGGTAGTGGCGATCCTCTCATTGCTACTGGCGGCGCTGACGGGAAGATCGCCACGATTGGGGGGTCGGGTGGCAGTCGAGATGCGTCTGTTGACAATACCTCGTATAGAGGAGGAGGAGGAGGAAGAGGGGGGGTGGCCGCGTGGCCGCTCGCGGACGTCTTACGATCTTGCCACTCGGGTAATCCACCAGTGAGCTCTCGCGGGAAGCCGGGCGGCACACCCAAAAACGCGAAGGAGGGTTTCAACCGATACACGTTCGTCTCGGAGAGGCGGCTGCTCGCCGCGACGAATTCGGGCCGGGTGTTCGTCGGCACCTTCGACGACGCAGACGACTTGTCGTGGGCGGAGCTGGCGCTCCCGGACGAAATCGGGCAGGTCGTGTTCTCGCACGCGCTGCCCGGGGCGGTAGAGGCCGGATCGGTGGCTCTCATCGGCGCAGCCAACGGCGACATATACGCCTACGCCGAGCCGGGCAGCCGGCCCCTCGAGGTGCTCACAAGGGTCGACGGGAAGGTTGCGGATATCTTCTGCCTCTCGAACGGGGCCTGTCCGCAATTTCTCGTCACCATGCTGCGCAGCGCGCGCGCCGTCATCGTCCAGATCGACGCCGAGGGCTCCGATGCGGAACACGTCCAAGTCGCCCTCGAGGCCGGGTTTATGGTTACCGCCGCGGCTTTCGCTCGCGAGCACCTCGCGCTGGGGTCCCGGAAGGGCGTCCTCGCCGTCTTCCGGCGCGGGGAGGACGGAAACTACGCACGCACGCTCGCCCTCGAGGTGCACCCGGACGAGGCGATCACCTCGATCTTGCCTCTGCGGAGCCGGGCGCGCAACTGCATCTTGACCACGTACCGCGACGGAAAGTACCGGATTCACGAGATCGCCGCGGCGGCGGCAGACGATCGGGACGGCGCCGCGCTGCAGCTGCAGCTGCTCCACGAGACGTCCCCGCCGTTCGCGTCGTCCGTCGAGGGCGCCTGGTTCGCCGGCGCGGCGGGCCCGAGGGACCTCATGCTGTGCGGCTTCCGCAGCAACAGCTTCCTCGTCTGGAACGAGACGCGGCGGCGCGAGGTGGTCGCGGCCGTCGACTGCGGCGGGGCCTCGCGGAGCTACGCCTGGGCGCCGCTGCCGCCAGCGGCGGGAACAGGGGGAGGCGGCAGTGGCGACGGCGGCGGCGACGGCTTCCGCTTCGCGTTCACGAAGGCCGGGCGCGCGCACGTCTTCTCGCGGCGCCCCGCCCCGCGGACGACGCTGCGCGAGGGCGGCCACGGGCGCGAGATCAAGGCGGCGAGCGCGTCGGCCTCGGGGCGGTACGTGGCGACGGCGGCGGAGGACACGGTGATACGGATATGGGAGCGGCGCCGCGGCGGCAGCCGGCGGTTCCGCAGCGTGGCGGCGCTGGAGCGGCACGCGGCCGGCGTGCAGGCGCTGCGGTGGCGCGGCGACGAGTACCTGCTCAGCAGCGGCGGCAACGAGGAGTTCTTCGTGTGGCGGGTGCGGCGGCTCGGGGACGGCGACGGCGACGACCTCGCCGGGCTCGCCGTCGTATGCGAGGCCGTGTTCGCGGACCGCACGGCGGCCGGCGACGCGCGCATCACCGACTTCGACGTCGACGCCGCCAGCGCCACCGCGCCCCCCGCGTTCCGCGTCTCCATGGCCCTGTCCAACTCGACCCTGCAGACGTACGCGTACGCCCGCGCGACCGGCTTCCGCCTCCTCGCCCGCCGCGCCTACACCGGCGCGTGCCTGACGCAGGTCCGCCACCTCGGCGCGTCGCACGTGCTCGCCGCCGCGACCGACGGGCACCTCGCGGTCTGGGCGCTGCCCGCCATCGGCGGCGGCGCCGACGACGAGGACGGCGCCGCCAACCGCCCCGCCCTCGTCGCGCGCCTGCACCAGAGCACCATCAAGGCCCTCGACGTGCGCCGCGTCCCCGCGGCCGCCGCCGCGGCCGCCTCCGAGGCGTACCTCGTCGTCACGGGCGGCGACGACAACGCGCTGGGCTTCGCGCTGGCGACCGTAGCAGCAGCACCGCCGGCGCCTCGCCCCCCCTCGGCTCCCGGCGCGCGGCCGCGCGCGGCCGTGGCGCTGACGAGGCGATGCGTGGTCCGCGCGGCGCACGCGGCGGCGACGACGGGCGTGGCGATCGCCCGGCTGGGGCGCGCGGGCGACGACGCGCTGGTGGTCTCGGCGAGCAGCGACCAGCGCGTGCGGGTCTGGCGGCTGCGGGGCTGGCGGCCGGACGGCGGCGGCGGCGGCGCGCCGAGGGCCCAGCTGCTCGACGAGCGGTACAGCTCCGTCGCCGACGCGGGCGCGCTCGAGGTGTTCGGGGAAGACTCGGGGCGCGACCGTGCCGACGGCCGGCAGGAGAAGGCTGCCGTCGTCGTCGTCGTCGTCGCCGGCGTGGGCATGGAGGTCTGGGAGCTGGACGTGCGGTGAGACGGGAGGCTCTCGAGTAGGAGATACACGCGCGGGATCTGTTTGGGCGAAGAGCCCGGTATCGAGTAGAGGGCCGAGGGTGCCCGCGAGGACGGGGTCTGCGTCCTGCTTTCCTCGCGTCGCGCCCCTGTCTATTATTTACTGCGCTCTTCTGGACGGGCCAGGCCGCGACGTCTGAGATCACCGGGGCTACCTACTACTACACCCGCAACTAACCTCGGGCTCAGGTCTACTTGCTCTACTACGACCCAGCCTCGGGGACGGGACCGGAGCGGGGATACGTATAGCTGCCGAATTTACGTCGGCACAGGAGGGAGAGGTGCTGGTAGGTCGTGAGCTACAACGCATAGCACGCGCGCGCACACTAACGCGATGACAAACGGGCCCGGAGGGCACCATCGTTCTCATTCCCCTCGGCCCCGTACGATGGGGTGTCGGTTCTCTCGACGTAGCTGTGGGGGCGCGATGCCGTGATGCTATGATTGGCATGCGTGGTATCTGCCACCTCGTCTTCTCGTCTCATTCTCCTCCTCGCCTTTTCCCATTCGCCTTCTCTCATTCCTTATTGTTCAACCCCCCCTCCTCCCCTTCAACCTCTCTCCCTGCGGCCCGATCTCTCTCGTCTGGCCCCGGGGTTCCCTCCTTGATCGAATCCGCGCGTCCCCATCACACACCAGCTACCCCCCAGCTTTACCTAGCCCTAGTCAAGAAGCCGCGGTCGACGCCCCCCCTCCTGGTTCAAGCGTCTGTCTATCCATTATGACAGTGAAAATAAACATCTCTGGCTTCTTTGTTCCAGAACGCATAAAATGAAAAAAAAAAAAAAAACAATCACAGCGTGGGACCTCCCGTGGTCCACGTTAGCCTGCCAATTTCCGTGATGTGGTACGTATGCGGGAACGTAAGCGCGTGTCTGGTATGTATGCGTTTTGTGCATCCTTGTATGTGTATGTGCGTATATGAGTGCGTATGTGCGCGTTGAGGAGGCCCATGACTCTCCCATTAGATGGATAGATAGATGCGCCGGTTAGTTCCGCTCCTACTGAGCCACCAACTCCCCCTCTCCCCTCTCCCCATGTCTATGTTGGTCTTTCGAAGATTTATATATAAATAAAAACGTAAAAGAGGACGAGAAGAGACAATTGACCGCTGGCCTCACCGATGTGCAAGAGGAGAATGGAATGCAGAAGACTCTCCTCTCTCTCCTTTCCTCTCCCATCTCCTATTTTTTTGTTCCCTAAGCGAAGTAGCTCGGGGCCACGACTGTATACGTTTCTTCAAAGAGAAATCAAAAGCAACCCCCCCTTACTAGATACCAGGGGCCGGAAACGCCTTGCTGAATCGATGATGTGGAATAAACTTGCGAACCAGTCTATAGGGTGAGGCGATATGCCAACGTATGGCATGATATGATATGATAGGGTATAATATGATAGGATATGATATGGTAGTATAGTATTAGTAGGGTGACGTGTTAAAAGGTGTGTGCGTCCTGCGCAGTTATAGAATCTGGGCTTGAACGTGAGTAAATGCCGAGGAGAGGGACCCTTTACGCCGCTGTCGTGGTCTCGGCGTATGGTGTGTGGATCTCGACGAGCTGCTCGATCCGGGGGATGAGCTCGGGCATGCGGAACGGCTTCGAGATCACGTCGTCCTAAGGTAGTCCCGTCTGTTAGTGTATTGGAAACCAGCAGACGCCCTCCTCCCTCTTCATAGAGTAAATCAACTGCTCCGAAGCTGATGAGAGTGGAGAAAAGAAGGGAGGGCGGAAGGCTCGGGACAAAATACGTACAACTCCGGCGGCTTTGGCGCTCTCGATCTGCTCGGGCCGCGCGTATGCCGTGACAGCGATGATGGGGATGTGGCCGACAATGGTGCCCTCGCGCTCGAGCTCGCGGATGCGGCGAGCACACGTCATGCCGTCCATGACGGGCATCTCGAGGTCCATGAGAATGACGGAGATGTCGTGGCCCAACTTCTCGTTGCCGCTCCAGAAGCGTGACTGCTGTAGCACCTCGAGTGCCTCACCGCCGTGGTTCGCCACCTTGGTATTGTTGCCCACGTTGCGCAGAGACCGTTGTAACACCCGCTGGTTCACGAGGTTGTCCTCGACTATTAGCACATCGAACAGCCGCCGGCCGTCCTCCGAAAACCGCGCCCGCGGCGCCACCACGCTCCTGCCCGCGGGCGAACCGGCCATCTCGCTATCCACCACCTCCGGTTGCTGGCATGTCTCCGTTGTTGCCGTCGCCGTCGAGCCTCCCGGCGCCGTTGGTGGTGGTGGCGGCGGGGGTTTTTCTGAAGGAGGGATACCCGTCTTCCTGCTCTGCACGTAGAAGGAGAACGTGCTGCCGACACCCTTCTGGGAGGTGACGCCGATTTGCCCGCCCTGGAGTTCGGTGAGGATCCTGGATATGAACAAGCCCAGGCCCGACCCGCCGTATTGGACGTGGGTTCTGGGCGTGGCCTGCGAGAAGCGCTGGAACAGGAGCTTCTTCTCGTGCTCATCCAGACCCCTGCCTGTGTCCTGGACGGAGAAGTGGAGGTTGACCTTCTCCCCGGTGCCCCAATCCGCATTGTCGGTGAGGTCGTCCTTGCTTGTGCGGTCCCTCGGGAAATATTCGATGCCGCTATCGGTCTTCTCCGAGATGTCTCTCGAGGCGTCGAGAGTAACAACGATGGTCCGTTCGGCACGCGACTGCGTGAATTTGATGGCGTTGGTCATGAGGTTGATTAGAACCTGGAGGAGCCGCGAAGGGTCGAGCTTGACCCAGTCGAGGCCCAAGTCGAGGTAGCGATCCTTGACCTGGAACTTCATCTCGATGTTGTTCGTGTTCAATTCGCTTTCAAATATCTTCAAGACGCGCTGCACGACCGCTAGCGGCTGCACGTCGATAGGAGTGACGAGTAGTAGCTGGGAATCCAACTTGGATAGGGTGAGGATGTCGTCGACTATCCGCTTCTGGTGGCTCGCGCATAGCGTTATGGTGTTGGCGGCCTCCACGCAACCCTCTATCGCGAGCTTCAGGTTCTCGAACTGTTCAACGCCGTCGATGGAAGGCCTGTACTTGGCGAGGCTTCCGGCAATTTCGTCCGCACATTGAAGGATCGCGCTCAGCGGGTTGCGCATTTCGTGGCTCGTGATGTCGATGAAGTTCTCTTGCTGCCGCTTGAGTTCGACGGCTTCTTCGCGCCGCTGCATCTGGATCTGCTCAGCCAATTTCTGCTGCGATATGTTGGTAACGCACCCGAAGATTCCTTTGATGCTGCCGTTCTCATTCTTCTCCGGATACGCGCTCATCAACACCCACGTATCTATAACGTTATCTCCGTCGTGGCGGGAGCATTTAAACCTGAATTCATGGGTGATGGCAACCTTATCCGTAAGCAGGCAACGCCACACTGCTTCTAAATCGGGCCTGTCCTCCTCTTTGACGCTTTCCATCCAAGTATTTACACTCTGGGACCTGTTGTGCCTTGATATATCCCACCACATGTCGTTGGAATACGTGATGAGGCCGAGATGGTTGGCGATGAACATTCCTACGGGGGCGAACTCGGCCATCCGCGTGAACTTCAATTCGCTTTCTTGGACCTCTTGCGTCCTCTGGTGCAGCTGCTTCGTCAGCTCTTGGCGATCCGCGGCAGCCATCTGAGCCGCCTTCTGACCACGGCGTATCTCCTCCTCGAATAACACAACAGATGCTAACGAGGTTGCGAGTTGACGGGATAGCAGGCTGATGAACAGTTGGTAATCGTCATCGTACGGGCGTCTTGGATTTACGCCCATCACGATGAAGCCGACCACGCTCTCGCTCCCGGTGGTCGGGTGAACCGGGAATATGACGATGGATCTACAGGGATCACCTGAGCCCCTCCAAGCCAACCCATCCATGAGGCCCTCGGGGAGCGTACCGTCTTCAGCGGATAGGACAACCGGCTTTCCGGCGTTGGACATGGATTCCCGCATGTACGGAGCAAATCCGTCATTACTCGTCCTCAAGTCTAAAGACTCAACTAGTAGATTGTGGCCCTGTGGTATGCCGAGAGAGGCCTCGAGCATCAGTAGAGGCGGGTTAACCCAACTGCCCGAATGCATGGACGACACATCGCTCTCGGAATCCTCGGTAACCGAATACACTAGATTGAACGGGACATCTTGCTCGTTATATTCCAACCCCCGGTTGACCTGAACCCAGAAGCTCTTGACGTCACGGGCCAGGGCCGTCTTCTCACCCACCTCATGCAGCGTCAGCATCCTTCTCTCCGCGACCTTTCGCCGGGTATTGTCGAAGGCGGGATTGAATAACCCCGCAACGGATCCGGTGCTGCCGATGAGCGGCACGATGGACCATGAGAAGAACGTCTCTTCGTCAAACCCGTTGCGTCGTAAAATTAGATTGTCGTCATTCTTCATCGTCGCCTGGCCGGATTCCCAAGCGCTATCCAGTATAGGCCCAACCTCCGACCAGATTTCAAGCCAGGCTTCCTTGTAACTCTGGCCCATAAGTTTCGGGTGCTTGGCACCCGCCAAGGCGACGTACGCCTCGTTGTATATAGTGGTGAGCTCCTCACCCCAATACATGGCTGTGGGATTAGGACTGCCCATGACCAAGTTCGCCGCAGCGCGTAGTTCCGGTGGCCAGTCTTCTATCGGTCCGAGCGGCGTTGATGCCCAGTCTCTGCTACGAGCAAAATAAATGTGCTCTGGGAGGTCGGGTGTAAGAGGTAGCCGGGTCCAGTCGAAGGAGGGTTGCGACACAAGCGGCAGGACGACCTCGGGTGTTAAATCGTCACGATGCGGCGACACATTACCTTCAGCACGGTATTCGGTCCCTGCAGACGGGGTCGCTCCAAAGTAATCCCGATCGGGCAGGACAATATCACTCGGCGTCCTAGGCTGAGGGTTTGGCGTCGCGTCACGGCCCCGCGAATCGACACTGGCTTCTCTTTCTAACAAAGGGTCGAGAGAGCTCCGCCCGATCGAGGCGGCGCTTATGTTCGCGCTCACAAACCGGTAACGATCTCTTACCGTCGAGCAGGTCCAAGAGAATCCGCCATAGCAAAAGGAAGGCAAGAAAACATCGAGGCCTTCCGGATTGTTGCCGCCAGCTTTCACCCACGCCTTGAAACTATCGAAATCGTCTCGTGCTTCGTTGTCGTCATCCTGGGACTCGCCGGAGATCAAGGCGCGGATAGATTCGGAAACGTGCAGCGCCGGGTTCGCGTAGATGATAGCGAAGGGCCCCGGCTCGTTGTTGGCCGCGTTCGAGCCGTCGATCACGAAGGTTGGTCTGTCGTCACGCTCTAGCAGTTCAAAAATTCCGAGGCCCTGCACTGCCTGCAACTCCGGGGTGGTGATCATCGCTTCGGGACTTCGCGCCGCGCTCCCGCTCGTTTCAACCGACGACCAACTGCCAGGCGTTGTGACGAGCCTCACTGGGCTCGTGGAGCTCAGGGTACCCCGAGCAAGCTTCAGTGTCGTCACGTCCGCACCATCCCGTACGCTCCTTAGCATAGTCGCCCCTTCAGAGTTGGTAAAGCTAAGGGGCCGGGCGATGAGCGGCCGATGCCTATGTGAGAAGAATAAGGGCGACGTGAGGCCATCGACGCCCCTCGGAGGCGCGGGTCGGCCGTAGGGGCCAATCTCGATCTTACGGGGCGGCGTCATCCGAGTGCGGGCTTTCTTGAGCGTGCGGCTGCCGAGCTGGCGGCCGTCCGGTTCGTCACCCGACAACCTCTTGCCTTGGGCAGACGTCAGGTAGTGAGACTGGGATACGATGGTAGGAATTACACTCGCCCTCGTATTCGTCCCGTTCGGCCGCATCGCTGACTCTGTAGATGACGTCTGCCGCTTAAGGGGGGCGGCAGGCGTCAGACCATAATATTCCAGCATCTTCGAGCACCCTTCTACGACAGGGGTCACCGAACTATTAGTGACATGGACGGGTGGTTGGCGGGATTGCCGCACCTCCTGCGCGAGAGGAAGAGTAGAGACAGCGGGAGAGACTGGTATAGAACGGGTGTCGTCTTGTTGGACGACTTTCGGGTCGGCGCCCGGGGCGGTTGGGGGTTCAGGTTCGTCTTGGTCGTTTTGCCGAGTCATGAATGGATATTCCTTGCGGAGGCGATGCCGGCATCAATGGAGAACTCGTCAGCCGCGAACTGACCCAAATTACCTGCTAACGATGATCGAGAAGGTGGAGCGTCGTCGGCCTGTGGCCATGGATGGCGTAGGATCGGGGATGCAGACTAAGACAAAGGCGGGCGAGGGGAGGATATATGGACGGCGAGAATCGAGTTGGGTTAGAGGTTTCTCATATGTAATCGAGGATCCTCAAGTTTTCGCTAGTTGGAAAAGCTAGATGCTCCAGAACCAGACCCGGATGAGCGTCGGATTAGGGCCTGGTGCGATCAACGACTGTTAGGGCTGACACGAGCCTTACCCGGTCCGCGCTTCCAAGCCCCCGGCGTCAACGGGGTTTCGCCAACTCGCGCGCACGCAACGCACACATACACTCATCCGCGCTCTCGGCAGGACTGACAGATCGTCAGAAGCAAGAAGAGGACGAGGAAGAGGAAGGGAACTAACGCAACGAGTAAGAAAATGAGTGTTATGTAAATTGCCAGATGAGCGGAGAGGAAGAGAGAGTTGGCGAAACCGAATGAGCGGGTGAGCGAGGGAGGGAGCGAGTATGCGTATATGCGTGTCCGTATAAACGTAGGTATGAGGGTGTTGGATGCGTGGTCTAAGGGAGTAAGTATGTGTGCGTGTATGCGTGTGGCAGCACGCGGGAGTAGGTAAAATGATGGCAATGATAACGGCAACAACGACGACAACAATACCCCGAAGAAGAAAAGAAAGATGCTCGAGAAAAGAGACTCTAGTCCGACCCTCTGACGTTTCACCGAGTATAAGCCCTGCTCTCTACTGCCGATGGCAAGATTGCGACAGGACTGATACGCGGACCAGGTATTAGGTTGGCTGGCTGGCAGACGGTCTACGGAACCCGACGGCCATGCGACTACGACATGCACTGATACTGGTATAGATGGATTTTATCGACAAGGGTTAGGCTGAGTGGGATGGGTTCGCGGGAAGATGCCGACGGAGGCGGCTAACCAGGAGAAAACACCGGCGAGGGGATCCCCTGAGAGCTCAAGCACCACAAGACGTGCGAGCCGAGGCTAGCGTGTGTACTGCAGAGTGTGGAGAGGGCTGGCGCGGACGGGCTACGCTCGAAAATAACGGCCTGTAGGAGTATATACTATTGTGTATTCTGTGTATTGTGTGTGTTGCGTGTGTTGCGTGTGTGTATGCGTGTGTGTGCGTGTGCGCGACGAAGAGGGAGAGGAAGAAGAATCGGCCAATACTAAGGCTGTCCGGCTGGATGGGAGGATACGGGGCAGGGCAGGGCAGGGCAGGGCGGGCGGAGGTGGATTCTAGGTAGATGAGGGAGACGAGAATGGCGACGACGATAACGACGACGGCACGATCAGCTGGGCAGCACAATAAAGGCACATAGCATACCTGGTGCCACTACCCAACATCAGACAGGCATCGGCAAGGTGCTGGTGTCAGCGCCAATGTGTATACGGGTGGATGTCGTAGTAGGATATCGGCATGCGCGTAGGTGTGTAGGTTGGTGAGTGGGCGGTGGGATGCGGGTGTGTGATGTTATGCATGTGTGTGGTCGAGGCGAGCATCCAGATGCCAGCAGACGCCGGGTGGGTGACGGGCGGTAGCGGGACGGCGGGTTGGCCTATGGAAGTATTGCCAGTTGTGGTCGTCGTTGCCGTTGTCGTAGCGGCAGCGGGCGAGGAGGAGCAGCAATAAGGAGCAACAATGGCAGGTACCGTGGCGAGATGTGTTGGGGGGGGAAAAAAGGAACAGACGAAGACTGAGATACGATGAAAGCAATATGTAAATGGATATATACTATAGGTAATAGGCGATAAGTGCGTGGAGACGAAGAGACGATCGATTAATACGGCGTAGGGTGCCTATACCTCGGGTGGCGCTATAAAGACCTATCGATGAGTACCTAGGTAGTAATAGGTAGGAGGTAGGTTAGGTAGGCAAGTAGGTACCTAAGGTAGGTATGCAATTGGATTCCTCCAGGCGTATCCTCATAGTACCCTTTAGGAGGATGCATGCATGTACCTCATGTACCTGTAAAGGTACCTACCTAGCCAGGTTAGGTCATGCAGGTGGCTACGTGGTTGCCTTGGGTACCTACCTATGTAGGTACAGGCAGGTAAGTTACCTGAGGTTGGTACATGCTCAACAACTGTGCATACCTACCCAGATAGGTACCTAGCCCATATTCGGTACCTCGCAGGTCGGGTACATATATCCTCGTGGTCCCCTGTCCGAGCATGGGATGGATCTTCAGCGGTACTTTCCCCAACACGTTACCCGAACTGCTGGACTTAGCCCGCGGTTCCACGGCACGGTCTGGAACGAACGTGGGAGGAGTCGACCCCGACCCCGACCCCTGCCCGTGCCAATTTCTGGTACTGTGGACGGCTTTGCTGATCACCCCAATTCAAATAGCCTCGACCATCCCACCAAACATGGCTCGCCGCACTCTCGATGCAGTCGAACGCATATGAGGGCATTGACTCGTGGCAAGAATACCAAAATGCCATTGACATGATTTGTTCCCGCTGTTGTCCCCCTTCTCCGTATGCGGGTCAGGCCTCTCCCCCCGCGCCCCCCGCCCCTCTCCAGGTAGCATTGTTCCGCTTCCACCACGTACATATATACATACGCAAGAAGCGGTTAGGAGGTAGGTAGGTAGCCTGTGTGATGTGCAAATGCGCATGGGTACATGGATGCGTTGTAGGGAGGATCCCGAGACGAGGGCCGCCGGAAGAGAGAGAAATAAAATAAAATAAAACTCGAAAGAAAGAAAAGAAGAAAGAAAAAAAAGACTTGCATGCATTGCATCTATTGCGTGCACTTCGGACGGATCACATGCTTCTATAATTCCACGCAATTATAAGCCTGGCTTCCCTCGTGTTAGGTAGGTAGGTAGGTAATACTATACCAGATTCGTGCCTCACATATCTATATTATATATGCCGGATCCATGCGTGTATTACTCGTATGGGCTCGTATGGCCCGCGTATCAGGTTCTGACCGGTTGGCACCTAATCACCATCAACCTCGCACTCGGTGGAATCCTCCGGGCGTCCAGAATCAGGTTCTTGTAGAATATACGTAGACTGTAGGTATGTTATGTATGCGCCTGTGGGGAAGATAGAGCCGTGCATCCCACCGACTTTTGACCCTGTTGCATCGCGGAGGTGGGCTGGACGACGGACGAGGAAGCGAGCACGGCCAACCATCTCGTCCCCATCTGAGGATGTCGCTACATATACCTATCTTAGATGCGCCCGAGGGACGGAAGGGCAGCTTCGTGTGGTATCGCTACCTAGCTGACCTACTGCGTGCCTCTACAAGGTGCCTCTCAGAGAGCAGGTCTGTAGGCGCCTCCCCGAGTGGGCACCTTGGCCTGCCCTGCCCGCATGCGAGATACGTTCGTCAATATTGTGTGCACGGGCTATCGCGCGGAAAGAGAATGGAACAGACGGGGCGGACCCGTTCGAACCCAAGAGGAGCTCAGCCCTTCACCCCGTTCCCAGCATGCACATTAGGTACGTACATACAGATATAGGAGTCAGTCAGGTAGCATATTATTAATACCTCCTGTCCCCAACCTGACAGACGGTGCCCTGGATGTAGGTAGGTAATATGCAATGTCGAACCTGGCTCCCTGCCCTCGGGTGCTTAAGGTATCGCTGCCCACTCTATGGACAGGCAGCTTCATTTTACACCTGGACCTCCAGACGGGGCTGGACTGCTACCTAATAAGGGTCGACGGGTTTAGAACGTCCCATACCTCTTGTGTAAAGCCATGCCTGCCTCCACGGACTTATACCGAGGTCAGCGTCGAATCAGACTTGTGGAGCATCAGACCTACAACGACGCATTCGTCGGATACAAGCACGGATGTATAAGGCACTGTACGTGCACGTTAGGCACCTTACCTTGGGTTTCTTACCTGTGTATGAGTACCTACATATGGATATCCTGTCCGGATGTGGGTAGGTCATTTTCGTGACGGTCAGTGCGGTGGTGGTGTCCTCTTCCCGTCAACCAGGCCCTTCGCGTCTCTCCTTTTGCAAATATGGATATGGGCATATAGGCCAAAGTCTTGCCCGGGCAGCCATTACGTATAATACATATATTGGCTATTACCTTTCTGGTTAAGGGTTAGGCGGTTGTTATTCTTTATACCCTAGCAGTCTAGACTTTATTACATAGACTTACGGGAAGACCTTGGAGCCAAAGCCAGCAACTATAGGCATTACCATAGCCACCGGTTTACTATACACATGCAACTATAGGGCGTTGTCGTTCAGAACTCGGCTCGGATGGCTCCTCCAGGAGAAAGCTTCTTTTTCTGGCTCAAAGTTGAGTTGAGTGCAACTTAGGAGAAGGTATGTGGGAGTTTGGGGTTGCGGTTGGGGTGTAACTGGGGTGGCTTCTACACATTGCTACTACCCACGCCGATAATCCCGCCGTTAACCCGGAATTGAAGATCTCTATTCTTATTGGTTTCTTCTTTTTTTTTTTCTTTCTACAACGTGAAAACTCGACGATCACACATATCCAGAGGTAGGTATGCATTTTTCCCCGCCCCCGTCTCGTCACGCTATAAAAGACGTATTATGGCCCGAGGACGGACCAACCATAAAAAGTAAAAACCAGGTGCCTATAGGAGGTGATAGAAGTGTCATCGAGCTGCATGTTTTGAGCACATGTGGCATGAGGTAGGCGAGCGCCCCCAGACTGCGTAATCCTCTACCCAGGTCCTACATAACTACCCGCCTAGATACATACACACCCATTTCCGTGCGTACTATTTGCACCTATTCGGTAGTATCCACGTGTTGTAGATGCATATATCATTCCCACCCATGTTTATACGTGCGCGCGGAAGACCTACTCATGTGTACACGTACATGTCAGGTATGCATGCAACGGGGCTGGCGTTCTGGGATTAGGAGGTAGGTAGATAGTGCACTACCTACCTAAGGTTATAGGCACTTGGTAGCGGGGACAGTATTATGTTGTACCTAAACTCCCTTCTAAGCCTCCAGGTAGGTAGATAGCCCGTAGTTGATCTATCCGCGCCCAGAGACGGCTATGCCCGTCCACGCTTTCGTGTAATGGGCGTTGGGTAAGAACATGGTTCACCACATACCTACAGGGTCGCCCGGGTGGTCGCCTATCCACCTTCAATGGTACCTACCTAGGTACCTGTAGCACCCACCTCGGGGGCCTCACAGGTACATGTCCCCAGCTGCCTAAGAGAGCCCAATGTACAAGGTTAGGTACCTACGAATGTATGCACGATTAGGTACGCAACCTGCTCGCATGCGTACCTTTATATGTACCTTTGAATGTACCGTCAGACGGACCTCATACTCCGATACATGTATCCACACATACGTAGGTATAAGGTAGGTGCCCACTTTGAACAGCGTCCGGCTTCTGGGTCGCCTCGACAGCTTCCGATTCCCTAGCATCCTTCCCACCCTTCCCACAAGCCTCCCTCTTCTTCTCTAGCCCCTTTCCCTTCTCTTCTGGAGGTCTAGGGGCGCCCAAGGCTTCTCTCCTCGCCCATTTCTCGCCCGCGTGTGCACGATTCCTACGCATTATCAAGTTTCCCAGACGCGCACATGCCCCCAGAAGCCCCAGGAGCCCCAGACCACCCCGGCACCCCCTCTCCTGGTTCTTCGTGATCGTCTTGCATTAATAGTCCTAGTAGCTGACAGCCCCGTCAAGGCCTAGTTAGGATCATCACGCCCGCTCCCCGCTCTCGAGACGGCACAATGGCTCGATCGATTTGGGAGGAGAGAGAAAAAACTGAAAAGTGAGATCTTACTCCCCCCTAGGCTCTAACATGGAATTGTCTCCTCAGCCAAGGGGATCATCCAACATGGCCTAGTCGCTTGAACGCACCAGCGTTAGGGTGCGCGAGGGCCTCGTCGATCTTGGGGTGGGGTCTAGACCAGTCTTTGCCTCTTCGCGAAGGTCGACAGTCTACGTGTAGAGATTCTTTGCTCCTAGTCGTACTTTACGCGAGTCGTCACAACGCCCTCCTCGTCCTCCTCTTCCTTCACCACAACCAAACCAAAATATTCGTTCCCAAAAATGTCTTCTGCTTTGCCGACCTACCGTGGTTGCCGATCATCGACTGCGCCGGCTTACTCCCCGGAGTCGTCTATGTCTTCTATCCCGAACCCGCCTGGTGTATACATGGTAGGCGAGAGAGAAGCAGGAAGGAGAAAAAGGACGTAAGCGAGAGAGCAGTGCTACCTCGGGCGCCTCGGTACCTCCTTACCCAAGTTACCTATATGTAGGTACCTACTGTGTAGAGTACGTCGACAATGTCGAGATCCCGCGAGGTCGTCTCAGACCTTTGGCAATCAAGTCGTCAATCAGTCCCATACGGCGTCCGCCCTTCTCGGAGATACAAGAACACCAACGCCGGCCCCGTCGCGTGGAGGGAGGCTCTTGTGCTCGAGCGCTCTCAGGTTCCTAGTTCTGGGCACCCGCACCCGGCTCGGGGGGGTTCCCTCTTTTTTTCCTCACGTACGCCTCAAAGGTGCGACCCTCTCAGGCTCGTCATCGTCCGTTGTCACATTGTCACATTTTCACGTCAACCCCTTGAAGGCTGTTGTTACCTGATGGATGTCGAGCGTAGCGTTGCAGTGTCCGTCTGTTCCACACGATACGAAAACGTTGGCTCTGAGCGGGTTGGCCCTAGTCCATTCGCATGCGCACATCACATCGGAGTCTTCACAGTCTCGCGTAACGACACCTGACTAGATGACAACAGTCGCGGCCGGCCAGTGATATTCGCACTTATATCAGTAAGGGTTGAGAACTCATGAAACCATTCTTTTTTTCCTTTATGCATTTCGGGCGGTTCGCCGTTATCGAAATTCATCACCCCTCCCGTTCCGTCGCGCAGTCGGATCCGGTGACCAGAGTTGCGCGTATGTATATTTGCGCGTGTGTGTTTCTGTGTTTGTGTGTGTGTTCATGCGTGCGATGTCTGAAAGGCCCCCAGATTCGGTGAGGAATAACCTGTGTTAGGTATATTATCGGGATGGCGACCATAGGCCCTGGAAGGTGTCATGGCTGATATCTACGTGCTGCTCTCTCCGGATGGGGGCCGTAGAAGAATGGCAGCATAGCCACTGAAACCCCCTCACTCCCACGTTGGCGTCCGGAGGAGACGCACAGGCGGCTCATCATTGGGGTCCCTCCATCGTCAGTCTGGTCGAGGCGCCACAGGGCCAACGGGGGCCGAATGCCCTCTTCGACGAGGGTCTCGCGGCGCCATTGGCTTGGACCGGGTGGTGTGGGTGGCCTCTGGTTGGCTTGGCGCTCTACAGCCAGCGGCCAATCTCCCAGCGGCATTCGATCCTCGCCAAGAGAGGGACTGGGCGAGGTGTGCCCAGAGAGGGAGCAGGCGAAGCGCTCAACTCCCGAACCACCGCTGGGCGCTTAGCGTCTGCTCGACGATTGGCCGCCGACTGGACACACATGCGTCGCCATGCACACCTGTGATGGACCTGCAGCCACCCTTCTGACCCATTGCTTTAAATGGCCGACGGCCGACTGCTCTCTCGCGTCCGTCCCGAGCTCTCTCGTGGGTTTCGACGTTATCTTTCATCCCCCCCCAGGCCTCGGTTTCCGCCCATTCGCCGCCGGCGATTATCGTAATCGTCATCGTCGGTATTCCGATGTAAAGTATTGTTCGCATTTGCTGGATCCCAGCGACGTCCGCGATACCGGCTAGTTGAAGAGGGAAACGTGCGGGTTTTTTTTATTTATTTAACCCGTCCTGCGCTGCCTCCGACGATAGATCTAGACGCTGTTGCTCGCGGCTGCTAAATCTTTAGCCAATCCTTCGAGGCGCGGTTTGTTCCACCATGGCCTACAAAATTCTGCGCCGAAAATGGAGATCGACGAGAGCCATGTACTACACCATGTTGGCCGAGTTAGCTGGAACGGTCGCTGTGCTGGTCCTATTTGGCATTTCTCAGCCCGACTTGTACCGGACGAAGCTATGGCGAGCCGGCCATGAGCTGGGCTTTAACTCGAGCCCGACTGTCATCGTGTTGGCGTACGCCAATTACGAATCCGCGCCGACCCTGCCGTTCGTATGGTCGCAAACGTAGGCGCCGTACTCGATTGACCCAGAAGAAGGGCTGGCTGACCGTAGATGTAGACTGACCGACTTCAACGTCGCCATATCGGTCCTGAGTCTATTCCTCCTCCTCACCAAGCTCATCGCGTTTATTATGCACGTCTGGTTCCCGATCATCGCGCTATTTGTCAACGTCGCCCTCACGGCTCTCTACGCGGCGAGCATAGGCGGACAGGCAGGCCCGGACTATCTCGACCCGGCACATCCAAGCCCGGTGGCCTGGTACATCGCCAAGCCTTGCGAGGTGGCGGCGAACCAAAGCATACAGGGCTCCTGCCGCCTGGCGAAGGGCGCCTTCGCCGCGACATGCTGCATGCTGTCAGTACGCACCGGCGGCTCTTGAACCGTCCCAGCTTTTCTCGAGGAACGCAGCTCGCTGACTTTGTGTGTGGCAGCGCCATCTACCTGCTTAACTTCGGCCTGACGATCTGGGCATTGCTGCCGACGGAGGCCGACAAGAAGGACGGCGACTTCGTCGAGGACGAAGAGAACTCGCCCAACGCCCCCGCGAAGACCGGCTCGTGGGAGATGCAGGGCATCCCGCAAACCCCGAGGACGGGCACCGTGCCGTTCACGCCGCGGACGATGGCCTTCAATACTCTCGAAAGGAAGCTGCCCCTACGAGCATAGCACGCGTGAGGGGCCGCGCACTCCTCGCGGGTGGGGCGACGGAAGGAGGACAGGTTCGGCATAGAAGACGCGAGGATATAACCCGCCCGAGGCTTCGTACGAGCGGCGGGCGTCGACGGGAATCTCTCCCCTCTTCGAACGGAGCTACTGTTACTATTACTACTATAATTACTACACAAGCAGCGTCCCGACGACGCCAGTCACATTGTTGGAGAATGTTCGGGGAGGAAAGGAGAGTTGCCTACGGGCGACCTCCCCACAAGAGAGACACAGCAATTCGGGCGGTACGCACGGTTCGTACACTGGACGGGCCATGTGTGCCCGACTGGCGGGCTAAGGGCGGAAATGGGGAGCGAATCGCTGCTTTGCGAGAGGCAGATACTTGATACCACGTCAGGCGAGGGGAAGACGAGTTTCATGCTCCTCACCTTGCCCTGTCTTTTTCTTTCCTAGAGTTATGTGCCACGCGTGTATACTATACCTACCGGGTCCGCAGAGAGAGAGATACCGAACTGGGGCGGCGGCTCCGTTTCTATCTTATGTATATGACAAATTCTACGGTCATTATCGACGGCCTCGTCACCCGACTGCAGAGGCGAGGATATGCGTATACCTCTTAAGTAGCCTATCCAATAGTCACTCTGCTGCAACCGGCTGGGATGCAACGTGCTTGGTGCAACGTCCCATCCTGTCCCGTCCCGTTACGAGCCTGGCGCCGGCCGTGGCTAACCCCATTGTGGGAAGGGATGCGTGCCGGATACACGTTGTTGCATGGGCGGCGCTTACCGGCGTGCCTCTCACTCTGGACTAACGTGGAATTCCTACGGTAACTGTCTCCTCCTCACACGACGAGAACCCGGCCCTAAGCAGGAACAGCCGCGCGACCCTGCTCGCCTCCAGCGCGTACGTATCGTCTCCCCTTCCACCCCCTATTCCTTTCCCCGACCAGCCCCTTTCTTTCCCCGCGAGTGTTCGCAGCCGCGCCCGCGCCGCCGCGCTCAGCGCAGAAAGTCCAGCACCGCGGCCTCGGAGTCGGGGACGCGGAGCTCGAGGACGCCGCCGGGGCCGACGGGGACGAGCTCGCGGAGCGTCGCGTCGGCGAGGCGGCGGGGGCGCCCGGACTCGTAGCTCCAGCGGTCCCAGGACAGGCCGGCGACGGCGTCGCTGCCGTTGGCGCGCAGGCGGCGGACGGCGGCGGCGCGGGGGGCCGGGGGCGGGAACGCGGACACGCGGAAGCGGTACGTGCGCTGCGGCCGCGGCTCCGGGTTGAGCTCGGGCCCGCCGCCGCCGCCGAGCGTGTAGTTGTAGGCGCGCAGGTTGAGCACGAGCAGGCGGGCGAGGGCGCCGCCGGGCGCGTAGGCGGCGTAGGCGGCGTCGGCGTGCGGGTCGGCGGGGCGGCGGCGGGGCTCGAGGGCGGCGACGCTGACGGCCGCGCGCTCGCCCGCCGCGTCGGAGGCGGCGCCGGCCGGCGCGCCCAGGAACGCGGCCACCGCGACGTGCCCGTAGTACGGCGGGCGCACGGCGCCGGGCTGCCAGGCCGCGTAGCGGTAGCCCACGCCGGTGTGGAAGTAGACGCGGCGGACGCCCGCGGCGGCCGCGGCCAGCGCGAAGTCGACGCCCCACAGCGCCGCGCCGAACGTGTCCGAGAGCCCGCGGCGGCCCTGGTTGTAGAGCGAGTTCGTCTCGCCCAGGATGAGGGGCGGCAGCGGGTGCGAGAGCGCGCCCAGCGAGGCGTACTCGGCCGCGTGCGCGGCGACGCTGAGCTGCGTCCGCGTGTGGTTCATCAGCGTGCCCTGCAGCGTCACGCCCGGCGTGTCGGCGCCCGAGATGTAGCTGCGTGGACGGTTTCAGCGGCGGTTAGATTTCCTTCTTTTTCTCTAATGACAACACCAGGAGGAAAGGGGGGGGTAGACAGAGGATGGACTGGGCGCGTGCGTACTTGTGCGAGGAGAAGTACTTGATATTGCGATCGGCGTCGAGGCCCGCTGCCCAAGCCTGCGGTGCCCTCAGGTGGTTGCGCGTGCCGGCGAAGGAGGGCGCGACGAATGGGAGCTCTCCATCGCGTAATAGGTCGGGGCAATGCTCCGCGAAGACGTCGCGGATCGCGCGAGTGCCGTTAAGCCACTCGGCGACGTAGGCGGGCTCATCGTAAGTGAGGGGGCGGACGGGGCCCTGGGCGCTGGTGGCGAAGAGGTCGGGCTCGTTACCGTATTCTAGGGCGTGCAGCGCGGCGCCGCCGCCGCCGCCGAGTGCGCGGCAGACGAGCGCGGCGGTGCGCAGCAGGGTGTCGCGGCGGCGGGCCGCGGGGGCGTGGTTGCCGCCGAGGTTGAAGCCGTGGGTGAACCGGACGCCGGCGGGCCAGGCGGCGTACGACTCGAAGAAGGACGGGCCGACGGCGAGCGTGGTCGGGTAGTCAGGCGACCGCGCCGGGTCATAGGTCCCGTTAAGGGCGACGGCTAGGTCCGGATCGAAGAGGGCGTAGTCCTGGGTGTTGCCGCCGACGCGGACGCAGGGCAGCGGCGCGCCGCCGGGGCCGGAGACGGCGCCGAGGTTGGCGAGCAGGGCGTAGGAGAACGTGTTCGGGTGCGACTTGTTACCTATTTTGAGGAGGCAGAGGCGTGGTCAGGGAGTGTTTAGTGAGGCCGTCTCGCAGGGCGAGGGGGGCCGCGGGCACTCACCGGCGTAGTCCGGGAACGACGAGAATTCGATCGAGTAGCTCACGAACCCGTCGAAGGGCGTGCTGGCGTTTGCCGCGGCCGCGGTGCTGCTGACGTCGAAGATAACGGGCCGCGCCAGGGCCAGGCTGAGCGGTGCTTGCGCGAGCATCGCCGTAGGACCACGCATGGTGTTGCGCACGTAGGTGTATATCTCGCTGGCCCCCTACGTGGATGGATGCCTGGTTGAGCTTGAAAGCACACGTACTCGTGTTTGAAGCACCTGCCCGGCGTGGTTGGGCGTAGGCAATATCAATATTGGGTGTTTATTTTCACGCGAGGTTGAAGTCTCTCTCCTATGTCACTTATATACTGTGGGCATTATGCAGCGTGTCAGGTGTTTCCGGCCTCCTGAGGAGATGGCGTTGCAATTTTCCATAGACGACTCGCACGGTAGCATATTGCCGGTGAGATGCCGCGACGGGGATCGTGCCCAACGGCTGGTCAATCGACTTCTCTCTGAACGGGGGGATGGGGCCTCTCCCGTCTACCCCCGCCGTCGAGACTGGCGTGATTCGCGGGATAGGCTGCCTTGCTCGGGCGTGTCTGGGTGGACCTGGGGCTGGCCGTCGTGGAGTGCGTCGTGGAGTCGCCGCGGGGAAGTGTTGGGTGACACTCCGGGGGAGTAGGAGTGCATTGCGATGTGCAAGTCCCAGAAAGCAACATCTTTCACTTTACCTAGTGCATATGTAATGCTCGGCAGGTGACAAGTCGGGTCCCTGCTGGCTCCCGTGTGTCGAGATAGGATTCGTCCTGGAACGGGCCTCGAGGCGTTTGTAGGTAGGTCTAATTTCAGAGCGAAGGGCTGAGATTTGTCAGTTAGGTACAGCACTATAATACCTATGAAGTGTAGGTTGTTTTTATAGACTTATAGTGCGTTTTCATATATACCTAGATTGCTAACCTACTTGAGATATTTGGCCGTAATATATTCGATTCATCGGAGATCCGGTCTGGCTCGAGCCGGCTTCGGAGTGGGAGCAAAAGATGGAAATCTCGGCATATAATTTCATCTTTCTAGAATTAGCCACATTCATCACGAAGGAGTAACTATGGGATTTGAGAGAGTAATATGTAAGCGCTTACCTAGAGGTAGGTACCTATTTAATAACAGATTGGTACAGCGAAGAAGGGGAGAGGAAAGGTACCTACCTAGGTAGGTAGGAGGTATATACATACGGAGGTGCGTAATCGCGGAGGTCGAAGGCGGATCGGCGATAAGATACCGCTTGGACATGCTGAATCCGGACAGCTTAACCCCCGCTAGCCGGGGTTGGACCCCGCAGCGCTGCTCCTAGCGCCCACCTGGCGCCCGCCTCCCTACCTCAGGTGCCCAGGACACCGAAGCGCCCCTCTCTAGGCGCCTGTAGGGTCCGTCGACAGTGCTACCAAATGCTCTGTACGGCGCCGCACAGCACTGTGGGCATGCGCTAGGCCTGATGGCCGATGTCGTCAACCTTCGTCCCTCAGCGCTCGACGTCACTTGAACGGAGTACACATCCTTAATAATATGCCCTGGTTCCTTGACTCTCTTTCTCTTCCTCTTCGTCTTCCCTCGAGTTACCACACCAGCATACATACCTACATACAATTCGAGCCTGCACCTCCCTTTTCTCCCATGTAGAAAACCCATCGCCGGTGCTTCCCCAGCCGTTTTTCTCTGCTTGCCCGAGTCTTTCTCTCTTTCTCTCTTCCCCTCTTGCCCTCCGCGATGGGTCCTTTGAGAGGCGCCCAGAGGAGTGTCATATTTCATTCGCGCCTCGCCTTCCGATCCAGCTTCCAGAGAATGACGCTGCCGCTCGTGGCCTCGCGATTGGCCTCGAGCGTGGCCCCTAAAGTGAGTCCCGACTGGTAATTTTCATCGTCTAGCTAGCCATATATCGTTGTCGCTTACCACTCCTATAGCTGAAAGACCCCTCGCTTCTCAAGACCGGCGTCTGCTACGTCGACGGAGAATGGGTCAAGGCCGCGTCAGGCAAGACCTTCAATGTCTATGATCCCGCTACGGGTGCCCTCATCGGCGCGAGCCCGGAGTTCACCGGCAAGGATACCGAAAAGGCCATCTCTGCCGCCGCCGCCGCCTTTCCCAGCTTCCGGACGAAGACGGGCCGTGAGAAGGCCAAGTTACTCCGCAGGTGGTACGACCTGGTGGTGGAGAACGCCGACGATCTCGCCAAGTTGATCACTTGGGAGAATGGGAAACCCTTCGCGGATGCCAAGGGCGAGGTCAACTACGCTGCCAGCTTCTTCGAATGGTTTAGCGAGGAAGCACCGAGACTGTACGGCGATTCGATCCCGGCTACCGTCCCAGGAAACCGAGTCCTGACCATCAAGCAGCCCGTCGGTGTCTGCGGACTGATCACGCCGTGGAACTTTCCGGCTGCCATGGTCACGCGCAAACTCGGCCCTGCTCTGGCTGCCGGCTGCACCGTCGTCGTCAAGACCCCAGGAGAGGCGCCATTCACCGCCCTGGCGTTAGCTGAGCTCGCGCACCGAGCCGGTATCCCCAAGGGCGTCGTCAACTTCGTGACGACGCTCGAGCACACCCCCGAGGTGGGAGAGACGCTGGCGACTCACCCCACCGTACGGAAAGTGTCCTTCACTGGGTCGACGGTTGTAGGCAGGCTCCTTATGAAGCAAGCGTCTCCCACATTGAAGATCTTGTCTATGGAACTGGGAGGAAACGCACCGTTCATCGTCTTCGACGATGCCAACGTCGACGCGGCAGTTGCAGGTGCGGTCGCCTCGAAATTCCGCTCGTCGGGACAGACATGCGTGTGCGCGAACAGGATATACGTCCAAAAGGGCATCTACGATGAATTTGCAGCCAAGTTCGCCGAGCAGGTCAAGAGGTTCAAAGTCGGTCACGGGTTTGACGAGGGTATCACTCACGGACCGCTCATCCACAACCGAGCCATCTCCAAAGTGGAGGCGCACGTCCGAGACGCCGAACAGAAGGGGGCCAAGATCATCCTAGGCGGACAGAAGCTACCGGACTTGGGCGCCAACTTCTTCCAACCTACCGTCATCACCGGCATGACCAAGGATATGGCCATGGCGGGCGAAGAGACGTTCGGGCCCGTGGCCGGGCTGTTCCCTTTCACGACAGAGAAGGAAGTCGTCGACCTAGCAAACTCGGCCGAGGTCGGTCTCGCCGGATATTTCTTCTCGCAGGATCTGGAGCGGATCACCAGGGTGGCCGAGGCTCTGGAGGTGGGCATGGTGGGCGTTAACACGGGCATCATCTCCGACACGGCATCGCCATTTGGCGGCGTGAAACAGTCCGGATTCGGCCGGGAGGGATCTAAATACGGCATCGATGAGTACGTAAACATCAAGACGATAACACTGGGAGGCATGAACAAGCCGTTACAGAGTTGAGATGGGCATTTTGCCGAGGGCAGGCCACCTAGATATGTATAGATAGAAGTGTGTGTACCTATAGGTATGGAGGACAGTTAGGGGGGGAGGTTCTTTGGTGGTATGGGCGGCGAATGCCGGCAGGTTAATGCCAATCCGACGTAATGAATAGAGGCAGAGTGCACAATAAGCTTATCCATCAGAACCCACCAATCTCAACCGTCGAAAACGAACAATGTCGCGTCTGCCTGTTGTGAGGGCTGTGATTCGCTGTAATGGTACGTACCGTGTTGCAGGGTGCATTGGGTGCATTAGGTAATGCGGATGCGGACAGGGTAATTAGTAATATTGTTGTAGCCCACATTGTGCGAGAAGCCCTAATAGAAAAAAAAAACGCTGGTTTTCGGTAGGGAAGTACCTCTGTACTGCGGATGGCCATAGGTATTATCCGGCCGAGGTGGGACAATTGGGGGTGGAGAACGAGGGGCCACATCGCCTCTAAGCGCATATTTCGGGATAGAGCCTTATCGTGAAGAAATTGCGACAGTGTAACCCAGTCAGGATTGGTGCACGGTGGGGCTGGCAGAAAATTCTCTTAATAAAAAAAATTTGAGAGGCCTGAACCGTTGGCGAAATCCCACTTCCATCAACACACCAATCCGCATCGCAACCGACCAGCCCCTCATGATCCGGAACCCTTTTCGCCTGGTCGCCGCCCGTAAGCGGCCAGACCTTGGCCGTGCCGTCGACGGCATCGCCGTCTCCCTGCGGCAATTCTCCATCGCCCAGAGGCTCTGCGCGCCGCCCAACAACGACGACGGCCGCAACAACCAGAACGACAACTATGACAATGACAATGACAATGACAATGATGACAATGGCAACTCTGTCAGCCGTGACCGCTACGAAGAAGACGACGACGGCGGCGGATACGCCCAGCGCCAGTCCACGGCCGTCGAGGACGCCAACGAGGGCCCGGACCAGGACCTCGAGCCCTCTGAGGACCAGCCGAGGCCGCTAGTCCGGAACGTGGACAGCGGTGTACGCGGCCGCGGCAGAGGCGGCTTCGGTGGTAGAGGCGGCAGAGGCGGCTACGGCGGCGACGAAGGTGGCGAGGGCTACGGCGCCGGCGGCGGTGGCGGCTACAACGGTGGCGGCTACAATGGTGGCGGCGGCTATAGAGGCCGAGGAGGCTACGACGGTGGCGGCGGCTATGGTGGCCGAGGAGGCTACGACGGTGGCGGCGGCTATGGCGGCCGTGGAGGCTTCGGTGGTGACCGAGGCGGCTACGGTGGCGACAGAGGCTACGGCGGCAGAGGTGGAGGTGGCTACGGTGGCGGCAGAGGTGGCTACGGTGGCGGTAGAGGCGGCTTCGGCGGCGATAGAGGAGGAGGATTCGGCGGTGACCGAGGCGGTTTCGGCGGTGACCGAGGAGGAGGATTCGGCGGTGACCGAGGAGGAGGATTCGGCGGTGATAGAGGAGGAGGATTCGGCGGCGACCGCGGTGGCTTCGGCGGCGGTCGGGGAGGCTTCGGTGGCAGAGGCGGTTTCGGCGGCGGCAGAGGTAGAGGAGGCTTCGGTGGCGACCGAGGCGGTTTCGGCGGTGGTCGAGGCGGCTTCGGTGGCAGAGGCGGCTTCGGCGGTGATAGAGGAGGTTTTGGCGGCGGCAGAGGCAGAGGCGGCTTCGGTGGTGACCGAGGCGGCTTTGGCGGTGACCGCGGTGGCTTCGGCGGTGACCGAGGCGGCTTTGGCGGTGGCCGAGGAGCGGATTTCGGGCCGCGCAGGCGGGCTGACGACCGGCCACAGCGGCTATCGCGGTTCCAGGCCAGTGAAGGACGATCACAAGGGCAGCGAGGCGGCCGAGGACGTCGCGGCCGAAGAGGCAGAGGCGGCCGTGATGAGCCCGGCGAAGCTGGCGGCCGAGAAGAGGCTGCGGAGATGACGAAATCTCTCGAGGCGAATCCAAAAGTGAAGGAGTGGGTCAAGGCGCAGGAGTGCGGGACGACACAAGCGTTCCAGCCGGCCATCTCGCTGACGACGCTCGAAGGCTGGGGCCCGGCAGTGCCCGCATCACATAGCACGTTCGCGCAGGCCAACACGGCGCTGCGACAAGCGCGGATCCTCGGGGGCGGTCGACCGTTCGACGCCGACGGCGGACCCTCGACGGCCGCCGACTTCCAGAACTTGTACATCAACATGACGGGCGTGTTCGTGCCGCCGGCGAGCGCGAACGCGCAGTACCTCGCCCGCCACGTCGTGCGCAACCGCAAAGACAAGGAGCCCGTCCCCGGCCGCATGCACGTCCCGCCCGAGGTCGGGACCGCCATCCTCGAGGACGCGATGCTCGGCCGCTACGACGGCCCCAAGTTCGCCCAGCCCGGCGACGTCTACGGCACCATCGACAACTACGTCAAGCGAGACGGCACGTGGAACGCCGCCGCCGGCAGGGCCCTCCATTCCAAGGTGCTCAGTCTGCTAGGCGGCGGCGCTGTGGCGGCTGGCCCTCCCCCTCCTCCGCCGGCTTAGGCCAAGCGAGGCGCCCCCCCCGGCTCGACCGGGGAGGGAGGTGATGGATGGATCGAGGAGTCAAATTCCTATCTGTAACGATTTTACTCCACAAGCAATGGGGCAAAGGGGAATGAATACGTGGGATTATCGGGACTAGATCTGTGTATCGCTATGGGGCGACAGGACTTGTAAAAGGGGACATTGATCAAGTCTAGTGTACATTTAATATAAACTACGCACGAGGTTGCGTGACTTCACTCTATCGCTATGCCTTTTGCCAAATCGGTGACTCACGTTTCTTTCTTTCTCCTCCTCCCGTAGGCAGACATAAGCAGGCCGTCTGTCCGGGTGGGTAGTCTATAAACACGTCTCGAAAGCCCCCCCTCTCCCTCCCCTCTCCCTCTCCCCTCTCTCTCTCTCTCTCTCTCTTCCCTTCCGCGGCCCTGTCTTATTTGGTGGAGTGGATATGCTTTATCGTGGAGCTCTCCATGACGTCGACCTTGGCGATCTCGGCGCTGATGAGGCGGTCGAGCTCCTTGTCGAGGGTGACCTTGAGGTCGGGGCCGACGACGGCGGTGCGGCGCCAGGTGGCGTGGAGCTTGTCGCGGCGCTGGCGGACGGCGCGGACGCGGTCGCGCCACTCGTTGCAGAGGAGGCGGACGCGGCGGAGGGTGTCGTCGGGGCTGTCGGGCTCGACGCGCAGCAGCAGCTCGAGCTCGTTGTCGGGCGCGCGCTGCGGCTGCTGGTTGAAGTCGGGGCTGTTCTGGACCGCGCTCATGATCGCCCGCACCGAGCTCGCCTCGTGCGCCAGCACCGAGATCGACCGCCCGCCCGCCCGCGGCACGATCTGCGCCAGCTCGTGCAGCGGGTACGTCCGCCCCGGCTCCTTGCGGTCGGGCGCCACCCGCAGCGCCCCGATCGCGTCCGGGTTGAATCGCCCGCCCGACTGCAGCTTCCGCAGCCCTGCCCGGAACCGCGCCTCCACCGGCAGCAGACGCGACTCCACGTCCGCGAAGTTCAGCGGCTCCTCCGGGTCCGCCGCCGGGTGCTTCGCCCCGTCCTTGCCCTCGCCCTCCTCCTCGCCCTTGTCCTCGTCCTCCTCCGCCTCCTCCGCCCGGCGCGGCAGCGGCTTCTGCCGCCGCCGGCACGCCGCGCTCGTGTGGAACGGGGCCGCGGTTGTGGCTCTGGCGCCGGCGATGCTGCGAGCTGCGCGCGGTATTACGAAGGTCGCCGGCCGGGCGGCTGTCGGCGCTGCGACCACACCGTAGCTCGCTCTGGGCCTAACGCAGGCGGTTGGTTTAGCACGGGCCGTCTCGCATTACTCTCTCTCTCTCTCTCTCCAATTGGATCCATTGGGTCCGTAGGGGGGGGAAAGGGGGGTTACTGACGCTTTGCCCAGCTCGGCGCGAGCCAGCCCTTGCCGTAGGATGGCCCTGGCAGTGACTCTGTGCATGGTGGCTCGAACAAGACGAAGATGGGTAGACGGAAGCAAGACTGGTTGGTATGCTTCAATTTCGCATTCCTGGCGACTAAAATTTTGGCTAGGGTCTGTCAGCCGGCAGAAGCTGGCAGACGGAGGGGAAGATCTTATCTTGGCCTCTTATCAATAAATGCATATCGGTGGGTGGGTCGGTCGCTTATCTTAGGCAGGTGCTCTCGGCACAGCAGGTCCCAGGGCAGGTTCCTACTTTACCTATCTGCCTGACTGGTTGGACCCTTCTCCTCCCCTCCTTTCCCTGCCATCTTTTTTTTCTCGCTTGCATATTGGCCATATTGGCCGTCCTGATTTCGACACAACTCTTGACACGGCTCCTTTGCGGATAGTTGCGCGTCCACCGCACGGAATACCTACAAGCCCAGGCAAGTTAGGTAATGAACCTAAGAGCCTTACTAAGATGCCCCCCCATTACGAGGGAGCAAAGCCTTATATTGCCCGATAGGGTTTAGGTACCTAAATAAAAACAGGTCGGCTGGTGTAGTGGTTATCACATCTGTCTTACATTATGTCTTGATTGCTGTTGCGGCCAGATATTAGCGAAGAGCGAGTTCTATCTGGCCCAGCGTAATAAGCGTGTGTGATCACAGAAGGTCGCAGGTTCGATCCCTGCGCCGACCAACTTTTTTTCTTCTGCCTTCATCTTTGCCTCTATCATCAACCCTTACCGTGTTCTCTCCTGCGCTGTCTTTTTTTCTTTGCTGAGTTGCTAGCCTGCCGCGATTCAGAATGGAAACTCTCCCGCATATAATTAATTGGTCGCTTCTACACAAAGAACACGACAATGCTCCCTCCCCCCTTTCCTTCTTAACAAACACCATATCAACTAGTAAGTCCAGTGCCACATAGAAAAAGAAATGCCTGCAAAGCTTCAAGGGAATATTCATTATTGCCACCGACTAGACGCCCAAGATGGCTCGTGTCGCAGTGGATAGATGATATTATCTCCCATCCACAACTTAATTATGCACAAATACTCTGCAAGGTAAGACGGGGACAGATGTTTCTAAGTAGGCAGCACCACAGCATTGACGACACTCTACAGAAGACCTCTTGACCCTTTCCAAGAACCACAATCTTCAAGTGATTTATCATTATGTCAAGTATGGACCCTACGAGGATGTCTTGGCCCTCTTGTCCCTTTTCCCGCCCTTGCCCTTGCCCTTGCCTTTGCTCAACGTTTTTCGAGCGCCGCTCCCATTCTGTCGCCTGTTCCTACCCGGGGCATCATTGATATACTCTCCATCGCCGTTATCGTCGTCGTGGTCTCCCTCGTCGTCATCGATTGTGACTGTCTCCCTGGCTTTTCGTTTCTGTCGCCCGGTCGCCGGCTCCAGGCTCCCGCCCGCCGGCGCCACCTCTTCCAGGGTCGTGCTACCGATCGCCGCATTTGCGCGAAGCTTGTTGACCGCCTCTTTCATGCGCTTGCTCCCTTGAGCCCTCTGCCTAGGCGCAAATGCCTCCTTCGCGCCGACGCCGACCCCACCCTCGAAGAATCGCGTAATGTTGCTCTGTGTACCTTCGACCTCGCGACGGTTCATGTCCCTTACCACGGGAACGAGAACTTCGTCCGTGCGCTCCTCACTCCACCCGATCGTGTTCATCAGGAATTGCCTGAGGCCGGCTACGTCGGGCACACCCCACTGGAACTGCTCCGGACTCTTGTCCACCTCTGGATGGAGATAGGCGTCGTATACGGCCGGGTTCGGAAAGCTAGGGGACAGAAATAGTTTGGTGCCTTGTGACTTGCGGAATTTCCTTCGGAAGACCGAGGCTTGATCTGCCTCTTTAGGCCGGCCGTGGATCTGGACATCTTGCCACCACTCTCGAAAATTTGCGAGCCCATCCTTGCCAGGGAACTCGGATAGGATTTCGACTGCTGTAACGGGGCCAACTCCTGGCAGGCCGTCCGTGTAGTCGGATCCGAGGAGTTGGGCTAGCGAGACGAGCTGCTCTCGAGAAAGCGAGAGTTCTTTCTCGAGATCGGAGCCGAGATAGCATTCGACGAACTTGTTGCTGTTGAACATGTTCTTGTACACTCGCGTACCGCCAAATAAGAACGTGTCCGAGTCGTCTGTCACTATACCGTCGACGAGACCAAGCCTCACCAACTCGGCACACTGGGCTTCAGCCTCCATGGGCGCGGTTATGTAGGGGATGCCGAAGTAGCGCAATAGAGCTTGGCATTCGGTGATCATGATCTGGGTAACCTCATCTGCATCTCTCCGATCTTTCTTTTGTTGCAATCGCAATGCTTTCAGCTCCCGCTCATAGGCCTCCTGGTTTTCCTTCTCGGATTTGTGGTTCAGCTGACTGGCAAAGCGTGCGTGCTCTTCAGCTTCCTCCGCCATTTGGGCAAGCAGTTCTTCCTCTTCGGGATCGCTAAGATCCTCGTCAAAATCGCCGTCACCAAAAATATCATCATTATCGGCGTTGGCTGCTGTCTCCGATGCACTAGATTGCTGGGTGGCCTCTGGCGGGGCCTCGACGACATTTTCAGACGTCGGCTCCGGGGATGCGTCCGCCTGGTTCAAAACACGTTCACTGGTGGTAGTTTCTGGGGGTTGGAGAACCTCGACTTCTTCGAAATTCGGGTCCGGTGAGGCCGGCCCGGACGGGGATTTTGAATTGCGTGTGGTGTCTCCCATGATTTGCGTGTCAGCAGCCGTCTGCTCCTGTGTTATGCTTGAACTGCGCGTGGCCTCAGTCCGACTGTTGTCACGGATAACTGGTGAACTGATCTTCTTCAGGGTGGTAGTAGGGAATGCTCGTGGAGAATCTCGAGGTTCTTCCGCGTCGATATATCCTTTCGAGGTTTGCGCCGGAGGAGCCTCTAGAATTTCGACGTCGCTTTCATCGTCGGTAGAAGACTCGATCTCGATGATCTCGTCTTCGTATCTTCTCCTTTCCTCCTCTAGAGCAGCCTCCCGGTCATCTTCATTTATTTGGCTTTCTATTACCCTCTGCGCTTTTATGGACTCGCGAATATCTGAGCCATCTGGCACTAGCCACGGAGGCAGCGGACGGGGCTCTTCACGAGGGGCTTCGGGAGGGGCTTCGGGAGGGGCTTCGGTCTCGTCATCCTCATCTCGCACAAATCCGCCGGCGAGCTCATCGTCAGACCCTCGCGCTTCCTCGAACTCCTCCTCAGGAATTTTCGTAGGGGGACGCTTTTCCTTATTTGCGAATATGCTGGATGACCAGTCTAACTTTTGAAAGGGCAATGGCCCATCGAACGGATTCTTCACGTTAGGAACCACGGGCGTGACTCGTTTCTGGGCGGCCTGGTTCTGCTTTTTCTTTGAAAGGACAGCTCGTAGATCAAAGTCGCTGTCGCTACTTGCGTTGCTGTCTCGTCGCCTCGGGGCAGCTTTCGGGACAGCTGCATTGGCTCTATTGTTCACAATGTGGGCAATCATGCTCCCACTAGTAGAAGTGATCGGTTTTGCTTGCTCGGCGGCTTTCTGGGTCCATTCGGGAGGAAGGACGTCTTCAAAGTTTTCTCCCTCTTCCTCTGCCTCTTGATCACCTAGCCCCGACGGAACCACACCAAATTGATTCTCAAGGGACATGGCGATCGCTCGATTTAGCTCTTCCTCTTCATCGGCAAGAAGATTTTCATCCTGGCCTCGAAACTGGAAGACGTCGTCGATACCATCGGCATTACCTCCAACAAATAACGAGTCTTCGTCTTCGTGGAGAGCGGCAAGTTCGTCGCCCTGACCGCTCCATGACACGGCGTCAGAGAGTTGAGACTTTCCCCCCGGCTGCATTTTTGGTAGCCTATTTAAGCCTTCGATAGGAACGTCCTCGAAACCATCGTCGTCTTCCCATCCGTCATCCTCCTCTTTCGTCTGGTACTGGAAGTCTAAAGCGTCCACATCAATGGGTTTGTGTATCTCACCTCTGTCCCTCTCCTTGCTGAAGACGCCGAGCGCCCATCCGCCTTCCGCACCCTCGTTCTTCACCAAAATATATTCGCGGTCCTTCTCGCCGGCAATGCGGCCGCCATTTGCCCCGAGAGTTAGATCCGTGCCCGTCATTCCCACTTCGTGCATGAGTCTCTGGGTCAATTTATTCCTCTCCCTCACCCTTTCGATCTGGAACCGAGAGAAAGCCATCCTGTCGGGAAACATGCCGTCTAGCTGCTCTTTACTCAGGCCCATCCTCAATCGACTCCGTATGCGGGCCGCATTCAGAATATTGTATCTATCGGCAGGCGGGAGACTTTTGAAAAACTCGCCCTCGAAATCGATCTTGCTGAAGTCGTATAAATTTATGTCTTCACCGCGATGAAAATGTCTCGCGTACTCTTCCAGCTCTTCGATACTCATGATGCGAGGATCTTCGGGCCGACCCATGCCTTCGATGCCGCCGTCCAGATCCGGTAAGTGATAGGCGTCCTGCTTGAAGAACTTCCTGTTCCTCTGGCGCTCCTTCTCGCTCATGCCCAGCTCGTCCACATAGACGAGGTTTTCGAGATCGAGCGGCTCTTCGGCGGGCTCGTCGACCTCGGGGCTTCCTCCTTGCTCTCGCTCTACTCTCCGACGGTGCTTCTTACCTTCCTCTTCGACCCTGCGCTGCAGCTGCACGGCCAGCAGCTTACCAGCGGTGCGGGCGGCATCTTCTCTCCTGCCTTCTCGTCTACGCTTTCGATTCGTGATCGTCTGGCGTTTCAGGGCGGGGGCGCCTCCGTCGAAGACAAAGACAGGTCGGACGCCGAACCACAGCAACTTGCAGATGCGGCGGAAGAAGCCGACGACGTGAGAATTCCGCAGGGCATTTCCCTCCTTGTCGCGAACGGCCTTGAGGAATTGGTAGATCCAGATGGATGCATCGACGGCGAGACGCTTGCGATTCAAAGTGGCCAGGTTCGTGGGCCGCGCGCAGGGTTGGACGACGGTCCATAGGCCGTTGACACCCATGTTGGCACGATGTCAACCTCCGAGGTGCGGCCCGTGGGATCTTTCGAGAGAGAGCACGATTACGTGCGGAAACAGTATAAGCGCGTACGCATGGTTAAGGCGTGTTGTCGGCCAGCGAGATCGTACCTAAATAGCTCCCGAACTCGCGAATCCGTAGGACGTACTTAGGTGTAGGTAGGAGGTAGGTAAGTGAGATAGGGAGGGGGGAAGTTGAGAAAACATGCAGAAAGGGGAAAGGGAGTCAAATGACGGCGATGACTCGACGCCTTTACTAGGTATTTACACCCGCACCGCGACTGCCCACCGCTGCACCGCGTTTGATCTAGAACGAGGCAGGGGCGATTAAGTGGCTGCAGGTGCGAGCCGGTGGTTATCGATAAGGGATGAGCAGGTACACCCCTCTCTAATAGGAGGTACCTACCTACCTGTCCCTTGAATAATTATACGCACACAGGCACGTACCTAGAGGTACCTACAGGTACCTCTCAAACGACAAGGAGAAGCAGAATAGGTTTAACGACCCAGCAAGCCTCTCAGCCCGCCTCTCAACCCGTCAATCCCGCCCGAATATCTGCTGCAGCTGTCCGACAACACGTCCGACAGCTCTAGGTGATCTGTCTACTTAACCCAGGCGGAGCCAGAGTATGCAGCGAAAGGCCGTCGCGGAGACATGAAGCATGGAGGGGAACGACGCCGAAAAAGCTGAGGCCAAGGCCTTCATCCGATCGCTCATCAACAAGAACCTGCGCGTCTACACCACCGACGGCCGGCTCTTCGTCGGCACCTTCAAGTGCACAGATACCGTTCGTCCGCCTCATCTGTCCCTATATGAAACCCGCGCATTGCTTGCGTCTTTTTTTTTTCCAGGGGGGAGGGATACTTTTGCGCATTTGCTTACCTACCACTTTTCGCAGCACGGCAACGTGGTGCTCTCGCTCACCTACGAGTACCGCCAACCGTCGGCGCAGAAGCTCGCCGAAGCCGCCGCCGCCAGCACGAGCTTCGGCGGAGGGGGCGAGGGCGGCGCTGTCAAGGCAGACATGACGTCGCGGTACCTAGGACTCGTCGTCGTGCCCAGCGAGCATGTCGTCAAGATGGAGGTCGAGGAGTTCGTGAGCCAGGTTAAGAACCGCTTGCGGACAGGGGAGGGATGTTAGGGTGACGGCAATGATCACGTTTATGCATCGGATACGGTAGCAGGCAACCGGCGGCACGGTTACATATTAGAGGTGGGCGGGCTACCGATGGATGTGTTTTGGCACGCAGACGCTGGCGTATGGGTGACGAGAGAGGGCTCCCCTAGCCGATGCTCGAGGCCGAAATCTGCGGGGGGGTATGGACGGCCGGCAGTGCGCGTCGGGAGCAACTTTTCATTCCGCTTCATGTCAAAGGACTGGGGGGGGGGGAATAGTTGGTTCTCGGAGGGAGATAGGATACTCAACCCCGGCACCGGGGACTTTCGAGCCTCGCTTTACCGCTCATTCCAAATTCGGGACGTTTAGACAACAGCATAGCATGCATTAAACAGAATGAACGGGTGCTCGTTCTCAACTAGAGACAAAACCGCCCCGAATACGCGAATCGCATCCACCCGAAGCGGTTTATTATTTGCGTATGGTTGCCAACTCCCGACATTGATTGACGAGAAGCGGAAAAGGAATACCTACATATAGGACGGTAGCCTGACCGGCAGATAGTTGCTTAGGTAGGGTGTATGGTGTCGTGAGAGACCGCAATTTCGCCCCTCTCTCCTCCGCAAGTGGGAAAAACAGCAGCTGGTCGGGCTCTACCCCAATGTGGACAGGAGAGTCGTTGTCGAGCTAAGTATGACTTGCTTACCCCGGGGGACGAGAGGGTGAGGGGAAGATGTGGGGGATGCCTCTAAGCACGTATACTCGGATACGTTGGGCGGTAGGTAGGTGACCACAGGGGTTAGGTAGCTATTGCGTAAGGAGAGGGCTAAAGTACGGAGAAGCCCATCTCGAAATTGGAGCTCCTTGGCAAGATCCTCCCGTACCCCAGGTAGGTAGGTATGTATTCCCGATCACGGATATTCCCCGCGCCGCGCCAATGAGGTCATAGACGTTGAGCGCTGCCGCCCAGGTCCCTCGACGTAGGTGCTCATCTCCATAGCCTCGAGGCGTGCTCAACCGAGGGACATCGTGTATCTATTATGGAGGTACAAGCCGATTCTGCCGGAGTGCGCGGACCGTTACTCACCGTCAAAGTTGCAGAGTTATCCGATATCCAGGGCCCAATTGCATGGTTCCAGCCTGGGATCACGATTCAGGGGGTCATGCTTCGGGGGCCACGCTGGAAAGGAAGTGCGCGTGCCTGTCGAGCACCACGCTAGACAGAACCTCGACGGTGATAGATAAGCAAGATGCGGGGGTGCCATAAGATTCTCCCAACTCCTCAACCACGACGGGGTTGGGCCTCGTACATAGGTCGCCAAGGCTGCGCAGGATCTAGAGACCACTGTGCTACCGGCTACGGGTCGACATTGCAGTGTAAGGATTCACGGTGGGAACTACTGCACGTAGTAGCACTCAAATACATCACGGCGTCTAGAAAATAGTCCTAACAGTTGGCCGATCCAAATAACCACGCCTTTCCCGGTTGGACGATCCCCAAGGCGCGGTCTAGGGGCTCGGCGAATGAGGCCGCCAAGAACGGAGCCGGTAGAGGGTAGACTACCACCTAACGTACTCAGTAGACCACCTTCCAGCATGCTTCCCTGCCATTCTCGCTTTTGCCGGCCTATACGGGAATGAGGGGCATGAAGTCAGAGTAGTCGGTGGGACGCAGGCAGACGCCTGAGATCATTAAAACGCCACACCCTGCCTCTGCGAAAACCCGGCGAGGAAAGGCTTTGCACGATAGGTAGGACAAACCACACACGTTCGGGGGGGTGCCAAAGCGACTTGCTCTCTTCACTACCTTTGTCGGGTGCTCGAGGTTAAATAGCGCTCACGTCTCCCAGCCTTTCGAACCTGTCAGAAACATCCACTACCCACGAGGCCTGTGCGACAATGTCATCGTATACGATACCGCTGTTTATCAACGGCGACGAGAGGCTCGCTAAAGATGCCTTCGACGTCACATCGCCCGACACCGGCAAGGTTGTCTGCAGATGTAGCATAGCGACAGAGGCGGATAGCGAGGCAGCCGTCGAGGCAGCCGCAGTCGCCAGTTCCCAGTGGCGCAATTCGCTTCACGCTAAGCGTCGGGACATCTTTCTCAAGGCTGCCGAGGTCATGAGCAGCAGGCGACAGGAGATGGGTCAGTACCTGGTAGACGAATTGGGCGCGCAACGTGGCTGGGCCGACTTCAACATCGACCTCGCCATCGACATGTTCAAAGATGTAGCAGGGAGGGTAGTAACACTGGATGGTACACTCCCAGTGAGCTCCGACCCAAGCCTCACGGCCATGGTTGTGAAAGAACCTTATGGCGTCGTCTTAGCAGTGGCGCCCTGGTAAATATCCCCCGGAACCTGAACAGGCCGAAGTTGAAGCTCATTGTCTTTCTCCCAAGGAACGCGCCGTACATTTTGGGAACTCGCGCGGTTCTCTTGCCCATCGCAGCCGGCTGCACGGTCGTGTTTAAGGGCTCTGAGCTGTCTCCTCGATCCCATCAAGCGATCGTGTCTGTGTTAACCGAAGCTGGTCTCCCCAGCGGGGTATTGAATTACATAGTAACTACCCCGGCCAACGCACCTTCGATGACGGAATCTCTCATCGCAAATCCGAATGTCAAGAAGATCAACTTCACCGGGAGCACTGCTGTAGGCAGGATCATCGGCAAACTGGCCGGCCAAAACCTGAAGCCCGTCGTGCTGGAGCTCGGTGGCAAAGCGCCGGCTATCGTATGGGAGGACGCGAACTTGGATCTCGCCGCTCAGCAATGCGTTCTAGGAGCATTCATCTTTGGCGGACAGGTCTGTATGAGCACGGAGAGGATCGTCGTGCATAAGAAGGTCAGCGAGGCATTCCAGAAGAAGCTGGCCGAAGCGGTCGAACAGATATTCCCCTCGAAAGGCGACGCGCTCGTTCTCATCAACGCCCAAAGCGTCGACAAATCTAAGAGGCTCATCAAGGACGCGATTAGCAAAGGCGCAACGTTGCTCAACGGGAACGTGGATGCCGTAGAGAGCTCGAAGACGAGGATGCGGCCACTAGTGGTGACCAAGGTAACGCCCGAAATGGATCTGTACAAGCAAGAAAGCTTTGGCCCGTCGGTGAGCGTCATCGAGGTAGAGACGGAAGAAGAGGCGCTGCGAATAGCCAACGACACCGAATACGGCCTCAGCTCTGCCGTCTTCACCGAGGATCTGAGAATCGGCCTGCGTTTCGCCAGAGCTATCGAGACCGGCGCGGTACACATCAACCACATGACCGTCCACGACGAAATGACACACCCGCACGGAGGGGCTAAAGCGAGCGGATATGGTCGGTTCAATACTCAGTCCGGGTTGGAGGAATGGGTCAGGACCAAGAATATCACCTGGAAGAGTTGACCGCCTCGCGCGCGTCGAGGCGCTGCTGTCTCAAGGCCGAAAGACGTGATAGTAGAGATAGGGATAACTCCATCGTTGCGGAAGACACGCTGATAAGCGCATTGTCTGTCCCCTTACTACCCCCTTGAGTGATGCGTCCATATCTAACGCCCGGTCCCCTATTTGCTGGCTTTGGTGTCATCCTGAGAAGACACCGCTAGAGTTGTGGGAGGATAGACAACAGGTACGTAGTACATAGGTACATGCTGGCTGTCCCTTGCATACCGCACGTATAAGTTGCCTTAGGCAGGCACACTGCTACCGTAAAACACATAGGTACATCTGTTTTGTAGGATGTACTTGACAAGAATTTAGCTAAACAGGTACCTCAGGTACCCTGTCCTTACACCGCAGGTAGGAACCTCAGGTGAGAGGTACATAAGAGATACCATCTCCAACCACGAAGAGATCAATCCATAGAAGGAGGTACCCGAGAAGATGATGGGGATACCTACCCAAATACTTTAGTTTAGGCACCTAATCACCTCAGGTTAGAGGTACCCAGCGCGCCCTACCTCAGGTACCTACTCATGTACCTGTCTCACCTGAGGACAAGGCACTGCGTGGGGTGGCTGCCTAGGTCTCTAAGGTCGCACAGAATTTGCGCATGTGCCCCAACCCTCGACGCAACCATAACGTCATCATCTCGACTACCTCCTTCCCCGTGACTGCATCACATTTCCTTGCCTCTCCTCCTCATCTCTTATCTCATCCTTTCTCTCTCCAGACCCGAACCGGCAAACAATGGGGGCCAAGGCGTCGAAGCCCGCCCAGTCGGCTATCCGGAAGTTCCCCTCGAGACCGACAGCCAATGCTCCTCCTCACGCTCGACCACGGCCGCCATCAGGACGCGCCGAGCCGCGAGCCTCGTCTGTGAAGGATGACGGTGGGTGGCACACAGGCGCCAGACGTCCGCTCTCTCCGGCTAACTCTCTCTAAATCCCTCGATTAGCAATTCGAGCTGATGGCATAGACCCGGACCCCAACCCTCTGACCAATCCAGCTTTCTCCCAGCGGTTGAAGCAGATGGGCGTCGCGACGCCGAACCCGACCCTATCAAATTCTTCCACCGTGTCATCTTCCCCCAGCCGCCCAGACTACGAGTCGACAGGCCCTAGCTTTCCTTCGCCGTCGCAAAACCCGACATTAAGCGCGTTAGAGGTGCGGCGGCAGTTGCAGGAACGCGCAGAGCTTGAATTTGAAAATCTCCGCCACGGAAGGGAGTTCCTAGACGCCGGGACCCTGAGGGAAATACTTATAATGCAAACACAAGGCGCCCCGGCGGTAGATATAGAGAAGAGGCTGAGGCTCAAGAGCGGTGTTGTGAATAGATTAGGGCCGCGTGGGGTGACAATACCCCTGTCAAGCGGATAGCAATGCTTCGCAACGAGGAAGACGCGAAGATATTCGAAAATTATATGGTTCAGTAATCGTTTTTTTGGGCCTCTCCTGAGCACATGATCACGGATCAGAGGTATACCAAACGCCGCCTATCGTAACGCTTCATACACCTGCTAAACGCTTATGCAGGCACAGCCAGCCATCGATGTTCGCGAGATGGGTGGGTATGATTAGCGATGCCACGCTCCCCAAACATCAACCCAACATGCCAATATGCAGCCTAGAAATATACCCCGCCGAACTCTCTCCTACGCCCGTCCCCGTATACGTCTACCAAGCTGCGTGACCGCCGTCGATCCGCAGGTCCGCCCCCGTCATGAAGCGACTGGCGTCGCTGAGCAGGAACACGGCCGCGCCGCGGTAATCCTCCGGCTTGCTGAGCGTATTGAGCATATTTTGCCTGGGCCACTCGACCGCGCGCTCGGGGTACTCCTCGAACAGCTTCTCGACCATTTTCGTGACAATGTAGCCCGGCGAGAGGGTATTGACCCGGATCTTGTTTGGACCCCACTCCATAGCCAAATTGCGCCCTAGTTGGATTACGGCAGCCTTGGAGGCATTATATACTCTAGAGGCTGGGTTAGCTCGTGCTGTTGAACAATCGGCCAGAAAGACAGACGGGATCCGTTACTTACGGGCAAATCAGTCCGCGATTTGCGATAGTTCCACTCATGCTGGCAACCAGGACGATGCTTCCGGGGCGGCCGCTCTCGTACATCCGTTTCGCTACCGCTTGCGCCGTCATGAGGACACCGGTGACATTAACGCCCAGCAAGCGGTTTGCGTCATCGGCCGTGTAATCCAGAGCTGAGGTTTCCTGTTGGATGCCGGCTGCTGCGATCAATCCGTCGATGTGTCCCTCCCTGGCGACGATCTCCTCGGTAATCAGCTGAAGCTTGGGAGCTCCAGCGAGTACATCTACCTGATGGTAGGTCAACGGGCTGCCTAGCTCCTCGGATGCCCGTTGTGCCACCCTGGCGTACGCCGTATCGGGACCTGGTTCGGCCTGTCTGTCGAAAATGTGTACTTAAGACGCCGGAATTGTCAGCATTCTCCAGCCGTAGAAGAGTATGTGGACTTCATCGCACATACCTCTTGCCCCCGCCTCCAGTATAGCTTCGGCCTGTACGAGACCGAGTCCTTGGGCCCCACCTGAAATAACGACGACCTTGTCCTTCAAGGAAAACTCGGGCAGCAGCCCAGGGCGCGCCTTGAGAGCCGAACCGTTCGTACTGCGTGGGGTAGTACTATTGTAGGCAGCTGCCGTCGTTGGTGTGCTAACGGAAGCAGACATTGGCACCGCATGCCGTGTGGTGCTACGGGCAAATCCGTTTAACGCGGTAGAGCGTTTTCGAAGCGCTCCTTGCATAAGTGACCTCATCGTGAATTTTCCCCGGTGTCTGAAGGACGCCGAGGATTTAATATAATCGCTAAAGACGCAATTTGTTGTCTGGGGAATCCTGCCGGGTGTCTTGTGAGTAATGATACCGGTGCCAACCTAATGATTTCTTACCTCAAAGCTGTTCAAGTCGATGTGCTCCCATTAAAAACGACACGGTTCGCGGTCAAAGTTGAGAATCCGAGTAATACAGAGTTGTAATTGGATGTGTACAATCGAGGGGTCGAGATGAGGACGTTCCACGATGCTGGATGATGACAGAGAGAGAGGGAGAGAGAGAGGGAGAGAGGCCGAGAGAGGCCGAGAGAAAATAGGATCTGGTTGACGGAGAGAGGGCCCTTCCGGGGTACCACGATACTTATAGCGACGCCTGGACGCCGCTCTGCTTACGACTATCGTGACCCGATACTTCCATTTTTTTGCCAAGCGGAACTCTCATACCGCAAACATGGCCCCCCTCCCCCTCTAACCTCCGCTCTCAAAAAGGTTGAGCTACAGACATAGTGCCTTGACTCATACCGAGCCAAAGCGAAGCGCGGCCAACTAACAGCGGGGGGGAAGGGAGAGGGCCAAGCGTTGCCCAGTCTAGAACGAGAAGCTTGCCGCTCCTCGACTCGCCCTGTGTGTGCGGTACATGCGGCGCAAGGAGGTACTTTTGGTCTGAACTCGGGCGACTTGGGGGTGAGAGCGGAGGGGACGGAGGAGGGGTTTAGACGATGGTGAGGATTTGAAAAGCCGGTACGTGATCCAAGACCTAGGTACGGTTATTCCATTGAATCGAATTTCGGTTCGCGATGACAACAGCCGAGGCAGTAGACAAGTAGATACCAAGGAAGGGTTTCGAGCCTGACCCCTTTGGGGCATTACGAGCCTAGGAATACACACGTGGACGCCTTGCAAACAAAGAGCACCGTCGGCGAAATCGCCATCTGAGGCCTTCGAGCACCCAAGCCCCAGCGAGCGAAGGCCTCTGAACCTTCGGCTTTCCCGTTCTGGCAAGCCAGAGCGAGTTAACAAGTGGAGTTTTGAGCTATTGCATAGACGCGCTAGCGACGTCAGCCATTCGTCTACTCCTGTGTATTTCGAGCTGGCCCTATCTCGCCGTAGCTTCTGGGGGGGGTTTTTTTTGGTCACGTCCGAGAGCCTAGTTAGGAGGCTAAACGGGGTGGAAGGACGGGCTGGGCCTCTGGCTCCGGCAACCGGATGATGGTGTTGTGGGTAGAGAGTAATATCAACCCGCGCCACATGATCACTTTTATTGCCCGGGTCCTTGGCCATGCATCGCTGTCTCATAGAAGTGTAGGTATACATAGGAGCTGCGAGTCTCCTCTTTTCCCCGCGAACCCACTCCGGGGTCGAGGTGCGCGGGAACTTGGCCTGCAGGGCTTGAAGGATTCCGGGTTCCCCTGTGGTTGGCGGCTGGCCGTACCTAAGGATCTAGCACGAGCTTGAAGTCGCTCGCAGACACTACGGGGGCTTCTGCGAATGATTTCGCGGCAGCGCTGAAGGCGAGTGGCACTATAACTGGGGGGGACCTTGGAGGGCGGTGGTTCAGCTGTAGGGCCAACAAGTTTTGACTCTGGGCCGTCGACAAAGAATGCGGGATCCGTGTCTCTGCCGCGGGTTCATCCTCGGCCTCTAGAATGGACGAATTCGAGTCTGACAGGCTTACCTACCTTACGCGGTCGCATGCGGCTTACAACACCGTGGCGCTCCCCCCGTTCACGATTCGCCGGCTTCGAGGCGAGCAGCAGAGATTCGACAGCCCACTCGATAGAACAATCCAGCCACTACAGAATCCGTCGGATCGTGCCAGGGTCCTCGCCAATGGCGGGGCCCCTGCCTTGATGTACCTACGTACCTACGTTGGGCAGAGGCATCGTCAGTGCCAACGTCGGCGTGGGGGTTGTTCCTAATGCCAATGTCCCTCTAGAACAAGCCCTTCCCCGGGGGTCCACGCGGAAAGGGATTACGCAGCGGGATGTTGGTGGAGAGAGTCTTGGACTCAAGGCACCCCCTGCTATATCTCTCAGCTTCGAATGCCTGCAGCATCGGAGACCGTGGCAACCACCGCGGACGATGGAGGGCAAAGAGCGGCACGCCCAAGAAGAAGCTTTCGCGATCGGGTCTCGACTATACGGGTCGGTTGTCGCCTTTGCTTACAAAGGCAGATATGGGCATCTGCTTACGCTTACCGTATGGGTGCCCCCTAATGGATTGCAAGTAGGTATGTAGTCGGCACCGGCTTAACGCTGGCGACATCCGTGAACGAGGGGATTAATCCAAGCCGCCCTCCCCAAGCCACTCACAGAGTTTGAGGTATCTTTCGAACACGAAAACGCCTATCCGCGCATCGTCCGGTGGGCTACCTCATTCCTACGATCATGTATTGGGATGGGAGGGAGGCCCCATCCAGCCTAACGTTTGGGTGTATGCCGCCGGCTCGTGCCGGCTCCCCTGACCCCGCTGGGGAGGGAGTCGGTGACCAATACTACGGGAACTAAGTCGTACGATCGTGAGGTGCACGGCACACCGCAAGTGTATGTACATACACAACACGGTCAGGATCGTGACCTTCTAAGAAGGAGGCGCAAGACGGGGTTGCGGAAATAATGAGTTTGTTGGACCTGTCAGTCTTATCGGGGCTAGACCGGCCGGTCCGAGTCCCCTTCCCCCCCCCCCAACTCTTAGGCATGAAGGTGCCGACAACGCCTAATTCTTTATATTCTTCCCAACTCGACAGCCAAGCGCCGCTCGCCTCCCACTCTCGCCTTCAAGCCGATGGCACATACATAATCCCGATGGGGTATAACAAACGTGTGTCGGTCAGATTCCGGGCGAGGCAGCACCCGCACGGCAGAGCTGTCTGAGAGTTACATGGCCGAGAAACCCGTTCCGGGAGTGTTAGTATTGATCCCCGTTTGTCTTGAGAGAGCGATCTCGTATACATATATTTATATGTATGTGTATATCCTACTCGGGGAGATCATATTGGCCCCCGACACTTCATTCCGCCCTCCGGTGCTGCTCCCAGTACCTAACCCACAGGCTGCGTCGAATTAATACGGATTCAAAGCGCCCCAAATCTCTCGTGACCGGGCACCCAATAGCCAGCGGCATGGGTGCGACCGCCCAATGGGATGTCGGGCTACACGATGCGGAATGGAAGCGACAGTAGCAATGACAACGATGCATGCAACCCTTGCGGTCTCGAACTGGGCCACAGCAGCTGCGTACACGCATGCGCAGGCCCCTCCGATAATGCCAACGGCGATATGACGCCGGGGCCAGTCGTGAGGGTTTGGGGCATCCCCTATCCGGCCGGACCGCACCCACGACGAGCGCGAGGTTCCTATTGTTCAACTAGAGACTGAACCGGGGGGGATCTATTAGGGAAGGCAAGGAACTTGATGCCGTGGACTAGCGTGAGCATCACCCGCGCGCTCGCATTGCTGCGTAGCACTGCTAGTGACGGGAAACCAACCGCGGTCGGCGGAGTTAAGTAGGGGTGGAATCAACCCGAGAGAGACATATCTTCGAAGCTGCGGCGTTGCAACCCGTGAGTACATGTTTCGTGTCCAAGGTTGCATCGAAGGCAGCTAGCCTAGGTATGCGTGTACAAGGCAATGCCATGTCGTATTCTTACGTAGCCCCGTGGGCATCGTTTCACATAGCAGTGTTGGCCATGTAGCAGTGCCTACAGCTCGATGCTGCCTCCCTTCAACTCCCTGGCCTCCTCTTAATACCGACGAACTGCTTTACTATCGGTTACTGCACACGCCTCATTATCACCGAGTGAAGACTACCTACACAATGCGTTGCACCTCTTAGATGGGCAGTGGATTTGCGCTTGATACGTAGGTGTGTGACTCTCTCTGCCCGTGTCGTACATCTAATCTGACTGAAGCCGAGCCGGACTATCCAGTTCTGCAAATCGGTCATTACGATTGGCCAGTACAAGCAATCATCGCTCCGCAAACCCCGTCGTGTACCGCGTCGTAATAGAGAAGGGAGTTAAGCACACTAAGCGAGCCGATAATAGCACCAATACCGCAACGCATAGCGAGTCGGTAGCCCCCTGCGCTCCGGGCTCCGCACACGCGTCGAGATCCTATCTCCGGGCGGCGATTCGTCGTAGGCTTCATGCCGGATCCCAATCTGTAAAAACCTCCGTGCCCAGCAGAGCCCGGACGTATTTCCTGAATTGCCGGGGGAGGCAATAGAGAGAGGATATTGCTTGGCTCATTCGAGAAGCTCCGAGGTGAGCTTGGCCTAGGTAGGTAGTCTTATGTCGCTCGGGTCACGCGCATGCCAGTCTTCGACCTCTCGGGAAATAAGAAAGAAAAGGGAATAAGGAGATGGCGGGGGCGTAAGAGAGGAAGAAAAGAACGAGGGTAAGAAATTGCAGCGATCTCACGGTCACTGTATTTCCAGTTCTAAACATGGAGAGCCAGGTTTAGGTACCAGGTGGGTACCTAATGCAGGTACCTTATGCATTGCCTGTATGGGGTATGCTCATATGTAAATATCTAGATATGCAGAAACCCTCCGTTCATACTTACATTGGTCATTCATTTGCTTGAGGGCGGTGAGGGAAAGGGGGGCTCTAATTTTACTAACTACGTCTCTTCTTCGCACTATGATCCCGTTCGTATTTTGCGCTGCCGATTACAGTTCCCGGATACGTGTCGCACGGCCTTTCGCTGCGCCACAGCATAGATGGACCTCGACCCTTTCTTCATCTCCAGCCCTTCTTGCGCGACGCGTTATTCCACGAGGTCACCCTCCTCAAGTACCTGCATACATCTCTACGTCTCTCCAATCCACGCTCGGTCCTGAAGTGAGACGCTATAGGCCGATGGAAAATCCTCGTTGAATGGCTTCGATGCGTCCGCAGCTTCTCTGCACACCTAATGGCACGTGATGGGGGTTCGAGGCTGACGGCTGTCTGGTGAGTTCCCGCCTGGGAGACGCCGAGGACGGGGGTCACACTCGGCTTCTTGCGAGAGAGCGCCGGCTAACCGGCGATGATGTTATTGTTCTCTGTGTAGCTTCCTAGCCTCATACATATGGCTGTCCTGTTCCCTGCAGAGACATTCCTTGACAGGTGAAGAGCCCTTCTTGCTAATGCTGCTTTTCCTCCATACTCTGCCGCCAGAGGCTCACAGAACCCTCCAGATCAGCCCCGGCTATCCTCCTTCTTGCTCCTGCTAATCGCAGGTGCGGCGGCTTTCTCTGCCAGCCTGTTTTCGAAATGGCTTCCTGGTGCCGATGGGAGATTTGGTCAGTCCTTGGCCGTCCGCCAAGTTCGTGGATGGGCCACTTCGTACTGACCACCCGCGCTCAGACTCGGAGGCTGTCCTCAAGCAGTCGTCCCTGTTGCCACATCGGCCCCGCCGTTTCTACATCCCTTGCGTCATCTTGCTTGTCATCATCCGGCTGGAGATCGCGCACAGGGTCATGGACGATTTCCAATGCGCCACCGAGGGCGTAGAGGTAGGTGCAGCAATGCCTCCTAGCCGTACCACCAGCGAACGCAAAGCTGATCTCCTCCATGTAGGCCTTTCTTCCCGCCTTCTTGGCCGCCTATGAGCTCCTCTCATACCGTGCCCCCCAAGTCGTGGTGGACCCCGATGAGCCACAAGATATGTGGGGTAACCCTTTGGATGACTTCAAGATCTGGCTCCAGGGCTCCCCGATCTCCCTACTATTCAGCACTATAGTCTTTGGCTATGGCGTTTATATGATGCACGGCTCTACGATGAAGTCTACCTTCTACTGTTCCGCTCTAGGCAATCAAAGCTCGTTCATCGTGGCCATGCAGTGGTTAGGGGTCTTAATCGATGCGGCCATCTTGATAATGCTCTGGAGAATACTCTCGTGGGCGAGGACGACGAAGAGCCGCCTTCGGACGCTTGGTGGCATCCTGGCCCTAGCCTCCCTCGGCGTCTCGGTCCTGTGTTTCGCGACACAAATCTCCCAGCGTCGCGAGATCATCGGCCATCACCCCTTCAAGGGAGTGGGTTCTCTCTACTTCTTCGACATCGTCAGTACCGGCCTGCTTATTTCTACCTTTGTCATTTCAACCGCGCTTTGGATTTGCGATTCCACCGCGTTAGAGCCGACGGCTGTTGCCACCTTCACTTCCGGAATGATCGCGAGTATCCAAAATGTTCTGTTGACCGGGACATATCAACAAACGTCTTCCCCTCAGCCACTGGCGGTGCTTTCCATCATTTCGTTTGGTTTCGTTGTCTTCACGTACGCGAGCAACATGAGATGGATCGTTATCTTCAAGCGGGTATTTCTTCTATCATTTCTGGTTTTAATTGTATTGACTTCGGCAATATTTACCTCGACGAGGAGCAAGACGTTAGGCCGCCATCCAGTAGATGACCTCGTCTATAACGGTAGAGTAGAATTAGACCGTTGGCTACGACATGCGAGTATTAGTACGACGCTCAGACTTGCGGTCGCCGTATACAAGGAAAATCATCAGGGACGCGACCCCCCGCCGCACTTCGACAAGTGGTTCGAGTTTGCGCAGCAGCGAGAATCTGTGATCATCGATGCGTTCAACCAGATCGATAAGGACATCCAGCCTTTCTGGGGGCTGAGCCAACGGCAAATCCAGGATCGCTTCGAAAAAGCAAGGGAGCTCCCAGGCATTTCTATCATTACCATTGCGGATGGAAAAGTATCTCACGGTCCACTCGCCGACCCTTGGGAACAAGTGGTGATAAGTGAGGCAGCGACTATGATTTCAGCCTTTGCCGAGTTCCTCCCCGACATGTCTATAGCTATTAATTTAAGGGAACGACCTAGGGTCTTGGTTCCTTGGGATGATGTTCATAGACTGACCATGGCTGGAAGCAAAAGCCGGTTTCAGTTCATCCCCCAACGCTTACGCAGCCTTCACGGAGGTGAGCCAGCAGACGACGGCCCAACCGAAGCATCCAGAGCGCCCTTGGGGTCAACCGCCCAACCGTACGTATCAGCGAAGAAATTCCGTCAGCTCGAAGCCCTAGCATGCCCGCCTGGATCGGCTGCCCGCGGAGGTGTACACTGGGACGTCAGGGACTTTTGCTCGTCTTGTGTAAAACCGCATTCCGAAGGACAGTTCGTGCACGACTGGGAGATGTTTCTCGATCCGTGTCACCAGCCGGACATATTCAACCTCCACGACTTGCATACGACACCTCATTTCCACGACTTGCACCAAGATCTTCTGCCAATCTTCAGCAGATCCAAGACCGACAGCTTCAATGACATTATCATACCGCTGTTCGGCACTTGGCTCGGGGGCGACGCGGATACGCGGCCATTCAATAACAAGTTAAACATCGTATTTTGGCAAGGCGATGCTAAAGATTCGCAAATCATGACACCTCGGTCGCTGCACGGCGGGCACCGGCACCGGCTGGTTCATTTCGCCAACAACGCTAGTGTCGCCGATAAAACCTCGATGCTCCTAAACGTCGGAGTAGACGGGAAGGATAAGTTCCAGTATGAAGAGGTGCATGTCCAGGCAGCCAACCGGCCGCTTCCGCTCGAATTCTCGTTTACCAACGCCGGGAACTGCAACGATGCGAGCTGCCAGCTTCTCGAGCGGGAGTTCGGTTTCAGGGAGCCGCCGACGTCGCTGCTCGACTACCGGTACGTGATGCTGCTCGACAGCGCCGACGGGCCGCCGCCGACCCTGCTGCAGATCCTGCGGTCGAACTGCGTGCCGATGCTGTCGTCGGTGTTCCGCGAGTGGTTCACGGACCGGCTGATGCCGTGGGTGCACTTCGTGCCGGTCGACCTGCGGTACCACGGCCTGCACAGCACGGTGGCGTACTTCACCGGCCTCGAGGGCAAGGGCCCGGTCAACGGGCGCGAGCGGCCGGCCAAGGGCCGCGTCGAGGACGCGCGCTGGATCGCCGACCAGGGCCGCAAGTGGGTGGACAAGGCCATCCGGCGAGAGGACATGGAGGTCTACATGTTCCGCCTCCTGCTCGAGTGGGGGCGGGTCATCCAAGAGGACAGGGACTCGTTGGGCTTCACGCTGTGAGCGGGGAAGTTGTCAACGCTGGTGGGGCCACTGCTTGCTTGCGGGTACTCACTGGTATGGGAACCGGAGAATGGCGTAGGATATAACGAGACGTTATACCCAAGAGTGGTTGGTATGGTGATGGAGCTGGGGCTAGAATGGTAGGGTTTTGATTTGGGTGCATACCCCCAGGAGGGGGATAATACCTTGGGTACTTATATAGAGCATCTCTTGCATGTGTAGAGTCTCTTGAGGTGGCATTCAGATGGGTTTTTTTTGTCAGCTAGACTGGTTTGTACTCAGAGCTTGAGCGGTAGAAGCAGTGGTATTCCTAGGCGCATAATAGGAGTCCCTGACTTGAATAGCAGGAATAGTTTCGTCTACGTTCTTATATAGGGCCTATGTACATACCTATATACATAGATGTGTATATGTAGATCATCATGGTGTTGTTGTTTTTTCCCAATGTCAGCCGTCGCCCTCGTCCCTATCCTCATCCTACGTGCCTCTCTTTACGTACTTAACGTGACACACACACATCTATAGAGACGGTTGTGCAATTGACCGAATATAAGATATGAGCAATGTGACATTACTTATAACTTTTCTATGGTTGATATAGCCACTTTATGTGCCTGGAGGAGACACATGAGGTAGGTACCTGGGTACCTAGGTACCTATGAATACATCCAATAGACAAGCCTGAGGTTGCCTCGGCGTGCCTTGTCTTACGTATGCCTATTTATAGAGCATCCCGATACAGGAATTAACATTCCCTACATAGGTATTCACTCGAAACGGCATATTTCCGAAGAAACCTCTACCTGTTAATTGCAAAATGTGACGTACGGTACCTTACATAGAGGCAGCTCTCCATCTCCGACCCGCCGCCCCCTCTTATCCCAAACCTGCCGAGCCAATCCCACATCGCCAACCTCACTACTACAACATACCTCACCTGCATCCATCCCAGCAACGGCGAACAATACAGAAGCATTACAACGTCTCTCTCTCTCTCTATCTCTCTTCGGACAAGCACAGAGCCCTACAGGAAAGCATCTCACCGCGATAGGATCTAACCAGGAACCAGCTCATCACGTCCTTTACGGCCATCACGTACTCCGACATCCGAATCGCAGCTAGCCAGGCTACGCCAAGTAGACCTGGAGAAGGACCCCTCCAACCATGGCGGTCATCGACGAGGAAACGTTCTCCAACATCCCCTGGGGAAACGGCGGAAGCGATTCGGCTGGCCTGGCTGGATCAAGCTCGTCGACGCCCACCATAGAAGCCGAGCCTCCCAGCACCGAAGACCAGCGCCATGCTGAAGACCTGCAGCGCCAGGATCCCGGCTTGTCCGGCGACATCATCGAGTGCACCGTCACCGAGCCCCGTAAAGAGAGCGACGGCACGAAGGACGCTTTTGTATCATATCTAATTACCACCACCGTGAGTCTGCGACACTGCCCACGTCCGGCGCTTTGGCACGGCTAATCAATCATCCGCGCAGTCCACGTTCCCCTCCTTCCAGAAACCCACCTTCACCTCCCGACGCCGCTTCACCGACTTCGTCTTCCTCTACAAGACCCTCTCTAAGGACTATCCTGCGTGCGCCGTCCCACCACTGCCCGACAAGCAGCGCATGGAGTACGTGCGGGGGGACCGCTTCGGCCCCGATTTCACCAGCCGGCGAGCTTACTCTCTACAGCGCTTCCTCGCGCGCACCACCTTACATCCCATCTTACGCCGGGCGCCTATCCTACATACCTTCCTCGAGTCCCCCGACTGGAATGCGACTATGAAGGCTCGCGCCTCGAGGAGCAGCACAGCCTCTGACCAGGGCAGTGGCGGCGTTTTCGATAACTTCGCTGACACCTTCATGAATGCCTTTACCAAGGTGCACAAGTACGACAAGCGGTTTGTCGAGGTGCGGGAAAAGAGCGACAAGCTAGACGAGGACCTCGGGCACGTGGAGAAGGTGGTGGCGCGGGTCGCGCGGCGGGAAGTGGATCTCGAGACCGATCTGCGGGACCTCACCGAGCAGTTCCAGAAGCTGATAACTCTGGAACCGGGGGTGGAGAGCGCCGTGCATGGCTTCGCAGCTAGCATCGAGGACACCGCTGCAGGTCTCAAAAAGCTCCGCGAGCACACGGACCAGGACTACCTCGGCAGCCTGCGGGACATGCAAGCGTACAGCCAGGCGCTCAAAAACCTGCTCAGGGCCCGGGAGCAGAAGCAGCTGGACTACGAGCAGCTGACGGAGTACCTGAACAAGTCCACGCTGGACCGGGACGCGCTGGCGTCGGGGTACGGGTACGGCAGCACGGGGGCGCTGGGCGGGGCGGGGGGCTTCATCCGGTCCAAGATCGAGGACGTGCGCGGGGTGGACCACGAGGCGTCGCGGCGGGAGCGGCTGCGCAAGATCGAGCTGCGCATCGACGAGCTGACGACGGAGGCGGAGCGGGCGAAGAAGACGAGCGAGGCGTTCGACGAGGAGGTGGTGAAGGAGGTGGTGGACTTCGAGCGGATCAAGCGGGTGGAGCTGAAGCGCCAGTTCGCCGGGCTCGCCGACGCGCACGTCGAGTTCTACGGCGGCGTCATCGACGTCTGGGAGCAGTACGTGCGCGACATGGACAAGGCCGGCCTGCTGGCGCTCGACCCGTCGACCTACGCCGACTAGAGACGACTTAGGGTCGCCGAGGCGGAAGCCTGAGACGAGCCGCCGGGACCCGAGCCGGCGGCCCGCGGCCGATCTGGAGGGAACGTGTTTCTTTTTTCTTCTCCTTCTTGTCTCCAAACGAGCTTACTAATACAATACACTACACTGCCGCTCGCCACCGCCGCGTCCCGGTGCGGGCCGCGTCGAGCTGGCCATGTCTGCCCCCTCCGCTTGTTATCTATCCAGGGTACGGTGCGCGCGCGTACGCGGACGCACGGTAATATAGGGAGTGATAAGAAGGGCTCGCTTCCTTTTCTTCTTCTTCTTCTCTTCCCCTCTCCGAGCCACGCACCGCGGGAGAGCAGGGCGGGGGAGGAGGAGGCGGAACACGAAGACGGACGGACGCGCAGCTACTATGACGAGGGCGCGCCTAGGTGTGTGTGCTAGCGGGCGAAGAGGGGAAGAAAGAACGAAAGAAAAGAGGGAAGGAGGCAGGAGGGAAGGCGAGAAGCGCGTACAGGCATACGGAAACAAGGGCACTCGGGGGGTGTTGACGTGGGAGGCAGGGAGGCAGGCGGGTAGGATGCAAGGTCGGAGTCCGGGGCGTTCGTTTTCTCTCTCTCCTTTTTTCCTCTTCTCCATCCTCTTCTTCTCCTCCTCCCCCTGCATCTCCTCTCCGCCTTCTTCGTCTGCTAGGTAGGCGGGCTGGGGGTTTTTTTTTTGGCTTCGGGACCGTCCTCGGCGCGTGGACGCGCGTACGGAGGGGGAGGGGGGGGAGCAGGACGGGCCAAGAGACAAACAGGAGAGGCTGGCGGGTGTCATCACGCGGGTTATGTCGAATCGCGTCGGCGAGCAGGGGGGAGGGAGGGGGGATCCGGGGAAGGAAAAAAGAAAAAAGATTTCGGCTCGCTCTCGCGTGGTTTCTTGCCCGTGGGACGGCTTCTCTCCTCTGCTCGGACGCGTGTACGTGTAGTGCTAGACGACCGGCCGGTTCGATCAATCGATCGGCCGAGGACTTTGTGCGTGTACGGCAACGTCGCCCTGGACCGCGGGAACTGCTGCTGCTCTTACTTGAGGACACACGTCGCCGGCGGACGGCGGCGTGTACGCATGTGTATGCCGTACGCATATTGTTGGTATGGACGCATGTGTGGATGTATGTATGTATGTAGCAATCTACACGCCCGCGCCCCGAACGCCGTACGGACCCAGAGCTCCTCCCCTCGTGCCGGTATCGACGATACTAGTACGCTGGTTCGAGATAAATATATACACATGTGCACGTGCGGGGGGGCCGCGCACCGCGATTGTCCTAGGTTACAGGATGCTGCCGCCAGCCTCACTCGCCCTCTCCCCGCCCCCCTTCTCTTTTCTCTTCCTGGTTCCCGGATTTATTTATATGCTTTTGGCGCGAGGGCTTACTCCCGCGGGAGACTTTTGTCGGAAGACTCTCAGCAACCTACTCATTTCTCGGTTAGTAACCTGGAAGTCTGCTGCTGGCGCGCGGCCCCTCCGGCGTCGCCGTTGTCGTCATCATCGTCGTCGTCGTCGTCGTCGCGGCTAGCCACGCTACGACGCTCCCGTGCCGAGCGGTCGTCCTCGTCCTCATCCTCGCTACCGCCAGCGAAGGCGTCGTACAGCTCGCCGCCCCGTCGTCGCTGGCCCTTCTCGACAGCTCCGGCGAGGCCGTCGCCGTCCTCCGCATTGAGCGGCTCGAACTCGTAGCTGTCGCGCGGGTTGTTCCGCAGCCGCTTGCGCCGGACGAACCAGAACCACGCTCCGAGCCCGCAACAGAAGGCGACGATGAGCCCCAAGGAGCCGTAGATCCAGGCTTGTGTGCTGGAGGACACGCCGAAGGTAGGCAGGAAAGAGGGCAGCCAGGAACTGGTGGTCGTCTCGGCAGCTGCGGCATCGGCGCCCGTCTCCGTAGCAGCACTCTCGCTCGAGGTCGCGCTGGGTTTGGTAGGCCGTTCGGGGTGATCTGATGGGACTACCGTGGGCGCTGCGGTGTTGGTGGTAGCCGGGTTCGGAGGGAGGCTAACAGTAGTAGTTTTCGCATCGTGGTCCTTGTCGTCATCCTCAGTCGGCATAGGCAACACTTTGGCCTTGGAGGGGTCGATGCTCTCGCCCCACAACTTGAGATGCCAGTCGATGAAGGTACCAGTGTCGTCGTTTACTTTAGTATCCCTGACGACGAGCGTCCAACTACCAATACCGGCTTCACCCCTGAGTTCCTGTTAGCTTCAAAATTCACCCACTACTGTCAAAGGCTAAAAGCTCACCAGTGGACGACGCTCATGAAGGTCCAATTGTCGTAACCGTCCTTGCTAGTATCTAGCTTACGCGTGGCCGAGAGATGGCTGACCACATTGTCTGGGCTGATGAGATCGACGCTCAAGTCGCCTCGTCGGGTGTGCTCGACGTTCATTGTGACCGTGACGTGTTCAAGGCGCTCCAGATTCGCCTCCGTAAGCATGTCTTTCGTGACTTCGAAGGTGACTGATAGACCATCATTGCCCTGGGGGATGGGCTGGTGAACATGCAACCACGGAGAATAATACCAGGCCTGGGGCTTCACGTTCTTCCAGGATCTCGCAGTTTCCACGAGGGCATAACTGTCAACCTTGCCGTACCCAAAAGTGTGACTGAACTTCTTGCCGATAGTGGTTGGCTGCCATTCCCCGCCCTCGAGGTCGATGGGCACCGCACTCTGCATCGCAATGTACTGCATATCTCTCCAAGACAAATCAGGGCGGATTTCGAGAGCCAAGGCAAATATGCCAGCGGCTAAAGGCGCTGCAGCAGAGGTACCCCCGTGTCCATTGTAACATTGGTTTTCCCCAACATCCGTGGTGTGCTGGGGTAATGTTAGTAGGCAGACCAGCAGCTGGGGAGAGAGAGTCACGTACAATAGCATCTCCATTACCACTGCTGTAGGTAACGACAAGCTGTGCCGAACATTTTTCTGAATAGTAAGGGTGAGACCCCTGCCTATCTATGGCGCCGACAGTAATGCTGTAGATGCTGTTGGTATAACCATCAAAGTTGCAGTTATCATCACTCGCGGCGCCGTTTCCACTAGCAAACACGTAGATAGACCCTAAAGAATTGCGTCCGTTCTGCACACCGTTCAGCATGGCGGCCTTGATAAGGACACCGGGGGCATCCATGGACTTCCCGTCGTCGGGCGGGCCCCAAGAGCAGGAGTAGATGTGGTTATGATCGAAGTCGTAATTTAACGCCGCGGCCTCGTCCGCATCGGAAATCATCTTGCTCAAAATCCGGATGCCGGCGATCTTGGAGTCGTACGCTACGCCGATACCGCACACGTCGTTCTTCGCAGCCGAAACCTCGCCGGCGCATCGGGTGCCGTGCCGGTCGTCGTCCAGAGTCGGACGAGGCTCCGGCCTCTGATCGTTGAAGTCATAACTACCGAAGGCGTAGTAGTTCGGCTTCAGATCATTGCTGTACATGTCGAGGCCATCGTCGACTATAGCTACGGTGGCGTTCTTGCCCGTGACCCCCGAGAGCCAGACATCGGTGACATTTACGTCGTGGCCGGGTTGAATGGTGTTAATAAGATGCCACTGCTCGTGAAATATGGGATCGGATATGCCCAGCTTCTCCATGACGGCTTTCTGCACTTTCACGACGTCCGCGCTGGGCTTGTCTGCTCGCCTGGCAGGATAAAACCCCGCTGGAAGGGGTGGGATGACGCGCTTCTGCATAGGAGCCCGTAATTTTTGCTTGCCGGAGAATTTGACGCCGTCAAGGACATCTAGCCCCCCCAACGACCGTCTTCGCCGGCGCGCTTGCACGGCGCGGCGCACGATGTCGTCGTCGGATTTCCTGGTAGAGAATACGTGGTGGCCTGTGAGCTGGCCTAATTGGCCCTCGTGCCTCAGGCCTAGACGGGTTGCAATTTGCTGGGGTGGCACATCGCGCTCGAGATGGAGGACGTAGTAATCGTGGGTGTCGTAATTCCGGCGGGGGAGGGTCGCGGGCGCGGTCGCGGTGCCTAGTCCAGCCAGGCCGCCCACGATGAGGCTGACGAGGGGAGCGAGCTTCATGTTGGCGAATGGATTGGGCGTGTACAAGGACACCCTTTGTGTCTCTAGTCGATACTACGGGTCGCGCGTGTGGGCGAGCGGGCGAGCGGGTGAACGAGCGAGGGTATGGGCGACGTGGAGGAAGAGAAGACGAAGGCAGGCGTCGTAGCTGTTCAGTAGAGAGATCCTTTCCGTCGATGAGAACCCTTTGGCAATAGGAGGTTTCGGTAAAACAGGATGCCCTTTTTCGAGGCGATAAAGAAGCCCTCTCCCCGTTCTGGGATCAATTCCCCCGGCTTACGAAAACACAACACCAGAGCTTCCCGCCCGGTCGAGCGAGGGATGTGAAGGCGTGTTAATCGGGACGCCGCGATACTATCGTCTGCGTGGCATCAGATTGGCGCCAGCAACATACACGAAAAGAAAAAATCGAGAAGCGAGGAAGAACACGAGACAGATAGGGAAAAAGATGATTCTTGGTCTTCCTCCCGTCGCTTGCAAGGGCCGGCAATGGATTGGAGAACGGGCTGTGTGGGTGGGATGTGTTACTAATATTACATTAGGAGATGCTCCTTTGGTCGTAGGCGCCTCAGTCAGCCTCGGTACGTACCCAGACGCCTTGATGCCAGGTGTTCGCGAGCCATTAGGGGGAGGTACCAAAGGAGGTACCTATATTGTACATGCATGTTACCCAAGTACCTACAGGTACCCGAGGACGCTTGCGCGGCCCCCAGCCACACCACCTTCAGGTCGACTCGGTTGAGAAATAATACTGCTTAGTGTTATAGAACGCTTTTCATCAAACCCCCTTCCATCCGCGTATGGATATCCTGAAAGCAGACGCACTACCCATACGCATGTCCCGCGTTATCCTATTATCCTCCAGGGGAACAACACTCTTTTCGTATTAAAAATTCTTTTTTTTTTTCCTTTTTTTTTCATACAAAAAGGAGAAGGGGAATCCGAGCCCAAGCTCCTCGTTATCGGACTAAGGGTATTGAACCTGGGTTCCTGTCTATCGTCCCTCCCGACTGCCCTCCAGATTTTGCCGGAATGGCTACCAGCAGTTTGGCGATTTTAGGCTCGGTTGATCTTGCGTTGGGCAACCGCTTGGGTACGAAGGCCCAGTTAGAAAGCCCCGTGTCTGAAGCCGTATACGGGTCTTTGCGTCGAGTCAACGCCATATCACCGCTAGCGAGCGTGTCTAGCAGTCACGAACCCGCTCGATATTGCAGCACGCCCAGGCAACCTAGAGCAATCGCCGCGGCGAGGTTTGCTTATTCCTAAGAATCAAGGCGGTCAGAAATGCACCATCATCCTCCACAATGTCTTCCAATAGGATTGAGAACCAGCCGGTGAAGTCTCGGTGGGGTTTCGTCGGATTGACCCTAAACCTATATTGCTACAGTCGCTAGCTAAGGGGTTGGAAGGGCTCCCGTAGGACTTCATCCTCAGTTAACGCCGGCAACACCGAACTGTCTGGCACGGGTTGGTGAACCTCACTACTCGTTCTGGCATATACTTATAGTCCTTCTACCCGGAACTCCCATTGAGTGAGAAAAGCTCGCCACTTCAAGTGATACCTCGTTTATGAGGAAAATGCCGTCCTTGAGTGTAGGTATATTATCGGAGGGGCAAAGGCTTTTAGATTTTTGTCAGGAAAATCAAGATATTCGTAATGACTCAGGGCAACTCACTCTGCGTTGTCCCTTTGGGTGTATAGCTGTGTTTTCGGCATCCAACGGGTTTCAAGCACCCCCTCCAGGCTTTACATTGGTAACAAGCTTTAAGCCTTCTCATATGGAACGGACGCCCTCTATCAAAATTTTCAGCGAAAATGGCCTCCGGTGCTAAAATATTGTACCTGTTCAGAAATACCATGAAGCGGCCGTCTTACGCCTGTCTCTGGAAAAGATGAGGAAATGAAAGCGATTGGGTCTGCGGAGTGCGGAGGCGAGCTCCACCACCCGGATCAGCCTCAACAGACCCGCCGGTCTCGGTGCAGCTTGTTGGTGATGTGATTGCTGTTGACAGGGAAAGACACCGAAGGAAGCATGGAATCCGATGTTGCACCTGCAGGATATATTGATGTACGACTATGTTGAGTATTGTTTCAGCGAGGAGGAGGCAAAATACGAGAATGACTTCTGCACGGAGTGCGGTGGTCGTACCCATCGCGGCCACCACAGCGAGGGGAGAAGCTGCGAACACGAAGACCAACCTAGAGGCGGAGGATTCGCGTAGAGGTCACGGTAGAGACGAACAACGCTACGGAAAACCCGATAAGGTTGGTGTGCGACAAGACCGAGTAGGCGATGTTGAGAGATATTTATAAGAGCCGACGCCGGTCTTCGTTTGGCGCATGAGGCTACTGTTGAAGTGACTGGGGGACGGCAAAGCATGCATTCCTACACACGCAGAAAGAGGCCGTCGCAGACTCTGTTCGGCAGCGTAGAGAAGTCCTAGTGCACGATAGAGAGGCCACTGGAGGGTTTTCTGCTGTGTACTTCTTACTGTACGCCATCCCGAGACTTTAGCTGTCGATGATGGATTCGTCGTACGAGCGCCCTCTTACACGTGGGCCGCCTCTGGCCTCATGTTGTAGCTGGGCATCACGACCTCACTCAAAGCAGGGAGCAGCATTAGTATCTACATACCTAGGCAGCTCTATGAGTAGACATAAGGGAGGGGTGCAGGGGGCGTCTATAGTAGCTGGACCAACCACCTCGTAGTGCCGAACTACTAGGTGCATCCTGGAGGTCGACCGCCTACGGGACGATGGGCACTATGCACAGGTGAGGCGACATGTATGCAGGGGTCGAGCTGCTACCTAAGTATAGCTGTCCTAGAGCTCTCAACCCTTTTCTCTGGCAAAGCTTGTCAGTTTACGTAGTGCCCGTGGGGTCGGGTGTGTAGAAGTAAGCAGATATACGGGTATGTAAGTGCTTATGCTGCAAGGGCCGGGGATATTCGGCGGGACTGTGCAATAGAGGGCAGGTAGTATGAGTGAGTGTAGTAGGCGAAAATATAGGAACGAATCAGGTAAGATGGGAAGACGGGAATGCCATCTCACTTAACTATGGCAAAACAATGTACCTGATAAGTTGACAGGCTGCTGGGATCACCTCGACTTGCCTGGCCTCTCCCAGCCATTTCATTTTGGTCCGGGCTAGCAATCAACAACAACCAACAACCACGCTACTACCTCATCTCTCGAGCGTCTTCGTCCTCGTCTCTGTCGAAGCCGAACCCAGGCAGTTGTAAAGCGAAGGGCCGTCTAACGTAGATACAAAATACCCACGAAGACCATACCAAGCGAAACTCCGTCCCGAACGAATGCTGACCGCTTTTTCCCCTATGGGCTTACAGCGGACGATATACACGGCAGAACTTGCAGACCTGTGTTTTGTCCGTTTTTGTCGTTTTCTTGTACGAGGTTGGATCTGTGTCTTACCGGCTACGCGGGATCGACCCGCGCAAGCTAGGATTCAAACGAGGGGGGGGGAGAAAATAGGGAGGCTTGCGAATGCTAGGACTGCCGGAGTTCTAGAGGGGAGGGTGTGGGAAAGAAAAAAAAAAGAAGCAAGAAAAAAAAGAGATTCTATCTACATATAGTAGCATCATTTTTTTTTCTCTCAACAGCTGGCGTGTAGGTATTTGAATAGTTATCCAAAGCTGGTGACAACCGCCGACAGCTGGAGACTGCTCTCCGTCTCGCCATCTCCTTGTCTCCCAGCCGATTCGTTATTACTGGTGTGATTATATCGAATCCCCTTCTTCCCTCCCACTCCCCCAACCTACCTAGGATCGAGATCAATCCATTCGAGCTCCGATGAATCCCTACACCTGTCCGAGACATCCTGTATCCCGTAGCACATACTTACATGCATACGTACATGCCCATCCTATGTACTTATAGCTCTAGTTCTTGCTCCGCATCGGTTGGAATCCCCATCTTCCCCTGCTTTACTTGCTCGCTACGCTACCCTTCTCGAGTCGCATGTGTCTGCATAGCATTGGTCTGTCCATCATGGGCACCCGCAGATGAGAGCTTCCTGGCCCACCACACCTAAGGTCCCTCCAACCCCCCCAAGCTCCGACTTCAGCTTGTCTTGCCTTGGCGCCCAATCATCACCGAGCCTGATAATTGTCTGGCGCCGCCTGCCATGTCCGCACCGTATTGGGGCCAATTGCCCCCATCCAAAGCTCGTCGCATGTCCGGCGACTATGACCAGACTGATCGCAGACAGTCCTTGGATCAGACCGCTTCCCAGTCCCAGTCGCGATCTAATCGACTCTCTCTTCAAACCGAGTCCACACCCAGTCCTCTCATCTCTCCCGTTACCTCCAGCTTCCCAGCCACCAGTCTTGCTCCTCGTCCCCCGTCTCTCCCCTACGGACAGAATCGATACCGCTCAGAGCTGCAGGAGCGACGCCAGAGACGCACCAGTCGGGCCCAGGACGACGACGACGACGACGACGACAACCTCTACGGAGCTGCGACCTCACCTCCGCCAGCAGCCCCCGAAGTCCCCAGAGCACCTCCTGTTAGCTACAAGGACCCTTATAGGATCGGTAGTCCGACTTACACGTACAGCGCGGACGGCCGCCCAGGGCCACCGATTTCAGCTTACGGACACGGATCTCCCCACGCGCGAATATTAGGCATGGAATCCGAGTCATTCTACAAGGATGCCACGCCACCGGCCGAGAAGCAGGCTAGAGCACCCGTGCTGGACCGGTCGCGGCAGGCCTTTGACGAAGACAAAGGAAGTAGTACACAATGGGACAATGACCCTGAAAGAATTACCTTCACCCGTCTACCGGCAAACACAGACCCTATCGACACGCCACCCGCAGACTCGTCTCTGCCGAAAAGAAGAGCGACGCTAAGCGCGCAGCCACAACACCCGACGTGGGCGGATGATCGATCGCCGCTGCAGAGACTAGAGCTTACGCTCGACAGCATCACGAAGGAGGAGAAACGAGCCCGTGTCGAGGCTGCCGAACGGCGGGCGATAGAACGAACCACTCGAAAAGATAGCGTCTCAAATCGAGATGGGCTTCTTCAACCTGCGCCAGAACGCTCGATTCCTCAGCAGGCTCAGTATAAAGACAAGCGTCCAGCTAGGGATCGTGAAGGGGGCCAGCGGGCGGGTGTCGCCGATCCAATCCAGGCGCAGCCTTCGGCGGTTGATGCAATAGACGAATCGTGGTCTCAGAAGCCTCGGAAGGAGACGAGGCAATATTCACCACCTGACCCATCTCCGGAATCGCAGATTCCGGCTGCTAAGGGCCGGCAAGTTATCTCGGTCGAAAAGTTCGACCTGCCTCAACGTAACTTGAGCTTTCGCGAGCGGGCTGCTAGGAACGATGCCAACCTCCCGAGAGATGCGGGCGGTAGCTCGCCGACGTCGCCAAATACCGCCTTGGGCGGGGGCTTTTCTCTCACACGGAGTGGGAGTAATAAACTGAAGAAGAATCCACCCGCCGATCCCCGGTACGGCGCGCGCAGGGACTCGGAAGAGAAATCGGCGGCTTATGGTAGACGCGGCCCACAGGCTGGAGGGGAGAACGGGCAAATCAGCCATGCCAATACCGCAGCCGCTGTAACCGCCGCAACCGCCGACTCTCGGGTTGAGACGGCGAGGGGGATGACTTCTGCTCTACAGTACGGAGATCGACCTCCGGCTAAAGGTAAGCAGGTCGCTCAAGGAGGCAGCTTCGAGGACCCCTTCCTTCAACGGAAAGGGTATGTCGCAGCAACCGCCCCTAGCCACGCCGATTCGTCCAGTAACGGCCAGCCGTCACCGCCGTCGCAGCACGCCTATCAGTCATCGTTACGAAATACGGAAGTTCCCAAAGCTGCCGCCGGAAATCCTGTGAAGTCCGTCAAATTCCCAGATAGAAAATACGAGGCACGAGCGTTTAGTGACGAGGGCCACGAGTCGGATACGAGTGGCCATAGCCATGGCTTCTACAGATATCTACATCGGGGCAAGCTTAGACCTGGCCGGGGTATGTACCAGCCGCCTAAGTACCTGGACGAGTGGAAACAGGCTACGGTTGGGAAGCTGTCGGGCGCCCTGCTAGATCTTAGCGACGAGCCCGCCGAGAGCGCCGACAAGGGCACGGCATGGTGGGAAGGCCAGCGTAGGGGTACTGTCACGGCGAGGCCACAGGAGCCAGAGACCTCCAACGGAATATATGATGACACCCAGGGCCCGACTCGATTCAAACCACCCTTGTATCTCAAGTGCGGGCCGTTACTACGTTATTGCGGGATCCGGCATGAAAAGCCAGCGGCGCAAGCAAATCACGCTAACGCCACAACCACGGACCGACACATGTGGAGAGGCAGCATCATGATCGTTACCCGCGATTCTGAGTCGTCGTACGATGTCCCGCCGATTCTTCGTCTCTTCGTCCAGCCAATCGAACTCCTGCCACCACCCCCCGCAGAGCTACGCAGCGAACAGGCTCTCCTACCGGAATATGTGGATCCGATCCTCGGCATACCAAAGCTCGGTCGACGGGGGGAGACACTCTTTGTCCGACCGGTAGAACACCTAGAGGAAGGCAAGGATGTCTCGATGCTCGAGCCTGATGACGGCTTGTTTGAGATCACAAGATCTACGCCCGACTTCGACGGCGCACCCGACCCTCCCGGCTCTTTTGCTAATCGCAAAAGGCGCACACTAGTCGATGGAGAGAAACTCGGGAGGTACAAAGACGTGCGCGGGTTTCGTCTACACGCCGAACGGGGGCACACGTTCTGGAGATTCAACATCGAGATTGAGCTCCGCGACGAGCAGCAAAGAATTGCCTATCGTATCAACCACGGTCCGGCTACGGGCTTCTGGGTACCTGCTCGAAACCAGTCGATGAACATCATGTCGTACAGCTGCAACGGATTCAGCCTGAGCGTGAATCCAGACGACCTAAGCGGACCCGATCCCATGTGGCGCGACGTCCTTAACAACCATCAAACACGGCCGTTCCACGTCATGATCGGAGGCGGGGACCAGATCTACAATGATGCTGTGATGCAGGAGACCAAGCACTTCCGCAGCTGGCTGCAGATTAAGAACCCACTACACAAGAACAACGCGCCGTTCACCGCGGCCATGCAGGACGAGATGGAGAATTTCTACCTGAATAGGTACATGATGTGGTTCTCGCAGGGCTTATTCAGCCTAGCGAACTGCCAGATCCCGATGGTCAACATGTACGACGACCACGACATCATAGACGGTTTCGGCTCCTACCCCGATCACTTCATGAAGTCGCCAGTATTCTCCGGCCTGGGAAACGTGGCATTCAAGTACTACATGCTCTTCCAACACCAGAGCCTACCCGGAGAAACGGAAAAGACGGAACCGAGCTGGGCACTAGGTCTCAAGCCAGGACCCTATATCCGCGAGCTGAGCCACAGCTTGTTCATGTCCCTGGGCGGGAACACTGCGCTGCTTGCTGTTGACTGCCGGACCGAGCGCACACGAGACGAGGTCGTCCGGGAGGATACATGGAAGAGGCTGATGGATCGCTGCTACGACGAGATCGTCAAGGGCGAGACGCAACACCTGCTCGTACTTCTAGGGGTTCCTATCGCGTATCCTCGGCTTGTATGGTTAGAAACCATGTGAGTAGCTCTCGTCCTCTCAAATATCAAAGCCGGAAGCAGCAAGCACTAACTTTTTCTCTTCTAGTCTGACCTCGCGGCTGATGGATCCGATCAAGGCGCTCGGAAAGACGGGAATGCTGGGAAATTTCCTAAACCACTTCGACGGGGGCGTCGAAGTCCTTGACGACCTCGACGACCACTGGACGGCGAAGAACCACAAGGATGAGCGGCGGTTCGTCATCGAGGACCTGCAGGACCTCGCAGCGGACAAGTCAGTACGGGTCACGATTCTCAGCGGGGATGTACACCTAGCGGCGATCGGGCAGTTCTATTCGAACCCGAAACAGAAGCTCGCGAAGCACAAGGACTTCCGGTATATGCCCAACATTATCTCATCCGCCATCGCCAATACACCGCCGCCGGACCTCATGGCCGATATCCTGAATAAGCGCAACAAGGTCCACCACTTCGACAAGGAGACCGACGAGGACATGATCCCCATCTTCACCCACGACGTCGATGGCAAGCCCCGTAACAACAAGCACCTCCTGCCGCACCGCAACTGGTGCTCCATCCGCCCCTACCAGCCGGGCCAGACCCCCCCCTCAACCCCGCCGCCCGAGGCCTTCGAACCGGCCTCGGGGATCACGCCGCCGGAAAGTCGCGGCGGCCTGTTCCGCAGGTTCTCTCTCTCTGGGAGCCGCCGTGGTCGCGGCCCGCCCCGCCCCGAAATGACAGACCGCTCACGTCCGCCCGTCTCCGGCAGCGGCGGCGGGTTCCTACGCTCGCTCTCACGGCGGCGTGCCTCCGCGTCGGACGATGGTCACTCGCGGCCAGGCAAGATCCTGCGCACATTGTCGCTCGGCCGTGTCGATTCGACAGCGCGCCCGCGCACGACAGCCGTCGCCGCCTTCGGCGGCGGGAGCGGCAGGATGAGTATGGACCAACCGGACGACGGCGGCGTCAACGGCACCTGGGGGGGTTACAGCGACGAGGACATATACGACGCACCTGTGTACCCGCCTGTGTCTGCTCCCGCGCCCATCGTCGGCCTCGCGGGTAACCATCACAGCAGCGGCGGGCACGCGACGGCGGCAATGGGGCTGCGCGGAGGCGGCGGAGCAGGGGCCCACCGTAACGACGAGTACGAGGCCGGCGACGACGCGTTCTTCACAGCGCGAGCACCCCAGCGTGCGCTCACGCAGCCGGCAGCTGTGTCGCTGTCGGGCCAGCGCACTAACAGCCACACCAACCACAAGAACAACGGCTACGACAATTACGATGACCTGGACGACGACGGCGACGAGCGCTACTACGATTACCACTACTACCAGCACGCGACGCGGACGGGATCGGAGCCGTACGTGCCACGGCGCGCGGCGACGGTATCGGCGGCGATGGCGGAACCGGCGCCGAAGCCGTTCCATCGCACGCCGACGGGTCTCAGCGCGCGCAAGCTGCGCAAGGATGGCCCGGCGCGATATGAGGTCGACCTCACAGGGGGCCTCGACGTATGCCTCAACGTCGAGGTCAACGCGCGCGACCCGGCCGGGATCACGGTGCCCTACCGCCTGCTCGTGCCGCGGCTGTGGTACGAGTACCAAGGCGAGGACGGCGCCGGGACTCCCGAGGAGCAGGAGCCGGAGCCCGAGGAGGAGGAGGAGCCCGCGTCAGGCGCGGGACGTCAGGCGATGCCACCGGGGCCGAGAGGAGCGGCGACCCCGCCGCCCGCTCCCCACTACGGCGGCAACGTCGGCCCCGGCGGGATGCACGACGACTACGACGGCGGAGAAGAGGGAGAGGAGAGGGGGCCCTACGACGACGACGGGGAGGGGAAAGGGGCAGAGGGGGGGGGAGGCAACAGGGTCGGCCGGGGCCTGAAGCGCTTGTTTAGCGGGAGCGGAGGGGGCAGCCACTATAGGGCGCGTAGACAGTCGCCATGACGAGGGCGGGATGAAGTTTACGAGACGAGAAGCAAGAAGGATCACGAGCGTGACGGGAACGACGTAAATAGGGACGACACGAAGAAATGGAACAGACGAAAAATCGGGGAAAGAGGCCGGAGGATCCGGTAATGATGTCGTGTGCGAACCCGGGAACCCCGGCCCGGCGTCCGTGGCCGGCTTCTTTTTCTTTTTTTTTCTTTTTTGGGTTCGAAACGTCGCCCCCTCCTCCTCACGCCCCGTCCCAGCCTTTTTCCTCTCTGGACAGGTCCGGTCGGATGGCCTGTTCATCTACTGCCTGTCGCTTCCGGGTCTATTTTCCCTTTCCCGTTCTCGGGTATCGAGGGAGGAGATTCGTGCAGGGATGCGAGAAAGGGATTTGTTTTTGTCCTTTTTTTTTCCATCGCGAACGAGCTCTTTTTTCTTCCTTTTGGGGGACGGATGACTGGCTAGGCGGGGCAGCACGTCGGGTACGATGCGATGCGATGCGATTACGATACGATATACCTTGGTCCACCTTGGGGGTTTTTTTTTGCGGAGTCCAAAATGAAAGAAAGAGAGGGCGCATGCGAGGAGGCAGAGCGGACGACGAGGGACGGGCGAGACGGCACGAAGGCGCGGAGGGCGAGGCGAGGCGTGATACCGGGGTGCTACGATGTACCGGGTTGGAAGCAGGGGTATACGAAAAGAGACGGAGCAATTTTGACTGACGAGTTACGACGTTCGGCGTGAAGACGGAACGGGTGGCTGGCGCCGCGAGAAGCAAGGCAGGCGGCCTGGGAGGAGGAGGGGGGAGGCGGGGGGGGGGGGGGGGGGGGAGGGAGCGGATGTGGATAGATCATGACCACAATGCATCTAAAGTGTTTATATGCTACGTATTCGTGCTTGCTGCTGCGATCTCGATCCCGACCCGGGCTCGTCCCTGGCGTTGCGGGACGGCGTGTGTTCCTTGGCCGCCACCCCTCCCCCCCCTCTCTCGACGCGCCGATGAGGCTGTACATGCACAGCAAGCAAGCAAGCAAGCGTGCATGCGGTGTATGTAGCCTGCGCCGGCTATGGTCTCCTCGAGCTTAGTTAGCGTGACACCGTACCGCTCTGCCTGTTTGTCGGTCGGTCGGTCTCTCGCGGGAGAAGTTGGGAGCTGGTGGGCGAGGACGACGCTTCGCATCGAGCCAAGCAGCCGGCCCTATCATGATCCCTCGTTTGCGAGAAGGGACTCCTCCTCCCCTAGACGCTATGCTACGGAACCGGGATCGCTTGCGGGACAAGAGAGGGGAAGCAAGGGAGGAAGGAAACGGGGGGGGGGGTGGTTGTGAGGGGCAGCAGCGAGATGGAGCATGCGAGGCCCGTCGGTGGGTTCTGCTCAAGAGAGAGGCGTGCCCTGAGGTCCGGTGGGCGGTTTCCAGAGACTTGGCGATCACGCACGCTTTTCGGTTCCGCAGAGTCCTAGCTCTCTATCCACACACACACACACAGACATGCTTGGCTTCCTCGGGCATCTGGGACTGGGACTGGGACTGGGACTGGGACTGAGACGGGACCCTCCCATCGGCGCCGCGACTCCAAGCGGTACAGCATCGAGGACTTGGCCGGCTCCCCACAACCTGCTTGCCTTGCCCGCTTGGCTAGGTAAGCAGACGTCCGCCGCCGCCATGCCTTCGTTAAGTGGTGGATCGCCGCGACTGGCTGTAGATGGCCGTGGCGGCATACACCTACGCACGCGCCCTGGGCTCAACCCCTTCCAATCCTGCGTACATGCATACGTACATCACGTACATGGAGTTCGGGGAGAGGAGAGCAGAACCCTCCCCCCTTCCCGGCCCCAGAGATCATCCCTCGTCAACCTGGATCCGGCAGCGGTTGATCTGGAGCAGGGGTTGCTTGGGAGCCCCATCTCTACTACATACGTACATAAGACCCCATTTTCATGTGTGACGAATGGCCTCTTCCCCTCCCCCCCCCCCTTACGCCGAACGGGATTATGCATGCTCGGAGAGCGACGTTGAGCTACTCCCCTCCCCCCCCCTCCTTCTTCCATACGTACATACGTATACGTAGTCGTACATATCGGTGGGAATTCAGGTAGCCTATCGGGGTGCCCGTGTTGTCACTTGACCACAAAACTGGTGTCCTGGATTCGAACCCATGTGACAGATGGTACTATCGAGGACCGATGAAGGTTGATTGAGCGGTGCGCGGTGCGAATGCTCCAAGTAGGTATAGGTTCTGCGGTCGCAAACGCGTGCCCCCTCCCGCTCTTCCTTAGGGGTTATATTTGTCCTGCTCTCGCGCAAGACCATCGCCATATTCCTTCGGGGCAACGTCTTGTTAACGACAATCATCTGACGGCGTAATACGGCAGTTAACTATGCCTTGTCATCCGGGGACATCGGCATGTTATGTGACTAATTATGCGCCTCGTCAGCTTGAGAGGGCTTGTGTGTCGGGCGGGTATCCGCCATCTTGGCGTTAATGGGCCCAATTCATCATCTATCCGGCATGCAATATCGCGAAATTCCTCAATCTCTGATAAATCTTCGCGTGGTCATTAGATACGCATGTCTCCCAAGGGTGGCTCTTGGTAACCTGTCCAAGCGCATTCGGAGGGCGTCCGCGACAACTAAGATGACTATATCAATGGCTAGATGTGGTGTAGCGAGTATCGACAATGACGTTTGGGCCCTAGGACTATCCATATATGCCCTCTCTTGGGGAACGCTATCTCTGCATCCCTGTCAGGAAGTCGGGATTCTCGTGACACTACTGGTGCGCTCGCCCATAAGCGGCGATGGAGTTTGGATGCGAGGAACGCTTCTCTGCTTGAACAGTCCCCATATATGTAAGCGAATTCATTGTCTGTTGTCCGCTTCCTGCGTCGGGAGGCGTCCGTCGGGGGGCCCTCATCCAGTAGCAGGCCGCGAAAACTATAGGAAAGGCTGGGATGTCTCCTTCCTAAAAGAGCCTTTGGGCATCGATAGGAGGCCTTATCTGGTGTCCCTCTGCATCTATGCAGGCGTACACACGGCCGTCGGATGAGCTGGCTAAACATATGCAGCACGTCGCCGTTTCAGACTGAATTCGGATGCTTCATGGTTAAAGGCGGCATCGTGTACCAAGTTGCCCCTTATGCAGCTCTGTAGATCGGCGGCGTGTGCCAGAAGAGGACGAATGAGCGACGGCATTCGTGATGCTGTGGCTTGGAGCTTGCATCGGGCAGAGTCACATAGAGATTTCCATATGAGAGGAGTGATGGCAACGCTCCAGGAGGCCCGGTCCGAGCATACCATCGGCAATGGAGGTGTGGCACGCCGCCTGTGCTAGGCGTACCGTGGTGGTGCGCCCCGCATCCGGGGCTTGGTCCAACCCAGCCGACAAGGATAGGAACCGGTCGATACTGCGCCCGCAATTCACGACTTCACGTCTAGACAGACATCGTCTCACCGACCCGAAAAGAGGCAGCAAACGACGAGGACGCGGTGCGGTCTACATTCAAGGCCTCCGCCTGAGCGTTCGGGGTTACAGGTAGGTATAATCTTAAGTCGGCCCGCCAGCGCGTCTGCGGCGTTCCAGAACCGCGGGGTTCACGAACGGTTGAACTACTCCCGCGGATGAGATTTCGACAGGAACCGCTGGACATAGTATTAATACGCGGTCGGAGTCGGGGTCAGGTTTAACACGCGGCAGCACATACGGGGCAGTTGTCGGTCGGTCGGACGTCTTATCGTCACTTCGCTGATGGACGGCCTGGCGACGGTATACGATCTGGGTGCGGGCAGCTTGGACGGCGGTCGCAATCGTCCCCTCACCATCTCTCGGCGCGCCTGGTGCTGAGGCGGCTGGGATGGCTCTGGTGGTTCTGGCTGCGGGTGGCTCTGCTGCTCAGCTGCCATCTCGGCCGACGACGACGCGGATGCGACCCGGAAGAAGGCAGACTCGGCGTGACACGGAGTTGGGTTCTGCGAAGGAAGCATCCGCGAGACGGAAATCCAAGATCACGATTGGCACTTGGCTGAGGTTTAAGGGTGTAGTTGGATTCGAATTGATGATATATGCAAGGTGATCGGAGGCGAGGCCGAAGCAGGACCATCCCTTGCTTGAGCCAGGTCGGCTAAACACTGGGCGAAGTCTGCACAGGCCAGCAGTCTCACGTCGTAACCAAGGGAAAGACAGCTTGAGTACGGAGTCGCATAGCTACAACTGGGAAAAAACTCCACTTTTCGGTACGTACACCCTAGGGGTGTGGTAGGTAGGAAGGTGCAGGTTGAATATTCAATTACACATAGGGAAGGAGCTACCCACCCCTTCGCGAGCCGAGTATTTTATATAGGTTTTCATATAAACGATTTATCCTCGTAAAAAAAACCTAGAAAAAATCGGAAAAATCGGAAATTTGCTTACGTAATTAATTAATTAATTAATTAATTAATTATTTATTTATTTATTCATTTATTTAATTAAAGTAATATATAAATTTTTCGAATTTTCTACTTACTAATATAAGAAGTTATATACGATTTAAGGTTTTTTAATATTATGCTAACAGTTTCCTATATAATTTACTAATAACCCTATTAACTATACTTATATTAATATATTTACTTATTTTTTTTACGGTAATAAAGTAGGTCTAGTATCTAATACTTTATTATATAAATAAAAAAAGACTAGTATTATGTAATCTTATTTTTATTCTTCATTTTCGTTTTTATTCAATTTATTATTTTAAGAAAACTACGTTTTTAAATAGGTTAAAACTTTCTAAAATCGTACCTATTTTTATAGTAAGAATTCTACCTTTCTAATTATTCTATTTTTCTATATAAAGAGGTTCTAAAAAAGAATATTAAAAATTAACGTTTTTTAAGACTTAATTAATTTAATAAAGATTAAAAAAAATTTAAAAAGTTTACGTAATCTTAACTATTATTTTATTTATAATATAAAGGATTAGGTAATGAATTTACTTTAGTACCGTAAAAGAAATAGGTTAAGAAGCCGATATAAAGTATAATTAATAGATTTATTAATAAATTATATAGTAAATTATTTATATAGTTTTAAAAAACCTTAAATTATAAATAATTTCTTATATTACTAAGCGAAAAATCCGAAAAATTTATATATTAATTTAACTAAGTTAATTAATTACGTAAGTAAATTTCCGATTTTTCTGATTTTTCCCTGTTTTTTTTTACGGGGATAAATCGTTTATATGGAAACTTATGTAAAATACCCAGCTCGCGAAGAGGGGCTCGAAGAGGGGCTCGCGAAGGGGTAGCTCGTAAAGCGGTAACCTATAACTCTATTCGTACATATACAAGCTACTACGAGTATGATATTAAGCTATCGGGGACTTGCATTAAACATACATACCTCCTCCTATTGGGGGCGTATGTATAGACGATAAAACTGGGGCGTTCGACCGAAAAGTGGGGTTTTTTCCCAGTTGTAGCTATGCGACTCCGTACTTGAGGCGGGTTGCCGAAAAGCGCAAGAGTTCGGTGTGGCTTTGGGCGGTTGCGAAATGCAGCGCAGTACCTGGAAGTAGATGTAGGTACCCTAGCGCATGGTAGAGGTTGCCTTCCCACTCCAGGTAAGTTAGGAGGTACGCAGCATAGGAAGGCGTCTGCTGTCCCTCCCCTCTCAGTCACCTACCCTACCTAAGGTTAGGCACCTATGTAGGTACCTCCTCTCTGTTCTCAGGTACCTGCTCTCTACCCTTAGGTACGTCACCTATACGCTAGCGGGCAAGTTCTGGCAGCAGCCGGGGGATCCACCTCTTTCAGGCACACCTCCTTGGGGTTAGATCCGAGCTGCCACCTGCGAAGAACCGGGTTCCCACTTTCACCACGCATTGCCAGAGCACGCCGGAATCAATTGCTCACCTCGCGACGCCTACAGCTTACAGGAACCGTCGTCCGAGGGAGGGCGAGACGGGATGACACGACGCGAAGTTCGACGGCGACGGAGCGCGGCCAGGCTCGCGGCCGGTGGCACCTACACACATGTAAGGAGTCTGCGAGGTGGGCCTACAGGACGCAAGAGGACTCTATGCCCCTGAGCTGCGCGCGAGAAGCAGGCCGTGAGCTGGCAGGGGTCCCCATTTGAAGGAGCAAATTGGCGTGCGGGCACCTGACCACCCCCGACCGGGATGACCTTCCTTACCAAGTATCCCGTGTGCCAAGAAGGGTAAAGTGCAGCTCCACGACCCCTCATTCGACTCGTCGTTGGAAGGCGCCCGACTCCAGAGGAGAGACCGTTGCGAGAGCAAGAAGAGCCTCTGAGAGTAGTAAGTACATCCAATCGTGGTGGGAACAACAACGCATTCCTCTCTCCTCTCGCCGGCCTTTTATAGGTTGGCTACGGACGTATCTGGTCCCGTTAACTCGCATGGGCAGGCCGGACCAATGTACGTATGAGTGTGTAGCCAGCCAGCTAGGAGGCAGCTAGGTATTATGTGCTTCGCTATTATATGTGCCCAAGGCATGCGTACACTAATCTAGCCGTGTAGAGAGCGGATAGTATATGCGTACCTTTTAGGACCTCGACGATTCGCTGCGCCGGCGCCGTGTGTGTTAGCTAATCTACCCAGCCAATGCGCGCCGTGCATCATCCCGGGGGGGGTTTTTTTTAACGAGGTCGAAATTGAACCTAGTCCCTTTCAATGGTCAATTGCGACCTCCCCATTTACAACCCATCAAATCGCCTGTTGTCGCCTACATACATCTTCCCCTAAACTACCTACCTACTGGTCCTCCTACTTCCTCACTCCGCCGCATCTCCTGCGCCAACCTGCCGAAGCCCAAGACTCTAAGACGTTATATCGCCTGCCTACCGACATAACGCTCTCTCCTCCTGCATAGCTCCCGCCTACCTAGCTTGCCTAACATCTACTGGTAGCGATGACTCCTCCCCGCCTGTGAGGAAGAGAGGAAGAGCAAGAGCAAAGAGAGCGAGGAGAAGAGAGAGAGAGAGAGGGAGGGAGGAAGAGAGAGAGGGGGAGAAGGATAGAGGGGAAAGCAGAGGAGCTTCCCACCTCCGACTTCTACTCTAATTATTCTTTTCTCTCTTCTATACCTGCCTAAGATAACCTATATCGTTACTACTTACTTCGCCATATGCTTCTATCTCCTCTCTTGTCACCGGCCCTCTCGCCCACTTCACAATTTAATACCTGCCCGGGTCTTGGATGACTCTTGAGGTTGCTGCTGCGTGCCCGGCTGCGTATTGATTATAATTACCTAAGGTATAAAGGTACATACAGCACACAGGGTCCTTGCTCTCTCTCTCCTCTGCATCCCACACCACGTAAGTACACACAGACCCAGACACACACACACGCACACATCCATAGGTATATACCTACATATACACATTATATGTGGTCGGTATCCACGCATATATTGAACCCTCCACGTATCCGCCCAGCCTGTTTCTTTTTCTTTTCTTTTTTCTTCTTTTTTTTTCCTTCTCGTTCTTTTTTTTTTTTTTCCCTTGCCGCCACGCGTTGCTTGCCACACCCCGCGCCTGCTTAGCGACGAGAAACAAATTTTCCCTTTGACACACACACCCCCCAAACGGCCAACCCGTCGCCTTCTCCCGCTCCAATTCACCTCCCGCTCTTTTTATTTTATTTTATATTTTGTTTTATTCCGCGTATCGCTCTCTTATCGCTATTAGTCCGGCCGCCACCCCTCTCTCGCTCCCCTCCTCCCCTCCCTCCCTCTTCAATTGCATTGCTCACTTCCGTGATCGGTCTCAGACCTGACCTTGACGCAGACCGCACCACACAGCTTCAGCCAACTCTTCCCACCCCCCGTCCCCCCCCAGCCTCGGCTAGTACGGCGGTATATACGGAACTCTAGGGATAGATAGCCAGGGAATTGCCTCGTCCCGCGGCCTTGCCACTCCCCCTCGATATCATTTGCCAATTGCGCGCGTTGCATGGATGGCCACACGGTTACCGGCGCCGTTTCGGCCCCGTCCACAAGCCCTACCAGCCCTGTGAGCTTACATCGCCATGGCTCCATGAAGCGGAAGCGCAGCACCGGTGGTGGAGGAGGCGACAGCAGCCCCGGCAGCGTTATCGGCGATGAGGACCAGTCGCTCGCAGAACCCGAGAAGAAGAGGCAACCCGGCGTCAAGCGGTACGTCACCAATCGGATATTAAAAAAAAACACCAACAATCATGAACTTCCTCGCCATGCTCTTCCCTTCCTCTTCCCATCTACGATCTCCGCGTAGACGTGCGCGCGCACATTACATCCATATATACACATACCCCGTGCCAGTACGACTGCCTGTCCCTACATTATACATACCTCACATACCCGTATACGCATGTGTATATACGCGCACATGCACGCCTACTGCTCACCCGTCTATATACCTTCCCGTGCGCGTGCGTGCGAGTTCTCTATGCTGCTTTCTATGTACCTCCCTTCTGCGCGTGTGCGCTTCAGCGGCTGACAATCGATTTCGTACAGAGCGTGTAATGAGTGCAGGCAGCAGAAGCTCAGGTGCGATGTCGTGCAAGATCCGTTCCAGAGTTGCTCGAGGTGTAATCGTCTGAAGTTGGAATGCAAGATCGAGTCCAACTTCAAGCGCATCGGCAAGAGGTCCAAGCATGCCGAGATGGAAAAGGAGATCGACCGACTGCGGCGCAAGATAGCACAAGCGAAATCTCAGGGTTTTGTGGTGGAGGACGACGAAGACCTGCAATCCCAATTGCAATCCCCCGTCGCAAACAGTGCGTATTCGCATACCCGAAACCCATCGCTCATGGGCTCCGATGAGGCTGTCACCTCCCTTCTTACTCTCAAGCGGGGCGGCTCGTATAGCCTGGCCGCAACCCATTATGCCTACGAGCTTGAGACAGTGAGGCTGACCGAGCAGGACGTCCACGGTCTATTCCAGGAATTCTTCACCTGCTACCACCCTTTCCTCCCCTTCCTCAACGAGCATCAGTCCCCTGACCTTTACTACCAACAACACGCCCTGCTGTTCTGGACCATCATCGCTATCGCCTGCCGCCGCTACCATCCCAAGCCCGGTATCCTGCACGAGCTGTCGAGCGGCCCCCTGAATCGGCTGTTATGGAGCACCGTAGGCGACGTACCGAACAGTTACTTCGTCGTCAAGGCGCTCTGTCTGCTCTGCACCTGGCCGCTGCCCACGAGCACGACGACGGCCGATCCCACCCACATACTAGGCGGCGTCATGATGAAAGCTGCTACCGGTATCGGCCTACATCGGCCGAATCATACCCAGGATTTCTCCCGCGTCTCCGTCGAACTCAACAAGGACCAGCTCCATGATAGGGTCACCACGTGGGCTGTGTGCAACATTGTCGCCCAATCGATAGGCACCGGCTACGGCCAGCCTGCGACGACGCTCTACGATTGGACGCTGGCTATCCGGCCAGGCGAAGACGGCCCTTTCACCCTGTCGCCCGAACTGGAGGCGAGGCTGAGGATAGAGCGATTTTGTGACAAAGTCTCCAAAGAAATGTACAGTAATGCGAGCGACCCCAGAGGCGTGGCTGGAGACGAGCACAGGGCGATGCTGATGCGGGTGTATCGTCGGGACTTTCAGGAACTACAAGCGTCAATCCTATCCCAGCATCTCTCGCCCATTGTGGAGATCCACTTGACTGCTGCTAATGTGCATCTTCGTCTCGCTGGCTTCTTCGACTCGAGCAGCACGCCCGGCTACATGGACGACCTGATGGGCCTGTGGCGGGCCATCACCTCCTTCCTAGATCTCCTGTTCTTGGATTCGAACCAGCACATCTTACTGTACGCCACTAACTACATCCAGCAGATGCTCGTCGCCGCCGGGTTTGCTCTGTTAAAGTTGATGAGATCCTTCTTCGCGAGGACGATAGATTTCGATAGGGGGCGGACCCTCTTCCACAAGACGATCAATGCGATCCGTTCGACTAGCGTCTTAGATAACGATCTGCAATGGCGCCTGGCGGAGCTCATGGTTCAGATGTGGAACGGCGCGCGACTCGACAGCAGCAGCAACACCTCGCTACACGAAGACGATGCGGCGGTTATCGACGATAGTCTTCAGCTTAAGGTGCGATGCAGGCATAGTATGAGCCTCGTTTTCGACTCCATCTGGCGCTGGAGGGAGGAGTACCAGGCTCAAGGACGTGGCACGCTCGACGGTAAGGTGTTCCTATCCCCCCCCCCGAGGCCCCGCTGTCAATGTGTGCCATGCTCTCGCAGCCTGGAGTACTACTTACTAATATTGAGCAGCCCTCAAACATCCAACTAACCCAGACTCAGCTAACGAGTCTTCAGCGTCTTCGACCCATATGGACAGCACGCTCCTGCCGCACAATAGTATCGCAAACCTGACGTCCATCACGGCGACTAACGGCGCGATAACCCCGACGGCTCCCCACGGCCTGAACACGGGCGCAAATAGTATGATCGGAATAGGCTACGGCAGCGACGCGAACTACGATTTCTTCGACCCTCAACACTGGATGCTCGACGGCTTATTGGATTTCAACTATACGTTTGCCCAACCCCTGGAAGGCATGTAGGAGGCTCGGCTCTCGTATTCCGGCGACGCTTATAGCGAGCTGAGGGACGAGCGCGCCCTCGGCGTCATCGTTCGAGGGCACGAAGAGTACGAGGCGGAACGAAGCAGGTATCAGAATATAGCCCTTGTAGAGGCAGGCGTGAGCGGAGATTGTTCATTTCGTCGGCCACCTGGAGTGGGTTCTATTTACGTTCAATCTTGGGGGGTATCCCCAGCACGGGCATATTCACGAATGAGGAGATACGACTGGGAAGAAATGGCTTAATACCCCTCCGCATCATACGTGATACCGATAAAAAGGGGCACCTACAGAAGGTGCCTCGGGGGGTCTTGACTGAGGGACGCTTATATATGATGTATCGATAAATGGTGCACTCCGAAATATGCCCAGTGATCGTGTAGTTAGAATCGATTCGGGACATGGTACGGGATTAAAATTGTTGATTTGCATTGCTTCCAACCGTGTTTTCTTGAGCCGGGGCAGCCCACGTAGTAGTGACCGATGTATCAAGTGACCCTGAGCTCGGTAGGAGACGGTCTATCGTCGAACCGACCATAGCTAAGGCTCCGTCATATAGGTAGAGTGCACACGGCGCGGAGGAAGGGACTACGCTCTCGAAGACGATAGAGAATAGGAACTAGATCGCAGGCTGGTGCTGGTCGGTTGGTGGCCGAGCAGCATACGATACGTTGAACCTATGGAGTGATCGTATTCTTGTCAACGTACACATAATCTACCTAGGAGGGTATGGGAAGGTGGCAAGGATGCTTGAGACAGTTTGTAACTCGTCTTTCTTCGAGGTTAGAATATCAAAGTCATGACATCTACGGACGCCGGGTTGGGGTCGAACCCTCACGATACCCGCGTGTCTATCTACGTAGGCTCACTAACGTCCCGGTTGATATAAATGTCTCTAAAGCGTAGATAAGCGGATCAGGCGGGACACGCCTAGCTAGAACTTGGGGTGTCTGCGCGTAGTGGGCACATGGAGACGATCGAAATCGGGGAGAAAATAGCAACGGCGGCAATGCGGGATGCTGGGCGAGAGGGTATTTGAAATAATAGCTTGTCCAGCCCAGCTACGTTTCGGCCGATCCTTGTTACCGCCGGAAATATGACCCTTCTTCCACTTCGGAGAGACCTTGTCTTCGTCCAGATTGACACCTACACGTACACATACATATGCAAATACAAGCCGCCGGCCGGATAGGCGTAGGTACGGCAGAGGAAACAAAGCATGCGAGGAAGAGGTGACATTGATCCCTTCTCGGATAAATGAGCTCTGAACACGTCGTTTCAAGCCTGCATGGCGATGCCGTGGACAGGTAGATAGATACTTTAGTGTATCTCTCTGGCTTCTCTCCCCCCGCCCCTGCTGCCAGACCCCCCTATTGCTGCTGAAAGGTAACCGTCGGTCATTGGCCGGTGTATGAGCCTGACAGCTTGATGGAAGAGGGCCTGGCTATATAACATACATAGCTATGGGGCCCTTGTACAGTACATAGGGGCAGCTGCTTGGCCCTCATCTCAGGGGCTGTCTTGTTCTCTCTGACCATACCAGAATAAACAGGAAGCGCTCAACCACTGCTTTGCCGCCAGGAACGGTAGCTTCTGTCATCTTCATCTTCACCCCGTCCTCCTTCTGTACGGGGTTAGGGGTTTAGCTGGCGGGATTTGAGGTCCAGGGGTGGTTGGTATAAACATCCTGGGTGCCCTGGATGTTTACACACAGGTACCCCTTGACCACATGCCCTCACTGCACAGTATGCAACCGTGATTCGACTCCTACACGTGTATGTACATATTTGTACCTGCCCTCTCTCTATCCCCTCCAGCGTGCTTCCAGTTCCGGTACTTCACCAATCCTCGGTTCCCACTAGAGTAGGTTGTGTGTGCAACGCGTAGCGAGTGTGCCGCGGCGCGTATGCAATGCGACATCCTAAACTACGATATCACACTAAGCACGAGCATATGTATACCGAGATTCCTGCGCTAATAGGGCAAGTAGTCGTAGACCTAGGTTGAGAGGAGGATTTGAGAGTAATGGAAGAGAAGGAGGAGCACAGGGTCAGGAGTGAAAGCGGAGGTTGATACCTGTCAACCACGGAAATATATGCCGGCCTCTGAAACGTGGTTAAATCTCACGCTCCATAAGCACACGTAGCACGAACGGTAGGCCCCTACGCCAGTCGCTTCTGCTGTCACGTCACTCACGGGGCATCGAAGGAGGGTGAAGAGGGAGATAGGGGGGGTGTGTTGGGGGGGTGGGGGGTGTAAGAGGGCTCAGGACCGGGGAGACATCCAGTAATTACTTGACAGCTTTACCTGTGTCTTGGTGGATAGTTGCCGAAATAAGCATCGTAAATCAACGAGAAAAGGTAGAGTAACTTGAAGGTCGCTCTCCCCGGGTTTGGGATCCGCGGTGATACAGGTCTGACCTAGCTACTTGGCCATACTTCACATTACAGCCTCTCCCTTTCGTCTAACTCGGCCGAAAAGTCGAGGATACAACACCGAGCAGACAGATTGGACCTCTTTAGGTACCTTAGGGCCCCCCGGGACTCACCAGAAGCCCAATTCCCGGATGACACTACACGCGCTGGCGACTGTACACATACACACACGGCTGCTGGGCGGACAACGCCGGGACTTGTCTCAGCCCGGAGCAAAAATAGATTAGAATAAGACAGCAAATGTATAACAGAGCTGTTGGCTCGTCTTTTCGATAGCCTATAGCAGATTGAACGACGCTTGGATCGTGGGCCGCATGCTTACCTAGCTGTGCCTCCTGGGAGCTTCCCAGCATGGCCGCGTGGAGATCCCGCGGTGTCACGACGAGGAGCCAGTGCTTTATCTCTGTTTGGGTGAGCAGGAAGATAGCTCCTTGGGTTTGCTCTCGCTTCACCCCCTACCTCACCGAGCCCAGCGAACGCCTCCAAGATACCGTGCTTAGATTACGATTACAACATTAAGCAATCTTAGAGTGTTATGCCAGACACGACAGGGCTACCCAAACCATAGTTGAGCGGCGGGATCTCGTTTTCCTTGACGGGATCTACAGGTTTCCCCCACATTGTACCTATTCATCGTCTTCCTGTTCTATTTCCCGTCCTTCTCCTGCTAAAATAGGCGTTCTGCTCACCCAGCCCCTACCCGTCAGAAACGTATCGAGGATGTTTGGTAGGGCGAAGAAGAGTCCTTAATCACATGGCGTGGTCCAATAAGGGGGGTCCGACGATTTGGCTGTTGGGACGTCCTCGACCAACACACACAACCGTGGGAGCGAGAACGTTGCCAGAAGCAAGTTGTCATCAGGCAGGTGGATACACAACCAGGGGGATCTGGGTTTGCCTCGTGGTAAAGCTGACATTCTCTCCTACAGTTACGCCAAAGCGAGGAGGCGAGGAACCAAGAAAGAAAGAAAGGGGGCCGCGCGCAAGGAGCAAACACGTTTCCTGCTTAGCTAGCGAGCGATGCCCTTGAAGTTCCCCGGGACAGTACACATAGGTTAAAATAGAACCTTCTATATAGGTATCCTTCACCGCGCCGAGCAAGTCATAAGTAAGGATGGGAATGGGAGGTGGCGCGCACAGCAAGCAAGACGGATTGGGCAACTACACAGTGAATCAGTCGGTATCTCGAACGGACAAAGAAGGACGAAACTTGGAAAATCCAGGAAGGCATCTCGAGCCGCGTTTCGCCCGAAAACGCCACCGCAGCGGGAGATTATGTGGTGCCACGCTCATCTACCAATGCGAATATTCACCCTCCTCACCGTCGGAGTTATATGCGATGACGCCGTTCCAAACACGCCATGGTGATCTCCGGGCATCTTCTCTGTTTAGGTGAAAGCTAGCTATCAATTTAGGGTGGTGAGTGTAAAAAAAAAAAAAAAGCACGCAAGTAGTGTCAAGGCATACTCGTACTCAGTAATCCCGCTTCATTGTAGAAACATCGTTCCCCCCGGCTTTCGATCTCTCCTCCTCTATTTCCTTTCCTCTTCGGACCCTCCGAGCCTGGGCCTCATTTTCGGGCCCACGGTTTCCCTCCCCCAAGACGTTCGGGCCCCGCGAGGCGGCCGTGGCTACGCTTATCCCCCCCCCTCCCCTCTCGAAACGAAACTGAGGTCGAACTGTCGGTCTTTCTTTTGGGCGTCGCATGACGCATGTAGCAGGCCACCGCTGATCCGCCACGAATCGCACGCTGGAGAACGAACCAGACGAGACTGCCGGGTAAGCGCCTTAAACCGTTGGGGGTCGCTGCACCGGTGCGGCGGTGCTGACTAGGGTTAATTTGCCCGCTTTCCTCTGCCCCCCTGCTGTCCTTGGTACCCTTTTTCACTTTCGGAATCGACTTCGTCTCCGATGCTATAATGGCATGCATGGCACATCGCACAGCCTGGTGACGAGCGCGTTTGTGCAGGTAGTTAAGCCTCAATTCTTCTGGTGATGGGGAGAAGTGGCGTTGGCTGCCAAGGCTGCATCCAGGTGCGCTTTGCGTTGAACATCTCACGCAGAGCATCGGGAGCGGTCAGTTTCATCTCCGCCGTTGCCTCAAGAAATCGACGAAGAGTCATATCCTCTCGAGTGTCTCTTGGCCTCGGGCTCTGGGCGCGGGTCGGTTCCTGGCCACTCCCCGTCCTTGTTCTGACGTTTCGTCGGCCAGCTTCGCTGCGGCACAGGCAGAGACAAGGAAGCTCCGCGGGGGCGATCAAGTATAGAATCACGTCTGTCCGTCCCCACATTCAGATTGGACCGTAGCCGAGATGTGGGCGTCGATGAGCAGCACCAACACCCGATCCTTCCTCTCGCCCAGCAGGGGCCAGTGCCCGGCTACTCGCTATCCTTCATCCCTGGACACACCTCCAAGATCATAGGGCTGGCCGACGAACCAGTACGGGCACCCGGTGTGAGAGGTTAGAGCGCTGGCTGTCCAATAGCAATGACGTACATATATGCCGTTGCTACGAAAGGGCTCCAGACCGGAGTTGTCGACATGTCGCAAATCGCCGGCAGTATTCCTTCGATGGCGGCGGCACGTACGCGACGGGCTTACGGGTGTGGGTGGATGGTAGACGTGTTTCCCACCCAACCCTCGGACCCTGAGCCTCGCGTCACACCCACGCTCTTCTTCCCCATGGTCTCACAAAGGGATCGAGAAAAAGGAAACAGAGAGAAAAAAGCACACTGGCGTCACTCCCGGTCGTGTAGGACGAAAGAGGACGGCTAGTCATGCACGTACGATGAGATAACGAAGATCCTCATCACTCGCTGCTCACAGGTACTCCCTTAAGAACCTCGAATGGAGGTTATGGGAGATTTCTACGAACCAATCATGGAAAAGAAAGATTTCTTTCCAGTCATCTAGTGAACTAGTTCATGGGGAGAGTTAGAGTGAGGGTAAGAGATACCTACTGTGTTGAAGGGTCCGGGTACTGAAGCCAGAACCATGTCCATGAT